ACTCGCCTTTTTGAGTCGTCCTTTGCTTGAACAAACTCCATTCTCTTTTTCCTACCCAAGCAACGCTTTGTACTCCCTCACTCTAAATCTGTCTTTACCCCACTTAAATTTCTTCCTGTCACGTGCGGGTCACGTGATATTGACCTCCCTACGACTATTTCACACTGCGTTTCTTTCCCCCAAACTGTTTAAACTGCCCCTCTACGTGTTCCTTTGCTCAAACAAGACTTTTCATACTTCTCCCTTCATGAAACAACTCTCCTTGTCGTTTCCTTGTCAAACAACACTTTCTGCTACTCTACGTAAATTTCTAAGTGTTACCCCACTCAAATTTTAATCCTGTCACGTGAGTGTCACGTGATCTTGACCTCCCTACGACTACTCCACACTGCGTTTCCCTTCCCCAACTGTTTAAACTGCCCCTCTACGTGTTCCTTTGCTCAAACAAGACTTTTCATACTTCTCCCTTCATGAAACAACTTTTCTTGTCGTTTCCTTGTCAAACAACACTTTCTGTTACTCTACGTAAATTTCTAAGTGTTACCCCACTCAAATTTTAATCTGTCACGTGCATATCATGTGTGGTCACGTGACTTTGACCTCCCTACGACTATTCCACATTGCGTTTCCCTCTCCCAACTCTTTAAACTGCCACCCCCAACGTGTTTCTCAGCTTAAACATGGCTTTTTATGCTTTCCTTGTTTGAACAAAATCCATTCGTTACCCCCTCTTCAAACAACGCCTTGTGCTCTCCTCCCTCCAATTCTTGGCTTTACCCCACTCAAATTTTGGCTGTGTCACGTGTGGGTCACGTGATCCTGACCTCCCCTACCAGCACTCCACACTGCGTTTCCCCTTCAAACTTTTTAAACTGTCTTTCCCGTGCTTTTCTCTGGTTAAACGGTGCATTCTTTTCTCTACTTTCTTAAAACCATCTTCTTTTGTTGCCTCTTGCTCAAACAACACCTTCTGCTCTTCTACTCTAACCCCGGCCTTACCCCACTCAAATTTCTTCGTTGCACGTGACTTTCACGTGTTGGTCACGTGATCTTGACCTGCCTACGACTACTCCACACTGCGTCTCTTTCCCCCAAATTGTTCAAATTGCCCTTCCTACACTTCCCTCTGCTTAAGCACAACTTTTACGCTTATTCCTTGTTAAACAAAGTCCATTGGTCGCCTCTTGCCCAAATAACGCTTTGTGCTCCCCTCCTTAAACTCTTGGCTTTACCCCACCCAAATTTTGGCTGTGTCACGTGTTGGTCACGTGACCTTGACCTGCCTATGACTACTCCACCGTGTGTTTAAACGCAATCTTTTTGCAATCTTTTTGCCATTCTCTTGTCATTCTTTTACAAAACAAACTCTATTCTCCTTCTAACCCTATCTAAACCTCATCTAAACGCTATCTACACCTTAGTTGAATCCTATTGGCCAATTTCGTTGCCATGGAAACAACCTCCCCCTTTTTACCCAACCCTCTTTTTCCTGCCTCAAACCCTCTCCTCTTCTGCTAAACCCCCGTTTCCTGCATTTAACCCTCGTTTCCTGCTACTCTGCTAACATTCTGCTTGAAATTCTCCTAAAAACACCCTCTTAATGACCCCCCAATTCCAATAAAAATAACACCCATTTTAACTCCATTTTTTCGACTTTTAAACTGCAGTTTGAAGCCTCGCTGAGGTCCGGGCCTGAAAACAAATAAACCCTCCTCTGTGCTCCAAATCTAACCCTAAACCCGGGCCTAAACCTGACTTTGAATTCTATTCTAAACCCCCCCTAACCCCCTCCTCTAAACCCTTTTTTTTTGGTTTTTCTTGCAAAGAGGACCCACCCACCCTCCCCCCTCTCTCCTCCCAATTTATACCCCACCGGCTGTCCGCAACCCTCCCCGGCTGTCCCGTGCCCTCCTCCTCCCCTGTCCCCTGTCCCTTCTCTATCTTTATTCCCTCACCCCCACCTAGATTTTACGGGTTCCTCTTCTCCTTGTGTTTTTTTTTCTTCTATTATTCTATTCTTGTTGCTCCTCTCTTTTCTCCCCTTCTTTCTGTTTTTTTATCCACCTTTTATCCATCACTCTTCTCCCTCCCTTCGACTTCACTTGCTATCAATTGCCTCTCACCTATTTTTATTTACATAAAAAGGCTATTTCTCTTCTTATTTTGTGTCTTCTAAATCTAATCTCTACTCCTGCTTGTTTTCTCTTGTTGTTCCTGTTTTTTATTCACCACCCTCTCTCTCCCCTCGACTTTGGCTCTACTCAACTTTCTCCCCATTCAGCGTGTTTTATAAGAAAAAAACGACTTTTCCTGACTCCCTTCTCTTCCTAGATTCAATTTATGCTTTTTCTTTTTTTCATGTATTTTTCATATTTTCCATTTTATTATTTTTTCTGTGCTTTAATCATATTAAACTCTTTAATCTACTTTAATAAAAAAAAATAATTTCCCCTCTCTCTTTCCCCATCACTTTTCCCCGCTATTCTTATCCACATTCACTCCTTTACATTCTATTCTTTCTATTTCTCACTCAATCTTTCTTGATGATTCATTTATTTACATCTGTCCACCCCGTGCCCACCTTCACTAAATTTACAAAAACACCTTCACTACGCCTCACCTTCACTCTAAACACTCTTTCTACTCTTCTAAACGCTTCTCTCTTGTTTTTTTCTTTTTTTTTATCCACTCACTTTTCTTCCTCCCAGCTCATCACTCACTCTTACTTTTTTAAAAAAATTCATCTTCCCCCACCTTAAACCATTCGTTTCGTCTTTGATGGCCCTCCCCTTCTCGCCCCCCTCTGACTCTTTCCCTTTCATTCATTTTTTTCAGTGGCTCTCAAATTCAATATCTACAGTTCATCTTGATCTCTCAAAAAATTCTTCTCTTTGACTCTAATTTTGATTTTATTTCATAAAAATGCTTAAATACGCTATGGAAATCTTTCTAAACACTAATTTCTATCAATTCTTATATCAATTCTTATATCTACGCCTCTGTCAACGCCTCTGTCAACGCCTCTGTCAACGCCTCTGTCAACGCTTGCAAACACCAACTCCACTCATCAACCCCCCCCTCCCCCCATTGTTCTATCCCATCATCTCTCCATCACTGCATCTCACCTCGACTCCATGTGGGGCAAATCCGGGGTAGGCGCTGAATGCGCTGATAACGACATGGCACAACAAACAGCGGCCACTCACCCGGGAAATACAGGCTATTTGCACAGGGAACACGCTACTTTATGTGTAATGCACTTTCAATTGATGCTGAAGAGATCATATCTACTCTTTCCTGCCCTATCCTCATTCATCTAGTAAATATACATGCCCATTATTAAATCCTGCCCATTTGCTTTTTAAATCATGAATGAAATCATCATCGCCACTAGCACCCCCCTCATCACACTCCACCCACTCATCCTCAGCCCCTCACTCGGCTTCACTTCCCCTGCTTCATCCCCCTCTCCTGTCGTGCATTTCGTAGGCTTACACCGCCTCGTCGAGGTGAGTGTTATTCTCGATGTGACTGTGGATGTGGTCGTAGATGTACTGGTATGCGTAGACGTGTGTGTAATCCATGTGTCTGATGTAGTGAGAGATTTGCATTTCTCTCCGTCTCCTACTGTTTTTTCCGCTTCTTTGACTGTTTCTGTGACCGTTGTTATGTTGGTTTCCGTTACTGTCTTTACTTCATATGGTTTGATCTTCAATGGCTCCAATCTTAAGCATACACGATCTACTGCTTTACATACTTCTTCACAGTTTGCACATTCTTTTCTGAATCCACAGCCTTTCTGTGAATGCTGGCATATCTCCTTTAATTCTACATACAAGTTAAATGTTTGCGCTACCAAATCAAATGCTGCTAATTCTTTTTCTGTTACATGCACTTTTGCACTTCTTCTTACAAGTTTAAATCCTGTTGTGTCTTTTCCTTCCTTAGGTGCATCAGATGAATTTTTATTTACTGACTTATTATTATCAGGTCCTTTCGCTCTCGATAAAATAAAGTTTGCTGCTTCCATTGCTTTCTCTGCTTCTTCTTTAATTCGTTTATATTCTTCTTTTTTCTTTTTTAGTTTATCTTTTGCTTCTGCAAGTTCGTTAAATAATTTTGGGCACTGTTCTGTTATTCGAGCTATAAGTTTTTTACAAAGTTTTTTTCTAACTTTAGCATCATTTTTTGTTTTAGCATTAGAAGTATCTATACAGAGAACTTCAAGTCCATTACTTGCATTGGCCCATACTGCACAATACTTGTCAAGTGTTTTTTTACATTCATCATCGCTTGACAAATTGCCCTTCAATTCATCAAGTACTTTGTTTTCCAGTTCTTTCTTTTTAATAAATGAACTACATTCCTTTCTAAGTTCCACACAGTCTTTAGTACCAGTGTTTGCTAAATTTTTGCAGCTTGACATAAATCTTTCACAATACGGTATCCAGAATTCACAAATAGATTCTTTTTTAGTTTCTTCTTTTGCATCGTTCAGAACAGTACCGTTTTTTATATACTTTTCTAATCTATCACATTTAGATTTAACGTCTTTTGTAATAATCTTGCAAGTAGTATTTTGTGCTATACACGCAAGAGTAAACTGAGATCTCCCTTTTCCAACCCATTCATTGCACCGTTTACCTAGCTTTTTTTTGCACGAATCGAGTTTATCTAAATCTTCTGTTTTTTCTTCCAACAATTTCTCCTTCAACTGTTCTACATTCCTTAATCGATCGCAATTCCAATTCAGTGTATGGCATGGCCACTCAATTTCTCTTGAATCTTCTAACAATACTTTACATTTCTCTTCCAGTTCTTCACAATTCTCTTTTGTTGGAAAATCTCGCTTCTTGTTTAAATTTTCCAATAAAAAGATTACCTTCATTCGTAAATCTGCTGGAAGTACTATAGCTGCCCTTGTTGGCTCCACACATAATAGAAATAATTCATTGTTTGGAAAAACTCCATTGTTTTCTTTTTTCACTTCTTGACATACTTCTAAAAGTTTTTTCTGAAATGTTTTAAGCCATTCTTTTTTCGAACCATGCAATTTTCCTCGTAACTTGCTTTGTAACACTTCATTAGCTAATCCATCAAGTCCCTTCTTATAACATGCTGCCTTGATATTTTTGCATGCATCTTCGCCTTTATCACAACTTTTTTCAAAATAAAAACAATATGACATTAGATTTGTACACTCTTTCTCACTAAGAAACGTTGGCAATTTCCTCCACATAATAATCCCATTATTTTTTTTCGTGTCAAAAAGATGATAGTCTAGAACTTTTGATGTAAAAATTTTACAAGTGTTTTCAATATCATCATCTAATTCTTCGCATTTTTGCTTTCCATCTTTACTTGCTTTAGTTCCTTCACATAGATCTTTTAGAACTCCATACTCTTGAGGATCTTTGCATTTATCTTCAATAATCTTTTCACACTTTTCTTTCTTAGTGGCTTTATTTGCGAGACTTGGGTCTAAAATCAATAATGCTAATAGAGCTGTTGCATCTGCCTTTGGGGGTTTTCCAATATGAACACCCTTTTTTACTGCTTTCGTATAAAGACTTTTTAGACCTATTTCTTCTACTAATGTGCTTTCTTCTTTAGTTGGATCAAAATTAGTGTCTGGAGGTGTGTAAGTTATGTTTACACTTTCGCATTTATTTATTAAATCATTACATTTCAGTGGTTCACTTTCACAACTCCGGTCATGAAAATAACATTGTTCAAGCAGCAGGAGGCATACTTCACTAGTATTTTTTGTAAGTGCTGTTTCTATGTCTTTTTTCAAAGAGCTACATTTGTCTTTTGCTGCTTGTACTAGGGATAGACATGTAGAGTCTAGACTTAAACACTTTTGCATCAACTCATCACTTTCTTCCTTTAAAACAATGCAAACATTTTTGATTTTTTTCTCACATGTGTCAGATTTTTTAAGACTTCCTGAAAGTGCTCTTAAAAGAGCTTCTTTTGCAACCTCATTACGTTCTTTTTGATAACACATATTTCTTAGTTTGTTACATTTTTCTATAAGAGTAGGGCACGCATCTTCCAAAAACAGGCATTGTTCTTTTTTTTCACAGTCATCATTTCTTAAGTCTTCTATTTCTTTTTTAAGTACATTTTCTAATTCTGCCCTAAATCCATTGCACTTTTCTTCAATACTAGCCTTTTGTTTGCACTTTTCATCTTGTTTTGCATCATTACAGAAATCTTTCAATTTTTTATCTATTTGTTCTGTTTTTATACCTGCATCACTTAATCCTTGACAATATTCTTTTAGTTTTTTTTTGCACTTTTGCTCCTCTAGTCCATCTTTTTTTAGGAGAAAAGCCAAAACATGTTCCTCTCCAATTTCATCCTTCTGTGCTTTTGCCTGCCGCTTAACCGCCCGCGCCACCGCCCGCGCCAAGCTGTGCCTGACGGGGGTGGGCTGCGCTGTGGTGTGTGTTTTGAGTTTGAGTTTCCGCTAGTGTGTTTTGACTGCAAAAATTGAAGAGATTCGTTTCCATATTAAATTTGAATATTAAATTATCCTTAATTAATTTTAAGGATGTTCAAGTAAATTCAGTGACAAAACTTGTCAAAGAAGCTGTGTGTGCAAAGTATATCTTTAGTGTGTCCATACAATTATTGTGATACATGCTTTACTACACGTATTTAAATTTGTGTGGGGTAAATGCGGGGTAAATGTGGGGTAATAGTAAAATTTGAATAAATAAAAAGTAGAATGTAAAAGGACATAAATGAGAAATAAAGGTTATTTAGATAAAGAATAGTGGTCAATTAAATAAGGAACACGCGATTTCATGTGTAATGCACTTTCAATTGATGCTGAAGAGATGACTCAATCTACTTTACTCTTTCCTGTCCTACCCTGCTCGTTTATTTACTAAATATACATGCTCATCATTAAATCTTGCTCATTTGCTTTCTAAATCATGAACGAAATCATCATTGCTAATATCACCCCCCTCATCACGCTCCACCCACTCATCTTCAATCCCTCACTCGGCTTCACGTCCTCTGCATCATCCCCTGTCGTACACTTGGTTGGTTTGCAACGCCTCGTTGATGTGAGTGTTATTTTTGATGTAATCGTAGATGTGATGGTAGACGTGCTTGTGTGTGTCGATGTCTGTGTAACCCATGTGTCTGTTGTCTGTAAGGATTTGCATTCTGTTGCCTTCGGATCGGTAACGGTTGTTGTGGTCGTTGTGGTCGTTGTTGTACTTTCTGTGACTATTTCGTGCGACTTCACTTTCAGTGGTTTTAATTTCGAACATACTCCTTGTATCTTTCCACATACTCCTTCTAAATCCTTGCAATCCTCCTTAATTCCGCAATCTGATTCCAATTTATTACATCTTTCTTTCAAGTCTACATATCTTCCAAATACTTCTGCTACCAAATCAAATGCTTTAGCTTCTAATTCTGTTACGGATACATCCTTAACTCCTCTCCGTAGTATTTTCACAGGTTCTGTGGTATCTTGAAGTCCGTTTGAAACGGTATTCTTATCCTTGTTTTTGCTACTATTTTTCGATGCATTATTTTCATCTTTTTTAACGAATGATAAAACAAGATTGGACTTGTTCATTGCTTCTTTTGCTTGTTCTTTAAGTTCTTTAAATACTTTAAAGTCGTCTTCTAAGTCTTTTTCCAGTTGTTTTAGTTCTTCCGGTAATGTTTTACATTGTTCTTTCACTTCTTCCACTAATTTTAGACAAAGATTCTTTCTAATATCTTTATCATCAGCCTTTTTAGTTTTACTTTCGGCATTATCTTTGCATAAACTTCTGATTGATGCATTATTTACGTTTCCTGCTACTGTGCAATATTTTTCTAATGCAGATTCACATTTATCTTGACCACCTAATTTTCCTCGAAGCTCTACTTTGAGAGCGTCTTCCAAGGCCTTTCTTTTGTAAAATGGTTCACAATGTTTTTCGAGCTTTGTACAAAAAGTAGCCTCTTTTTTAAGATCAGGGCAATTAGGTCCGAATCTATGACAGTATGAACTCCAAAAGGGACAAAAACTTGCTAATGATTCTATTCTTGTGTTATCTTCAAAAACGTCCGTGATATTTGATGCTTGTGTATTTTCTTTGAATACTTTGCATCTATTTTGTACGTCTTCTACCATCAGCTTACACGTACTTTCCAGAAAAACACATACAAGAGAAAAACGGTCATCACCTCTTCTAGACCATTTATTACACTTTTCTTTCAAATATTTTACACAACTTTTTTGATCTTTCAAAGTATCCTTATGTTCATCCAGTAAAACCTGTTTTAAAATTTCTGTAGTCCCTAAACGATTGCATTGCTGCTCCAGTGTATGACATGGCCATGTAATTTCTTTTGAATCCTTTCCTAAATCTTGACATTTTCTCCCTAATTCTTTGCAGTCTTTGTCTGTTGGAAAATCTCGCTTTTGATCCAATTGTTTACGTAGGAAAACAGTCCTCATTTGATGGTCATGTGTAAGTAATCGTGCTGCTTTTGCTGGCTGTACACACAAAATAAACAATTCATCGTTTGAGAAACTTCCTTTATTTTCTTCTTTCAGTTTTTTACACACTTTTATTAATTTTCGTTGAAATTCCTTAAGCCAACTTTGATTTGAACCACGCAATAACCCATGCATATTTTTTTGCAGCACTTTATTTGCCCGTGCATCAAGTCCTCTCTTATAACACGCTGCTCTCACATTCATACAGGATTGTTTGCCATCTGGGCATCTTTCTTTATAATAAAAACAATAAGATTCTAATCTTGCACAGTCCTCATCACTAAGAAATGTTGGTAGCTCTCCCCACCCAATAATTCCGCTATGTTTATTTGTTTTATCAAAAAGACGATTTTTGAGAATAGTTGGTGTAAGAATTTTACAAATCTTTTCAATATCTTTTTCTAGTTCCTCACATTTTTGAGTTCCATTTTCATTAGCTTTACCTTTTCCGCATAAATCCTCAAAAATGTTGTGCTTTTCTGGATCTTTGCATTTACGTTCAAGTAATTCATCACATTTTTCTTTAATCTTTCCTTTATTAACATTTTCAGTCAACAATGATAAAAGAGAAGTCGTATCTGCTGTTATTGGTTTCTCAATAAGAACCCCTTCTTCTCCTGCTTCTTTATAAAGCTCTTCAAGCCCTATTTCCTCTATTATTGGAGGCTCAGGTTTAGTTGGATCAAAATCAGGTCCTGGTGGTATATAAACAATATTTTTTTCATAACATTTTTCTTCTAACTCAATGCATTTAATCATATCTTTTTCCTCACAGTTTGCAACGTAAAAATAACATTGTTTAAGTAATAACAAACATTTTTCTTCCAATTTGTTTTTTTCATCGAGCACTCCTTGAACATCTTTTTTGAGAGCATCACACTTGTTTTTTCCTTCAGCTACAAGATCATTGCATGTTTTTTTCTGATTGAGACATAATTCCATCAACTCATCACTTTCTCTCTCTAATTCCGGGCAAACTTCTTTAAGTTTTTTTTTGCATATATCTGTTTCATTGAGATTACTACGATGTGCCCTCAAAAGAACTTCTTTTGCTACTTTGTCACGCTTTCTTTGGTAACATAGATTCCTTAGTTTGTTACAATTCTCTGTAAGATCACTAGGACATGCTCCCTCCAAGAATAGACATTCTTGTTCATTCTCTTTACAATCTCCATCCGTCAACCCTGAATTTGGCTTTTTCAATATACCATCAAGTTTTGTTACGAGTTTATTACATTTATTTTGAACTTTAGTTTTCAATTCTTTGCACGTTCTTTCTGGGGCATCATTTTTGCATAGATCTTTTAATTTTTCATGTATTTCTTCTTTATTCAGATTTGAATCTTTTAATGCCTTACAATATTTTTCCAGTTCTTCTTTGCATTTTTGTTCATTTTTAGAATCCTCTTTTAAAATCAAAGCCAAAAGATAATCCTCTTCTTCATATACACTAGCTTTTTGCGCCGCTTTTGCCTGCCGCTTAACCGCCCGCGCCACCGCCCGCGCCAAGCCGTGCCTGACGGAGGTGGGCTGCGCTGTGGTGTATGGTTTGAGTTTGGGTTTCCATTAACGTGTTTCGGTTACATGTTAGGTGCTAAAGCCATGTCTTTAAATTTGAATATTAAATTATTTCTAATTAATTATAGAGTTTTCAAGTAAATTCTGTGATGAAACAGGTATAGTGTGTGCTGAAGTATATCTTTTAGTGTGTCCAATTATCGTGATACGTGCTTTACTACACGTATTTAAATTTGTGTGGGGTAAATGCGGGGTAAATGCGGGGTAAATGCAAAAATGTTTGGATAATGAATATAATGTAAAAAACTCTGGAAAAGAAATAAAGACTATTTGAAAAAAAAATACAGGTTAATTATGTAAAAATACTTGTTCTTGCTAATATGCCGTTCAAATGGATGCTAAAAAAATCATTCAGGCTATTCTTTACTTTTTATTCTATTATGTTTCTTCATCTTTTAAATATAAATGTCTTGTCTTAAACCATACTCATCCCAAATGCATATGCTTTTTTAAATCATTCCAATTTATTTATTTTAAATCATAGTTGAAATAATCATTGTTAATATTACTCCTTTTATCAAACCCCATCCATTCATCCTTAACCCTTTACTTGATTTTACATCTCCTGCTTCCTCTTCACTCCCGGTAGTGCACTTCATTGGTTTACATTCCTTCGTTGATGTTAATGTTACAGTTAATGTTAGTACGGATGTTTGTGTAGATGTGTGTGTGTGTGTTGATGTACGCGTAATCCATTTGTCTGTTGTAGAAATCGACATACATTGTTCTCCTGTCGTCAGTGTTTTTTGTGTTGTATTTGTCTCGGTTTTTGTAATGATGGTCTTTATAGTTTGATTAATTGTTTTTGTTTCTGAAGACTTGATTTCCAGTGACTTTAATTTATTGCATGCATCTTCAATTTTCTTGCATACATCTTTGTATTCAGAACAATCTTCCTTAAATTCACATTCTAATTGCAGACCTTTGCACTCTGCTTTGACTTCTGTATAAACCTTTAATGCTTCTGCTGCTGCATCAAACGCTTCAACTTCTTTTTCTGTAATATTCACTTTTGTCTCCTTTTGTTCCAAATACCTTGATTGATTTTTCAGAGTTACATCTGTTTTTAAATTTACATTTCTGTCAGCATTTGCATTATAAGCTAGAATTAATGTTGCGTTATTTATGTTAGGATCTGTTTTTTGTTTGCTTGAAGTTAAAATAAGATTTGTATTCTTTAGTGCTTTTTTCGCAGCTTCGTTCAATTCTTCAACAATTTTTATGCTTTTTTCTATTTCTGTTGCCATGTCATTTAATTTTGTCAACAATTTTGTACATCTTTCCTTTACATGTTTTAGTAATTTCTTGCACAGTTCACTTTTAGTTGTATTATTTTTAGTACCAGTATTATTATTACAGAAATTCTTGAATGTATTATTTTTCGTTTTATCCCAATGCAAACAATGTTTATTGAGAGTTGATTCACATTTATTTTTGTCATTAAGACTTCCTCTTAATTCATACATAAGTCTCACTTCTTGTTCTTGTATTTCACGATACGATTTACAGCTCTCTTTTAGTTCTTTGCATTTTCCATTCTTTCCATTATTTTGTACAAGTATTTCGCAGCTCAACATAAACTTATCACAATAGGGTTCCCATAGATCACATGTAGGGCCCTTTATGTTTGCATTATCACTCTTCACTTGATTTAGAACGTCTTCAATATCTATGTTTTTTTCTAATACAGAACATTTAGATTTAATGTCTCTAGTAATTATCTGGCAAGTAGTAACCAATTGTATACACGAAAAAATAAATCTTGTTTTCTTTCTTTTAGACCATTTATTACATTTTTCTGAAACTCTTTCTATACATATATCTAAATTGCCTAAATTTTCTGCTTTTTCCTCTAATAAAATATCTTCCAACTCTTTTGCATTCTTTAAGTGATCACATCGCCCTTTCAGTGTAAAACAGGGTAAGTCGTTCATTTTTGAATCATGTCCTAACACTTCACATTTCTCTTTTAGTTTTTTACAGTCCTCTTCATCTGGAAAATCCCTTTTCCAATCCAGATCGCTTCTAAGCCATCTACTCTGCCTTTCGATATCATTTGCAAGTTCCTTACAAGTATTCCATGGGTGTAGACAAAGATCCATTAATATAGGATTATCATTGCTAATTATTTTTTTACATAGAGTCCATAGTTCATCTATGCACGTTTTAAGCGAATTATTTGTTAAATTATGCAGTTTTCCTTTTAATGTGCTCTGAAATAGTTGATATTCTCTTCTGAAAAGTCGTGTTTTTAAACATGTTGATTTTACATTGATGCATGCATTAAACATTTTAATACCCACATTATTACAAGATTTCCTTAAATAAAAACATTTTGATTCTAAATCTATACAAAGTTTTTCATTAAAGTTAATAGATTGCTTGGTCCATCCTATAAGCTTAGCATCTTTATTGTCTTCGTTAGTATCTGATAGCGATAAATCATATAATTTTGATTTAAAAAACTTGCATTTAGGTTTCAATTTTTTTTCTAAGGTAGTACATATTTCTTTGCTTTTATTCATTTTTCTTTTAGTATTGTTATATAAATCCTCTAATTGAGGTAAAAGACTGCAAAGTTTACGACACTCTTCAATATAAGTTTCGCAAACACTTAAATAACCATTTGATAATAATATTAAAAGATCAATTGTATCTTTTATCCCTGGTTTTCCAATTTCGTCTTTGAATAATTTTTCCTTCCCTATTTTTTCTATTAATACAATTTCTTTTCCTATTGGGTTAAATGGTAAAGGAAAATGTTTGTATTTTACTTCATTTTCACATTTTTTTTCTATTTCTCTACATTCATCATTAAGAGTGTTATTACAATTTGAGTTATGAAAGTAACATTCTTCAAGCAACAAATTACATTCTTCTTTTGATATTTTAGTATTCCCAAGTAATTTTTTTAGACTAAATTGCAAACTACTGCATTCTCTCTTCATTAATTTTATGAGTTCATCACATTTATTAAAGGGAATTAAACAAAAGTTCATCAATTCATCGCTTTCTTCCATGAACGCAAGACATTTTTTGTCAATTATTTTCTCACAATCTTCTTTAGTTTTTAAATTGCCAGATAAGGCCCTTAAAAGAAATTTTGTTTTCAGATCATCTCGTCTTTCTCCTCTACAAAATATCCTTAAATAATTGCATTTTTCTTTAACTTCCATTGAACATGCTTCTTGCACAAACATACATTCATTTTGATATAGACAATATAAAACAGTTTTAGACGGCTTAGTCAGAATATCTTTCAAACTTCGTTCAAGTGCAGTACATCTTTCCATAATATTTTCTTCTAAATCATTACACTTTTTATTTAGTTCCGTTTCTTGGCATAGTTCTTTTAATACATTGAAGGAGCTTTCTAACATTTGAGCCTTTTCTTCTAAATCTTTACAGTATTTTTTTAGTTTTATTTGACATTGATTATTCGTTGTATCTTTTAGAATTAAAGCAAAAATATTTTCTTTACTAGATAAATAATTTGTTAATTTTACAAGTTCTAGTATTGTTTAAAGGTTTTTATACGTTATATACGATAATGGATTTTGCGATGGATTTTGTAATAGATTTTGTGGTGGATTTTGTAATAGATTTAAAAACTCTTTATAAATAGACTCTAAAAAAAGTTAAAAATATAAAAAAGTAAAATATAATACCAATGTTTTCTGAAAAAGCATATGTCATGCCAAGAAAGTTGGCTAATACAAATGCTTTCATCAATAATGATAACAAATAATAATTTTTATAAAAATGTTTTATGACATCGAAAAAATCGATAAATTATTACAAATTCATCGATATCCAATAAAATGACTGACAAGTATTAATTTTTGCTATTATATTTTTTAGTTACTTACATAAGTTTTTTATATACTGTTTCTATTGATAAATCTTAGTATATTATTTAAATTTTTTTAATTCTCATTCTAGATGAAGTTTTTTTTGAGTTATCAAAAGAATTTTGTCATTCATATTTCTTTTTATAATATACAAAAGATGTTTTTTTAATCAATATATTTATTTATCTTTTGCTTGTTTGAAAAACTTGATATTTTTGATTCTTTATTTTTAAATGAATGAATTTCAGTTTAGTTTTTTCTATATTTTTGCCATAGATTGTTGTTTTGAATATTTTTGTTAATATTCTTTTTAAAAGTAACTATAATTTTAAATATTGGTGAATATATTTTAAAATATTTCTATAATCAATATGTATATTTTAAAGTATTCCATAGGTATCTCATATAGTTTTAACTGGTATGTAGCAGGTACTTTACAAGATAGAATAATTTAGGAAATCTAATGCAAGAATAAAAGATCGAAAACAAAATAAAAAAAGCATGGACCATAATTGAAGACTAAGTAAAGAATATGAATCAATTATGTAAAAAAATATTTTTTTTAAAATTTATTTTAAATTAATCCAAAAAACATTATTTTTTACTTTATAGTTTTATCCTGTTTGTTTATCTATTAAATATAAATGCCTTATTTTAAAATATACTCATTTATTCTTTAAATATTTATTCATAAATGTTTTGTATTTATTAGTATTATTATATTTTTTTGACATTAAAGTTAAATCATTGACTATTTAAAAATTTTTTGTATAGTATTTAATTTTTTTTTGGTTCTTTAAATCTAAAAATAATTTTTAGTTTTAAAAATAGAAATACAGAAAAATAGAAAATGTTTAAAATATATGTTTTTTGTCTAATATGTTTTATATAAATAAGGAAAAGAATAAAAGTTTTCATCTATTATAATTTTATATAAGATTTGTTTTTAAAAATAATCTTCATTTAAAAATTAATATTCAATAAGCATTGCTTATAAGATTAGAAAAAGTGTAAAAGCAATAGCTATTATTATATTAGTTTTGATCTTTTAAAAAATCAATATTAAATTTTAGAAGCTTAGTATAAAAGTATTGATAATACAGTTTTACTGTTTTCTATTTATCATCTTAAAGAAAAATTTAAAATTTTTAGTCCATTAATATATTTTTATTTTCATCTTTTTCTAAAAAGAAAAATAATTTACTAAAGTGAAATAATTTTTATTATTTATATTTATAAAAATATCATTTTATATGATTTGATAGTGAAAATGTGTTGATGAAAACACATTTGTAAATTAGTTTAATTTTTGATAATTAAGTTATAATTTTGTTTTATTTTTGATAGTAATATTTATTCCATTTTTAAAATTATTTTTAATACGTTTTTGAAAAGCAGACTTTTTGAATTGTTAAATAGAAAAATATCTAATAATTTTTATTTAAAAAATACAATTCGAAACTTGAACATAAAATTAATTTAACTTTAGAATTAAATTGATTTAATAAAGTTAAAATTTTTCATAATTACTTTCAGGACTAAGTCCACAACATATAGTTTTTAATTTTCTAGATACAATTTCAAGACTGCTAAAAATAATAAACAAAATTTTATATTCTGAAATATAATACATATATTTTGACAAAGAATGAGTATCTAGCTTTGGTAAGATTCTTTTTAATTCATCAAATCATCTTATTAAAAAATGATAAAGTCTCAAGAAAACTATTAGAATGCAAATGCCATTTAAATAATATTTTGTTAATTCTTAATTTAGAACACAGGTTTAAAATATATTGATACAAACTAAAATCATGAGATAATGGATATTCAACATTAAAAATAGTAATATCATTCAGTTGCATATTTTTATAGAATTCTCTCTAAATAACATTTAACTGATCTCTTTGTATGCTTAAATCATAATACAATGTTTTTAAATTTTCTCATAGATACTGAATATTATAACAAATGTCTAAAATAACTGCAATTTTTTATAAAGACTATACATTGAGCTATTGAGATATAATCATTCAATAGCCGTTACTTAGCATAGTAAAAGCACTATCCTCAAATATAAATTTTAAAACTTCAAGTATATTTTTTAAACAACTACATATTATTTTAGTATCTAAATTTTCTCATTCTTAGTATAATTTTCAATGTTGACCAAGATTAGGAAATATACTTTGATAATAAATATAGGACTAAAGGAATATATTATATTTTCTTTCTGAAATAAAATTGTGTGACATTAAGGGAAATAGATATCAAAAGAATAAAAGAATATAGTTCCCTAGAAGCAAAATAACATTTTCATTTATTTTAGAAAAAAAAATAAATATAAATCCATTTCCTCAAATACTAGTATATATTTACTTAGTTGAATTTGCCTTAGCAATTGCATATTTAAGATATATTTAGCACATTTTTGTTTTCTTATAAATTTAATATTATTTAAATTTTAAACAAGAAATGCAAATTTTAAATTGAAATATAAATTAATGAATAATAAACTTGCTGATACTATTTTTTTCAATATTAATTAATTTTAATTGTTTCTAAAAAATTTAAATTTTTTCATAATTTTTACAAAAATGGTGACATGGAAAATATAATATTGTCATGTTTTGATTTGAATATGTTTGTCTTGGTTTTCTTGGTTTTTTTATCATATATTATGTATAATTTTTTATTTTATATTAGTTTTTCATATTGATTTTTAGTAATTCAATAATTTTTCTCTAACTTTTAAATAATAGGTTTTATTTTTAATGACATGTTGATTTTTAATGTATTTTTTATTTTAAATAATTATAACTTGTGAATAATTTATATTTTTGAAAGAATTGTCTTGATTTTTATTTAAAATTTTCGAGTTTATTCAAAAAATTTTGAATATCTTATTATGATAATAAATAATAATAAACATGATTAAAATTAATTTCTTAATACCTATTTATATCTATTTACATTTTTAGTTATATATTCTTTTATATCTTTCAATATTTCCAATCTTTGTATTTTTTATTTAAATCAATCATTTAGAAATTAAAAACATACTTGTTGATTAAGTTATTAGAATAAACACAAAAGTGAATTAGTAATAAATAGATTGTAAAAAAATACTAGCAATAATTACGGATTAATTAGGTATATGATAAGACTTAACCATGTAAAAATATGCTATAAATCGACTTAAAAATCATTCTTTTTTAGTTTATTCTATAGCCTTGTTATTTTGTCTAGTTGTTTCTTTTAAATATATATTTATATTCCTACACCAAATCTGTTTATTTATTTTTAATTTATAGCTAAAATAGCCATTGCTATCATTATTCTTTTTATAATATAGCATCCACTTATTCTCCATCCTTTACTTAGCTTTACATCACCTGCTTCTTCACCTTGTATTACACGGTTTGTTGATTTGTATTGACTTATTGATGTCAACGTCAGTCGACGTTACTGTAGAGGTATGAATAGAAATGCTTATGTATGTTGATATCAGTATTAATGTTTGTATAGATGTGCTCGTGTGTATTGAGGTCACTTTTAATGTCTTTATAGACGTAGTCATGTGTATTGATGTTTTTGCAATCCATTTAATCTACTAGATAAAATGATGTGCATTCTTTTTCTTTTGTTACTGTCTTTTCTGTAATATTCGTTTCAGTTATTATAAGAGTTGTTATTTGCACCACTGTAGAATTTTGAATCAGTGTCTTTGTTTCTTGTAAATTCGCTTTGAATGGTTTTAGTTTCTTACATATATTTTCTATTTTTTCGCAATAATTTTCAAAGTTACATTCTTTTTTAAACCTACATTCTCCCGTTAAATGATGACACTTCTCCTTGGATTCTAGATATAAAATAAATACTAAAGACATCAAATTGAACGCATCCAATTCATTTTTTGTCACTAGTATAGTTGCATTTTTTACAAGTTTAAATTGCATTATGTTTTCTATTTTGTTAGATATAGTAGAAATATTTACATTCATTGTCCTATTGTCCATTGTTTTGTCTGTTAACAAAATAAGATTGGCTGTTTCCATTGCTTTTCTTGCATTTTTTTAACATTTTCGTAGTTCTCTAGTTTCTTTTCTAATTCTTGAATAACTTTTGCAAATTTTTGTAAGTCTGGACACTGTTTTTTATCAGCTGTACTAATTTTTCACATAATTCTTTAAGTTGATTAATATTATTATTCTCCTTGCTTGTGCAAAAGTTTTCACATTTATTTTATCAGTCGATTGCATGCAATATTTGTTAAGCATTGCTGTACAATCATTATTATTCGACAAACTTCCCTTTAATTCATTGATTAATTTATTTTGTAATTTTTTCTTTTCATAAAACAACTTACATTTTTCATTAAGTTTCTTGCATTCTCCATCATCTGTTCCATCTTCAAGTTCACTACAACTTGGTGTAAACCTATCGCAATATGGAGTCCATAATGTGCAAGTTTCTTCCATTGTATTATTATTGGTTGCATTATCCACAATATTATGATTTTTCATAGACCTTTTTAATGCTGTACATTTAGATTTAATATTTTCACTAATTTTTTTGCATGAAAGATTTAGGGCAGAATATGCTGGAAAAAACATATTATTTCCTGTTCTAAACCATCTTTTACACCGCTTTTTGATCTCCTCTTTACAATTTGTCTCATTTTTCAAATTTCCTAGTTTTTTTTCTAATAATTTTTCTTCCAACATCTCCGCATTACTCAACCAATCATAATTTTGTTTTAGAGTATGACATGGATACTTAATTTCTTTTGAATCTTGTTCTAAAATTTCACAACTTTTTTCTAATTCTCTACATTCTTTTTTTGTTGGAAAATCTCGTTTTTTGTTTAAGTTTTTGCGTAAAAAAATTGCTCTTCGAAAATCTGTTAAAAGTATAAAGGCGCCTCTTTTTGGTTCCATGCATAGTAAAAATATTTCATTACTCTTTTCTATCAATTCTTGACAGACATCTATCAACTTCTTTTGAAGCTTTTCAAGCCATGTTCTATTTGAACCTTGTAACATTCCTTGCATCTTCTTATGCAACATTTCATTTGCCAGTTTTACAAGTCTACTCTTATAACATGCTACTTTTGCATTTCTACATCGTTTATTAAGATTATAATATTTTTGGTAATAAAAACAATTTGATTTTAGCCATGCACAATCATTGTCACTAATTAATCTTGGTAATTTACCCCACCTAACAGTTTCTTGATCTTGAAAAAGCTGCTTATTGTCAATTATTAAGGAAAGAGCGCCAATAATATTTTTCAAGTATTTATCGAATTCCTCACATTCAACACCATAATTGTTCTTTTCCTTAGAAACATTTCCCAGAATCTTGTGTTTTTCGAAATTTTTGCACTTCTCCATGAGCTGATCTTTGCATTTATCTTTAAAGCTAGTATTAATAGTACTAGGGATAGTTATATTATCAACTAAAAATGAAAGAAGCGCTATCTTCTCTTTTATGGGCGGCTTTTTAATGCAAATTTCCTTTTCCCCTGCCTTTTCATAAAGATCTTTCAGACCTATTTTTTCTACCAGTCCTGTACCAAATTTTGTAGGATCAAAATCAGAATCCGGTGATATGTAAACAATTTCAATCTTCTCACATTCTTTCTTTAAGTCATCACATTTTGACAAATCTTTTTTACAGGCAGGCCTATAAAAGTAACATTTTTCAAGTAATAAATAGCATGTTTCTTCTGATTTGTTTTGATTTCTAGTTAATAAATCAGTTTCCATTTCTAAATCTTTACATCTTGTTTCCGCTAATTTTCTAAGATTTTCACAGGTTTTTTCTTTAGAGACACATCAACATTAGCTCATCACTTTCTTCACTCAACTCTTGGCATTTGTTAGCAATACTTTTTTCATATCTGTTTCCTTCTTTCAAATTTTCCCTTAATGCTCTTAAAAGGACTTCTGCCACTTCATCACGTTTTTTTCTGATAATATATATTTCTTAAATTGGAACAGTTTTTTTTAAGATTTCTTGAAGATGATTCTTCTAAAAGCAGATATTTTCCTTCAGCCTCTTTAAAATCATTATCCTTTAAACCCAAAAAGTTATTTTTGTTTTTATTCTAAGGTCATTTTGCAATTCAATACACGTATATTTAATTTTTAGATATAAATTCCCACATTTTTCTTCTGCTGTTTTATCATTTTTGCATATGTCTTTTAACTTTGGGTATACTTCATTTAAGGCCTGAGTTAATTTCTTTTAAGTTTTTACAATACTCTTTGAGTTTTATTTCACATAGTTTATCTTCATTATCCACAGTTTCTTTTAGAATTACTGCTAAAATATTATCTTCGCTATATAAAAAATATATTAACACTAAATTTTTATCGCAATTCAAGATTTTTATACCTTATTAAAGTTAATGAAATGGATCTTTTATCAAAAAAATCTAAAAAATTAAAAATGAAAAAAAAGAATAAAACATAACTGTCATTTTTTAAAAAAGCATGTTATGCGAATAAAAGCAGTCAACATAAATACTTTCATCTACAATAACAATAAATAAAGGATTTTATAAAAAATATTTAACATTATGAAAAAATGTAGAAAAATCTTGAATGGAAAAATACAAATAATTACTGATAAATGGTAATAAATAGTAAATAATAGATAGTTAATAGACAAATATATAAGCATGTATTATTTTCTATCATTAATAGATATTTTAATACTTTGCATTAAGTTTATATTTGTTTTCAAATCTAGATTTTTAAAGAGTTTTTATTCAATTATTTAGAAAAATATACTTAAATTTTAGAGAATTAAATATTTTATAAATTTTATTTTGAAATCTCTTATACTTTTTATAACTATTTTATATTTTATAGTTTCTTTTTATATAATTAAAGCTCAAAATGTTTTAAAATAAATCATTTTGCGTTAAAAATCTTTATTTTAAAATAAATATGAAAACATAAAAGTGAATTAGTAATAAACTAGTAGATAAAATTAGTTCTTTTTAGTGTTTATTTTTACGTTTTTTATCTTTGAAAAATGATTTGTTCATCTTTTATATATTATATATATATATATATATGACCTTTTTTAAACATTATTCATCTAATTATCTTTTTATATTATAATAGAAATAATTATGGCTATAATCACTTTTTTAATAATCCATACAGTTACCCTTAATGCTTTATTTGATATCAGTTTTTCTACTTGATCTTTTGCCGTAAATTTTGTTAGTTTAAACTTTATTGGTGTTAATGTTATAATAAATGTTACTCTCAATGTTTGTGTAAACATGTTGATGCATATTGACGTTAATGTTAGCGTCTGTGTAGTTGTACTTGTGTGTGTTGATGTCTGTATCAATGTTTGTGTTGATGTACTCATATGTGTCAACGTGTGTGTGGTCCATGTATTTATTATATGAGTTGATGTACATTTTTTCTTTTTTATCTCTGTTTTTTCAGTAACATTTGTTTCTATCTTTGTAGTGTTAGTTGGCTCTGTGATCGTTGTGTTTTTAACAATGATAACAGTTTGTTTTTACTTCTAAATACATCTCTAATGCTTCTGATACTGCATCAAAAGCATTGACATCTCTTTCAGCGACATCTATTTCTGTTTATTCTTCCTGAGAATATATAAACAGATCCTTTCAATCTTTATCTATTCCTAGATTCATATTGTTCATATTACTATTTATGATATTAGCTGGAATTTGCAATAAATTGTTTATATTATTTTTAATTTCTATCTTTTGTTTCCCATGAACTAATAAAACAATTTTTGTATCTTTTGATACATTTTTTGCTACTTCATTTAAATTTTCAACTTGTTTTAGTCTTCTATCTCTATCGCTATATTGCTTAATTTTATGGATAAATCTGCACATCTTTTTTCCATTCGTTTTATTAGTTTTTCGCATAGTCCACTTATAGCTATATCATTTTTAGTATCTGTGTTGTCACTACATAAATTCACGAATGTAGTGTTTTTCATTTCATTCCAGCGTATACAATATTTGTTAAGAGCTGATTTACATTTATCTTTGCTATCAAGATTCCCTTTAAGTTCATACATAAGTTCCATCTCTTGGTTTTGTATTATTCGGTACGATTTACAGTTCTCCTTTAGTTCTTTACATTTCCCATCTTTTTTATTATCACGTACAAGCTTTTCACAATTTAACATAAATTTGTTACAATATAGTTCCCAAAAATTACATATTGGACCTTTTATATTTACATTATCATTTTTTGTTTTTTTTTAAAACTTTAATATTTATATTTCTTTTCAATGCACTGCATTTAAATTTAATATCTTTAGTCATTATTTTACAAGTAGTGTTTAATTCTATGCATGGAAGAATAAACTTTGCTTTTCTTTTTCCAGAGCAATTATTGCACTTTTCTGACACTCTTTCTATACAGGAATTAAAATCATCTAATTTTTCAGTTTTTTCTTCCAACAAAATATCTTCTAACTCTTTTGCATTTTTCATGTGATCACAATATCTTTCTAGTATAAGACATGACAATTCATTTATTTTTGAATCCTGTCCTAATATTTCACATTTTTCTTTTAACTCCTTGCAATCTTCTTCTGAAAAATCTCTCTTCAAGTCCAAATCGGTCCTAAATTCCCAACTCTGTCTTTCGATATCATTTGTAAGTATTTGGCAAGTACTTTTTAACCATAAGCATAAACTTGCTAATATAGGTTTTCTAATGCCTATCTCTTTCTTACATAAATCAAACAGTTCATTTATGCATGTATCAAGTGAGCTGTTAATTTCTAAGTTACGTAGCTTTCTTTTTAAATTGCTTTCGAATATTTTATATTCCTTTTTAAAAATTCGCATTTTTAAATATGCTAAAATTGCATTACTACATGCATTACCAAGTTTAATTTTTTCTAAATTACAAGGTTTTTGTAAATAAAGACATTTTGATTCCAGATTTGTGCAAAGTCTTTCATTTAATTCTGCAAATTGCTCAAACCACCTTAGTAATATAGCATCCTTATTGTCGTCACTTGTGTATGATAATGATAAATTATTTAATTTTGATTTAAAAACCCTAAATTTAAGTTTCAACTTGTTTTTTAGGCTAGTACATATTTCTTTTTTACTTTCACTCATTTTTTCTGTAACATTATCATATAAATCTTTTAGTTGAGGTAGGAAACTACAAAATTTATAACATTCCTCAAGACGAACTTCGCATTCATTTATATTATTATTTACTATTAATATTAAAAGATCGTCCATATCCTTTATCTTTGGCTTTCCAATTTCATTTTTAAATAATTCCTTTTTTCTTACTTTTTCCATTAATGCGACCTCTTTTCCAATAGGATTAAAAGTTGAATTTGGTAAAATGTAATCTGTCTTTTGTATGCATTTTTCCTTTAGTATGGTACATTGACTCTAAATATTATTGTTGTAGTTTGTTTCATAAAAATAACATTTTTCAAGCAATAGACCACAACTTGTTTTTAAAAGATCATAATATTGTAATGAAAGTCTAATACTAAGCTCCAGTTCATTGCATTGAGATTTCATTATATTTATAAGTTTATTAGATTTATCTGACTCTATCAGACAAAAAGACATAAGTTCGTCACTTTCTTCCATCAATAAAAAACATCTTTCATTGATAACTTCATTACAGTCTTTTTCTGTCTTTAAATTTCCCGCAAATGCTCTTAAAAGAATTTTTTCTGTAAGCTCATTCCTCTTTTTTCTACATTTTTCTCTCAATTCGATACATTTTTTCTTAAATTCACTTGAACATATTCCTTTAAAAAACATACAATTATCTTCTTATAGACAGTAATAGTCTTATATTGATGGTTTAGTTAATATATTTTTTAAATTTCTTTGAAATGTAGTACACAATGTAATAATCATATTTTTTAAATAAATGCATTTTTCTTTTATCTTAATTTCCTTACATAATTCTTTTAGCGTAGAGTGTAAATTTTCTGGCATTAAACTAATAGTTTTAAATCATTACAATATTCTTTTGTTTCACATTGAGTATTTGCGTTTTTACTCAAAATTAAAGCTAAAATTTTTTCTTCACTATACAAAAAATCCATTAATTGTATACAGTTTAGCATTGTTTAAAAGCCTTATACCTTATTGAATCAAATGATGAATTTAATGAAGCAGACTTTTTATAAATAAATTCTAAAAAAAATTAAAAACAAAAAAGCAAAAACAGAATACCAATGTCTTTTAAAAAAGCATTTGTTATGCTGAAAAAACAAGTTAACATAATTTTTTTCATTTATAATAATAAATAACGAATTTTATAAAAAGCATCTTATTTAATGTTTAAAAAATACTAAAAATACCAAGAAAACATTGTAATTAAAAAATATCAATAAACGATAACAAATAGTTAATAGATACGTATAGATATTTATAGATATGTAATAAATAAACAAACAAATATTACTCTCTATCAATATCGCATATCTCAGTACTTTTTAATGAGTTTTATATTCTATGAAAAATTTATTTTTTTTTTTTTTTGAAAATATAATTTATATTTTGATTATTTTTTATCTAAAACCATTTTATAGATTTATTTTTATTGATTTCTTAGAATTTTTGTACTAGGTTTTATGAACTAAAATAAAATTTAATCATATATATATCTTTTTTTTACTTTTTTAAACTTTTTATTTATTTTTCTTTTGCAGTTCAAATTATAAAATTATCTTCAAATAATAGTAATTATTTTCTTAAAAGTTATTCATATCTTTAGATTTTTTATTAGTTTCTTTAGGATCTTTGCTTATCTTTTATATATTTATATTTGTTGTTGTTTGGGTTGGTATTTTTTGAAGTTTTGCGTTTTGAATTCTTTATTCTATATTCTTTTAAAACTAAAATTAAAAGATTATAATGTCAATATTCTGTATTTTATATCCTCCTACTAAATATTCATGATATTTTTAATAATAAATTTTCGATAATTTTCTTTATAATTTTTTTAAATTGTAATGAATATGTTAAAATGAATGTATTTTACAAATCTTAGTTTGTTTCTGTTCTACATTATATTTACAAAGGTATTAAATGTTTTTTTTCTGATTAAAGTATTTTTGATATCAAAAAACTAATTTATCTATATTTTAAAAATAAAAATTATACTTATTTTTCCATTTAATTCTTAAAACAACTTAAAAAAAAGAATTTAGAAAAATAATGTTTCATAAAGAAATAGTAATTTTCAAAATAATTAAATATATATATTTAGTCAATATATTTATCTAGAGTTGAGTAAGTTAAGTGAGAAAAGATAAATCATTTTTTAGATCACAATTAATTATAAAGCATTAGTATCTTGATAGCCACAATCCACTAATTAATTTGACATTTATAATTTAACAGTTTATATTTATTTTCCAAAAATATTCAAAAGAATTTATTTTTATAATTGATTATCAATTATATAACAATTATCCATAACCCTAATAGTATTTCTATGGTTGTCCAAATTAATTTTATCATTTGTAGTTCTATTTTAATTCCATAGCCTTTTTCGTGGCTATCGGATGATGTTGTTAGTACAGACTTTGATGAATATATAGATGTCAAACGTGTAGATGTTAAATATGTAGATGTTAAATGTGTGGTTAATGAGCCTGTTAATATAGTTGAATTTGTTAATGTAGAGATATTTGATGTAATTGGTAAATTCGATGTAATTGAACTTGATGCAGATGATGAATTATATGTAATAGATGAATCTAACACAATCGATGATTCTGATGTAGTTGAAGTTAAACTTGATATAATTGATGAATTTGAAAAAGTTGATGAACTTGATGTAGTTGATGATTCTGTTGGTCTTAAGACAGATTGTGACGATGATGGCAATGGAACTGGTTTTGACGGTGGTAGCGATGTAGGTGGTGCTGATGGTGTTGATGGTGTTGATGGTTCTGATGGTGCAGGTGGTGCAGGTGGTGCAGGTGGTGCAGGTGGTGCTGGTGGTGTTGATGGTTCTGATGGTGCTGGTGGTGCTGGTGGTGCTGGTGGTGCTGGTGGTGCTGGTGGTGGTATTGGTTCTGATGGTGGTATTGGTTTTGGTGGTGTTGATGGTTCTGATGGTGCTGGTGGTGGTATTGGTTCTGATGGCGGTATTGGTTTTGGTGGCGGTATTGGTTCTGATGGTTCTGATGGTGGTAGTGGTGGTAGTGGCGATGGTGGAGGTGGTGGTAGCATTGACTCTAATAACTTGCATTTAATAGTAAAGTTACTACATATAGTAGCAAGTTTATTATTAATTTTACCACAAGAATAACCTATAGATGAACATATAGATGCTAAATTTTTACACTCTGTAGTAGAATTAGAATTTGCAAATAAGAACTTATAGATTTCTAATGCAAGCTGATCACAACCTTTTTCTAAATGTTTTCTTAAATGTTTGCATGTATCATCTGCATTAGTACATAATATATTTATTATTTGTTTTATAGTAGAATTCTCGCATTCTTTAAGTATTTTTTTTTTACATCTATCATGTGTAGATATTTCTTCATTAAGTATTTTGATTAGATCATTAAATTTTTTGTTTCTAGTAGAAATATTGTCACATATTTTTTCAACTTCAGAACACATATCGTCTAAAGAATTAGGACAATTCCTTTTAAGCATTTTGCAGTAATGAATGAAATAAGAACAACGACTATGTTCCATATGAGTCACTTGTTTATTAGAAAACCCATAATATAATAAATGACGAGATAATTGCTGACATTGCTTTGAAACATAATCTAACATATGTTTACATGATATTGTTTTATTAACGCATGCATAGCCTATATTATTTTGTATGCAGTAGTTATTGAGATAGCTAAGACAAGTAGTTTCATTAAGTAAATTTGAGTCATTTTCTTTAAGTATTTTTGATTTCAAAGTTATTAATTCATCTATGTTTTTACAAGATTGATCGAGGTCTTTGCATAAATTCAAAGTATACTCAAAATATGGCCCTAATCTACGACATTCTTCTCTCTGTTCTTTACATGTATCATAAGTAGGTTCTATGATTACATACTTTAAAGTTTCATCAAATCTTTTAAAATCCTTGTAAAGAATATTTGTCAAATTTTTACATGTTTCCTGTGGATGTAGACACTTATATAATACATGAAAGCTGTAGTACATAAATTGTCCACATTCTTTTAAAAGAACTTTTTTGCAATCATTCAGAACTCTATCAGTTAAAGACTCAGAGTAACTTTTTCCCAATCTTAATTTCCCACTTAGCCTTTTTATTAGAGCCTTATTGGCTGCTATTTCTAAACCTGCTTGATAACAAACAAGCCGTATATCTTTGCAAATATCATAAGTCTTCCAATAAATAAAATAATTATCAACGAAATAACATGCTGACAAATATTCTATACATTCTGTCTCAGAAAGAGGAAGATGTGGATACCACCAAAATTGAATACCCTTTTTGAGTTTATCCAAAAAGGGTTCACAGTAAACTTCGGCTTTATGGTTTAAGTTAATACAAGCATAGTGAATACCACTCTGAAATTTGATATTACATATTGATTTAGCAAATTCTAAATATTCTGCCGAAGGACATCTTTTATTTAAGGCTTTTACACAGTCATTACGTCCCGTAGTAATTTTTTGAACTAAAAGCTCAAGAACGAATATTTCTGGAAGATCCTGTATTTCAGAGACATAAATACCTAAATTATGCAATTTTTCATAGGCATATTGGACCCCATTTTCTACCATATAAGTAGATGGATTTTCAAAAAGATCAAAATTGTAATCTTTTGAATTAAAAAAAAAACCACTTTCTGCGCAACTCATTCGAAATGAATGGCAGCTATGGTAGAGAACTCTACAATCTGGAATAATGTAATAGCATATTTTTAGCCAATTTAGACAATTTTTTTCAGATATTGTTTTTTGTTCTGATAAAAACAGATTTTGAAAATTCTGACATTCTTTCTTAGAATTTGAAATAAATTCAAGACAAACATTAGCACCATTAGTACACAAATCGAGCAATTCTGGACTTCGTTGATTGAGTGATAGACATTCGCTTTTGAGTTTTCTTAAACATTTATTAAAATCGTTAGAAGTTCCTCTTAAAAGATCATAAAGAATTACTTGTGCTACTTCCATACGGACCTTTTTATAACAATGCTCTTTTAATTTTTTACATCCGCTATTAAGATACCATGGTTTATGGTGTTCTAGAAAATGACATCTCATTTGTAATTTGTTACATTTATCGTGCTCAGTTATTCTTTCATCCGAAAGCTCCTCAACAGTTTTTTTTATTTTAAGCATCATTTCATTGTACGCTAAACCACATACCATTTTAGGTTTTTCACAAATTTTTCGAAGCTTTTCATTGATATTCTTAAGTTCAGTACAGACTTTAACTAGATTGCTTTTACAATCATATAACTGGTCTGGAGTTAACATAGTAATAACATAATAATAATCATCTATGTAATTGTACCATAGATTCTCAAGATCTAGTTTTTCCAAACTATGATGTAAATTAGTATAATACATATAACTTCTTTGGGTATGAAAAAGCAATAGATCTTCATTATATAGTGGGGAATAATGATTAATAAGATCTAGAAAATTAAAATTAATAGAATAATAATTACTTAAAAAGTTTTCATTCTTTGAAAAAACATTTCGTATGATAATAAAGATTAGGAAAACATATATCTTTGTAAAAAATAGCATAAATGGGAAAGACAATAGAAAGACTTGCTTTTTAACTGCATTATTGATTTAAATTTACGGATAGAGGATTCCGATATTGAAAATATTCGTAATAAATAAATAATTAGTTAATAACAGATAATAATAGTAAATAGGTAAGATTATTTCTATAAATATTATAATTATTTACTTTGATAATTTCCGTAATATTATTATCTTGTTCTTGTAAATTTAAAATTTTGATTTTTAATTTCTCCTGGAACAGTATATAAAAATTTTAATTTTTTTGTTTATTCAAAATATAGTAATAAAATAATTTTATTTGAATATTTTTGTATAAATTATGTTTTATACTTTTTAAATTTAGTACTTTTAATTTTTTGAGGAATTATTAAATATAATAAGTTCATGTTGAAATTTATGATTTTTTTGAATATGAAAATCTTTGGTTATTCAATATTCTTAAATTAAGTTTACATAATTTTCATTAGTTTTTGTTAATTTTCATTTTTTTGGATAAAGAAATAATGGTTATTCAAAATTTTGTATTAAATTACTTGTTTAATATTTTCATAATAAAAAATATATTTTATATTTAGCTTAATATTTAAAAAAAAAGTTCATTTTCAATTTTTACATTTTATTCAAATTTTGTTTTACTTTATTTTTTTATGAATTATTATATATTATATATTTTATTTTTCAGAGATTTAAAATAAAAAATATTTTTTAAATTATTTTAAAAATACGTTTTAAAGATTTTTATTAAACATTTTTTTTCAAATGTATAAACATTGATAAAGTACATTTTAAAATATTTTCATTTATTATATAAATTTTAAAAAATTCAATATAAACAAATCTTGGAAATTATAATATTGAATATTATTTTATGTCAATTCATTAACGTATTTTACTTTTATATTTAAATACTTAGTGAAAAAATACAAAGTAAATGTAAAAATAAATTGATGATATTTGTATTGAAAAAAGTATAAATTGTAAGAAAAGATTAAGCAGGTAAAGAATATAATTTTAATATAATCTTGTAAAATAAAGAACATAAACTATCATAATTCAAAATGCATGATAAATTAATGCGAAAATTATTATTTTTTTTACTTTCTATTTATTTTTCTAAATTATTACTGAAATAATAATTCTATAATTACTTCTTTTATAACACATCATCAGTTCATTTTAATTTTTCAGTTAATTTCAATTTTACTATTTTCTTTTCTTCATTCATTGTACACTTTTTATGTTTAATCCCATGAACACTAATGTTATTATTAAAGTTATTCCGAAAACCTATATAAACATATTTATATACATTAACATCTATCAATTGATATACTTATCATACAAATTAATAAATATTTCCCTTCTTTTATCATAGTTATTTCTTCGTTATCTACTGTTTTTGTAAAAATCATTATCTGCAGTGATTTTTTAAATAGTTATTTTTATTATATATGAACTTAATTCAAACGACTTTAATCAATTGTATGTATTTTTAATCCTATTATATACATCTTAAAATTATAAACTGTCATTTTTAAATTTATACATCAAGTTTAAAACACTTTTGCTTTTATTCCATATGTCTTTAATACTTTTATTAACATTTAGAAAGCCTCAATTCTTATTTTTATAACAATTATTCTTAATTATTTTTGCTATATATCTATAAATTGAATTTTTTTATTTGTTTTTGTACTTGCGTTATTCGGATTATTATTTAGATCTTTCTCGGAGTTTCCTTTATATTATCTATGTGATTTTTAATAGTTAATTCATGTTTCTTTAGAGTTAGAAAGTAAGTTCTATTTTTTTCAATGACCCTTTTGGTGCTTTATTCAAGTCCTCAATTTGCTTTTTATTTCTGTTTCTATATTATTAAATTTTATGAATAATTCTATGTAACTTTTTTCATTTTACTCGTAAGTTTTATGTACAGTTTATTTCTAGATATATTATTTCTAATACCATTAGTGTTATTATAAAAATTCCTGAACATATTATTTTTTGTTTTATCCGAGTATATATCTATCAAGAATTGAATTATTTTTATGATTTTTTTAACTTCATAGATAACTTTTATTTTTTGGTTTTCCGTCTTTATGAATTATAATTTTCTTTTAGCTAATATTTTTTATTTTTTATATTTTTTTATAGTTACTAGTTTTGTATAAAACTCTTAAATTTATTAATATCAATATAATTTTTAATCTGACAAAAACAAAAAATTGACTTATTTTATATGCTTTTTTTTCTTAATTTCTTTGAACCTTTTATATTTTTTACTCAATATTGAATTGAAAAATAGCATTTAAATATTGTCATTGATATTTTAATATTTCTAAATATTTTATTCATTATATATTCTTATGTAATGGGAATCTTTCTTGATTCTTATTGCACTTTCTTTCAAACCGATGCTAAAATACAATGTCTTTCAACATTTGTTTTATGTTTTTAGTCTTTTTTTTTTAATTTTCAGCACTATTTTCAATATAAAGTTTTGAAAAAGTTCTACATCTATTTTGAATTAAAAAGTAAAAAATTATGTTTAAGATATTTTTATAATAAATTTTTATTCTAAAATATACATTTATTTTATTTTAAATTTATTATATTAAATCTAGTTTATTATTTTAATTATTTTTTGAAACATAAAATAGAACTTATAAATCTGCTATAATACTCCTAAATTTTTTTCAATAATACTATGATAATTTAAAAAAATCAGTAAAGTTCTTTTAGATATACTTAATTGATTTAATAAATTTAAGACAATCTAATTCAAAAGAATATGTTACTTTTTAATAGATAAAAAAATTTTATAAAACTTGATTTTTTACACAAAATTTATGTTTTTAGTATAATGAATATCAGAACAAAATAATTTTATACATCTTACTTTCCATTATTTTTAATATATTCAGAAACAATCTTGTGTTATTGTTAATGAAATCAAAATATTCTCTTTTAATTATCAATATATGTAATAACATAATATTTTAAAATCTATATTATTATTAGCAGAAATATATTATTATGTAATAAGCATAAATGTTAGAATTTTTTAGCATTAACTTTTAATAATAATTATATTTTTAAAAGTATATCTTATTTAGAAAATAAGTATGTATTTTAATATTATTAGGTCAAATACATTAAAATACATGATAATTATATGCAAAAAATGTTATTTATGTTGATTTAGAATAATTCTTTTGAAAAGCAAATCTCAAATATAAATAATTATAATTGAATTTTATTTCTGTTAATGAATTCATTATAATTATGTATAGCATGCTGATTTTTCTAAATTCTCTTTTTACTTAAACTAAAACAACTCTATTAATTACATTAATAACTTTAATTTTTTAAAAATTGATATTTTACAGAATAAATTTCAGGGTTTTATAAATAATGTATAAAAAATATGCAAAACATATATTTTTTGATAAATAATGATACAATTTTCATATTTTATAATCATTATTTATTAAATTATTTAATTAATTCTTATTAAAAATATAAACATCAAAAAATTTTTAGTTAAAAATACTATTATTTATTTTGATAAATTCTACTTTTTATTTATGATAAACTTAAAAAACTTATATTAACCTAATTAATCCATCCATAAGAGTTTTCAGTCAAATATTTAACATATTCATTAATCATCTTAAATACAATAAATAAAATTCAAGACATTTATTTCTACAAACTAAAATGATACATTCTTAAATTTATTTTTTTATATAGTTATACTCTAGAACTTCAATTATTAAATTCATGAAAAAATTATATATAGAAACATTGTAGGATTTGTTAAATAATAATTTCATATTTTTCTTAATATTCTCTAAGTTATACGCTAAGTAAATTTATAACCTTTTTGAATAACTTTAAAGATTTTTATATAAATAATTTTTAAATTAAAAGAATCATCTTAAATTATAATAATAATTTAAGTATTTTTTTATATTTTAACTGATAATTCATTTCGGAAATTAAAATATTGAATTATTTTAAGATTAATATATAGTATTATTCTAAAATTCCTCTTTAAATTCAAAAATACAACCAAGTTCAAAATCTATAATAAACACCAAACAAAAATAATTTAAAGATAATAAATAAAAGTCAGTATTATGATTTAGCTTGTAACTTCTAATTAATTAATGTTTTTTTTATAAATTCAAAGTTTTAAAATTATTTTTAAAAAAAACTTTCTAAAAATCATAATTTTTATTCAATTTTTTAGAACTCATGTATTCATTATTAATTAATATTTGATTTTCTACTAATTATTTTTTTACTTTAAACGTAAAATTTAAAAAATAAAAATCTATTTTAAACTCTTAGTTTAGTTTTAATAGAAGTAACTTTATTAACCATTAATCATTCTTATTATGTTTGAACTATAATATTTTTTTATCTTTATATTCTATATTATTTTTAAAAATTATGAATTTTATCCGTTTTTTAAATAATTACTAAATTTTTCTAATATTTAAAAAGTTTTATATATTTAAAATTATTTAAAAATTTCATATTTCAAAGTTATAAAATGTTCTAATTTTTTTAGGATTTCTAATTTTACGATAAGCTTAAAATTATTTTTTAAAGATTTAAATAATTTACTAATTAATTAAAAAATAAATATATAATAAAATCTATTTTTTTAAAATCTATTTTTTTGTATCATTGTTTGATGTCTTTTCAGGCCTTAGACGAAGAATTTACTGCAGTAAAGTAAGTATTCTTTTTTATCTAATTTTTTTCTCAAAATTAACAGTTCAATTTATCCGTCTTGTTTTGTTCTTTTAGATAATAATGCTAAAATTTATGTTCTTAGAACTCATCAGAAACCATATACTATTGTTCTTAAGTTTTCAGAAGCATATCCTCTTGAAAAACCATATATTATGCGATCTAAGAATATCGAAAAATCTATTATAGAAAAAATTTTAGCAGAAATTCCATCTGGAAATGTAAGATAACATTATATAATAAAAAAATGAAATAATATTTGTAATACCAGACTTGTATTTTTGAGTTAATAAGTTTCCTAGAAGATTTGGAACTTACACAAAAAAATTTTAATAACATAAAAGAGTATAAAATTAGTGTAAATACTTCTAGTACTTTGGGAACTTCTTTTAAAGAAAATGAAAAAAAAACAATTTTTCAGGATAATATACCATGGGTCATTTCAGAAATATTAACATTAAAAAAATCTAAATTTATTGGACGGATGCTTAAAATTAAATCTTTAGATATGGTTCATAGGGCTCTTGAAAGTTTACAACATGAAAAATCATTAGCAAACGCAACACATAATATCTGGGCATATAGATTAATAAAAGAGAATGGAGAAATTATTTGTGGTTAGTTATTTTATAGATTAATTCTATTTATAATTTTTGAAGATAATGATGATAATGGAGAAAAAGGTGCAGGTTCAAATTTATCTTATTTATTATCTTCTATGGTAATAAATATGCATATTGTTTATTTACTAATATTATAGGATGTAAAGAATGTCCTTTTAGTTGTAAGTAGATGGTATGGAGGAATTAATCTTGGTCCAGATAGATTTAAACTTATTAATTCTTGTGCAAAAGCTGCTCTATTTCTTGGGAATGCTATTGAAGACTTTAAAATAAAAAAAAATAAAAAAAAAGTCTAACATTAGTTTAAAATATATTATGGTATAAAAAATTAAAAAATAATAAAGCAATTTAATTTAATAAAAAATTATATAATTTGAGTAAATAATATAAATATTATTTAAAATATTATATATTTTTCTAAATGTTTTATTTTAAAATATATAGTTTTAATTAATTTTTTTATAATTTTTTAACTCTAAGTATAATTTTTTGAATAAATTATTTAAAAAAACATGAAAGATAATATTATATTATTATATTAACGAAATAAATATTTTTTTAATAATCAAAACATTATTCAATATGATTATATATATATTATATTATATTCCTAATATACATTTTTTTAAAAAAACACAACAAAATTTAGTTGTATATCTTTTGTTTTATTATTTAAAATATGAAATTTAAAAAAATATTAGAAAATAATATTTATATTTAAATACTAAATTCTTACTAAATTAATTTTATTTAAAGAATACTTTTTCTGATCAATTAAAATTAATTTTAAACAATAATTATTTAAAAATATTTAATCAATATAAAAAATTATATAATAAAACAAATATTTAATAATAAATGTTATATAAAAATTATATACAATTATTTTATATGTTTGTTAAAATATTATATTTATTTAAATTAAACATATTAATTTTTTAATATTTTAAACAATTATAAAATAAAATAATTTTTTATATTATAAATATATTCTATATTATTTTAAATACTATGAAAATTTATTAAAATTATACACGATTAATTTTTAAAGATTTAATTTTCGAATTTAATAAAAATGACTTCAACAAAACAAAACCTAGATTCTAAAGAAGCATCTCTTTTTCGTCAAATTCTTGTAAGTTTCTTTTTCTGTAAATTTTTAGATCGATAATAATGTATATTTTAGAAACTTTATGAACTAAAACAGTATAAAAAGGCCCTGAAAAATGCTAATCAGATTCTAAAAAAGTATCCAGATCATGGAGGTCTTATGCATTTTTTAATGTTAATTTTATATTGACATTTTTGTTTAGAAACATTAGCTATGAAAGGGTTAATTTTAAGTTTATTAAATAAAAAATCAGAAGGATATGAACTTGTTCGTAAAGGACTTAGAAACAATCTTACATCCCATGTTTGCTGGCATGTTTTTGGTCTTTTACATCGTCTAGATAAAAATTACAATGAAGCTATAAAATGCTATCTTAATGCTTTAAAACATGATAAAGAAAATTTACAAATATTACGAGACTTAGCTTTGCTTCAAACTCATAAACGTCTTTTTACACAACTAGTGGTATGAATATTCTATCAGTTGTTCAATGATTAAATCTATAAATAGAATACAAGAAATACATTACTTCAATTAAATCCTAAGCTCCGACAAAATTGGACATCCTATGCATTAGCAAATGATTTAAAAGGTGATATTTTAGCAGCAGAAAAAATATTAACAACATATGAAGATACTTCGAAAGTTTGCATATTCATATGTTTTTGAATATCTATAATATATATAGGACATTTTCTTAAAAAATTACGAAAATTCAGAAATCATTTTATATAAATGTAGTATAATTGTAAAATCTGGAAATTATAACCAAGCATTGGATTATATTAATTCTATGGAATCACTAATAGTTGATAAAGTATCTATTATGGAAATTAAAGCTAAATGCTTTTTAAAATTACAACGAGAAGAAGCAATTACAGAATATATTAAACTGTTAGACCGCAATTCTGAAAATTATCAATATTATATTAATTTAGCTAAAGCAAAAGGATTAAGAAATAAAAATGAAATTATAGACATTAATGGATTGAAACAAATGCATTATGATCTTCAAAAAAAGTATCCTAAGTCATATATGGCTAGGCGTGTGCCTCTCAATTTTTTAACCAGTAATATTTGATAATGGCTTTTACATTTTTTAATGCATTATAGATAACGAATTTAAAAATGCAGTAAATAAATATTTAAAAAAACTTTTTAAAAAAGGTGTTCCTTCAGCATTTATATCTATTAAAGGCTTGTATTTAGATCAAAAAAAAAGAAATATAATTCAAGATTTAGTAGAACAATACTTAAATGATTTATATTCAAAAAAAGATATTCCATGTAAAATTTTTTTAGATTTATAAAGAATTTTTATCATTGATAAAGCTTTAGATGAAGGTAAAAATAAGGATCCAACAGTGTTACTATGGGTATTATATTTTCTTGCTCAACATTATGATTATTTGCGTAAAACAGAAAAAGCGTTAATGTATATTAACAAAGCTATTGAACATACACCCACACTTACAGAATTATATATGAGTAAAGCTCGTATTTATAAACATGCAGGAAATAATCAACTAGCTATGTCTTTTCTTAATGATGCGCGAAAATTGGATTTACAAGATAGATATATAAATACAAAATGTGCGAAATATATGTTACGTAATGATTGTAACAAAGAAGCAGTAAATATTCTTAGTCTTTTTACAAAAGTATCATTAATATTAATTTAATTAAAGTATATTTTAATATTTTAATAGACAGACATAGTTGGGGGACCAATAGAAGATCTAATTGATATGCAATGTATTTGGTTTATTTTAGAAGATGGAAAATCATTTTTACGTCAGAAAAAATACAATATTGCATTAAAGCGCTTTGAAACAATTTTAAAAGTACTTTCTAATATTATTGAAATATATTTTTATTGTTATAGATTTTTAATATTTGGAGTGACGATCAATTTGACTTTCATTCTTATTCTCCAAAAAAAGGCACTATTAGAGCTTACATCGAATGTTTAAAGTGGGAAGATCAGTTATTTTCTCACCCATATTATCAAGAAACTGCACAATTAGCAATTAAAATATATATTTTACTTCATGATCAACCAGATTTGAAGAACAATTTCGATGATATTAATTCAATTGTTTTTAAAAATGGAGAATTAAAATCAATAAAAAATATTAAATCTGAAAATTGTAATTTAAATACTAAAAAAGATAAAAAAAAGAATGAAAACGAGGAAGAATCAAATATTGATGATGATCCAAATGGAAACAAATTACTTCAGGTAAATGCATATTGAAAAGAATTATTAATTAATAGACCGAAAATCCTCTTCAAGAAGCTATAAGGTTTCTTTCTCCATTACAATCGCTTAATTTAAGTAATATACATATATATATTATGGAGTTTGAGATTTATTTTCGTCAAGGTATAACAATAAATTGTTAATTGAATAAAATCTAATATACATAGGAAAATATTTACAAGCTTTAGAATGTATTTTAAATGCACAAAAAATAGATTTGTATCATCCAGAGTTGCATTTACAAATTATATATTTTAAGAAAAATAGTAAGATTATTTATTTTTAAAATATTTTAATATATATCAGTTAAAAATAATCCGAAATACCAAGAGATTAAAGAAATAGTTGAAGAAAAAAATGAAATATTTAAATCTGATATTACAGAATATAACTTAAATGAAAAATTTTATAAACATACAAAAGAACTTAGTCCATATCATGTATTATCATATATTAAAGGCCTTATACTTATTGGTGAGCTTTCTCATTTAAAGGCAGCTATAATACAACTTTTGTCTTTTAATAATATTGCTGTATTTAAAGAAACACTTGATGTTATTACCGAAGATGAACTTAAAAACATGTTTAAGAAGCAAGTTTTGATAAAATTCCCATTAGCTACGGGGTTTAATTAAATATATAATGAATAATATGTGAATTATTTAAATAAAAATTAACATTGTAAAATATATTTATTTTTTCTACTAACCATGGCCGTAATTTAATATATAAAATAAATTAATTTATTCAAATAAAGTTAATATATTTTAAAAATAGCAAGTTTTTTATTAATTTATTAAAATAACTATAATATTTTGAAAATAATACCTTTTTATTCATTTTATTTTTATCGAAATTATATATAATCAATATAGTTTTAAATTATTTTTAATTAAATAAAATTTCAGAACTATTAAATATTAACATTGAGTGACATTTTGAATATTTATATATTACAAATTATATTTATATTTTTATAAATATGAAACAAAATTGAAGTTTAAAAACAATTATATTAGATAATACAAAATTACATTAAATCAGTCTTACTATAATTCTAGCTATCTTTTCTGAAAATATTAACAATTAAATAAACACAATACCTATTAATTTATCAAAAATATAATTTATTAAAATCCTATTTAGAAGCCAATTAATAGATTATTCTCTCTATAGTTTACTTTTAAATGTTTAGAGAAAATGCATTTTCATTCTTTAATTATGTTAAAAAAAATTAAACATAGAAACTAACTTCTTCACCATTATCACCAATTTTATTTGAAATATAATCACTCGTATGAAAATTTTGTATATCTTCTTCAATATCATTTAAATCCTGTATAGATACTAAACTATTTCGATATTTCGGACTTGCAGGAGCCGATAAAGGTCGAGGAACTTTAATTACACTCTTTAATGTCAAGTTTGTACTTTTTTCTATTAAATCATCATTAAAACTATTAGGATAAGCACGCCTTAATGCGAGTTGTCGTGCTTTAATATATTCAAGACCCATAATTTTCCAATCCAAGAAATCACTTAATCTTTCACAACGGTTACGCTGATTAATACGTTGTCTCCGTGTTTTAGTTGTAAAATTATACATAATATTTGTAAGTTGATTTATACTTTCATCAACTGATTTCATTCTTCTATCAACAATATAAATACCATAATCAGATGGATTTTCAATTATATCTTCCATATAACATCCAAAACCTGAAATATTCGTTGTTACACTAGGAACACCCATAACTATAGCTTCGGCTGGTGTATAACCCCATGGTTCATAATATGAAGGAAAAATACCAAGATGGCACCCACGTACAAAATCGTCATAATCGAGAGATAATATTGGATTATTTGAGTTTAAAAATTCAGGATGAAAAATTATTTTAACTCTATCTTCCTTAGAATTAAACAATTGAACTCTTCTAATTTGTGTTAAAATTGGATCATTATTATCTGCCATATTATGTGTAACAATTGGTGGCAATGTTGACCTTTTTAATGCAAACATTCGCCGTTTAAGTAAAATTTTATCTTGGTCTGTTAAAAGATTTGTTGTATCAATAAAGTCTTCATCAGAATCTCTAAATTATTTAATCAATAAAATAAAATCAAAATTATATACTTTGAATGCTGGCAACATTTTTCAAAAATCCGTTGGCCTATTTCTTTTTGAATATGTTCAACAGTATTTTGTAAAGATTTCATGACTGCTTGTCCCTTTAAAGCCTCAACGGTATATGAATGTGTAGCAGCAGGCATAATAATAAATGCAATTACAGTCATTTTACTACCAGATCCTTTCATACGTCCATTTAACCCTGTAAAAATTATGATATACAGTTTATATTTTAAAACACTTACGAGCAAGACTTTCGATATATAAATCAACGCCTTTATTTCTATATTCATATCTTCCAGATGTAAAAAAATACAGTGTATTATCAAGATCGAAGTCATTATGGCCATAAAAATGCCCGCGCACAAATTCACTTATTTTTTGTTTAGATATAGCATGTAGATTTTGAAGTTCATGAATTGCTGCAAATTTTATAATATTAAGACCATTAGGCAAAACACCATCTCATAATATATTAATAAAAAAAAATATAAAATATTGTTACCTGGTTTTCTTTTCAACAAATGCTCACTTTCGTAAGCAGTAATATGTGATACTGTCGTAAAGACATCTGCGCTGTGAGCTGCAGCACGCTCTATACAATACCTATGGTAAATTCCTCTCCTTCCTGCCTCATAATCTACATCAAAGTGTTGTAAATTATTATAAAAATCTGCATTATCTGCACAAAGATAGCGTCCGAGTAAAGTTGCATGTGTAGTAAAAATAGTTGTTAAGTCTAGTTTACGTTTTCTACAAAGTGGCAATGCTACACCAGCAAGCCATTCATGAAAATGAACTACAACAGCTCTTTCATGCTCATGAGAAATAAACTTAAAAATTTAAACAATAAATTAAATAACAGTTTATAAACTACTTCTCCTAAAAACCAGGCTACTATGTAACCGAAAACAATTGCTTCATTAGTTTCCAAATCATCTGGAGGAGAAGGAATGCCAGTAGTATTCCATAAATCGCCTTTCCATTCATTTAACCAGTGATAAGCATTATCTAAATCAAATAAAAGAACTCGAGGTGCACCATCAATTAACCATCTTCCATAAATATAACTACATTGAAAGTCAATATTAAAATAACAATACAATATCAAATACTTTATGCCTCTTTTTTTCATATATTGTAATGTTTCATGAAGTGTAGGCTGATCCTCAGTAGTAAGCTGTTCAACTTCAAAATTAATTGCTGATTCTGTAATCTTCCCAATAGCAATATAACGATCATAAGAATACTCCATAGATGTAACAGGTGCTTTTGATTTAAGGACTGAATAAATTCCACCAACTACAAACAAGTTAATTTAAAGTTGGAAAAATTTAAAGAATTAATTAATATATGAAAGAATATATAAATAAAATCATACCTCTGTTTGAAACTTCCATTGATACCTCAAAAAGAATATGTTTTTTTACATCTCTAGTTTTTCCTGAACTCATTTTGAATCCCGTTCTAATATTCACTAAAATAGTAGTTACAAATCAATAATACAGCTAAAGTAATATAACTAAAATTATGCCATTATTATGAGAGGAAAGATTAAAAGCTTATATTACTAATATAAGTTATGTTTTTAGTTACCTTTAGGCTGTTAATATAATTTAAATTTTCCCTAATCGCTAAATAACTATGAATCAGTAAAATGTGTATTAAAAATGAATCATGAATCATTATAAACATAATAAATTGAAATTAAATATGTTAAAACTACAAAAATAAAAAATAAGGCAAATTTCAGCAAACTTAAAAGCCAAACTAAAAATACAATATATATATATATATATAATTGTTATTGAACATGATTCCTGGATTAAATGTAATTATAGCTATATTATATTATAAAACAATGACAACGACCAGCGATCCGTATCTAGTTCATCAAAATATCCTTTTTAACTTCAAAATCAATAGAATTATTATCACTGTAATTAGATTTTAAAGTATCATTAATATTCAAAGAAATATCAGGCGACAACTCTGTCTTATTAATAACACTAAGATCTCCACCAAGTCGAACAACTTCATTTTCAAGCCATTGAGAGCGAGTATTTAATTCATTAATATAATTTTGTAAACTTCGAATATAATCAACAGATTTTCGTAATATTTCACCTTTATTTAACTTACAATCTGAATGGTTTAAATTTTTTACATCCGAATTTGACCCTATTTTATCTTTAAATAAGCTTTCAGAAACAAGAGTAGCAAGTTCTTGTATCTTTTCATTAATATTATCTCTGCGACGACGTTCAACTGCATTGTGACTTTCCCGACGCTTCCTATGTTTCTCCAAAAGTTGTTTATTATCAAAGATACTGAGAGATGTAAAAGGTTCCTCGGAAAACGACATATGTGGATCTTTTTTTTTATAAACAGAATATCCAAGAAAACTAGAATCATAAAATGAACCGAAAGAATCAACAGAATAATTCCTAGAAAGGCAATAATCATTTACTGTAGTTGGCATACTCATGCTGTGAAAAGCTTTAGAATCTTCACTCATAATAGGCGGTGCGTCTATAGAATGAAAATTGTCCGTATATAAAAAATTAGGACTCTGGTAAGAAGAAAATTGTCGATTGTATAGCATCTTAGGATGATAATGAGAACCTCTATACGAATTCGAATGTGAATTTAACATTGCATTATTACAATCAACATTCACCGGTGAATTGACATTTAATTCTGTTAGTTCATCGATAGAAATAATATTATTCCCTTCAGAAAATGGATGATATCGATGATTATGTGCATAATTTTGATAAACTAATGGTATATGTTGAACATGATGTCCATTCTGTTTTTCATTTCCCGTATATATACTTTTATTCATATTCATCGCTTTTGTTTTTATTAAAATTAATAAAAGGCCTTCATAAACAATACAGATATCCTTTTTTTTGTCTTAAGCTTGTCTAATAATCTTATTTTAATAACTTATTTTAAGTTTATACATTTTTTATTTTTAAATGGGTTCGTAATGACTTTCAGAAAGTAAAAAGAACCGACAAAAGTTCACATGACGTATTATCGTCAGAATAAAAAATAATTTACTGTTCATTTTCAAAATTAACAATTGAACATAGTATTGATTTAGGATTTTACATCACTATTTATAGACATAAAATAAAGTTTAATTTATTTTTCAAAGCTTACAATTTTTTTTGGTATTTATGTTGCCTTAAATTTTATAAACAAAACTTTTTAATATGTATCAATTGTCATTTTAAATTTATTCAATATGAAGGAAATACTTATTATTTTTAAAAATAAAAACTAAAAATAGAGAATAATATGAATCAATAGTGATTTTATTGTATGAAATTGACCAATATTGTTCTTTAAGTAATTTTTTATCTTTAAAACCAATTAAATAACTAATTTACTAAATTTACTAATTATAACATTTTAAATTTTTTTTACTAGCTTTATATAAAAACAACAATGGTCCTTTATAATATTTAATTCATAATATTTAATTCATAATATTTAAAATATACAAAAGTATAAAAATGTATAATTTTTATTTAAATAAAAACCATAGAGCAGATATATAAAACTTAAAACAATCCATAATTTTTAATAAAACATTCAAATATATATCATTAAAAAATTATAATATAGACGTATCTTGCAAAAATTCAACTTTAATGTACACAAAGATATATACTATAACCTTCTAGCTTTTCTGCCTCTTACTCCTCCAAATTTTAATCTCGTTGCGTCTGTAATACGAGATATGAATGGTCTAAAAGATGCACCTTCTATACCACTAATACATTTAAATATTGCTTCTCTACCTTTACCAAAGCCTCGAAGAATAATTTCAAGTTGTGTTGGACGAATATCCTTTTGTGTCATTCTTTCAAACATAGACACGCATGCCTGGTATCCTGCTTCGTATCCTCCTCTCTGTGACTTTTTAAATCCAAGCATACCAGTTGTAATGCAAATAACAGGATTATAATGTGAATTAGTCAATGTAATGATTGTATTATTATTTGAACAAAAAGCATGAAAATGATATATCGCATCCTTGATGCCTAAAGAATCTTGGTGCATTGTTTTATTAATAAATTCATCAAAAACATATGATTGTATATTTTCCAAACCCGGTTTTGAAATATTAGCTTCTTCATCTTTATTACCAAAATCTCCTTTTGTTTCTTTTTTTTCAGATAACTCTATCCTTTTTTTATCTAAAACCTTATCTAAAGAAGTAGAATCCTGCGTTTTTACTTCTTTTTTAGATGTTGACCAACTAGAAAAACATGATAATTTTAAAGAATAATTAGGATTAAAACAGACATGTTTTCTTCTTAACAAAAACAAACAAATTTGCTTAAAAATCATTTAAATACCTTAACATTTTTGTCTTAAAATCTACGTTTTTAAACCTAACTTTTGATCTTAACGAAACTAAAGATTTTTATTTTTTTAAAAAAACCAAAAAAAACAATTTAAAGATGGTAAAATAAGCATATTTTAGATAAAGTTTTTGTTTAATATATCATAGTCAAAAAACCTTTCATCTAACCAGCAATGTATAGCATTTTTAGTTGCAGAATGGCTTGAAAACTGCTTAAAAGAAGGAATTATTCCAGAGGAAGAAAAAGAAGGAATTGAAGTAGCAGGTAAATATTTGGCTTAAAGCAATATATTTCTGAAGCTTTTAAGTACAATGTATCACTGGAACCTTTTCAGTAGATCCTTGTTGTAGTAATCAACGAAAAAGCCTTGGAATAGACTCCCAAACACTTACAAGCATTTTTGAAGAAGCACAGCAGCAGACTGTATGTAATTATCTGAAAAATATAGTTTTGTGTTTTACTATTTGTTCTTAGAGAAGTTCAGTAAAAATTAGTGCGGAATTTGCAACCAATATTACTACAACATGTAATATAAACACAAATGATAAAGCAAAAGCAGAGGATTTAAAAACACAGGGAAACAATGCAATGTCTAAAAAGGATTACTCTCATGCTATTCATTGCTATACAGAGGCACTCAAGCTTTTTCCACACGATGTAATTTATCTGTCTAATCGTGCAGCAGCATATTCTCAATCAGGAGATAATCATTCTGCTGTGAAAGATGCAAAATTAGCACTAGAAATAGATCCTAGCTATGGGAAAGCATATAGTCGCCTTGGTCATGCTTATTATGCACTAGGAAATTATAAAGAAGCGTTAGAAGTATATGAAAAAGGTTTAAAAGTTGATCCAGCTTCAGAAATAATGAAACGAGGACTTGAACTCGTAAAAAAAAATGTTAATGAGCAAAATAATATTACACAAGAAAAGAATTCAGAATTTGAAAATGTTTCTAAAGCTTCGAATACGGATTCATCAAATGAAATACCTAGGGGTACCTGTGAAATGCCCGACTTTGCATCTATGATGAACAATTCGAGTATTTTTACTTTAAAACTGTCATATTTATAATTTAATTTATCTTAGCTTTTATGTCTGTAGCACAAAACTTGATGTCATCTGGTGCTTTAAATGATCTACTAACTAATCCACGTATTGCACAAATGTAAATATAGTATTATATAAAAAATAATTCTTGATTGTATTAGGGCACAAAATATTATGAGTAGTGGACAAGCTCCTAATATACAAGATATAATGGCTGATCCAGAAATGAGAAATATGTATGTAATTTCTTTTATCAAATATTCATAAAACTCATTTTAGAAGAGCTAGAGGATTTATGGGAAATTTTGGTCAAGGGAATACAGGAAATACAGGAGGAAATGTAGAAAAGCCTTTTAATTCAAATTAAATTATTAAGGATAATTGTTTTTAAAATAAAGGATTTTTTATCAAAAAATATTATTTTTAGTTTTATATTATTAGACTAGATCACAGGAAAGTAATAAGCGGTATCATATACGTTATTATTACAGACACTTATTTTCAGTTGTTTAAATAAAAAATTATATATTTAAAGATAATTTTGTTTTATATTAGTAACCAAATGTTCTCTTAATGGTGCAATTAAACCATGCTTATCTTCTACTTCTACAAAATGAACTCTTCCCTTAAATGAATATTCTACACGTAAGGTTTTTTTTTGACCAAAAGCAGGATCCCAGATTCCAATAATTTGAGACTATTAATATTTAACAATAAATTTTACAAGAAATGTTTTTACCTTAGAAAAACCATGATGAATAGTAAGTTGACTATCATTGACTAAAGCTGCTATAGCAATTGTTACATCAATTACATCACCTGTTGTAAAATCGCCATAAAGCGCCTTAATTATAAATAACCCTTCTTTTTGTTTTTCGTAATATTGTTTTTTATGAACCATATCGCACATAAGATGCAAAAACTCTTCAGCTTTTTTCTTTTTCATATTCAAACATTCCTGATATTCTTTCTTAATTGCAAATATTTTTCTATAAATAATTAATTTTTCAAAATAATATACATATATTACTCTTTTCTTTTTTTTATTCGATTAGGTTTCAAGTAAATTGTTTCTAATATTACTAAAGTACTTATAGGAATTATTACTCCCCATAAAGAAGCCTTAAGACTATATTTAGTAGATAATACAATTGGAATAACTATTTTTTGTCCAAGTCTAGAAAATCTTTTTTTTTTTTTAAAAAAAAATAACTTTATATTTGATACTTACAATATTTTTAAAATTATCATTCCTTGCGGTAATGTAAGAGATACATCGAGCTCTGCATTAGAATCTTCCCCTAATTTACGATATGTTCCTGCACTAAGCACAATCCCATTTGTTGAAATTGATGTTGTTAATTTTAATCTTTCTGAACTTCTACCTTTTTTTATATTACTTGACCACTCATATGAAATTCCACTATTTGCAACCCCAGCAGTTATTTCTACATTCCAAAATCCTTCACTAGATCCCGATTTTGAAGTATTTTGCCAACCTAAAGTGAAACTAGACTTTTGAGTAGAAAATGGCATATTTAAACCCCATTGCCCCAGATTCCAACAACCTGTTCGAAAAGTTACAAATCCAGTCCCCTGTGGGGTTAATCTTTTTCCAGAACTTATGATAAGTTGAGGTGGTGCATAAAAAGTTGGAAATTGTGTTTGTATTGTCATAAATCTAAAAAAATAAGAAAAAATCATACAATATAAAATAAGTTACGAGTCTCTATTGAAAGTATAAACAAGTTTAGAAAATAATAATTTAGGATCAAGAATATAAATACCTGTCTTAATAAAATTAATTAAGTTACAGGAAGAACAATGATTACCTCAAACCATAACTTTGCGCTGTAAACATGACGCAAAACTCCTATAATATTTGCTTCTGATATTTTATTTTTAGACATCATTTGCCCAATGAGAGTGAATGTAGTATTATCATTAATATATAAATCCTTATTACCAAAAGAAAGTGGAACAGAAAATGAATGTTTCATAAAAATAGAAGAAACACCAGTATACTTAATTCTTTCAAAAAAACTCAATTTCCTTGAATGAGAAAGTACTCCAATATGAGATAATGTTGGTATTTGAATTGCTTGAAATAATGGTGATGCATCAAATACCAGATTTATATGTCCCTTTAAGATTCGACATAATTATATGCAAGTACAGTATACTTACTCTAGATTTTACCATATTTTCAAGATTTTGTTGATTTTTCCTATGCATTTGTCTTTCGAGCTCTGCAAGAACCTAAGATATCAATAATAAGGAAAGAAAATAACCATTAGTACCTCTTCAGAGGTCTTAAACTTCTTTCCAATGTCCCAAGTAAATTTCAACCCTTCTTCACCATACATATCATAAATCCATCGTTTTCTTGGGTCCATCAATACTTTCACCATTAACAGCAATAATTCAGATAGATAACGCACCAACCCTCATAAGCATACTGAATTAGCCTAAATTTCTCCTCAGAAATTGCTTTTGAGTCAGAATGCTGGTGTTTATCGGGATGAAACGCACGGGAAAGCCGATGATATGATTCTCGTATTTGTGACTCTGTTGCCTAAAAATAGTAAAAAAAAGTAACTTATATCCAATAGAAAACATACATTTCTACTAATATTTAAAATTGCATAAAAATTCTCTTCATTTAGCTCCTCTACCATCTTTTTATGTTTGTCAAGGGTTTCTTCGAGATCATCCTGTCCAAGCCGAGTTCTTTCTGGTTCATTATATATATTCTCCTTAATTCCTTCATGAAAAAAGACGTTTTCCATTGTATTTTTTCATTCATAAGCCTTTTTTTACTCTTTTTTTCTGATCCAATTTTTTTTGCAGTTAATAAAATCTTTGATAACGACTCCCAACGTCTAAAAATATGTTAATTACAAATGTTGGTGCTAGGAATCACTGGATCAATTGGAACAGGTAGAAAACATGTTATTTGAGTATATTATAGTGGTTAATTGTTTGTTTTATAGGAAAATCTACAGTTTCTATGATTTTGAGGTCAAAATCACCATGGACGTTGATAGACGCAGATGTGTTGGCTAAAGAACTGATGTTACCAGGAAACAAATGTTATAAGAAAGTTATTAAAATTTTTGGAGAATCAATTGTTAAAGAAGATGGACAAATTGATACCAATATCCTGGGACAAGCAGTTTTTTCTAATCCTTGTGAAAGAAAAATATTGAATAAGATTGTACACCCAGAAGTTTTAAAAACAGTGCTTTTTCAAATTTTTAAAGCATGGATAAGAGGGGATGAAGTAGTGATAGTTGATGTGCCTTTATTATTTGAGAGTGGATTTGACTATCTTTGTGGAAAAATCATTTGTGTTGCGTGTAAAGAAAATACACAAACAGAAAGGTTAAAGACTCGCAACGGATATACAAAAGAAGAGTCAGAAAAAAGGATCCGAAGCCAAATGCCTCTAAGCAGCAAAATTCAACTAGCAGATATAGTAATATGGAATGATGGAAGTAAAAAGGATTTAGAAGTTAAAGTCGCAGCCCTGATAAAAAATATACAGCCCACTAAAACAAGATATCTGCTTGAACGAATACTTCCTATATTTGCGATGATATCTTTTATTTATACAGCATTAAAACGCTGGTTATTCAAGAAAAAAAAAAACTTTATATAAAACCCATAACATTAATATTCCTTTTATTCTAATGTACATTATTTCTTACAACAGTCCCATCTCCCAGTGTATTCCCAGGTGTTTGTACAATAACTTTATCGTTAGAATCTACGAATTCGAAATTATATTTCGCTAGATATTGTGGAATAGCCTACAATTTATAAATATATAATGTAAAATATACATGAGTTACTGCAAGTTGTGGGCCATAACGTGCCGAATTATCATATAATTCAAAAAGAGGTACCGCTAATAATTTCATATTTTTAGGAACAGCTAATACCTCTATTGAAACGATTAATCAATTGATATATATGAAAGAATAATTGAAAATACTCGTTTTTGGTAATTTCACAAGATAGAGTTTTTTGCATTCTTTAGGTCTTGTAACATGTGCTGGTATAAATGGATACATAAATGTTTCAAAATTAGGTCTCCACCACTGAGCAAGACAATCTCCGATTTCCCATTTTGTGTCTTCTGGAGATTCCGGAGTAGTAGGTGCCAACCGCTCATTCAATCTGGCTACAAATCCTTGTATTTCTGATTCATTCGGCTGTAAATAATCACCAGGTCTTGAGAAATATTAAAAAACATAAAATAAACAAGAAACCCATACAACTTAAAAAATGCATTTGCAATTTGAAGCATTAATATATGTGGATGACTTTTTTGTTTAAAAAAATCATTTTTTTTATTTTTTAACTCACTTATGTTCATGAACTACCAAAATCCCTTCACAGGTCCTCCTCATACCACTTTTTTCATAATGAGATTTTAGTCGATCCAGACGAGAAATCACACTTGGATCTTCTTCCTAAAATCCTATGTTTAGTTTATTAAAATACAACAAATCATCAGTATTACCGGTTGTGCTTCTTTTGTAGAAAAAACATAATTTGCTTAATCAAAATCAACGTAGAACTTCTGAAATTCTAAATAACTTACAAAGAGGATAAATACGTATTGTTTCTGGCTGCCTTTCATTAAATCCTTTCTGCAGAGGATATAGTTTGCTGGCCATCTTAAAATATTACCAATTTATGGTTTTTAAGCGAAAAAAATTATGAAATTAATTTTTATATGAAAAGAACAGTTTCTGAAGCTTTTCTTTCAATATTTAGAGCTTTTTGTGTTTATTTTTAATAGTTTTCTGAGGTTATATCTTAACTAAAGAATATCCTCAATAACGGTACATAAGCCAAATAAAGTTTATCGAGAAAACCGTGTTTTAGATATAATCAAAACTATAAAAGCGCGTAATTTGTAAGAGTTTTTCACAAATAAACACTTTTTATTGGAATAAATACAAGATCTATATCAATTTTGGTTTTTTGTCAAAAAAAAAGAATAAAAATAACTAAATATGACGTGTTTTTATATGCTAAATGATATCTTTTATACACCTGAATATACGTCTACAGAGACGCATTCTATAGACACAAAAGACATGGGAAAGGAAAATGCAGCAGATATTGCGGATCAATTAGAAATTTTCTCATTATCTATAGTTACTGAGCAAACAATGGGTAAAATACGTATTTTGATCGGATGATTTTTAACATTTTTATAGAATCAGCCATGAAACATCTTAATACTTTTGGAGAGCGTCTTGAAAAAGCAAAAACTCTAATTTCAGAATCTGATTATATGAAAACAATTAGTACAGATCAAGCCATGGACTCAATGATGTATAATAATATGGAATTTGTATCACAAAATAAATTGATACAACAAAATGAATTGATACAACAAAATGAATTGATACAAGATATGTTAAAATTGGGAGATGACATACGGGATATGAAGAAACGTATAATATTTTCAAGAGATTGGCAGCGTGGTGTATCATCTTTAGATCAAGCTTCTCAAATATTAAAAAAAAACAACACTTTAAATACTTCTTTAGATATAGCAAAACAAGGGTTTGAAGCAGCAAAACTGTTGAAGAAAAGTTATGACATATTCGAAAGAGATTTAATGGCGCGTTTCCCTATATTATCATCTGAATTATCTGTTTATGAAGCAAATCTATCCAATTCAAGATTTTTAACAAAAACTGAGTCAGATTCTAGTATTTTTTCAACATCTTCACATATGAATACATCAAGCATTTCATCATTAGATACAATAGATCATTGTAAATTGGGTGATAGGGTTATTTATGAAAATGCAATGTTAAATACCGAAGTTTCATGGGAACCTCTATCAAATTTTTGTCAGCCATTAAATTTTGATACATTTTTAAAAAGTGACATTGAATCATTATCATTCTTAAATGTAGAAAATAGTGATATAAAAAGTATAGAGAAATATTTTTCTTGTATGGAACCAGAACTTGTTGAAAGATTATTTGAAGCAATGAAAAGATTAACCATTGACCCTTTGTCAAATGGGGACATACATAATGCTAATAAAAGTTACAGTAATAAACTTAAAATAGAAGCAGCATTAAAAATTCTGGAAGATGAATAAAAGTTAAGGTTTAATTTATTTTTTTTTGCAACTTACCGGGTTTGGTTATAATAAAGTATGTTATTGTATTGGTTTTGGGATTGATTAGTACAGTTATATACATGACTTTTGAAGTATATGATTATGTAATGTAATATTTTTTGTGAATCGGATGTTTTAAATTATCATGTAATTGTTTATTATTGTATGTCTTTTGTTAATCTCCATATTGATTTTGATTCTTCTTTCCATATTAATTTAGGATAGTCTTTCATTCTATTAAAGGCATCTTGATGACCGCGTTTTGCAATCTCATAAAATTCGTTCCAGGATAAATGATAACATAAACTTGCGATAATATCATCGCAATATTCTGATAATAAAGTAATGTCAAATGAGATGTGTTTAACTGGTTCTCGAGAAATATATATTTGAGGTATATTTGAAGGAATAGCATCTATAATTTTAAATATGTATTAGTTTGAATATTAATGTTACCTATAATTTTTGAAACTGGTGCTACTTTTAAAGAAGTACCAATACAGATAACTAGGTCACAAGAATGTATATCCTTTTCAATTTTTTCATGAAAAGATTTTGGTAATTTTTCACCTATGATCATTTTTAAATAAAAAAGATGTAATAAAAATAATTACCAAAAAATGTAATTGTTGGCTATATTGTTAATTTCAATCTATAAAAACAAAAAAATACCTTTAAAACTCCAATATCTGTCATAGAATCATCTTCATTATTAAATTTTTGTTTTGTTTTTATCTTTTTATTTTTCTTTTTTTTTAAACATTTAGGACAATAAGGCAATGTCTTTAGCTTTAGAGCACTAAAAATTATTTCACCAGGAAAAACATGTTCACACAAAATACAAATTGCATCTTTAAATGAACCTATACTATTAGATTTTAAATCAAGCAATAATGAAAAGTACCGTGACATCGAACCAATTTCTCATTATGAATACCAACTATTTCTTCAATATTATCAACATTTTGTGTATATTGAGTTAAAAGTTTCCCTTTATCCTGCAAAAGCTTTATAAAAGCGTGAGTAGGTGAATAAGTATTCTTAAGTTCTTCTAAAGGAAAAAATTTCATCATAAAAGAATAAAAAATACTAATTTTCAATAAGCCCATGAATACAAATAAAATTAAAAATAATACTTAGGATCTTCCTTAAAAACATCAATATCAAACAATTCCTAAAATTTTATCAGTCTTTTATTTTCCATTATGAACTTTTTTCGCAAACCTGTGGGTCATTTAATCCATATTGTTCTAATTTAGAATAAATTCCTGTATTACTTCGAAAATCTGGTATACCAAGAGACGTACTTATACCTAGATCCCTTTTTAAAAAATATACTTCAAATCTTAACATATATATACCAGCGCCTGTAATAACTAAAATTTTTTGTCTTTTCTCAATTAAATGTACAACATCCAGTACTGTACTATATACTTCTAACTTAGTTCTTGATTGCCGTTTTTCCTTCAATGTTGAAATAAACGGCAAATTATATTCCATACCATCCATAAACCCTTCTATATTTAGTTTTGAATCTTGCTTTCTTAGCTCATTCATTTTTAATTTAAATTTTAGCTTCGTACCCGGTTTTGAGATCTTATTTCTTAGCAATAAAGATTTGTATACTAAAAACTCTTACATCAGATTCCCCTGAATACTTTTTCCGACTTAACATTATCCCATTATCCTTACTTTCATTCAAAATTTTCTTATCCTCATCTTGAATTGTATATATATCCAACCCTCTCATTTTTTGCTCATTCATCTCTTCATACTGCTCATTAAACAAATATCTCTGTTCCATCTCAGAAACTTCTTTCATATACCCCCTAGTTCATTCTCCATTCAATTGGCTTGTACATATTCATTAAAGAGACACTTGATGCAATATGTCTATTTTTATCAACTTCCTGTATATTTGTCCCGTTTTCATCCCGCGTACACTTCCATTTGTTCTCACTCTCATCAATTCTCATCAGATGAGTCACCAAAGTAAAAATATCCCTCTATCACTCGCTTTTATCCTTTTTTAATGCAAAATAGCTCCTCCAAAAACCATTCTCACTCCTCCTCTCTACGGTAGCTTCCCACTTGATCATCATGGCATTTCTTTTACCGTATATTTCTAATAATTACTTATCCTTCTAGGAGAATGTAAATCAATCATGAAATCTTATCTCCAATGTCTTCAGCTCCATCAGTATAACCAATCTCCCTGTAAACATATAGCAAAAGCATATCTTCAATGCCGCATGGATTCGTTTGTGCTTTATACGTTGAAATCCCCGTTAATATCTCTAGCGCCCTTTTTCATCCCCGTGAATTACATAATCTTGGATTCCACGAAATACCTTCTGAGCATACAGAATCTCATCAGAATAACCGTAAAGATTAAAATATAGAGAAAAATAGAAAAAATAGATAGAAAAATTCTTTATAACAACATCCACTTCAACTTAAAACACAGTATATCTACTGTCCCCGTTCAGCTAATGCAAAACACTATGGATACCGCGATACGCGTCTTTTCTATTGAACTACTCGATACTAATCTTGTGCTTGGTAAGAGTTGTTACAAATGCATAAACTATGCAGAAATTAATAATATCAGATGAAATGGAACCGCCTGAAGAAATCGAAGGAACAAGTAGTAGTATGCTATATCAGACACAATTAAGTGCACTCTGCCAGTGACACAGAAATAAAGAAAAAATGAGTCGTCTATAGGCAAATTGCACTATGTTGCACTATGCTGTAGTATATATATAGCATATATAGTTGTATATCTACAACGCATATAACACGCATACAACACGCATACAACACGCATACAACACGTGTATTGAGCGTAGGAAAAAAGGCAACAGGCAGAATAGACAGAACATGCACAAAGAACGTATTTTGAGCCTATTTATATATATAAAAGAGCATAATTATGGGTGATGCATATACTCGGATCGGCGGGTATCGAGAACACACAAGCAACAGTGCGCATATAAGCTGGACAGCAAGCTAACCAGGAGAAAAGAAGGAGCAAAAAGTGCAGAAAACGCTTGTTTTGAGCGCATATAGTTGCTATTTTGCCTGCATTTGACAAAGATTTGTGCAGAAAGATATTTCAGCAATCAAGATAAACAGCGTGTTTGCAAAAAAAACACATACTATTAGCTTAATATTGATTATGAAGCGCCTTTTAGAGCAGTATCAACAGGGATCAAACAGATCTCGGCCAAAGACGGTTGCAGATCGGCTGCGTTCATACCGTCTGTTTGGGAGGGGATATATACCATTGCCAGTGGGAAATGAACAGGATTTAGAATCAACAGCAGAAAATACACAGGAATGGATGAAGCTTTCATATAGTGATCGTGTAATAATTTTTGTTGTTTTTATGTTGGCATCAATTTTATGCTTTGTCTTTTCTATATTTTTAATGACGACGTTATTTAAACCAAGGAAAGTACTTCTTCTGTGGACAATTGGGAACCTATTTTTTCTTGGATCGTAGGTTATATGGGTATTTTGGGGCATTAATTTAATATATTATAGATTTTCGGCTCTTCAAGGGCCTTGGACATATATTAAGCATTTGTTTTCAATGCCACGGCTTCCATTTACATGTATATACCTAGGAAGTATGTTTTTAACGCTATTTTTTATTATAAAAGTAAGTGGGAGGGATGAGCAGGGGAAACAACTAATTAAAATGTGTTTATAGTTGAAATCGACTATTCTTTCTATTTTTTCCGGTGCAATACAATTATTGGCTCTATTATGGTATTTAATAAGCTACTTTCCAATGGGTTCTCAAGGACTTCGATGGGGTTCTCAATTTATTATATCTAAAATGAAGTCCTATGTTAGTATTTAAACATATATATTATTTTATCATATTAAACATTAAGTTTTTAAAAGATAATGTAAATAGCTTTGGATGATATATATTTCATTAACTATATTTAGAATTACAAGTATTATTAAAAGTCTTAGATAGAATAAAAATAAGTAAAATTACACTAAATAAGGGTTATGATAAGTATACTAGGAAATAAAGTATTTTTGAAATTTAAAATAAGAAAATATAAAGGTTAAATGTTATTGCAAAAAGTATATTGCAAAAGGTATATTGTAAAAGGTATATTAATATAACGTTTTAAACATAAATTTTTAAGAAAAATTTTTCAATTTTATAAACTTATACTAAACAAGACAATTCTTAAAAATTAACATCTTTGACTTAATATACTTTATATATAAATATAGAATACTCTAATAAAGTTAAATTTTAAAGTTATTTTAATATTGTTAAAATCTTTTTAATATATACGAATATTTTTATAGGTTCTCAAAAAATACTATAAATAACTTTTAATAACATTTCTAATTATCTTAGAGAAACATAAATCCGTTATATGAAAGATAGGTGTTTTAATAAAGATTACTTCTAAACTTTAAAGTTCAATTTAAAAATCAGCCGTACTAGCCCCACCTGGGACTCGAACCCAGAATCCCCTGATTAGAAGTCAGATGCGCTAGACCATTGCGCCAGCAGGGCACACTGCCCTATCAGCCAAAAAATTATTAATAAATGAAATTTTAAAATTTATTTAAATTAGATATTTAAATTTTATATATAATTTAACAATTTTATATTTTAGCATTTTTCCGATTACACATATTATAGATCCAAAAGTAATATATATAATATTCTAATTTTTAATTAATAAATAGTACAAGATAATTTAAAATTTTTAAAATAAAAAACCAAAAATAATTAAATAGAAAAATAGATAAATATTTAATTTTAGCCAACCAAAATAGAAAGCATTTTAGAATTTTTAATAAAAATAAGATTTAAAAACAATACTTTTATAAACCCCAAATCTTAATACTAAAAATTAATAACGATAATGATGACTTTTATATGGCCCATTAATAGGAATGTCAAGATAAAGAGATTGTTCTTGCGTTAAACGTGTAAGTTTAACACCAAGCTTAGGCAAATGAAGCCGTGCAACTTCCTCATCTAATTCCTTAGGCAAAAAATGAACACCTAGTGGATATTGATTTTCCTGAGCAGTCCATAATGCAATTTGTGCCAAAACTTGATTAGTAAAAGACATAGACATAACCATACTACTATGTCCTGTAGCGCACCCCAAATTAACTAAACGTCCCTCCGCTAAAAGGATAATATGACAGCCATTTTTTAATTGATAGCGATCTACCTAATACTGTGTTAAAACAGATACCATTTTCCTATTTACTTACTTGTGGTTTAATATTTGTTACTAAAACTGCATTCTTTTTAAGCCAAGCAACATCAATTTCTATATCAAAATGACCAATATTACAAACGATTGCATCATCTTTCATTAATCCAAAATGACAGCCAGATATAATATTTTTGCATCCAGTTGCTGTTACAAAAATATCTACTTCAGAAACTACATCTTCTATTGTAGTTACTTGATAACCCTCCATACATGCTATTTTAATTAATTCACAAAATGAACATTATCCGGAACAAACCTTGAAGAGCAGTAATAGGATCAATCTCTGTCACAATAACACGGGCACCCATCCCTCTCAAAGCTTTAGCACAGCCTTTCCCAACATCACCAAAACCTGCAACTAGAGCTATTTTTCCTGCAATCATAATATCTGTTGCACGTTTGATACCATCAATTAAAGATTCACGGCACCTACATTTCAAAGTAAATACTATATTACAAAAGAAAAAAGCATACCCCATGTAGTTGTCAAATTTGCTTTTTGTTACACTATCATTAACGTTGATTGCAGGAACTTTAAGTTTCCCTTCTTTGAACATTCTATACAGTTGATGAACACCAGTAGTAGTTTCTTCACTGATCCCTTTACATTCTTTAAGATAATCCGGATACTTAGAATGTATAAGATTCGTTAAATCTCCACCATCATCAAGAATCATATTTAAGTGTTTTCCATCTTTAAAGGATGTTAACTGACGTTCCATGCACCATAAATATTCTTCTTCTGTTTCTCCTTTCCATGCAAATACTGAAATACCAGAAGCTGCAATTGCAGCAGCTTGATTATATTTAATTTTAACTTTTATTTATTTTTTAACCCACCAGCATGATCTTGTGTAGAAAAAATATTACATGATGACCATGTCACTTCTGCACCAAGTTCAACAAGTGTTTCAATAAGAACTGCTGTCTGTATCGTCATATGAAGACATCCTGCTATTCTTGCACCTTTTAACGGCTTAGATGCCTAATTTATGTATTATTTGGTATTTTTCAAAAAAAAAAAAACATACACCATATTTCATCCGACAAGATAAAAGTCCTGGCATCTCATTTTCAGCCAATTCAATCTCTTTACGCCCCCAATCAGCAAGACTAATATCTGCAACTTTATATGGATGTGTTAACATATTTTTTGAATTTTTATAAAAATTTTTAAACGATAACGTTTAACGATAAAAAATTAAGAGAATCAAGATATTTACTCAATAGCAAGGTTCGTAAATTAATTTTCATTATTAGATATATATTTTTATATATTTTGTAAAAATTATAAATTATTTAATATACTAAATAGACATTTTGTGTTGTAAAAATGTAACAAATTAAATATATTGCAGTAGCTATATTTCATAGTGTTTTCTCTAAACAAAATAAACTAGTTTTTGGATCTGAGCCTTTTTACATCTACTGATTAGTTAATGCAAAATATCAGAGACAATATAAAAAAATTAAATACAAAGTCTTTTTCTTTATATAATAAAGCTATGTGATTATTTTAGAAATAAATCATAATGTAAAAATGATCAAAACTAGTGTTTTTTGAAATTTAAACCAATTTTTGAAAAAATAAAAGTACATCAATACATTAAGTTAAAATATTATAATATTTCAGAAAAGCATAATTACTTTTTTATATTATTATAACCCTATTATTTTTCCAGATTCCCAGTGTTCTTTTTTCTCAAGGCGAAAATAATAAAGTTTTCGTGCTTGTCTATATTTTTTTATAAATTCCAAAACATCATTATTTTCCTTATCTTCCAAAAATGATTTCTGAAGAGAATTTGAGAAATCGTCTGTTTCTTTTATTGCATTATCAAGTCGAGTAAGTAAATATGGTTTTGAATGAAACTATTAATTATTATCTTTAAATTAGTATAAAAAAAATACTTTAAATGAAATTTCCATTTCTTTTTTTACATCTTCCCACCGTTTTTCATATTTCTTAAGTTCATTAAGCGTATTTTCTACATTCTTTTGCAAATTTAAAAATGATGATTTTTGGTTTAATAATTCTTCTAGACAAAATCATTTAAAGAATTACATAATGCATCCTATATTACGCACCGGAAAATCGTATATTTGTTTTATATGCTTCTTTAAGTATATTCATTTGCTGTAAAACCTCTGGATGTGTTGTATTTAATATTGCATCTAAAAGTAAAGAATCGTTTAAAATATCTTTAAGTTCCTCTTGTCTAAACATTACTGGGATAATGATAGTAAGAAAAATCAATAATACGTTTTTTCATAAAGAATAGATGGTATAAACAAAATTTCTGTATTATTATTATATTTATTTTCAACTTTTAAATCATTTTCTTGAGCATTCATTTGAAATATTCCTGATTTATAGTTTGTAAACAGCTTAAATTATTAAAATCATCAAAATTATAATTATAATTTTGTTTATTTAAACTTTAATATGTTTTAGAGAAGTCGAACTGAGATTCCAAATATCACATTTATATTTAACGTAAATTTTTATAAATAAGAAATCTTTAAGAAAAGTGACATGAAATACTTCAAATATTATAGTACTTTTTTACATATATTAATATATTAATTTTTCTAAAATATCCTTCAAAAAAGATTTAAAGTATATAATATTTTAACAATTATATAGAAATATTTTATTAATAATATATTAAGTATTTATTAACAAATTGTATTTTAAATTTAATGATATGTTATTTATTCATTAAAATGAAAAATATTATTTTAAATATTAAAAACACGTTTTAATGTCATCATTAATAAAGAAAATAGGAGAAAAAATCTTTACCAAAAATATGTTTTTTCAAGATCATTTTCAAAAACTTGCAATAGTTCTTTAATATCTTTTCTTGGAATTCCTTCAAGTGATGATATCTTTTCTAAAGCATTTTTTCCGTTAAAATATTTAATAATTCTATTTTTTATTAGAGATTTATATAAAATACTATGTTATACCTATTGAAAAGAATAGAATATTTTAAAGGTTTTCTGCTTACAATTTCTTCAATCCATGCTCGTTCTTGTTTAGAGGCTTGATGAGGCTCTCTAATAATTGAATCAGTTAAGTCTTCCACTACCTCCAACAAAATGGTATCATTAAAAGAAACATCTTTATTCTTTTGTTTTTCTATAACAGCTTTTTTAATTTCTTTCGATACTTTTATCCAAATGAATGTTTTAAGTTGACTAACCCATCCATATCTTATTAACCAAGTAAGAACATTTAAATAAATAGTACGATAGTTTTTTGAAGGAATATAAAATGAAAAAGGACGTAATTCTTTTGAAAGTTGTGCTAATATAGTCGGAAGAGGCGGTACTGTGGGAAACAATGTCCTAAATAATGATTCTTGGTATTTTAATCTAAAAAAAATTAATAAATACAAGCATAAACTAGACCTATACTTAGTCATATTTGCAGCAGGACTAACAAAATATATATTTCTTAAATGTAAAGGTGGTATAGGTATAGCTCTTCTCCAATATATAAGATGCTCCGCAAAAATGTGTATATTCCTTAAAGGGATATTAGTTTGTTGAGATAATTTAAGTAAACTAAAAAAATAAGTTAAGGATTTTAACCAATAGCATAAAATTACGTTTGAGTTGGACGTATATTCTTTATAAACAGAGAGAAAGAAGGATTTGCATCTGCTGGTATATTTTGTAAAACACTTTCAACATCATCTAATAATAATAAAGAAGAATGTGGAGTAAGAAATGGGTCATTATAATCCATATCTTCATCATACACATCAATAGACGTAAGAAAACGGTTGTCTTCTGACATATCAGTTGGAATAGATGTGGTAATTATAGGTGTTGGAATAAAGATTGAAAAATCAAAAGAATTATTAATAGTCAAGTGAGCTATTCCAGATGCAGAAATAGCATCGTATATTGTAGCCAGAGCCGAAGCAAGACTGGATTTAAACAAAATATCTACCCACAATGCATCAAAAGAGATTTCTAATACCTATGATTAAATACAAAGTAATAAAACAATTTACCATCATTTGCAGCTTTTTCTCGCATATGTAAGATCATTTCCGATTGAGACCAAACGTAATCCATCTTTGCTTGCTCGTATTTTAGAGCCATAGCAAGTTTAATTACAACATTAGTATACATTTCATTAATTTTTGTATGATAATTCTGTGTTAATGGAGGTTTCATAACCATAACAATATGAAATAATGTCATTTGATGCTGAGAGAGTTTTGCACTTTCATTCGTGGATTCATTTGACACATGTGTTCCTAAATCATGTAGATTTGCAGATTCAGAATGAGTTGAATTACTATGTTTTAACGGCCTATCTATATGTTTAGACCAAGTCCCATCTGGTTTAACATGAACAGGAAACCCAAGGAAAACCAAATCATCTACCCACAACTCAAATTTTTTGCCACAATGTGTTTTACGAGGTGTTAACAAATCAGCTAAAAAATCACTATTAAATCCAAAAATTTTGTCCCACGGAGGCCTTTTTGAGTTATCCTGACCAGAATCTTCACTTTGAGACTCCGAAAAAAGCCCATCATTCGACTCAGAAATATCTGAGGCTTCATTTTCTCTTAGACTTTCTGTTTCCTCTGATAAGGAAGATACATCCGATCCATCGATATCTTCTTGTAAAACAACTGATTGAGAATCTATATCTGGACGCGGAGGATAATGAAAAACAAGACTACTTCCACCAAATGAATTGATCACAAGCAAAACTGCAACAAGATATGATGGTGCTGTCATATTAATTATATTGCAGTATCAAATGCTTAATAAAAATAAATTTTCCAGAAAAAACATGCAAATGCTTTTTTATATATGTAAATTAACATTTTTACTTGTTTCTAATGCATTATTCACCTTATTTTATATTCTTCAAGAGTTGTTAAATAATGATTAGTTTTTTGACGTTCCGGAGGATAGAAAAAGCCCACACTCGAAGATATTACGATTAAAAGCCTATGATGTAAAACATAATAAATGATTAATAAAACAACTTCCTTATGGATAGTTGTTAATACTGAACTATTTTACACTTGATCTGAGGCAAATGTATTATAAGATGCTAAATCATTAGAGCCACTGCGTAATGCAAGAAGTGCTCTTTGTAACTGATCATATTTATATCTCTCTTCCTGTAGTGTTGCATTTGCAAAATTCCACAAAGCTGTTTTTATACGTTGTGTATGTGTATTATAAAAATCTGCAAGTTCAGTAAGTAGATTAATATGGATATTTTGAAGTTTAGTAGATTGCTTGGTCAGTGTTTGTGTAGTTTGAAAAACACGCTTTGCAGAAGTTTGTTGCATTTTCTTTTTTGTATTAGTTAGTAAATTAAATGACCATAATGTATTTTTGTCGATATTTACAGATCTTCGGAATGATTTATGAGCAAACATAAGCTCTTTAACCAAAACATGTGGTTGCTCAAAGGCATTCTATAATATTAAGATGAATTAGATGTATATTTATATAAAAATACCGAAAAATCACTAAGTATATTTTTCGTTAATAATATTAGTTGAATAAGTTCTACTATTAAAGAAGGAGTCTATATATTTAATTAAAAATATCTTAAATAAAAATTTTATACCTTTAAAACAAGATTATCAATGAAACGTTCAATTGCAAAAAGATAGCCATTCACTTCTAGAAATTTGAAAACAGGTATACGGAAAAAATGAAAAAGTAATTTATATGATGTTTGAAAATCTCATCAAATATTATAAAAACGTTTTGTTATAATCTAAACTTACCTAAACAACTAGATTCTAGAAAACATAAACTCTTATGTAAATGGTTATATGCATGAGTCATATTTTCAATATTATGTTTTGTATCTTTAAAAAAAAAATCTATATCATTAATTTCATCAACAGACATAAGCTTCTCTTGTCTATCTTTATCTTTGTCTAAAAACTTTTTTTGAGATCGTTCTGTAGTAAGATGTGTATATAATTGTGGGACAGTAACAAATTCCCACAAAAGCTCATCTGTAGAAAATACTGAATGTTGTAGTAAAATTTGCAAAAAATTATCAAAACAATTAAGAAAAGCCGATAATATACTTTTTGAAGGTCTAGAAGGTATAATACAAGGATCTAAAAAGTCTATATGAAGAGACGGAACCCATAATTCTGAATATTGAAAAACGAGACATTTATAAAGAAATTTAAAATCTTCAATCGTACGAATAACAGTTGTAATGTTTTTAGAATTCTCATTAACCTACTAAATTTAATTCCTTTTTAAAAAAATATAATTTAAATTTTACAAATCCACTTTTAATAATGAATTTGATAGAAGAGTCATCTTCAAAAAGTATTCTAACAACACGTGCAATTTTTCCCTGTTTTTTTAAACTATTTTTAAAAAATGCGAATTCTATTTAATAAATTTAGAAAGATAAAAATCAATAACACATACCATCTAACAAATCTACTACTTCTTGATCTTTTGCAATATCCACAGGTCGATCCCCTTTATAATTTAAGGCATTAATATCAGCTGATCTATTTTTGACTAAATATTTAATACAATCTAAAGATTTTTCTTGAACTGCAATATGCAACGCAGTCGAACCAGTATAAGATGTTCGTTCTTCTATATTGACAATTTCTGTTAAAATATTCATAGTTTCTAAATTCATTTGAACTAAAAAATGTATTGCAGTAAACCCATTTTGATCTTTTGCACTTATATCCGTTCTTTTATCATTCAAAAAAATCTTAACTAATTTAGATCTTCCAAATTTTATATGACAAATTAATGGTGTAAATCCATCATTATTTCTTTTGTTTATATTTCCTCTACAACTTAATAATTTCGACAAACATTCTGAATCATTAATAATATGAAAAAGAGAATTCCCATTATTATCAAAATGATCATCAACATTTAAATTATTATTTTCTATTAACTGAACAATCTCTATTGCATCCATAGCAATTTTTTTATAGTCCAAATGATTATGCATCATAAAAAGTGAAAATAATGGTGTTTGCCCTTGTTTATCACGAGATTTCCAAGAAAGATGTGGACCAAGTTCATAAATAAGATATGGTTGATAAAATAGATAATGGCAGATAGTTTTTCCCGAGTAATCTTTTTGAGTTAAATAGTTAAAAAATTTCTGATTAGAACATGTTTTTAGTTTTTGTAAGAGTATATCAATAGCTTCTTTAAATTCAAGTTTAATAGCTACCATTAAAAGTGTAGAGCCTTCAATATCACGATCGTTTAATAAAAATTCAGATGAAAATTGTGGCTGATTGAAAAGAAAAGTAATAGAAGAAATATTCTTTGTTTTTATTCCAAGCATTATTGCAGAATCTCCATTTATATCCTTATAGCAATAAATATCATTTAAAATATAAGATATTCTAGTTGTTTGAAAGAAAACTTCATCAAAAAATACAGAATTAAAACTTGGATGCTGTTTCTTAAAAATAGACTCAAGTATATCTATATCTCCAGATTTGATACTATTCCATAATATAATATTACAATCACTAATCATCTTCAATTTATCCCTTTGATGCAAGATATGATATAAAACTGCTTCTAAAGAACTCAAGGCATACGACTCTTCTCCTCTATGTGTATTTAAAAATGAAAAATGTGTTATATATACAAGATTAGTTTCTAAATTATTTAATTTTGCACGAATTCTAAAACGATTAATTAATAAAAAAAATAAAAACAAACTTACAGAACTAATAAAAGCATTGGTATTAAACAATCACCACCTAAGTTATTTTTCAAAAAGTTAGATGTATCCTGAAACATATTTTTATTATAATTTTTATTTCGTTGAGATTCTTTGGTAATTTTTACAGTACTAGTTACTAAAAATTGTACTGTTTTTAAAAGAACAGTTAATCTCTCAGAAGGAATCCTTCTTTTTTCAAGTTGTTTAAAACAATTTACAGCATCAGATATACGATCAATAATTTCGCTGTTAATAATAGGCAAGCCAATTTGGTGAATATCAATATATTCCATAGATATAATAGAGTCCATTAACTCTTTATCACGTTCTTTATTTATCTTAAGTAAATAAAAAAATACAATATCATGTGTTTCATCACATACATAACTTAAAACATTAGTTGTTATTTAAATGGAAATATATATACTTTTCAATCAATAATTCAACATCTTCTTCAGAAAACTTTTCTGCTTTTAAAAGATTTTTTATACTTGATGTCCTTGAAGATTTAAACGTGTTTATAACAGAAATAACAGTATTCTCTATTATTTGACGAATATTATCAAGATTTAAAACACTAGACTCTTCAAGACTTCTAAGTTTTTTCAAAGAGTTAGTAAGAATCTGCTTTACTTTTTGTGAAATTAAAGGATAAAGTCTAATAATTTGTTGAAAATTCGTAATCTTTTCAAAAGATTTAGATACAGAAAGTGACTTTGGAATACGAGTACAACTGTCAAAACAAGACTTAAGAAGAGGACGATCAAGAAAATATATTAGATAGGGTGGTCTGTTAATATCTCCAGAATAATAAAGATGATCATAAAGTAATTTAGCATGACGTACAGACGAAAATCCTTATTTGTAAGAAACTCAATAATACTAAGCAAAAACACACCTTTATCCGTATAAACAAAGTCATTCTTAATAATAACAGTTTTTCCATTAATTGTTGTAAATTGCTTAGTTTTTCCATATAAACCATATCCTAAACCAGATGAACATTTTAAAATATGACTGGCTGAAAAGCATTAAGTAGAGAAAAAGAGTTATAAGTAAAAAAACCTATAAAATCACTAGTAATTGTTTCATTCCATGGAATATCTGTTTCATTTTCTATGCCCTGAAGAGATTCTGCTACAGGTGCTAAAATAATGACATCATGCACTTCAAAGTCCTGCAAAAGAGTTTTATCAGAAAATATTCCATTATTATGATCAGAAAAGAATAAACGGTCAAGAAAAGCATTAGGAGAGCTCTGTTTCATAATTCATACAGTTTTTTTGCTCAAAACATGCTTCGGCTCTCACAAACCGTTTTCTTAACAAATTTATATATAAAAGCCGCCATAAAGAAAAAATAGACTCGGCTGTCATTCATGAAACAAATAGTCACTATCTAAACTCATTTATATAGATATTTTATACAGATAACATGAAAATCATATTCGTAAAAGCTTTAAAATTCAAAAACTTTTTTTATCAAAAAAACGTATTTTTTTTGCGTAAAAACTAATATTAAACTAAACCATACTAAAAAACTTCTTTTACAATATATTCCCCTTTCTTCATCTATCTATCTTCAGCCTTTTTTAAATACATAATGCTTCGCTAAAACGATAGAGTTTTGAGGGTTGTTTCATAAGGAGAAAACGATTGTGAACCGGTGCTGGAAAAAAAAACCACAAAAAAAACGAGATTCGGCAAAAAAAAATCAGAAAAAAAGGTATAAAAAAGAATTTAAGTTTGCAAATAACAAGGAAAAGATACGTACATCAGAAGAAAAGAACATTTCATAGAATAGAATTTGAACGGGGAAAAACGTGTGGTTTTTCGACACGATATTAAACATTTTTTTGTTTCGCAAAAAAGTCAGAAAAACCCATCAATTAAAGTTTTCAGTGCAAATAACATATAAACGTTATCCACAGGAGCAAGTGTTGACTTGGAAGTGTTGATTTAGTTTTCCAGTGTTCCTTTTAGGGTGATTATTGCGTGGCACTCAAAGCAGATCGGCGTTAACATTAACTGATCAATATCTGTCTCTTTTTTGGTTATTTTTGAGTGAAATATTTTTTCAGGACTTCAGGCATTTTTTCTGATATACTTATATCGTCAAATTGAGTGCAGCACAGAAGAACAAGATGGAGGGGGACACGAAGCTTTCATGGGCTTCTGCAGTTTCATCGTCTTCTCCTTCAGTAAATGGAGAAAGCATACAGAATACCCAGGAGTCCGTCCCCGCAGAATCTTCTCAAAAGTTTTCTGATAAAAAATTTACACCAGCACCAGCACCAAAAACAAACGTATGGAAAGCTCGACAAGAACAAATGGTTAAATTATCAAATTGTCAGCCTAAGGACTCAGGGGAATCTAAAGTTGCATCAAAAGTAGATGGTTCTTCTGCTAAAGCATCGCTTAATGGCAATTTAAATCATAAAAATTCGGAATTAATATCAATTTTATCAGATACAGAAAGTTGGCCAACTTTGAATAAAGCTGTTTCAGAGGAAATTTCTCATGAAAAAGAGAAACCTAATCCTCCTGTAGCAAGAACATCAGGAAAAGAAAAATGGGTTACTTATATACCAACAATAACTCATTCCAAGCCATTACCTTTGAAATCAGGAAATCGATCCCGTGAAGGAAGATTTCATGATAATGCATTTCGGGGGTCTGCTAAAAATGGGCGAATAGCTTCTACGGATGATTCACATACACTTTCTAAGAATCATAGAGAACATAAGTCTGATAAAGGCAGAAATAATAGACGTGGAGCAAATAACCAAGAGAAGCGTGAAAGTAAAAATACTGTTCAAGCAAATGCATCAAAAGATAAAAATGTGTCTAACGTTTCCTCTCAAACAGCAAATTATCCTAAGGAAAATGCATCCAATACAAAAGATACTAACGGCATTTCAAATAAACTCAACATAGAGGAACTTAAAATAAAAGATAATACTAATGGTGTAAAAGAGGATAGTAATCGTCATCAACGTAACAACAGTTATAGAGTTAGAGGTATTGCTTTATTTTCAAGCGTTATTTTTTAACCGTGAATTAGGTAGTCTTCATATACCATTTATTCATCAAAATGGCCAGCCTTTATTAAATGTTGGCGCATTTGTGCAAACTCCTAATATATACATGCCTTTTCGACCACCTGCATGTGGGAATCTAAGTATTCCTTTTTATCCGAACGAAAAGTATCAGCAACCTTATATGTATGATTATTCTCATATGAATCATCTTGGAATGATGGTTCCTGTTATGTATGATCCTATAGTTTTGAAAAATTATATCCTTGGTCAAATGTATACTTATGAATAATTTGAAGTTTACTAATAGCATTAGTGATTATTATTTTTCTGTTGAAAATTTATGTAAAGACTTATTCCTACGTCGCCATATGGATGATCAAGGATGGGTAAATTTACTAGTTTTGGCTAATTTCAATCGAATTAGAAGTTTCGCATTAGAATATAATTTCATTAGAGATGTCACTACATATTCACGTACAGTAGATGTTATTTTTTCTGATGGTTATGATCGAGTTCGAAAAAAAGAGGGTTGGGAAATATGGGTCTTACCTGAAAAAGAAAGAGATCCTAGTGTAAGAAACGGACGATCAACTTCAACTAATTTTCCTGATAATGAAAAACCAAATATAACTAGTAAAGCCTTGAAGGAAAGTGTAGATGCTTTGCCATTTTTACCTCGAATAAATCCTGGTGCTGCCCCCTTTGCACCTAAATCTCAAGAAATACCTTCTAATGGATCAGGTGTAAATATGTATAATCAAAATTCGTTATCAAAAACTCCTAGTTCCAACGTAGTTGTACCTGAGGTTATTTCATCAATTTTATTTGATATTATTTATTCTTATTATTTTTCAGGAAGTTTCTAGCATTGATAAAACGGAAAAAGAAGGTCAAAATAGTATAAAAGATGACAAATAACCAAATCTAATTTTAATTTTTACATATAAAATCTAACTAGCAAAATATAACGAATAATTATATTTAAACATTAATTAAAAATGATACACAATGTTAACTGTTGAAAAGTTTTTATTTTTTTCAAAAATTATGATTTAATTTTCTGGATTTTAAGATTATCTCATTTCGGGTCATTATTCAAGAGTAATATTAATTGTCGCTACTCATGCGTTTCTAACTGTTTTCATAATATTAACCAATCTGTGCATTGAGATAAAAAGCAAGAATTATGCACAAAACGTGTGATTAAGATTTGCGTCAATTTACATGCCAAATAAGCTTTTTTATTATATTCGAATCATAAAGTTGTCACGTATTTTTATCAACTAGTTTTACATACAATCTTTTTTAACTATCTAGCAAGGCATTTATTATACATATTATGTTTATATGTTTTATATTCGGTTTTATCATTTTTAGATTGTATTTCATATATTAAATAAACACTCATTTTGTTTTTTTTTTTTGTAACAAATGTCTGTTTTAAACATTTTCAACTACAATTAGTACATCTTTGATACTCTTGCTGCTTTTAATATATTCTATTTTTATTCCAACAGTTTTATATACAATTAAAAAGTACTATTATAATATTTATGTATTATATAGATAAAAATGAAAATAAATCCATTTTTTGGGCTTAAATTTATTCTATTTTTATTTTCAAATAAAACTTTTATACGTAACATTTAAAACGACTTCAAAAAACATAAAAAAACTAAAAATCAATAAATGGATTATCAAAACCGAGTTGTATGTAATTTTAGAATAAAAATCAAAATAAACCTTATAACTTCTATAGGGAAGTAAGTTTGGAGGTGGGGGAGTAGCTGGTACAAGTGAAACAAATGCAGATCGCCGTGAACGATTACGAAAACTTGCATTAGAAACAATTGATCTTGCAAAAGTTTAAAAAATAATTAATTATTTGAAAAAAGCATTAATATATACAAAGGATCCTTATATTCTTAAAAATCATCTTGGAAGTTTTGAATGCAAACTTTGTTTAACATTACATGCCAATGATGGATCATATTTGGCCCATACACAGGGAAAAAAACATCAAACAAATCTTGCACGTAGAGCAGCAAAAGAACAAAAAGACGGAAGTGCAGATGCTATTACAGGTCTTCCAGTAGGAGTTATTGGGCAACAAATCCAGGTTCGAAAAAATGTTATTAAAATAGGTCGTCCTGGATACAAAATTACAAAAATAAGAGACCCATATACACGCCAAATTGGGCTCTTGTTCCAATTGAGTTACCCTGAAATTGGAGCAGATATTCACCCTCGACATCGGTTTATGAGTGCATATGAACAAAGGATTGAGCATCCGGACCGACGCTGGCAATATTTGATCATAAGTGCCGAACCATATGAAAGTGTTGCATTCAAAATAGGTAATTTTTCATTTTTAAATTTGCAATACATTTTATGATTTTAGAGGCAAAAGAAATAGATAGATCAGAAGGAAATTTTTGGACTTTTTGGGATAAGCCTACGTTTTCTATGCAATTTTTTTTTAAATCCGACAGAGATACAAGATATATGGGTGTTCCTGGGTTATCTAACTCGTCTACTTCAAAATAAAAAAGTCAATATGCATTTGAATATATTTTTGCATTTATAAACATAACAATAACAGCAATTTCTATCTTTTCAGTATGCACAAGCTATAAATATATGTTAATATTTAATATTCTATTAGAAAATATATTAAACGTTAATTATTCTATTTTTTTAAATAATGTATTTCGAATGTAAAATTATGTTTTTCAAAAGTTCAAAAATTGAATTCAGTTTTTTACTAAAATAATATATCTGAATGAGTTTTTATTTTTTTACTTTTTTAAATAAACAAAGGAAGTGGTAATTCTTATTTTTTGATATTATAATAGTCAAAATTTGTAGATATTGCTAATATAATATTCTTGTATAATTTACAAATGGATTTACGAATAAAGTAACTTATTTTATAATATTCATTTTTATAATGACATAAATATCAAACATAAATTCTTTTTATCTTTAAACACATTTTTAAATTGAAATAAAATTTTATCATAAAATCAGGAAAAAAATTAAAAAGCCTTTTTAATATACTTACACATTCTTAACTTGCTTAATATCATTATAATAGTGACTAACTATCTAATTAAAAGAATTTACAAAACTGAATAGTTTAATATTTTAACATTTTTTTTACAAACTTAACACTTTAAATTATAATAAGTCAAGTATTTTAAATATATCTCAAAAAAGCTATCTAATTTTAATCAGGTTTCTACATAAAAATATTTATAATTAAAAGGTATTTTTGATTTTTTTGTTTAATAAATATCCAAATATGATGATTTTTTATAACAATCCAACTCCTAAAAATAAAAATTTGCAGATGAAACATTCATAATATCTGATTTGAAATATTTGACATTTTATTAGTTTTTTCTAATTTATTTATTTTTAGATCTTAAAGGTATTATTTTTTTATTAAACTTGCAACAAAAAAAACTGAACACTAGATGTTTGATGATAAAAAAACATATGTCTGAATTATATGTAGAATGCATAATATTAAGTTTCAGCCTTGTCTGACATCTATATTGATGTTGCAAGATAATTTTAAGGAAATACTTATATAGTAATAGACATTGAATTATAAAAATAATTATAAAAAATGAATTATATAGGTAAGTTCTTTTCAAACTGATAAGAACACAGTATTAAAAATGATTGAAAATGTTAACGATGGGCGGACATATCTGTCAAATTACTTTTAAAGTAATTGCAAATATAAGTGTACAAAAATTATTTGCAGACAGAATTGATGAAATATCATCGTTCTGATTTATAAAATTTCCCTATATAACTATATATTAATTAGATCTGATTCTTATATAGGAAATCATAAAATTTAAGATGTAAAAAACAATTATATTTAAAATCATTATTTCTCAACTAATTTTAATAAATTAATTAAATATATCATTAATAATGTTTTTAATATAAATTACAATGTGATAGAATACCCAAAGTCTTTTTTATAGAAAAACATACCAATTTATAGTCAGTTTATCTCAAACATTCCGAAATATATTACAATATAATCATCATATTTTTCAAGATTATATAAAAGTTACTGTATTAAGCATTTTTATATTTGAAGTTTATTAAATGATACCAATCCATTCCCAAGCACGTATCCAATCTCCATTTATTTCTGCTAGTCGTGTTCTTACATTCGAGTTATTTTCAACAATTTTCTCCACTTTACTCCAAATTTTATGACGCTGATCAACATTAAACTCATTTATAAGCATATCGTCTCGTAAATGAGAAATAGCAACATATGGATATGTAGATTTTGGATCTGAAACATAAGAGCATTTCTGATCAAATAATCTTTGAAGAGAAAAGTGAACCAACTCTGAAATCCTTGATTTATATGCTCTACGTAAAAAAAAAAAGGATTTTATTTTAAATAAAAAAAATAGTGAACATATTATTCCTAGATATATAAACAACTATATATAAATATATAAATAATATATATACCAATAAATTCGACTCTATGGCGTACCAATCTTTGTCTGATATATTTTCTAATGGAACATCCGAATGAAATATTTGCAAAAGATGTTGATTTAAGATATCTTTTTGATCTGTTAAATCGATACGTCTAGGTCAGCCAGAGCTTAGAATTAATGATAAAAAAATTAAATACAACATACCCATCATTTTCTATCAAAATCTCATCGTATTTGATAATGTCCTCTAATGCATCCGACAATAACTCTTGAAATTGTTCATCACTTATGTTAGGCTAAATCTTATTAGATCAAAAATAAATAGTTTATAATATAACCGATTTCATTTCCCAAAGATACTTTTCAAGATCTTCTTCAAGCACCCCTTCTTTTTCTCCCTTAAGCAATTTTAAAGAACCACAGTCAAGTTTAGCGTTTTTATCTCTAAGTATTTGTATTGCCTCGTTGACAATAATATGAACCTTTCTTAACTTTTCAGTATCCGGCATACATGAAGGAGGAATCGGAATTAGTCCATTAATAGAAAATATATTTGGAGTAAGAATATAATCTTTTTCACAAAGAAGCTTATAATTAGAATAACATATAGCATGATTCGGACATGGTCTACAATAAATCAAAACATTTTTTAATAATATCTGCGGCAATTTCTCTCTTATTGATGAATACATACTTGGTATTACTAATATTTTAAATAATCCATATCTTAAACTTTTGTACAAGTACTTACCTTCAGTTTCAACATTACAATAACCCAAGCGAATAGTTTCTTCCCTCCAAATAGCAGCTAGTATAAGTAAAATCATTCCAAAAACAAATATAAGAAAAAACTTTATAAATGAAAACTTTTTAAAGTGTTTAGAATCAATTTTAGAGTTATAAGAAACATAAGAATCTTTGTTCACGTTTGAAGCTATTTTTTTTTCACTTATATCTAAATTGTTTCTTATTTGATCAGCATCTGAGATCTTTTCTCGATCTGCTTGAGTTTGAAAAGAAATATTTTTACGTAAAGAGTCATTATCTTGAAATGCATGTGATGTATTAGTATGAACATTAAGGTCCTTATGAATTGCCATAGTATAAAACTGTTTCGAAGTCTTCAAATCTTCAATCTTTGCCATAAATTTTTGTGGTTTAGAATAAGATACGTTAACATTAGGTGGTGGTCGAATTTGAGTTTTTGAGGGAACATGTGAATTGGCATATACGACAGAATCTTTTACCGAAGCCCCTGAAGTAAACTTTGACGTATTAGAAAGAGATTCATCCTAAAAATTCTATTATCCTCTAAATATCAACTAAATTTTATACAATTGAACGCAATAACGGCACAGAAGATGTATCTATTTCACAAAGCGGTGATCCCTTCTGAAAAGGATTCTCACTCGAAAACACATCTTTTGAACAAGACTAAATAGTATTCAGATAACATTTTAAATAACAATTTAATCTCCAGCCTACTTTTTCTAAAGGTTGTTCTTTAATTTCCACAGTATGTGTGCTGGCAGATCTGCGTAAAGACCCACGAGTATTACTCCTTCTTATACTTGAACTATCCTTTAGAGTTTCTGAAGATTCTAAAGCCGTCCTTTTAGAATTCTTTTGTTTAACTCGTTTAATCTAAAAATCATTTTAAACACTACAAATCATGCTTTTTTTCCAGAAAAAAAACATACATTCGAATCTTCTTCATTCTTATCACGAATACTGTCTTTTGTATGTTGTTTTGTAGCAGCTACAGCCTTTTGTTGAGAAAAAACATGTTTATGAAACAAGTCTAAAAGCACTTGTTTTTTTGCAGAAGAAGGATAATCAACATCATGTTCAAGTAAAATACGACGGAGATCAGCGATTCGTAAAGACTTTACGTCAAAATGCTCATCCAAATAGTCGTTTGACATATGGTTGGAGATAATCAGTAGAATAAGGTAATGAACAAGTATACGATATTTAAAAATATAGCCCAGTATCAAATAAATTAAGAAAAATATACAAACCAAAAAAGAAACAATCTAATATAATTTTATAAAATAGAAATAACTAAAGAAAGGTGTTATATTGTAGATTTAGTTGGATATACGGCAACAGCAATTCCACTAAATAGCCTAGGAGTAAGTACTAAAGCCATAATACTAGAATCATGAGGATGTGATTTCCAAAAGGCAAGTAAATCATTTGATTCCTTTGCAAAAATCATTTTGTTTTCTGTCCCAATAGTAGCATGAGGATAAAGGTTCACTGATATAAGTTTTTTCTTTTGTGCATCAATTATTTTTGCGGCCAAAGCCATAATCCGGGAATTCCAAACAAGATGTGTAAACTCAACATTGGCTTGACAAATTACACCATGTTTATCGATTCGAGATAAATAAGAGTCCCAAATTTCAGGATATTTCGATTTGTCCGCAATATGAATTAAAGTAACATGAAAGGTGTGCTGTACACGAGATAAACTCTTTAAATGTTCCCAAAAAGTGCGCTTTTCTTCACTTTGTCCTTGCATAATTTCTTCTACATAAAGAGCTAAATTGTCTTTAAGAACAATTGCAAAATATTCCGGAGTTTGAGAAAAACAAGGAAAAACAGACGAAATACAAGGACGATAATCATTCAAAGCTGAAGATACAGCATTATCCATTTGAAATGCTGTAGGTATTTCTGTAATATATTTCGGAATAATTTCGTGGAGCCTTTTAACCACAATTTCCAAATTATATCTCGTATCTTTCGTAGGATCTAAAATAATAACATTTTCAAATAAACTATCTGGTTCTTTACTACGATCTAAAGGTTCAAATCTAGAAAGAAAACCATTCATAATTCCTAAAACAGCTTTGATTTTATTTGGCGATGCATCAATTGTTTGATGATTACTTCCACGTGCAAAGACTCTATCCTGAGTGATTTTCAAAATCTTATTTAATTCCTGTTTTTTACAAGATAAACTAGCATCTTTATCATAATGATAATAATAAAGAGCAATAAAACGTGTATCTGGAGATAATTCTGAAACCAAATGAATCAATTCTTTCCTTTCTACAAATTTGTGATTATTTCTATATCATATTAAAACTTTTTAAAAAATTGTAATTACTAACTTGTCTGCTATAACAACATGATAATGCATTAATGCTTCTGTAATGCTTGTTACAAACTTCTGAATCTTTGTTTTCTTTCCTGTAATATTATCGTTTTGAATATGACCAAATCCAAATAGAGATGACAATGCAACAGCAAGTGTTGTTTTCCCGCAGCCAATAGTACCAATAGTAACAAGCAAAATACTTCTATCTTCTAAGTCATCAGTAGTCATCATGTTAAGTAATTTCGTAAGATCTGAATGGGAATAATTATATTCATCTAAAAAACGCTTCCTAAGAGCCACAATACCATGATTTTGCTTATATTTTAGAGAAAGATCAGGCTCTTTCTTTAGTAAAAGACGGACCCATTTAGCATACTGTTTTGTAATTTCAATATCAGAAGTACTAAACTTATATGTATTAGATATAATTGCACGAGTCACTTCCCTCCATCTTCTATAAAGAAAATAAGGCTCTTTAAATTTATATTTGAAAAAAAAATCACGAAAACATGTATCTTCATCAGAATTCTTAGATTTACATCGTATTACAAATCCCTCAACTTCTTTTCCGTGATAGGATCCTGATTTCTCCGAATCTTCAATAAAGTTTCTTAATTCTAAAAGGGATTCAAATATTATATAATCAACTTGTTTAAATCCCCATTCAACTCCAAAAGAACATACTTCATTAAACGGAGCAGTCGAAAAAGCAGGTTCATTTTTATTAATTCCATGAAGATAAAGCCCTCTTTTTTCAGGAGGATATTCTATAATATGTTCTTCAAATGAATCATCACATAGTTCTGAGACAAGTGTAACATTTTTTTCACGCAATACACGTGCTAGTTGTTTTCGGGTACGACCAACAGACAATAAATGTCTATCTAACCATGTCTCACCCATTTGTGCATGACTAGAAATACCACAAGCAGCCGGTCCCATGAAATGTTTACTCGCAACAATCAAAGAAAGATCTGCAAGGGCAGAAATAAAAATAATACATCCATTTTCTTTCAAAGTTAGTGTATAAGGCCCTTTAGTGAGTCTTTCTAATGTTTTCCACTTAAAGAAATTAAAAAAATCATATATATCAATAGTATATTACTTTAGTTATTTCCGTCTCATTAACAGCAAAAAACTTATTATAACCTTGACAAATGATACAAGATTCTTAAAAGGAAAAGAAAAATACCTCTAATTACGATTTCGTGATGATTTTTTTCGTTTGTTATAGAAAAAAGACCTCGAATATCTATAAGTGTTTTAAACGTTTTTTTAGAACCAAATTCTGGTAATTTCCAGCTATCAATCTTGGTGCCATTCTTAAGAGTAAATGTATGTTTCAAAACAGACTTCGAATTTCTATTCTGACAGTCATTTGCTTCTTTTTCAATTCTTGAAATAAGCTCTTGAGCAGTCTCAGGTACCTCACTCTTTCTAGAATCCATAAAATCAATATCAAAAATATATTTATTCTATAACTAAGATCAAAAATAGACAAATAAAATGCCTTACATTTATTTTTCAAAATTTCGAATAAGTGGTTTTTTCTAGGAACGTTGATCATAACTATTCACATATTCATATACTAGAAAATGTGGAATAATATTATCTAAATTATATGAAACATGTTTTTCATTATTATTATTAAGTCTTAATAATGTATATGTATTCTCTCCACCATAAAAATATCCATGTTCACAGTTTTCCCAACTAATAGGAGAGTCTTCAAAACCACTGACAGTTAGAGAAAACCAATTCATATCTTGAATATTCCTAAAAGTTCATTTAATTTTTTTTCTTTATATTCTAAAAAATATTACAATAAAGATGTCCATAAATTCGATATCCATGTGCAGCTAATCATACCTGACCATAAAAATGTAATAACTTCCTCTTTCAAAGCATTCGAAATATGATAAATAGATATATAAGGATCAATATTATCCTGAGTTTTTAATCTTGATTATTATTAAATTAGTATAACATTATGAAACTTTTACTTATCAGCTCTAAGAGAAACCAAAGCTAACCATTCATATATCTCTATGGCCCATTCTCTCCGAATAATTTTATTTAAATTTAGATCATAGATTTTTTCTGGATAAGAAAAAGAAGGACATGGTATTTGTCCTAATTCATACTCTTCAAAATGTACAGGACGAGTAGGTAGACCAACAATTTCTTCAATAACTTTAATATCACCTGAAACAATTTTAAGACTAAAATAAAAGCAAAAACACCACTAACCTTCATTCAATGCTGACATTTTAAAAGAAAAATCTTTCGGGAAATTATTTTCAAAACTCCATAAAATTCGATTAAATCCTTTTTTCCCTTTTTTCATAGAAGAATCTCGCATATCCAATGTCACATCTAAGAATATTACTCAAAAATACATAAGCAAAAAATAAACTACTCCATCTAGATCGTGTCTTTGAAAAAGCAGACAATTTACCCACAAGCCCTGCTTTCTCATACGTTTCTTTTGTTAAAGAAAGAATAATTATTCCTTAAAATAAATAAAAAGTTTAAAAATATGAAAAATACCTTTATTGACACAAACAACGTCATCTGTATCTATATGATTCATGGACAGTGCACACAATATTTCTAAAGATATTAATAAAAACAAAAAATTCAACCATCTACCAGTTTTAATAAGCTTATTAAAAACATCATCACGAAGAAACCAGCTCAATGGAACATTTAACATAATAAATCTAGGAAAAGTGCTTTTATCAAGCAAAAAATTAACTTTTTTTGAATCATCTTTTCGTAAACAAAGTTCAACCTGGGTTTCTCATTAATTTATGAATATTCAAAATAGAACCATAAAACAGAAAAATTAAACGGATGTGATAATATTAAAGACATTTTTGGAGCTCCATATGTAATAAAACACTTTTTTCTTTTTGCTTTTAAAGGTTTTCCAAATAATTCCATATTTTTATAAAATAATCACTGTTTTTTACAAAAAAACTACATTTAGCATAGAAAAGCAATTAAAGAGAAAGTACCCTTTTACTCCAAAAAATATTTATTAATTGCAAAAAACTTAGAATATCTGTTTTATACTGATATCTTCACTGTCTAGATTATTAAGATTATCTATAGATCGATATCTCAGACTTGTCAGGACAACATATCAATATTATAAAAAATAAACTAAATCAATATAATTTTAGTATTTAAAATGCCCTATAATACACAGAAAAACGAACCAAAATATGTATCTAAATTAGAGGTTTTTTTCCTTAATTTTCTCTAAAACTACATTTTAACACCTTTACAGGCACCAAGTTTTTTTTCTCTACAAAGAACAAGAACAATAAGAGGACATAGTGATATTGTTAAAACACTTGGATGGAACTGTTCTGGCTCAAGATTAGCATCAGGATCAGCAGATCATACACTGCGTATCTGGAATCCTGATAAATTGGAATTAAGATACTCTACAGAACTCAAGGGGCATGGATCAAGTGTTGACTATCTTTCATGGGATCCTACACATAGTGATCGTCTTGCAAGTGTGGGAAAAGATAAAACAATTCGTATTTGGGATTACAGAGGTCTTTAGTGGCTGTTTTGAGGGAATCTAGTGTTGATTGTCGTTAGAAGCCAAATATATTATGGATATCACAACAAATGGTGAAAATATCACTGTATCATGGTCACCTGATGGGCGTTATGTAGCAGCAGGAAGCAAAGTTTAGAAAAAAGAGGTCAATTACTTTACTAATTTTACATAGGATGATGTAATTACATTTGTCGATGTCAAAGAGAAAAAAGTTATAAACACTGTCAAGCAGCCAACAGAGGTGACTTTATATCGTTTATTAAATACATTATTGTCCTAAAAATCTCAGACAAACGAAATTGCATGGTCAAATAGTGGAGACTTTTTTGCATTGGCAACGGGGCATGGTACAGTTAATTTAGTTGAGTGGCCATCCTTAAAACATGTTTATACAATTGATGCGCATACTTCTAATTGTTTTTCTTTAGAATTTGATCCAAAAGGAAGGCATGTTTTCATAAATACTTATAAACTTATATTTTGACTTTTTAGATACTTAGCAGTGGGTGGATCAGATGCACTTGTTACTCTATGGGATTTAGATGAATTCGTATGTGTTCAAACATTTTCAAAGCTTGAGTATAGTCCTTTTTAGACATTTTTTTTACTTTTTTTAACCCGTTTACTAGTTGGCCTGTAAGAACACTTAGTTTTAGCCACGATGGACAATATATTGCATCAGCATCTGAAGAAAATGCAATAGACATTGTATGTATAATATAAACGCTTCAAAATACATTATTTATTTTTAAGTCACATGTTGAGACAGGTGAGCATGTCTATAAAATTCCAGCCAATGCTGCAAACAAGGTCTGTTGGCATCCTTACAAATATTGGTTGGCTTATGCGGGCGATGAAACAAGTAAAAAAGGTGATCTATCAATATTTGGTATTAACAGTTAATTCATTGCACTCTTATCTCTGTTTACAACATATACATAAAGAATCTCAAAAGTCAAATTCACTCATTTCATTACAATTAAGCAGGGATAATTCTTATTTTCTTTTATACTCATTTATTACTTTTTACACACACTTCTACTTATCGAGCCCCACACCGACACAACCAAACAAATATGTTTTTTAATATTTTTTCAAAAACAAAACTTCAGCAACCACAAAATAAACTTCTTTGTTTTTCATACCGTCATTACAATTATTTTGGATATTTTTTTCAAAAAATATATACTCAACAACGCCATACAGGCATATTTTTGCGTCGTTTTGCAACCGTAGTAGAATCTTTAAGCAAAGACACACGAGGAAAAAGAGCACCTTCTATTAAAAAATATCGTCCAACTACTCCTGGAAGACGCTGGCTTCGACGCCCGTTAAATGATCACCTTTGGAAAGGAGGCCCAATACGATTTTTAACGGTTGCAAAACGTCAACATGGTGGACGCAACAATCATGGAAGAATTACTGTACGACATATCGGAGGAGGACATAAGCAACGTATTCGAGTTGTTGATTTTGTACGAAAAACACCAGGACCACATCTTGTTGTACGTATTGAATATGATCCAGGACGCAGTGGACATATTGCATTGATTAAAAATTTAAAAACAGAAAAGCTCTCATACATTTTAGCAGCAGATGGACTTCGTGCTGGTGATACTGTTGAAAGTTATCGAACAGGTCCAAATTCACCAGAAGAATGTTCAGGTAAAATAGACTCTGGTATTTTTGCTGCAAAAGCTATCCAACGTGGAAATTGTCTTCCTTTATCAATGATCCCAGTAGGAACAATTATTTTTGCCCTAACAACAAGCAAATATGGGCCCGCAAAATTCTGTAGGAGTGCAGGTACATATGCACAACTGCTTTCTACTGGAGATAAGGGCTATGCCATTGTAAAACTACAAAGTGGAGAACTACGTAAAATACATGTTAATTCGGCTGCTACAATCGGTGTTGCAAGCAATGTAGATTGGTATATATCATTATATTTTTCCCTTTACAATTTCATAATATTATAAAGGAAGCACCGGAAATTAGGAAAAGCAGGACGATCTCGATGGTTAGGTATTCGACCAACAGTCCGTGGAGTAGCAATGTAGGGAAAAATGTATTTGCAGTTAATTTAACAATTTAATACTATAAAGGAATCCTTGTGATCATCCTCATGGTGGCGGACGTGGCAAAAGTAAAGGTAATCGGCAACCATGTAGTCCATGGGGAAAACTAGCCAAAGGCAAAAAGACGCGAGTAAGACTTAATCCATTGGTTATCAAGGGGCGTCCTCGGTAATAATTTTTATCAAGTCATTCAGTTACTATACATAAAATTTTAAATCAAAAATGAACTGTTACTCATCATTACAGTTTTTTCGATGACATTTAACCAGAAAAGCAAATCAACATCAGCTAATCACCCAAAAATATATATCTCTAAACAATTTAATAAGAATCGTGTATCAAAACCTACTATAAATATACCATGAACATTCATATATTGTCACGTATCGCCATATGTCGACATGTACAACATTACTGAGTATCTACATACTCAAACTACCTTATTCTCAACAACATTCATCTATGTATATACAATCTCTATAACACAATGTATATAACAACATATTGATGTGACTTTATACTACAGTATATACAACTTATATATAATATATATCTGTATATTGTCTCTTCACACATTCATATAGCCTTTTTCACAAAAATATATATCTAATTTCTTCAACATATCCTTGCAACACGGCTTCACAATACCGCCTATATGTATCGTATTCTACGTTACATCTCGACAAAATATAAATAATCCATGTCATCCTCTTTCTCCTATAAATACACCATAATCTCTCTACTCAGCCTCAGCTTTGACGCTCATATGCAGAGTCTATATTCGTGTCGTTATACACATTTTCCGTCTCAGCATCATCAAGCTCCTTCTTAAACCTAACCATATAAACAGTGTATACAAATTGCATATAAATACACAAAATACATTGCATCCAAACTTTTTAAAATCAAATGTTCCGGAATCAAAAACAACGCCTGTTTAACTTTTTCTAATAACATCTCCTTATTCATCTCCACTTCGCCCGACCCTATCGTACGGATAATATTCAATATCGCATTTGTTGGCGCCGTCAACACCGAGTCGGGTCTTAAAAGCCCTGAAAAAATATCCAATAGCTTATCTAGTTTACACAGCCGCGACCGCTGAAATAACAACCGCTCCGACTGAAGCCCTTTATTCATTAACTCCCATCCAATGATCTTTCAAAAACAAGGCGTATAGTGGCAACCAATACCCATCCACTAATAGACTTCTAAATACCCTTTTTATACATATTTTCTGCTGTCCAAACCTTGTATTAGCATTGATATTAATCCCCAGTGTAGTCCTCCATAGTAACCCCATCACAATCACCATGGCAACCACTATGGCAACCACTATGGCAACCTCACTAGCACCCTCCTAACTTTATGAAATCCAAAATACACAAACATGCCCCCATACACTCATACATACTTGGATATGCCCAAATATGCCCAAATATACCATCAAAAACACACATACCCACCCCACTATACATCGCCTCATCTACCCACTCATACATACCTATCGCCGATAGACGTGTCCACTGCTCAAGAATCCCCTGCAATGTAGGACACTATTATACATCAAAAACACATTATCCTGCTTCTATACATTCTATCCATACCGGATCCGCGTCTAAAACATGCAAAAGGCCGTGAAATTTAGACACTCCATCAATATGATCCCGAAGATTCCCTTTGGTCCATTTAGGCTCCGTAAGCGGTGCTGTACGGTTAAGCCACGCTTCAATCTTTTTTGCCCTCCAAAGCTCCCCATTTGTTGGGTCTGCATTTGTCTGCTTAAATACCGGCTGAGATGCCCCGTTTGATACAAATTCCTCAAACTAAGTGCGCATTTAGCCCCCTAAATCACTTTTTTCTCGGCTATATGCGCTTACCACTGCCCATCCATCTGTCTCAATCACAATTCTTCCCTCACGCCGAAGAAATACGACTGAGATAATATGCTCTGCTGAAATCACCATACGTACAGTGCCCTTTTTAAATGACACTGACAACCGGTCTGGTGCAGCCAATGTTGCTGCTACTGGTGACATGTCTTCAGACGGATCTTTATCTGCTGCACTGCGGAAATAAAAACGGATCCGTGCATCCCGCTGATCTCCTGCTGCACGCATTTCATCTGCCATTAGCCCAATAATATAGATAAATATAATGCATATACCTGAAACAAAGTTGCCTATTTGCAGTTTTGCCAGTCGAAAATCGGAAAATGTTTTACGCACAGAAACATTGCCCGTTATCCGTGGTCGTTTTGCCGGTGCTTCACGAGAGGCTGCAGCTGCAGGGCCAGTAGGAGCAGAAATGGGGGGCGTAGCCGCATATACACCGGAATGAGGCGCTATATGCGGTGTAGAATGGGGTATATGCGTGTGTGCAGAGAAATTGAGCGGCATATATGCGGTGCTGGAAGCGCAGCTGGCAGCAGTGGACCTGTTTAGCCTGCTACGCTTGCGCATACTGCGCGAAAATCTGAGTGACATGTCGATGGCGCCCCGCAGTGCAGCGGTAGTCGGAGGACAAAATACAGAAAGAAGCAGTAAAAAGCAGACAAAGTAGCTAATTACAAAGTAAATAGTAGGCAGACAGGGGAGTATTTGTAATCTGTGCAATAAAAAGCATAGATTGGGTGTGAGCGGTGTATACAGGAATATGAAAATCTATCGGGATAGCGAGCCGGGTGCAGAGGGAGTAGGGAAAATAGGGGTATTTGGGAGCAATTTTTGAACGGAAGAGATTGGTAATTATCTATTAACAATGGGAGAAAATTGTGCTGTATTTTCCGGGTTTTTTTGTAGTGCACTGAGCAAAGGAAAACGCTCACACGAAGAGATCGATACCGGTCTACAGTACACATAAAACAGAGATAAAGCAGGAATAAATACAGGCTAAGCGGCAAATGGGAAGCAAAGGCAACAATAGATGAGCATTAAAAGATGTATTATGAACAGGAAACAGAAAAAAGCCGTCTTTACTGTATATAAACACGGCCAAGTATGCCATAGAAGCATGCAGCGGTGAGCGGCCGTAGCGTTGTAGCGATATACACATAAAACCATGAACGCTTAAGTGATCAGCAAATGAACACAAAATATACAGAGTGCAAAAAATAAAGCCAAAACAAAAAATAAAGCATTGCTAGTGTTGGATAGAACGTGATATACAGGGAACAGGGGCTTCCTGTGTATAAATAGGGGGCTGAGCAAACCCGGTCCGACATGTTTTGCAGGCCTTGCAAAATACATAAACAACGCAGCAAATCTCTAGCTAGTGAGCTGCAATCCACTAAAAAGCAGCCCATTAAGCGTCTGCAAAACAGAGATAAAACCAGGCTATATAAAGCCTCGAACGGTACTAGGTATCTGCTTGAAAACAAAAATGCCCTTTTTCAAGCACTAGAACCGGCCATGCCAAGCAACAGGTTCTATTGCTAGACTGTAAAAACATGTCCAAAAACTCGCGCCTTTTATGTATTTTTCATGTATTTTTCATGTATTTTTTAACATTTGCAGTTTAGTTGTACCGTCCAATATGAATAATAAAACACCCGATTTCTTATTATATTTTACCGTTTAAGCCGCCTTCGAAGTATTGTTTTTTTAATACTCTGCAATGACACCTCCACATTTGCCACACCAATATGGGTTTCGATCTCAGTGACCCATCCGTCCTGAGATACACCGAGTCGCCTGTAAAACTGCTGCTCATGCTGTGCATGGAACAGCATTTCCCGCAGCCGCTCAAGGCGGTCCTGCAGATGCTGCATCGAGCGGAGACGCCTCTTTAGAGCCATATGCAGCGGGACATAGCTGCGCAGCCCATGCGTGCGCATCGGCCATTGACTGTGTCCGCACTGCGTCCGCACTGCGTCCGCGTCCTTGCTGCAACTTACACAACACGCATACAACACATACAACATACACAATATATACAACATACACAATATATACAACACACACAATGTATACAATCTATATATAGCATACACGACATATACAATGCATATCATGCATACATATATACAGTATAATGTATATAGCACACACAACATATCACACACAACACATATAACATACATATATAACATATATATAACACACACAACATATACAGCACACACGACACTGCATCCACCCGCACATCACGTGCATCCAAAGACCCGCCTCGGCCAGCTGCATGCCTGCCCTGCACTGCCCGCCACATGTTGCTCTACATCCGCGCGTTCCTAACCCTACACCGCTGCCTGCTAAAACTGCGCGCCCTCGGGCGGCTGCGGAAGCCGCTTGTTATCGGGCTGCGCCATCTCGCTGTCCCTGTCAGCCCCGCACAGCGCATGCCACCCGTGTATATGCGTGTGCAGACGCATATATACGCATATATCTGTGCATACAGCATACACAGCAGCCCACATATGCATACACTGTATATACCGTATGCACACCCGTCTGTCCTATGCATAGGATGTATACTGTATACTGTATATACAATATACAGTATACACACAATACACACAATATATACAATACATACAACACACACAATGCACACAATGCACTAATACACGCATTCTGTAGTCATTGCACATACCGCCGCAGCTCCATCAGCACTGTCTCGAGTGTATGCTCACTCCGCCACTCTGCCAGGCACCGAAGCTGCCTCGGCTCCACTCGCCCCGTCTCTCCATCCACACACGGCAAATTAATTTTTGACACAAAATACACAGATGGCGCTCTTTCTGGGTACTCTTCGCCACAGTGTATACGTATGCTGTAAATCCGGTTCTCATGCACACTCTACACTATCAGCTCCCCACTTTGCATTTTCTTATATATATCTCACATGCGGAGGCCCGAGAACCGTCCCAATCCAGCTCGACATAGTCATATCGTCCGTGTCGACGAGTCCATAAGAAAATGTGCCATCGCCAAACCCTTTTTCACCTTTTTCAAGCTCCTCTGACCAGTCAGCCCTGCTTTCCTCTGCAATACTGCCGTACCTAATAGGCGGAAGTTTCTAGGTCTGGCGGTCAGAAAAGCACTCCAGCAGAGACTTACATTTTCTGCATTTGTCGAGAGTCGCTCTCGACGGTCGACAGCCGGTCGACGACGAAATGCGCTGGATCGCAACTGTGACACTAGAGCTCTCGCACTTAGTGGGAGAAGCAAAACGCAAATATCCAGAGCTCCGGACAGTAAGTATCGCTGTGTACCGCCGCGCTGCGTGCTGCGGTTCGGAGTATATGCATGTTGCAGCACTTGGCTGCGCCCGACACTCTGGCCGTGGTCGCCGGAGTATATGCATGTAGCATTCGGGGTGTATGCATGTAACATGCAGGCCGCCGAGAGGCGTGCGGTGCGGCGGTGAGCCGCCAGGGAAGGCAACTAAGAAGTGCAGGCGGCAGAGCAGTCTCTGGCAGAAATCAAGGGATTCAGGGACGAGGCAGAGGGAACAGAAAAAATTCGAGAAAACCCGGGGTTTCTTGTCCCATTCTTGCTTGGATGCAGTACACAGAGCACTAAGTGCTGCAGCATAGCAGTAAGGTGTCTACAGCGACTGATTGCAGCGAGTGCAATTTCAAGCGTAATGCAGAACGGTTTAAAGGCGGATATTGACAGAAGTAGGCATCGCTACCGCCGATCCTGGAGGCACTGTGCGAGGCAACAGTGCTCAGTGCAGAGATTCAGCTGAAGATTCTGCAGACACTGCCGGTGCTACTGACGAATTATACAAAGGAGCTTGGAGGGATACTTCTTGGAGATGTCTTTAAAATATGCTTTATGCTTCAGAACAGCAAGTACATAGTGGTTCAGAATACAGCGGCAGCAACGCTTCGACAGCTGGTTATTCTTGTCTTTGACAGGGCAGCACGTGAAGACAGTATGTAGGCCGCTGGCAGGCAGTGCTGGTGGGCATTAGCGGGAGTATTGACTGAAATAGACGAAAAACAGGGGGAAACAGAGACGCAGCAGGCACAGCAGGATGCATACCACTTGATGGAGGATCTGTGCCTGCTAATTAACGGGGACAAACCGAAGATACTGCATATCCACCATTTGTACAAGACGTTTGGACTGGAGCTAGTTGAGAGTATTTTGACGAGCCATCCAAGGATTTTCCAAGAGGTGAATTGCCCTGGTTTTTGTGTGAATCATATATTTAGCTTTCCAGCACGACAAACAAGTCAGGTTACTTCGTAACCTAATGTTTCTGGTGCTTCGTCCGTTTTCCCATAAAAGCGACTTTGCAATAACAGTGAGAAGTGCCAGAATTGTGTATCTTCTTCTGCGCCAGCATCTTAAAAATCTTGTTGTAGAGGGGGAAATTGCATTTAGTTTGTTCTGCCATATTCTTATAGACCAGCAAGATAATACTTGGCTACGTATTCTGGTGATGGAAGTGTTTAGAGGAATATGCACGGATAGTGCACTTGTGCGCTTGATTTACAAGTATTATGATACAGAGGTTTCCCGTAAAAATATCCTCTATGAGATAATATTTTCTTTCAATAAATTGGCTAGAGAACAGCCAGGGCTGATCGGCTTGAGCACGAATGTTATTTTTAGCGGTCAAACGAATGAAGACGGTACATACAATGGCACATATGAGATTCTTGGGGATGTGGCCGACATGTTTGGCGGCATATGCAGAATCCTTGTAGATCAATGTCCACCCGGCATTGATTCAAAGTTATCTACAATCCGTACATCTTGTATTGACCAGCTCGATAAAACAGAGCCGCCCGTGATTCCTCCTACTTATGTTTACTACTTAGTGCTTACATGTTTAAACTCGGTCGCTGATGGTATTGCAAAAACAGTGATTCCATTTTTCAAACGAGGATCCCTTCGGAAATCAGCAGATTCCAAAGTATCTGCCAAAACGCATGATAAAGTATCTCCACAGTCGAAAAAGTCTGAAAAAGTTTATTCGGCTTCTAATTTTTCACCCGAATCTCATGTGGAGCGTCAAGAAATATTTATTTGTTCAAAAATAATTGAGCACATGTGGCCTGCCTTTTTAGCAGTAAGTGGTTTACCACAATTACGAAAAAGTATTAACGGTTCAAGGCATTTTCAACTTTTCTATCTGCATCTATGTCAATTGATTTATTTCATAATCTCGTTCGCTCATATAGATATTTTACCCAGGCTTCTGGATATTTGGGCTATAATATTTCCAGAAACGCATTTTTAACCAACATTTCCAAGCTTTCAATCCCACCTATATTTATAGTACCGTATAATACTTTGCATTCGAATTTTTCGGCAAACAATAGTCCTAATAGTCGTCGATTGAGCATGGAAACCCATACTAGTAGTACACCGGATATAATTACCCCTTCTCGTTTAACACACGATTCCGATAACGCAATCGTACTTACTTTGAAAAATTTAATTTGTCTCAGAGCTATCCTATTGTTATCAATTCATTTAGGGAATAATCTTAATGCATCATGGTCAATCATTCTTGAAACACTACGAAAAGTCGAGTTAACTATACTCGAAATGTCGAAAAAGAATCCCGTAAAATTTCCTTATAGTATTCTAAATATGAAAGTACTCGGCAATATTGACAAAAAGGAGGAAAACGTTAATACTTTTACGAAAAATGTTCTTAACGTTGACATTCCTTCAATACATGCTCTTACTAATATGGCTTTCGAGAATACTAAAACATTTTCAGAAAAAAGCTTGTTAACCATATTAAAGACTATTTGTGAACTTAGTACTTTTTCAGAAACATTTGAAAATAATTCATCATCTGAAACAAAAGTATTTTTCGATATTAAGAAAAACATGTCTTCGGGTAATTTTTATAATTACCAAGGAACTACTATTTTTAATAAATCAGATGAGCTAATTTTTGTTTTTTACAAAATCAATCTAATCTGTAAAATTAATATCGAAAGGTTGTTTTTCGGTGCTTCAGAGAAAAATGGTTGGGATGTAGTAATATCATATTTGTATTCTTTTATTCAATCACGAAAAGTCGATAGTTTAATTCGAAAACAAGCTGCTGAAGTATTTATTGATATTTTCAAATCAATAATTGCATGTCATTATTGGAAAAATCACGAAAATAATGATAAAGCTTTAAGAAAAATGCTATCTACCATAAATTTTCTTTCTATAAAAAATATTATGAAAGACACTGATATCCAATTATGTTATAATGATCGTGCTATTGAGTTAGAAATAATAGGTATGCTGTTTGACGTTTTGAATTTATTTTTAAATTCGTTGGGCCATTTAATTTCTGAAAGTTGGGACATTGTCTTTCAAATAATTAATTCTGTATTCGTTGATGAACAATCTACTTCTATTTCTTTTAAGGAAAATCATTCAGATATTTTATTTTATAAAGCAAGGGAATATAAAAATTTATTGAAAGATCTAAAAATCCTTAAAGATTCATTTATTTCTTTACAATTAATATGTACAGATTTTTTGTCAGAGCTTTCAGCAGATTTTTTCTTAATTTTAATAAATACTCTTAGGAAATTCTGTCTTCAAAAAGATGATTTAAATATTTCTTTAACAGCCATTGGATTATTTTGGAATATATCGGACAATCTTAGGTCAAAAAAGTCTTTTGAAAACTCAATCCAAATATTTAATAATGATAATGAACTAAGTTTTTTAACAACGTTAAAGGATAATATTTCTGTTGAAGATTCATTATGGATAGTCTTATTATTCCGTTTAACAGAAGTAACCTTAGATGATAGACCCGAAGTACGAAATGGTGCAATACAAACGATATTTAGAAATTTCGATGTTCATGAAGAAAATATGGGAAACAATTTATGGAAATATTGTTTTCAAATGATCATATATCGTATTTTTTTCATATTTGAAAAAAATGTTTCCGAAAATAAAGATGATAAACATTTTGAACTTTTTAATAATATAGATAAGGCATCTTTTGACGAATCATTGATTTTAGTGATATCAGGTTTAATGTCTCTTTTTTGTCATAACCTTAAAACCTTTCTTTCACTTGAAACTTTTTCTGAAATTTGGGATAAATTGTTAAATTTTTTTTCGCATTCTATAAAATCGGATTCTAGTGATACTTTTATGCATTGTTGTAAAGCTATTGATAATGTTTTGAATAAAATGAGATCTATTGAATTAGGTTCAAATTATAATAATTTGTACGCAAAAGTGTGGTCAGTATGGAATTTGTTTTCAGATATTATATCATTAACCTACGATGAAAATTTATCTAAACAGGAAGGATTATCTCAAGAAGCACTTAATAAATTTGTTAATTTTACTTGCTCTTTATATAGATTTATGATTCCTGATAACGATCTATCTATAATCAATAAATTAATCGAATCTACATATAACGCTTTAACATATTCACATTGTCCTGCTTATTATCTTGATGTTGATTTTATGACACCTCTTCAATCTAGTGTATTAGAAATAATCGATATTTTGAAGGATAATAACGAACAAACATATATATTATCTTTAAAGCAACTTGCAAAAATTAGTACTCTTGCATTCAACAAAAATATATTAGAAAATACAATTTCTAGTCAAAATATATCAAAGATAAATAAGATATTTTCTACATATATTGCTATTTCTAAAACATCTTTCGAAAGAATAGAATTATATTTTTCAAAACATTCTAAAAATATATTAATTTATGAGCAAAATGCATTTTTCGAAATAATACATGTAATATTTTTGTTTTTAAAATAATACTAAATTTCATAGGCGTTATCTGTTCCTATAAAACTTAAACATAAATGTCCATCAACTTCTCGTATTGGTAGTGGAGAGCTTTTTTGGAAATTTGCTACTCTAAAAATGCTCTCTATTTTAGAAAAATCTAACTTAAAAATGGTTTTACCAAGTTCTAATATAGAATTATGGGGAATAATTAATGATTGTTTACATGGAATACTTTTATTTGATTAGTGGGTTTAATTTTTATTTCAAATGATATTAATTTTTCTTAGTAATAATAATTCAATGTCTTTAAAAGAATCTGATGAAGATTTCGATATTTCTACATATACAAGATTAAAAGCGGTATTATTTCCATTAATAGGAGAAGATATAGACACATTAGAAAGAGCTATTTATATTATTGTCAAATCATCTTTTATATACAATTGTTCCGAACAAATTTTGACATTTGAACAATTATCATCTTTTTCAAAAACTCCGAAACTAGAATTAGAAAAATATACGTTTCAAGAAATCATTCCTCAAAGAGAAAAGTTAGGTTTTATATGTCTGAACGATTTGTTTGATTTTTGTTCTATAAAACAAAACGGTAATATTTCTTTTAATATTATATTCATATTTATGCATATATTCAAATATGTTAGACAATAGTTTAGAAAGATCTATAGCAACAACAGCAGGTAAACATCTTTTAAGACGCTGTTCAATGGTTTTACAACAATTTATATTGAATCATCAAATGAGAGGATCAATACCAATGTCTCGGTATGTGAATTATTTAATTTCATATACATTAATGAATAAAAAGAATTGAGCGTGCAGAACTTATTGCTATAATCCAAAATCTTAATAATACAGAATTTTATTCTGACTTACTTGAATTCGATAACTCTTTAGGTATTTTTTATATATTTTTTAAGCATTCATTTATTTTTAGAAAACAATTCTCAAACACTTAGTAGTACAGAAACTTTAAAAATGCAAATATTCCCTCTTCTTTGTACGATCTTGCCTCTTTGTTATCAAGATCAAGAACTATTAACACTAATATCTTTCTTTTTTCAAAAGATTGGAAAATCAATTCATATTTATCAAACACTTATATAAACACTAATTTTTAGGGAGGTCATCATTTTCAAAATATAATTTAGAAATATAGTTTTTTTAAAATAATCTATTTATTTTTAGATGTAAAATACTATAAATAAATAAATATAAAAAATAATAATATATGAATATTAAAACCTTCTCACGAAATTTATTTTCAATTTTTTCTAAAACTACTTCATTAAAAAGTGTTCTATCTTTTCGAACATATGTCAAAAGTCTCCTAGACCCTAATAAAATATTAATAACTTTTGAAATAAAAAATATAAATACATTTTCCAAAACATTGTAAACTATTTGCAACAAGCAAGAGGTTAGGATGGTGCGGAATATCAATATTCACTTCATCTTCTGTAATACTAGGCATCCAAAAGACAAGTCTTCCCTGAGTTAAAAGATGATTTGATGCAAAGTTCATAAGATCCATAATCAAATTTCCAAACGGATAAGATCTTGTTGGTGGAATATAGTCTTTCTGTCTAGAAGCATTCAATATCAATAAAACCCTTTAAAAGAATTTACAAATGATAATAACATCCTGACTCATCTTTAGGAGGAGATTTATTGGATAAATTTTTCCTCAAGGTTTTCGCGCCTGCACGCACACCATAACTTATTCATTGCTTAGTGCTAAATTTATATATTTATATGTGCATATACATACGGTGCTAATATTGAAAAATATTATTATGTTAAATTTAATAAAAAAATAAACTTACGATCACAAATGATAGCATCAAACAAAAAACCACTACGTAAACTCAAATTCGCAAAATCCATTATAAAAACGTCAAGAAATTCCGACACCAAATTATACTGTTCAAGGTTACTAGAAATCGATAAACGTCCTCGACCCCTTAATGGTCGTCCATCAATATCAGAACCTATAAGTAAATCAGTCAGTTCTAATTCCCTATTTAATAACCATTATGTTTTACCCATTGTCATTGCACCGTAATAAGCACATGCGAAAAGAAAACTACCTGTTCCAACGAACGGATCATAAACAAGTTTGCCTTTGCGTGCCTATTAATCAGAACTCTGACGTGCATAATATCTAACAAATATAATACCAGAGCCTGATTTGCAGCAATTAAAGAAAGTTCTGCATCCATTGACGTATTCCCAATATATCGTCTTTTCTTCAGATCAAAAAGACCTACTGCACTACGGCTACTACGTGCTACCTAAATGAATTAATTTCATCTATAAATACGCAATCAAATCCGGATTATAAATATTTTAAATATGCACTATGTGCAGTTCCATATATAAATTTTAAAGGTTATAGATATTTTACCGGAATTTACAAAATATCATCTACAAAAACCTACCTGTCTACCTAAAGAAACACGTAGCAAAATTTGTGTACCTTTTTGCCATTCTTCAAGCACAGCATAAATTTGCTCCGGATTATTCATAGAAACTGGACCTTCAAAAGAAAGATAAGAAAAACTATCAATAATTTCAATCTGATGCTGCATTGTATGCGATTTATTAACACTTTCAACAACAAACTTAAAGGATGAATTACGAAATGGCTGCTATTTCAAATAAGAGATAACCATAGATAAATGTTACTTACACACAAAGCAGGGCCTAACTCACGAAGCTGTGCATGGAGATCCGCATAAGACGTTGCACTGCTCCAAAGCTCATAAATTGCTCTAAAATCTGTTATATGATAAATAAAAGCATTAAAAACACTTACCTGGAACATATTGAACGGCAAATAAGCCGTTTGGCCTGCTCATCATCACGCAATTGCAAAAGAAGACAGGGCGACTGAAGATGTTAGTTGCCAACAGCTGTATATAGCAAGTGCGCAACGGATGCATTGATACACACACAGAAACTCTGATTATACATTCAGCAGCTGTATATTCCCGATATTTATAATCTAGCCATAGTGCATTCCATAATATATAGATATTATATCTGCTATATTATGTGTTACATATGTATTATATACGCTTTATATGCACAACTATGCATGTTGTATGCGAACTGTATACAAACCATATGCACATTATATACTCACATGTATATTACTTAGTATATATGCATCGTCTATTACATATATATATTATGTGTGCATTATATGCACAGTATATGTGTGTAGATAGCATTATCTATACTTTTTTGCCTTCTGTAATCTGTATACACTTGTAGTGCACAACATATACGTATTATGCACGTATTATATTTCTGTTATATGTAAATTGCACGTATTGTATATATGTGTCATCTACGCCTTATATGCATGACATATGTGTAATATATGTGTAATATATGCGTTTTACATGTGAGGTATATGCGGTCCAGTTCTGCACCTTAGACTTTACCTGTCTGTCATAGGCTGAAAGGTCCAAGGAAATACACTCTGCTATTGCCAAAGATTCTAATTCTTCTCGTCGAAAATTCTTGTGTGAAAGTGAAAACATGATAATATAGTTACGCAGCATTTCCATATCAGTTAAAATGTCCAATGCACCTTATCTGCACTTAAATAGACTGTATTCTCAAACAGAATAGACAAGAAACTCAAAATTCAAGAAAAAGTATGCCAAAAATATCAATTTAATTTAAAAAACACTCGTTATATAACATTTTCTGTCGTCTTTTATATAATAAAATTGGAAAAGTTAGGGTTTGGAATGATAGATTAGGGTTAGTATATAGAATATAGATTTAGGTTAGGGTTAGGTATAGGAAGGTGAGATAATGGTGCTATAGCAATGTTTGGCAGAAAATATTGATGCAACGGGATATGTATAAATTAAAGAGTAAAAACAATATAGAAATAATGTATGTGCATGTATATATGTTTTCTCAAAAAACAGTTTTTTTCACTAACTGAATTGAGAGCAAAAGTATATCACGTGACATAACAATAACACGTGATTCATAATGGTGCTCGAAGAATCAACGTCTGAGTATTTAAATGAACACTCTTTGGCAGGTAATAAAAGATGTTTGTAGAAAATACAACAAACTAACACGTAAATAACAGATCTTTTAAGAAGAAACAAGCAGTTATCTTTATTTTTCACGCCTTTTATTTGACCTATGCTTAAATCATGTTTGTATTTAAAAGGATCATTTGGAAAAAACTATACACTACGAAGACTAGGGACTAGTGTCTTCAGGCTAAAAGAGGTTTTATTTATGTTTTCAATGTGTAGAAGTATGTTTTTAAGGACTTGATTAGTGGACTTTTGATGAACAATCTATTTTATTCCGTCGAGCATTAATTCTAAATCAAAATTGGGAAAAGATTGCAGAAGGTATTATAGGACATGATGCAGAAAGCTGTAAGAAAGAATGGGAAAGAATAAATTCAAGTGATCAACCATCCAACCCTTATAAAACGCCTCGAACAACTATGAAATTTTGGACGCCAACAGAAGTATCTAAACTTCATGAGTTTATAAATGCACATGTACTTAATGGGGAATATGATACACTTTCTAATCACCGTAATCCCATATGGAAAGATATATCTTCTTATATTGGTCGAAGTGCTTATCAATGCTATTTGAGATGGAAACGCACATCGAATCCTTCTATTATAAGAGGCCCAATGACAGATTCAGAAAAAATAATTATTGAAGAAGCACATAAGAAATATGGAAATCAATGGGAACGAATATCTGCATTAGTTCCAGGACGAACATCACTTCAAATTGAGGTCTATTTTCGAGAAAACAAACGAAACTTTGTTAGAAATAATCTTCGATATTCACCTAATATTATTGATGCACTCGATCGTTTGATATTAACGGGTTCTTATCGCACGTCTGATGGAAGAATATCATGGACAAAGCTTTCAAAAGAGCATTTCCCTAATATTAAACCAGTACTTCTTAGAAAAGCATGGGCACGTTATAATAAAATGGGTTTTAAAAGTGATAAATGGACACCTGAGGAAGTAGATAAACTTATAAAAGCAGTAAATATTGTCCGAGAATCTAATGTTTCATATCAAATTTGGAAAATAGTAGCAAATCTTATACCAGGACGTACAGCAGAGTCTTGCAAAATTAAATATCGTTCTGTAAGTTTTCGAAAATCAGATATAACTCCAGCTCGTCGGTGGACTACTATTGAAAACTTAAAATTAATTAATACAGCACTTATGCGGGAATTTCGTTGGGTCAAAGTGGCTATGGATTTACATTATCCCTACAATTTTTGTCGAGATAAATTTCTTAATTTATTAACAGAAAGAAATACTATATCTGGTCATTTAGCAAGAGATGCATGGTCGAGTAGAAAAAATAAACATTTGGAGAGCTTTCTAACCCTAGACTTAACCAAAGATTGAAAAAGTATTACATCTAATAGATACAGATATAAAAATATAAATGATTCTGCTAAGATAATAATAAAAGAGGAAAGAAAACAAACATTAACTTCTTTATGGATAAAGTGTATGAAACTTTTTTCTATATCAAGTCACTGTATTATATATCCATTCACCTATTTTTTCTTACTTTCGTTGGCATGGCAACTTCAGTGTTTATTTTCTTTGACTCATCGTCGGAGCAACTTTGGACTGTCGCACACTCGCTCGGCGCGAAGAGCTAGTTTAGGCGTTAAATATCAGCAAACGCACGTTTCAGAGAGTTTTCGAGCTGCAAACACGTAGCCTATCTTCCATTTTCAAGAATAGAGACGCAGGCTGCTTTTCCAGCGTTTTTTCAGCAGTTTTCAGTGATTTGTATTGAGTATTTCAAAAATCGGGTCGCCATTGGCTTTGTTGGATACGATTAAAAGGTAAACTAGGCACAGGAAAAACAAAGAATGCGTGTTTCTTAATGAAATTAGTAGAATATTGCGTTTAAATAAGCCTTTTTTGTGAGATTGCACGGTTGGGCGCGAAAAGACGATGAACGCAGCGGTAAGATGTTTATGTATACATAGATTCACAGCTAATTACAACAGCGGCGCATAACACGCCAAACAGCGTTGTCCAGTGTCAACGACGAGAATAAGTTGCATGGTCAAGCAACACGGGTAAAGTTAACATCGACACAAAGCTCAGAAAGTCATGCAAAGCCATGGACAGTTGCAACACGAAAAAGAGCAGCTCTGGGAGATGTGAGCAATGTAAATAATAAGGAGAATATGGTTTCAAAGACTAAAACTCAACCACTTAACACAAAAGCACGTGTAGTCACGAAGCCCACAGTACCAGTACTTCAAACGAAAGAATCAACGCAATTGATCCAGCCTGTACAGACCGCAGAAACTATGCAATTGGTCCAATCAGTTCAGCCGATACCTTTGGTGGATCCACATGTTGAAGAAACTACAAGGAAACGGAGAACTTCAAAAGTTCTCAAAGAACAAAAGCAACCAGTTGGAGTGAAACAAACACAGGCAAGCAAGAAAGTGCGCGTTGAAAGCCTTTCGAATACAGCTACAGATATGGTAGTGGATGCGACAGTACCATCACAAGATTGGGATGATTTAGATGCAGATGACGCTCATGATCCACTGATGGTTTCGGAATATGTTGAGGAAATTATGAACTACATGAGAGAATTAGAGGTTTGTAATGGAAGTTATTAAGAAAAGACTTGATTAATATTTTGGACTAGGTATTAACTCTTCCTTTACCAGATTATATGGATCGGCAGAAAGAACTTCAATGGAAAATGAGAGGGATTTTAGTAGATTGGTTGATTGAGGTTCATGCAAAGTTTCGGCTTCTTCCAGAAACGTTATTTCTCTCAGTTAATATTATTGACCGGTTTTTATCTTTACGTGTATGTTCTCTTCCCAAACTTCAGTTGGTAGGCATAACTGCTCTCTTTATTGCCGCAAAATACGAAGAAGTAATGTGCCCATCCATAAAGAACTTTATATATATGGCAGATGGTGGTTATACAAATGAGGAAATCCTTAAAGCTGAACAATATGTTTTACAAGTGCTTGGATATGACATGTCATATCCGAATCCTATGAATTTTCTAAGAAGAGTATCAAAGGCAGATAATTATGATATTCAGACGCGTACTGTAGCAAAGTATCTTATAGAAATAAGTCTTCTTGATCATCGGTTTTTACCATTTGTTCCATCTAATATTGCAGCATCAGGCATTTATTTGGCAAGGATTATGGTTACTGGTGGTGATTGGGTAAGGCTTTTACTCTTTTTGCATCAGTATTTTCTTTATTAATTGTGTTTAGAATGCAAATTTAATACATTACTCAGGTTATAAGGAATCAGATTTAATGCCTTGTTCTAAAATGATGTTGGATTATCTTTCACGTTCAGTTGTAAAACATGAGGCATTTTTCAAAAAATATGCAAGTAAGAAGTTTATGAAAGCTAGCTTATTTGTTCGTGATTGGGTTAAAAAGCATTATAATGTTGAAGATAATATGCGGTTGAATGGTATTTCTTTAGACCATGACATTCATGAACCAAATGAGAAGCACGAGGGGGTAGACGACGACGAAGTATCCGTATAGTTGCATGTTTTAGATACATATCTATTTTATACTAGTATATTCTTTATTATGATTTGGATAAAAAAAATATTTACTCAGTTTCTGAAAATAACAATTTACGACTTTTAGAGGGCTTGGAGACGATACAGTTAACTACAACATGGACTACGGATGATTCACTGTTTACACATCAAGATGCCTTTTAATATATCTTTTGCTGCATCTTTTATGTATTTTTCTTAGATTATCAAATACACCGTAGAACTTATCGCTCAACTGCATTTGTCATTGTGATCACAAATAGATTAATGGACATAATTAATAATAAAAACAGGTTTTCTGAATACCCTATTCTATTCTATTTATTTTTTTATTTTTTTTCTTAATCCATATATATTTTTTTCCTACTTGTTCTTGATATGATGTTTGCACACTCATTTGCGCTACTTCATTGTTTCTATTGTTGTTTTGCTATGCATCTATAATGCATCTATAATGCATTTATAACTTGTTTATACTAGAAAAATGGAAATTAATGCATCAGATACATCAGATAATCCAGATAATCCCTCCAATACTGACAATGAACGAGTAATGTGGAAAATGAGTCCCATTAAGGAGTCTCCGTGTTCAGCTCGTAAGTTAACAAGATTCTAAGGCTAATATTAACTTTTAAAGGCCCTTCAGACTCTTTATTTGCTTTATTTATGCAACAAAACAGCTCAGAAGACAAGGTTTATTCATACTGTTCTATACCGGCTAACATTTACAGCTTGATAAAGGACTGGATCCGACTGTTGAGCTTTGGAGTCGCTGCAAGACAGCGTATAATACAGAAAATATTAAATACTGTGGACCAGCAACGCCAGTGCAGCGCCGGGTTTCAGTACAACGCCGGAGAGCACATACTGCTCAGAGAAAACACAATATAAGAGAAATGTATAGAGAAAATAAAGATTTTTCAACACAATCATCAGTAACACGGCTTGTTGATGCATTACGTATGCTTTTACCGGACCCATTAAGTGTTGAGAATGGAGTACATGCACAAGAAAGTAGAGTATATACACAGGATCTACAATTGAAGGAGACAGAAAATAATACAGAGGGAGAATGTATGGAAAATCACAAAAAAATTGCAGTAGAATGGCTTTCAGATGATCTTTTAGATGATATAGAGGATTTAGAAGCGTTATCAGAATTATCGGATGAACAGATAGATCAAGATGCAGCTAATATATCTATAAATAAAGAAAACGCAGTTTCTAAGGATTCTGAAAAGCATTCTGTATCCAGAGAAGATTTTCAAAGAAACTTTCAAGACGATAAACTAAATTCTGTAGTAAAAGAGTCATATAATAGTTTTTTTGGTAAAAATCTAACAAATAATGATGGATCAAGAAAAAAAGATGAATATTTAGAAAAAGATTCTATTTCAAATACAATAGCTGAAACAACACATACTTATGATGATCTTTGTCCGACAAAAAAGATGGTTTTTTCTCCTGAAAATAATACGTTTAAGTCATCAACAGTTACAGAAAAGATACCTTTAGAAGCGAAAAAAATACACAAAAATGTAATAGAATTGCCTGAAAATAAATCTTTTCATGAAAATGACAATATTTATACGTCTTTTTCTGACGATATGTTAGACGCATCTTTTGCAGACGATGTATTAGATGAAGAAATAGAAGCAGTTTTATCTGTCTTGGATACATGTCAAGAACCATGTCTCGATCCAGCTCAAGTGCTTGCAAATACTGGTAAAGACTCGTTTTTGACAGATGACTTAGTCTTTGATAAAAATAAAAAAGATTTTATAAAGCCATTTAATCCATGTAAAAATGAAGTGGTATAAATATTTTTATCCTTAAAATTGTAATTTTTCTTTTAATTATTTTAATATAGAACGATTTATTTGTAAGTTATAGGGTTTGTGATGTAAAAGAACAATGGATTGACTCTCATGAATATAAAGGATTTCAAAAGGTTTTTGCATGTTTGATTTTTTTTTTTTTTAAATAGAATAGGTAATTTTTTTGGAGCAAGATAATCGAATAATTCAACTAAGACAAGATTGGTTTTTTACTCCTGTTGAAATAGGCGATGATTTGTATCTTCATGGACAATATGATGAAAATGGTATTTGCATTGTAGATAATTCTCATTATCTTGTCATTTTGAATCCAGATTATTTGATATCATGTACATCTATTGCTAATTCTTATTCATGTATTAGAAAAACAATTATTCAGGAAAAAGTAAAAATAATAGGTGATATATCAAAAAGTCAAGTTTATGGGAAAATATTACACTGTTTATTTCAATTATGCCTTCAAAATAGTAACTTTAGTTTATCTTTTTTAAAAGAAAAAACACAGCATCTAATATTGAGTAATTTGGAGTCTTTGGATGAAATAGGGGAAAATATAGAAAGTGCAATGGAGTATATTTGTCAAAGGTTTTCTAATTTACAAGAATGGGCATCTAGATATTTTCTAAATATGCCTGGAGTATATTGATTTTGTTTTTATCTTTCTTTAAAAATATTTAGGAAAATTCACGTGTAACGACTCATCAATTGAAACAATGTAGTTCATCTTTTATATCTATTAGTAAATTGCTGAAAATTGAGGAACATATTTGGTCTCCTAAATATGGACTAAAAGGAAGTATTGATGCGACCGTTCAAATAGCACTTAAATCAGGACCAGATTTACAATACTTAATAGCACCTTTTGAATTAAAAACAGGAAATAATACAAAATCTATGGAGCATCGAGCACAAACGATTCTTTACACACTTCTATTATCTCAACATTATGGTAAATAATTAATATTTTTCTTTGTTTATTAATTTTATAGATATAAACGTTAATTTTGGAATATTATTTTACTTAGAGAAAGGAGAAACTATTCAAGTTTTTGCTGTTCATAATGAAATCCGTGGACTTATTATTACCAGAAACAATATCGCAAAATATCTTAAAAATTATCAAAATTTACCATGTATGCTTAAAAACACATTTACTTGCAAAAGATGTCCAGTACGTGAGCCATGCTTTGTTTTTCATAAGTTAAGTTAATCATTATACATATAGATAATTCTAATTTGTATAGGCTAATGAGTCTGGAACAGGGGATACAAGCGGATTAGGAAATTACTTTGATGAAAAAACGAACGATATAACTCCTGAATATCGTTCATTTTTTCAACATTGGAGTTCTATGTTATCTAAGGAAGAAAATGAAACATTTCGTTTTAGAAAAGAATTATGGAGTATCACTAGTAAAAAAAGAGAAGAATATGGAAGGTATATATAAACATTACATTTTCTATTAGCTAAATTCTTAAGATGTTTGAGTAATCTTAAAATTAAAAAATGCCACTTTATATCTAATAAACAAGAAATGTTAGAAAATATTAATTGTTATACATATACTTTAGAAAAACATTGCATTTCTTCAAATGATAATTCTTTTCTTGATTCTGAGATAAGCTATGGTGATTATATTATTGTTTCTGATGAAAGTGGGCATTTTGCTCTTGCGAATGGAAGTGTTATTGAAATAGAATTAGCATCAATTACCATCTCTGTGAATAAACAATTACATAGTCCAAAAAGCATCTTAAAGAATCTTAATATTCGAAATAGCCAAGTATCTGAAAACTTTTCTATATCTAATACCTTTAAAAATAATTTTTATCTAATAGAAAATGATGAAAGTGTATTATATCGTATTGATAAAGATGAACTTAAAAATGGAATCTCATTAGCAAGAGACAATTTAACAAAATTATTATATTTGAAACATGAAGAACGTAGAAGGGAATTAATTATAAACTTATCTTCACCAAAATTTAATTTAAATTTTACTGATTTTCTTAATATACCTAGTTATGAAGAATTAAATGATAGTCAAAAAGCTGCAATTTTTAAAGTGATGACAGGTATAAAGCGTTTAAATTTTTAATATTATTTTGCCTAAAAGTTATTAGCTTTAGATTATGCGCTTATTTTAGGTATGCCTGGAACAGGAAAAAGTACAACTATTGCTTGTCTAATTCAGATTTTAATTGCAAATAATAAAACTGTTTTATTAACATCCTATACGCATTCAGCTATTGATAATATTTTGTTGAAATTAGATGTTAAAAAAGAGAATGTTTTAAGACTAGGTTCAATTGAAAAAGTATTGAATTTAATATACTATTATTTTTTTTAACATAAAAAGATACATCCAAACGTTAAAGAAAAAGTTATTACTCAAGAATATATTGTTGATAATTCAGAATCATTTCAATTGAAATATATTAAACCATCTATTGTTGCTACTACATGTTTGGGTATTACACAGTAAGTTATAATACACTTTTGTTGGTTATAATATAATTATTAGCTCAATTTTTTCAAAAAGAACATTTGATTACTGTATTATTGATGAGGCATCTCAAATAGTTTTACCTATATGTATTGGCCCTTTGCGTTTTACAGAGAAATTTGTCCTTGTTGGTGATCATTATCAATTACCACCTTTGGTAAAGATTTTAGTTATCTATCTTTTTTATTAATTATAATCAAGATGCGAAGTATTGATACAGCTGATCAAGACATGAAAACTAGTCTTTTTAAACATCTTTCAGATGCAAATCCTATCGCTATTGTAAATCTTGAGTATCAATATAGGATGAATAAAGATATTATGCTTCTTTCTAACACATTAATTTACAATGGAAAACTAAAATGTGGAGATGAAAAAACTGCATGTAAATTTCTGGAATATGGAGATTTTTATATATTGGATAAATTACATTCGAAAAAGAATTGCGAATATATATGTAATATAAATGAATGTTGGATTAAAAAAATACTTGAACCAGGGTAATAAATTTTGTTTTAAAAATAGGGCAAAAATTAAATATAAACAAGGCTTTCAGTAATATTTGCAAATACAGATTATGTCCCTGCCCCTGAATCTAGGAAAGGAGATAGAATACAAAATGATATTGAAGTTGAGCTTTTGAAACAAGTATGTTTAATAAAATATAGATTTATTTAAGTTAATTTTATTAAAGATTGTTATTTGTCTTTTAAGTCAAGGCGTTTCTGAATCAAGAATTGCTGTTTTGTCTGTATATAGATCTCAAATCAAATTAATTCGTTATTTTCTTAAATATTTTAAAACAATAGAAATTGATACTGTTGATAGTTTTCAAGGACGGGATAAAGATTGCATCATAATTTCATTTGTCAGATCTAACAGTAAAAATAAGGTTTTTTCTTTTTTTTTCTTATTTTTTTAATTTCAAAAGATAGAAGGGCTTTTACGTGACTGGAGAAGACTAAACGTAGCGTTTACAAGAGCAAAATCTAAATTAATTTTTTTCGGATCAAAATCTACTTTAAAACTAATTGGAATATTTGGTTTATTCTTTAATCTTTTAGCAGATAAACAATGGATTTATGACCTACCAGAAAATGCACATCTTCTACATAATTTGGATTCACTAGTGATACCCAAACAAACAAATATTCAAGAATCACACGAAAAACAAACGTATCTCAAAAGAAAATGTCCAATTTTGAAGACAATTGCACATGCTTTATAATCTTTTTAAAAATAATTTTATATCTCTGAATTAGATGTCACGTGATACGCGTTGCGAGATTCATCATTTCTTGGAAACCATGTAACGACAGCTTAACACGAAGAGGAAACGCGCTAAATATTAAATATAAAAAAAATGACACCAGATGAAGCATCAGTAGAAGATAATATACAAGACGAAGTTGAAGAAGATGTTGTTTGTGGACCAACTCCATTATCTAAACTTGAAGTATTAATATTCGTATGATAAATATTGGTAAACATATCTAGGGCAATGGTATTTCAGCATCGGATATTAAACGGATTATTGAAGCTGGATATAACACTGTAGAGGCAATTGCATATACGTAGATTTTCTTAAAATTTAAATTGGATATTTTTTAAGAAAATTAGACCTAAACGTGCTATTTTGTTGATAAAAGGTATATCGGAAGCAAAAGCGGATAAACTGCTTTCTGAAGGTACATATAAGGGTTAGGGAAGTAGAAGCTTATTATATATAATTGTAGCCTCCAAGTTAGTTCCTATGGGGTTTACTACAGCTACAGAATTTCATCAAAGAAGAAGTGAATTGATTTCAATTACAACAGGATCAAAGCAGTTGGATACGCTTCTTGCAGGGGGTATTGAAACTGGATCAATTACTGAAATATTTGGGGAATTTCGTACAGGAAAAAGCCAAATATGCCATACGTTAGCAGTAACGTGTCAAGTAAATATAATTTAGATAAAAAGATTAAGATAAATTAACTCTTGGTAATAGCTTCCTATTGATATGGGAGGTGGTGAAGGGAAATGCCTTTACATTGATACAGAAGGAACGTTTAGGCCTACGCGACTTTTGGCTGTTGCAGATCGATATGGTCTTAATGGAGAAGAAGTTTTAGATAATGTTGCTTATGCCAGAGCATATAATGCCGATCATCAGTTGCAGCTTCTTGGACAAGCAGCGAATATGATGGCAGAGTCCAGGTTATTTCATAAGATTGAAAAATATATTTAATACTTTATTAGATTTTCGCTTCTTATTGTGGATAGTGCCACATCTTTATACCGTACCGACTTTGCAGGCAGAGGCGAACTATCCGCTCGTCAAATGCATCTTGCAAAATTTTTGAGAACATTACAACGTCTTGCAGATGAGGTAGGTTTAAGTTTTTTGATTAAAAATTTTCATTGAGAATATTTTTAGTATGGTATTGCGGTTGTAATTACCAACCAAGTAGTTGCTCAAGTCGACGGGAATGCTTCAATGTTTAATCCAGATCCTAAGAAACCTATAGGAGGAGTAAAAATGACTTAAGGGTTTTAAAGCTGTATATTAATTGTTTTTAGAATATTATTGCACATTCATCAACAACAAGGTAATCCATTCTTTGGTTTTTTTATAAACTATAAAAATCTCATATTTTTAAAGATTATCCTTACGAAAAGGAAGAGGAGAACAACGTATTTGTAAAATTTATGATTCTCCTTGTTTAGCAGAAGCAGATGCAGTATTTGCAATTACAAATGGAGGAGTAGATGATCCAATTGATGCTTAGTATGTTGGTAAAGATTTATATTTTATATTTGAATATTTTGGCACTTGTATATTAAAATGTGTCATATGATTTATGATTCATAAAAATATTTAATTTCAGAAATGCACTAATTAATTTTATGAAAACGTGAAGAAAAAGGAAAGACAGTGTAAGTGTGGCTATTTTTTTCTTTTTTCATTCATTCGATATTTATTCTCTTAATGAGACTTTGTAAAACACTGTATTTAATTCCATTAGTCTAATACATTATTCATCTTCATTTTAATTAAAACTATTTACTGGGATCCTCAAATTTGCAGAAATTGAAATTTATTTCAATTTATTTAGCTCATCTTCATTTATTTTTTACTTAGTTTAACGATATATAAAAGTCCAACGCCTTTCTCAACGTATTTTGAATTATGAAATTAGAAAGTTGGTTGAAAGAGACATCTATACCAGTAGATCAGCTTTTACAACGTAAAAAAATAGACCTTAATGTATTTCGAGTTGAAGGAGATGAAGATGAAATTGAAGAAGTTCCAATTGATCCAGAAAATTATTATTCAAAAGCATTTTTAGCATCTCAAAGTTCGATTTTTATAAGAAAGAAAGGAAGATTTTTAAGTAAAATTTTATGGAGAATAGTCTACAAAAATATTCTTGAACTTATTCCTGTTGAAACATGTGATCTGGACATTTTTTCGGGGGTAAACTTATGTATTTTTTTTCCATCGAGTATTAAGTCATATGGCATTGTTTTTATAGATGAAGAGGATGTGGATGAATTTAAAGTGCATGTTTTGACCCAGCAGAATTTCTTTTATACTCTTCGTTTTACATCGGCACATTTTAATGGACAATGTAGATTTATTGAGAATACATTTGATTGGTGTTTTGTATATCGGTCGTGCTATTTTGATGTTAGAATGCCTCATTTTTTTGTATCTATTACATCAAGGAAGGTAGTTTTTGCTTTGAAAGATGGAGGTCTTCTTATGTTTGAACAAAATGATCAAAGTATGTATAATATTAATACTTGTAAAAACTGTTGATTGTTGTATTTGTAGATGAATATATAGAAATTCCTTTTAGTGATGGAAACTATCTTTCTTCTTTTAAAGGAATGTTTTTATGGGGAATATCTAAAAATGATAAATTATCTTCTAATTTAATTATTTCTATGGATGTATCTCTTATGTATTCTCTTCTTTTTACAATTAGTTTGGATGGAAAATTAAAAGTATGGTCTTTAGACCGAAGAAGTCTTTTAAAAACATATAATGCATGGAGTGATCAAAAAATATTTGATCCACAACCAAGATGTTTAATTTCAATTTTAGAGAAACCTTCATTTCAAGGATATAAATTTTATTTATTAACATTTACTTCACTTATAGAATCAGGATTTATTTTGTGGGGAGGGACTCATTCTGAAACAACATTTACTGGTTTAATTAGTCTAACTTCTCATACACATTTACAGATGCGTTTACGTCCTCCAACTAACAATTCCGTATGGGTGGTTCTGAAGTTTACTATTTCTAGTAAATTTGCTAAAGATGAAAATGATTTGCAAAATAATACAAAATCTGGATTAGTCATTTGGGTTCTATGGAAAAGTAATACAAGTTCTATTATTCAGTACATGATAATTGATCCTCTTAATCCAACATTCACAAATGAAGAATGGAATATATTAATTCCTGCACACAAGTTTTTATCAAAAAAGATATCTCCATCAGTTATTTTTGAAACAAGTCCTTATGATGTATCAGAATATTGGTATCGAAAAATTTCAACACCTGGACAATTTTCTTTAGTAACAATAAGAACAGCATTGGAAATATATCAGTATAAAAATCATTCGAAAAATTATAGATATAACAATAGAAGAAATGTATCTTTTAATTCTCTACAAGAAATGAAAGACTCAGTATATAAAGAAATAAATATGATCATTACTCTTCAGCGTGATCCTTATAATGGGTTATTACTTTTTGATAAATATAGACAAGAACTTAATGCTGAATGGATTCGATTTTTACGATTATGTACAGAACTTGAAGAATTAGGTTCTGAGCCTCTTGATCTTATTTGTGATTCAACAACAAATTGTGTTTTTGTTGTAAAAGCAAATTCTGTTGGAATAATAAATAAATGTATTTCTTCAGAAGTTATATATTATCATTGTTTAAATAAAAAAAGAGATGATCCTAGATTTCAAAAATGGTGTAGTTCAAAAGGCAATTTAATATATTCTCATATTGGGAATGATACAACACGTTTTGATATAGCACAATTATTTTTCATTAGCAACAAATTTTTGGATGATTTTTCTGATATACAAATGTTATTTATTAAACAAGTATTAGAAGAAGAAATTAAACAGAAACATTCGTTTTCTATTGGAGATAGAATTTGGATTCTTTCTGATAGAATATTTGCTCAACAAATCGAGGCATCTAAAATAGATGATATTAATATGATTTTTAATGATATTTCAGATCCTATACTTGCAATGACAATATTGCTTAGATGTCTAATTAACGACAAATGTTTCCAGTTAAATATTTATGTAAAACAAAGATCAGCATTAAGCTTAAATATGGTAACTTTATCAATTCATCAAGCTACATATATATATTATGATATTTTACTACGAATGTTATTAATTTTAGTTTTTATTGGATGTTATAATAATAATATGCAAAAGCTTACTGGCTTTTACCAATTATTTAATGACTATCTCAGCGAATTTAGAGAATGTTGTTGTATTCGTGAATGTTGCTCACATCTTTTAAATAAAATAGATGAGACACTTATATCAAATAATATAAGTAATCAATATCATGATATAAAAACAGTCAACAAAAGTATTGAAAGACTTTATGGATTCGAATCAACATTAAGATTCTTTTTACGTGAATTTTATATTTTTAAAGAACTAAAGATCAATGAAATGGAAGAGCTTATTCATAGTTCTCGTGTTTTAGGCATATTTAAAGACGGTTATGAAATGTCTTTTTGTACTGCAGCATTATTATTTCAGTTTAAATACTTATCAGAAGCGATGGAAATTGTATCTTGGATATCATTTATGCCTCTTGGTATCTATTTAAAAGCAAGAATATTTTTAGGTTTAAGAATGTTAGAAAAATCTTCAGCGCTTTTTAAAAAAGCATCAGTTGGAATATGTATAACTGTACTTTAATAAATATATTATATTTATAAATATTAGGTACATATATAACTCATGCAACTGATATTATTTTGAATGTTTTAAAAAGTTTCGGGATTTCATTTATTTCTAACGATTTATATTTATATTTTATACATGTAGCAGATATTTATTACCAGGATGCATTATATCTTTATTCGGCAGAATTTTATGAAGAAGCTAGAAAAGTAGGATTAGAAAAGGTATGTTTTTATATTTTATATTTATTTAATAAAAATAGTTGAATTCTACTGAGAAAGAAGATCTTTATAGTAAAATGTTTCAAGCATATATTGACGCTAAAATGTATGATAATGCATATTTGACCCTTTTACAACTTCAATCTTATGAGAAGTAGAATCTTTAACTGTTTCGAGTTTATATTAATCATTATAGTAAATGTGATTCACTCTACAAATTAGTTGATATGATGTGTGGAGAAAATCTTTCTGAAAGACTTTGTGAATATTCTTTTCTTGGATTGAGTGATGAATTTGATTCAATTTTATATTTTAGAGCCCAAAATATGATAGACGTTAGAACTAGTCCATGTTATCATAAAATATTATATTCATGGAGAGTAAAACAAGGAAATTTTCAAGGAGGTAAAATGATTATTTTTCATCTCTTTACTTATTTTCAAAGCGGCGTCTATTATGTATCATCGATTACAAAAACTAAGAAGTAGTTCTTTAATCAAAGGTGCGGGAAATCAAGAGCAAATTGATATTGTTGAAGGATATCTTGCTCTTCTTTCTGCATTATCTTGTGTTGATGCGAGTAATTCATGGATTCTTTACCCAGATATTAAATCAACTTACCATTCTGATAAGAAAATAAAATACTCTCATTCTGGTAAGTTTTTTCTTGTATTTAATAATTACTAATTTACAGAAAAAGATGAAATAAAACAAAGACAGATCTTAGATATAACTGCAATTAGAAAAGAATATACGCAGGAATTAAAGCGTATGCAATTTATGCTCGACAGTATTTAACATAAAACATCCAAAATCAATAAATACAAAAAACTGATAACAATAAAAAGAAAGAAAAAAGAGTATCAAAAGTTAATCTTTTGTGTTTAGAATTCAGAAAAATTCTATACTTATAAAATACATTATATTACATATGGAAATAAGACATTCATTTTTAGCAAAGGTGTGCAAAAAAAAAAAAACAAAAAAATACATAAAATTTTATTTGAATGTATTTTATACATTTTTTCACAGGTTGAACACTCGTCACAATACTTCTTTACCGACTTGATATTAATCCCATAAAACTAATCTGCATTTACGTAATGTGTACGACTGCAATAATTAGCCGTAAATCTAAATTCTTTTAAAAGTCAGGTAAAATGACAGATTTATCATCAAAACAGACACAAAATGCATCGTTATCAGATACTAAAACACATTTACTAGGATCTACAGTTGATGACTCTCATATACATCGTCAAACTAAAGCTCATAAGACATTTGTTGTTCACGGACGTCATCATACACGAGTGCCTTCTTGTGGGCGGAATTTAAATAAAATGAGTAAACATGCTATGCCTGTTGCTTCAACTGTATTAGTTGTTCCTGAAGACTTGAAAATTCGAGGAATTTCGACAAATACATTTCGAAAACATGTCTTGCAAATGGATATAGATGATACGAATAAAAAAACTGTACAGGAAACAGAAAAGCAAAAGGAAGACACTGAAGATAATGAAGAGAAGCAAAATGAGCAATCAGGAGAGATAAGATTACAGGTTTTGCCACAGAACTTAGAAGAATCAGAAAAAAGCGTTATTCCATGTTCTAACATAAAAATACACTCTTTTGAGCAAAAAGAAGACCTAAATAGCATAAAACGAATTGTTTCATCTATTTCTAAGCCTATTACAAGTCGTCTTATGTCAATAAGAAATCATCAAGTTGCTATGCCTTACTTAACACGTGAGACAGCAATTGCAGAAAATACAGTAGCAACACAACCAACATTCCCAAAAGGTTTTATTTTTCTTTTAAATTATGTTAAATACTTATTTTATTTAGAAAATGATTCATCTTACGCTTTACAATGTCTTAATGAAACAAACAACGCATCTACTGAATCAATGATTCCAACATCAAAAGTAAATACATTGAAGTCCACTGTTTCAGAACCTTCCTTTAAAAGTTATATGAATCGGACACAACAAAAACTTTTGTTACAAAGAGAATTAAGTTTAACATGTATTAAATCTCATTCAAAGAATGAACCCGAAAGTGATAATTTTATACAACGTCGAATTGATTATATTAATAAAGAATATACTAACATATCACGTTTTATAAATCCTTCAAAACATGTTATTTTAAAATTATTTCATGATGGTTGCCTCGAAGATATAAAACAAATGTCGAATCCAATAAACCATAAGTCTTCAGAAGATAAACCGAATAAAAGTTCATCTAAGCTAGCTGATTTTATAGGAAAGTATGATAATCATTCAAAAGAATCTGATAAAGAAGAAAATGAGCATAATGATATAACAGAATCAATTCAAATAATTCTTGAAAAAATGTGGACAAATAATGAAAATGTTGCATAGTGTATTATTAATTGGATTTTTTTTAGGAAAAAGATATATTAATTGAAATTATATTGAGGAAATAACTATATTAGCATAATTTATATATAATACAATTCAAATGTTGATTTATTAAAAACGCTCGATTTATTTAATACACAGGATTGTTTATAGTATATTTGTTGGTCTCTAAAAAATATTAACTAAAAAGTATTAATTAAAATTTCAGATCATAATATCATGCATAAATAATTTTTTAATTTAAAAAAAATAATCGAAGAGTATAGAAATGCGGGATTTCATTTCTATGGTCAGAAATATATCTTTATTAATCATTACTACAATTGTATATTATTTTTTCTATAAAATAAAAACATTTCGAATTTAATAATGAAAAATATCATTATAAAAATAAAACCAAATTTTAAAAATACCCATCATAACTAAAAGATCTTTTATAAAACTATATACATTCATACATATATATTATTATTTGTAAATAATCTGCAAATAATATTGAAATATTTAGTTATTAACTAATATAGATTCCCAAATATCATTATTTACCCATATTTATTTTACTAATTAGTATGTTTTTCTTCGCCTACTACTGGCGGTTTATAACCATATTTTTTGCCCAAATCATATATTTCCTTTAGCTTTTCTTCAAAAATTCCTTGTTCTTTAAATTCCTTATATTTTTTATAAAGTAATAAAGCAGTTCTAGCATCTTCAATAGAATCATGACTATCTTGTTGAATATAATCTTGTAATAAATACCACGCCAAAAAACGTAACGAAAGTTTCCTAATTTATTTATATTATTTCGCTAATGTTAATATTTTCATACCTTTGACGATTTTCAAGATAGAAAAGATTTACTGTGTCTATAACCTGATTTTTAGGCACATGTATATCTATTTATATTAATAATATTTTAAGGAAATAAATAATAATACTAATTATTCGAAAATCTTTTTGCAATCCATGCCCTACGAATTTACAACCAAGAGTTACAAGTAGTCTTAATTTTTTATATGCAATCTATCAATCTTTTACACATTTTATTTTACAAATAAAAAAATAAGACGAACCTTTAATGGAACAAGCGTATATTTAGATGTTATTGGATCTAAGTCACCTTGTTTAATCCCAGAAAACTCAGTAAGATAATCAACAATTGGCTCATTTATAGCTATATAATCATCAATAAATGGTACATTCTCTAACTCTCCATTCCCCCGAACAGCAGAGACTCTTGCCAATAAAAGCTTACTAGGTCTAACAATAAATCTGGTTCCATCACTACGAACATTTATTTCTTCTTTCTGCATAGAAACAAATTCAGCATCTAGCCCAATAACTGTATTATGATCTAATTTTTCTATTTCTGTAAAAATTTGATGACGCACAAACTGCATATCTCGTTTCCTAGATTTATTAAACACTTTAAATATAAACAATATGAATATACAATGAAATAGAACAATCTTTATATAGAACTGACATATCGAAAGAAGGAAAGTTAATCTTCTTAAGATCATCCGAGTAATTTACTTTCTCATATATTAATATAGCAGGAACTTTCCATGCTTTTGAAAAATTCAAAACATGATCTTCAGGAACTGACATTACTAAAAAATCGTTAAAAAGAAACCAGGATGTTTTATATTTTAGCTCTATGTCTTTATCCGTTACTTTTTATGTAAGTAAAATAAATGAATAACAAGACAAAACAAACCATGAATAAAAGAAACGAGATGTGATTCATTTTTGAAAGAAATTTCTACTACAAGTCCTTTTAAATTATAAATAGTAAGTCCCTCATTGTTTACTTTTTTATCGATATCTTTGCCTTGAAAACAAACAACTTTTCCTAAATGATGATTTAAACCTATTTTAGTCGGAAGCCAGCCTTTAGAACTCCAATATTTCCAATGGTCTTGTGTATATGCCATTGCATTAATATTTAAATAACATGGGAAATTACTGACTGTTCTTTGAGTAGTAAGAAAGCGAAATTGATGACAATTAGAGCACCAGGCTCTATTTTGCACTTCACGATTAATGCTTGCTCCCAAAATTAAAGAAAATGATGCCAATGAAAACTTTTTTCCCGAAGCTATCTTCTAAGATCAATATTAAAAAAATAAATAATATTTTTTTAACCTTTGGATAAATAAAATCAATAACAAAAATAATAGAATCTCTAACAGAATTTGCTCCACAGCCACAAAAAGTAATTGTTTTTGAAAAAAAACCATTTGTTTCAGCTAAAGGTGAAATATTAGTAGAAGGATAATTATTTAGAGAATGTGTATTTAATGATTCGTCACTTAATTTTTCTAATAAAAATCTATTCAAAGCCTGTATAATAGAGGAAAAAGAAATTTTTTTTTCCATAGATTCATTTATAATGAGACCTAATGATATAGCTTATTCCGTGAATAATAAAGTCAAAAATATCGAAATGAAAAAATTACCTTGTGATGATGCACTTAAAACACGTAAAAAATTAGTAGCTTGACAATTTTGACCATTCGCATCAGAAAGCATTTTAAAAAGAAACCCTATTTCACAAAGAAGACATTTTTCTTGTGCACAGGAAGAAACAGAATGCGCTACTGCTAATTCACGAATAGATGGTATAAAATAATATAATTGAATTAAAGAATTGCAATATGAATTTTCAATGTGAATTTCCAGTCCAGAAAAAGGCGTATTATTATAATATCTTTAAAAATTAATTTTGCTTTTTTTCATAAATAATTTTTTAATACCCAAAATCAAAATCTTCTACACCAAATTTGGAATATTTTATTTCTAATAATTTATAAAATTTCGGTATAATAAAAGGTTCAGTAGAATCATTATCTTCATCTTCAAAATACAATGGAACAGAATCTTTTTTCATGTCACCTGATACTAATTCTTTTGCTTTTTCACTATGAAATTTTGGAGCGATTAATTTCTGTATTCCATCATCTTTGTCCCTAGTATAATATCTAGCTTGATTTCTCTTCATATTTCCACTATAGATAGAATAACCAACAAAGTCCATCATTTTCATATTAGAAATTGCATCTTGATCTAAAATATGAGGTACTTTTCCAACATCATAAACTAAATGAGAAGGCCAAGAAGAAAGGAGTTCTTCTCGATAATAAGGCATACCAATCACATTTAAAGGACTAGTATTATTAATACTAATTATGTTTAAATAAACAATTCACTTACGTATCGGTGTGTATACGAATATTCGGAACATGAGAAGTATTTGGCCATTCCAAAGAGCCTGAAAACTCTGAAAAACATGGAGTAAGCTTCTGACTCCATAACTGTACAGCCCCATCTGCGTCTGATAATGCAAGCGCATCACCCGATTGAGAAACACAAAAAGAAGTGAAATACGTATTTGTACTAGCATGTCGAAGTTGCACATCAGTTGTATTCCCCATATCAACAATATGAAATAACCCATTTTGGCTCACAACAAAGGCCGTTGTTGACATTTTAGGGTGCATTTTGACATAAGCTGGTCCTGCCGGAAATGGCACAGGAACCAGAGGACGCAATGTTCGAATATCAAAAACTTTAACAAGAGGATCCAATAAGTAATGCTCATTTCTTCCAATTATTATTAATAAAGTGAAAAGATCATTATATACCTTTGAGAAAATCCACATGTTAAAATTAAATTGCCTCGGATATCAAGGTCCGAAAATGACCCACTGTGTGCTTCTATTGAATGCAATTCTTTGTAGGATGACGGGTCAAGAAGACTCAGTTCACCGGTAGACGATCCGCAACAAATATACCGTCCACATTGCATTACCACTGTATCTTTTTTACGATTCTTAACGATATTAACTTTTTAATTAATAAGTTCACAGTTCCACCAATTACCAGTTTATTGATTACCGTCCCTCTTTCTATATTAACAAGTAGCATTAAAGTTTGCAGTCCTCCAACCAATATATCAGATGATGTTCGAGAAACAACCGTCATACATTGAAGATCTATCATGTCTAAATCACTAGGAATAAGACAATGATATAAAATGAGGAATGTTATACCTTAATGACCATCGAAAAAGACCACGTCGGTTCATTAATCGAATATTTTGACTCGATAAAGATACAATACCCCGCTCATGTGAAATCAAAGAGCAAATAGGAGTATTATGGGCTTTTGCACTTGTATACCGACAAAGCTCTGGGCCAAAATAGGACGTTAGATGTCCCTGATTAGTTATTATACAGTTTTAAATAACTTTTTTACAAACTTTTTCATTTCCCACCCAAACGAGCTCATAATACTCGTCAAAACATGATGTTGTAATTGGAATTATTTTACTTCCATGCTGATGGATTGAGGAATACGCAATCTATATTCTATTAGTTTTATATCTCTTCAAAAATAATCCTACTTGTGTCCATTCAGTCATGAGCGTCTCAAACCGAGCTCGAGTGCGTAAAATTAGCCGTAGTGGTTTTGTAAATAGAAAAAGAAAAAAATAGATTTATACACAATAAAAAAGATAGAAAAAGCCGACTAATCTTAGAGAGAGCATTAAAACCACTACGGAGTAAAAGATACCATTATAACCTTGTTTAAAATACTTTAACACAATGTTGCTACAATGGTAATCATGTTAGTGAAAATTTATACACAAACAGTAGTATATATCCCTTTTGAAAAGTCAAAAAGCCTTTTTTCTATACTGTTTTTTCCTATTTTAATATTCTAGTCTTTTATGGGTTTATTTTTTTTAACCGGCCATCTTTGACTCTAAAGATACTGTTTTTAAACCAAAAATATTACGTAAACGATTGAGCCGCACATTTAGTAAATCTCGCGTATCGCCAGAATCAAGGTCTTTTTTTTTCATTTCATAATCAAGCCACCGAGTAAGGAGCTTCCAACCTGGTACCGGTGATACTTGACTCACCGAGTTCACCCAAGGACAATAGTCTCTATGTTCACGAATAACATCAAACAAACCTTCTTCCCCTGATTTAAATCCCCAGAGCCCAATTCGTCGATGACATGCCATACATGCAAGCAGCTGCACAGAATCAATGACTATACATGTCCATCCGAAAAGTGACAATTTTTCCGCTTTCCCAAAATCTTCCCTTTCCACGTAAAGCATTTTCTCTGGATCTAGTGTCACCTCCTCGGGTAACCGCAGAGAAGGGAGCGGATACTGTGTATGTATTGTACGTAGACGCTCGATACGAGCACTATGTGCCTTCAAAGCTCCCTGCCGGTCTAAGAGTGGAAGCTTCATGATTGAATCTAGAATTTAAGCTTATTTTCTCTTACTTTTTCCCCCTTACCATCACATGTTCGTCGCCGCCAAGTACATCCTTCTGAATGCCCTTTTTCAATTAATGATGCATCCAAATACACTTTGAAAGCCATATCTAAATACAGATTTGACTCTTTGTTAATTTCTGTGCTCAGATTTTCACTTTTTAAGGCCAAATTTGTCTCATTTTCCCCGTTAACTGTTTCATCTATTTTCTCCCTTTTTTCTTCGTTTTTTGGGCCATTTTCGTCCGTTTTTTTTCCCACTTCATCATCATCATCTTTCCCTTCGTCTGGTTTCTCTTTTTCCGCGTTTTCTTTCTCTTTCTCTCCCTTTTTTTCTGTTTTTTCCTCCAACTTGTATGTTCTCAATTCATAACGTCGTTTGCACAATTCACAGTAAACTGCTGTGCGGTCTACACATATCCATCCACGCTTTGCCCAGGCAACAGCGTTAATCGGAGAATCAAGACTATGCCATGGAAATGCCCAGAACGTTGCCAGTCTGCGCGAAAAGTGTGATCGGCTCCAAGGCGCATAGGCTGGCCGCTTCTGAGCCACTATTTGCTGCATTAAAGACTGTTCTGTGCCATTTGTATGCTCCAATGCTGCATCCAGCTGTGCAAGCACTGCTGTTGCCCTTCGCTTACGTGTCCCTCCTTCCATACGCTGACCCAACCTACGTACACCGTAATACGGTGTATACGCTCCAAAAGTGCATTCTATACACACAAATTGCACACAAATTGCGTTCTATGCTTCAATAATTTGCATGTATGCGCACTGCAGCTCGTTTAATTCGCTTTAAGCGTATTTTGACTGCGCTTTGACTGCATTTTGACCGCATTATATGCATCCAAAGCTCGATTCTCGAGTATATGCTCGAGTGTATGCGGTTTTTATGGAATATATGCGCTTATACTGGGTGCATGCGCTTTTCCGTGAACTGCCTGGACTGTGTGCGGCGCATCCATGCGTTTCTGCGCTCCACTGCGTTTGTACGTGTGCACATGCCGCACATATACTGCATTACTGCATATATACCGCATATATACCGCATATATACAACATATATACAACATATAGACGGCACATATGCGGCACATGTTGTATATGCGCTATATCGACACTGTGCACGTGTTTGTCGGTATACGGACTACGGACATACTGCGGCATTTGGCCGGCACGGTCGCAAGCAAGGACTGGGCGAGTGTCTGAGCTTGAGCTTGAATAGTGTATCTCGTGTGTACATACAGTTATACTGCACACTACAACATACACACCGCATACACATCGCATATACACCGCATACATACTGAATATACAGTATATACGCTGCACACCACATACAGCAGTGCACTCCACACCGTGCATACATTGTATTCTGCACACTGCACGCACTATGCACACCACACACTGTACACTCTGTACTGTACACTATATACACTACACTCCGCACTATATACACTGTACTGCACTCAGTAAACGAGCACCCGGGTGTCCCGTTCACTCGATATGTGCGCCTGCGGCACGCTGCACCGCATGGCTGTGCCGCCTCTCTTTGCTGCCGAGTGCCGCTGCGCACTCGCTGCTGTCGCGCGGGCAGCACGGGCAGCCCGCGCCGTCCGCGCCGCCTGCACCGGCGCTTTGCTCTCCGTGTCCAAGGACGACGCGTCCCCCGCGACCGTCGCTGACTTTGCTGCACAAGCGCTCATCAATGCGCTCCTTCACACCGCTTTCCCCGACGATGCCATCCTTGCCGAGGAGGACAGCGCGCTCCTCCACTCCCATCCTGCGCTCCTCTCCTCTGTGTGTGCTGCGGCTGCTGCTGTTGACTCCGCTCTCGGTTCTCCTGCGGTACTCTGTGCGACTCTCGACTGCGGCCGCGGTGCCGCTGCTCGCCAGTGGCTCGTCGACCCTATTGATGGCACGCTTGGCTTTCTCAGTGGCCGTCAGTATGCCGTCTGTGTGGCGCTGCTTGTCGCTGGCCGTCCGGTCGTTGCGGTGATCGGGTGTCCCGAGTGGCCCTCTGCCGCCGGCACTGTCGTGTATGCGGTGCGTGGCTGTGGCGCGCACCGCCTGACGCTTGCTGCGTTAGACGGCGCGCTCGACTGTGGCGCCGACGTGTGTTGTGGCGTGCCGGCTGTGATGGATGCGCGGTGCCTCGCCGACGCGCGACTCTGTGAGAGTGCAGTGCGCGCGCACTGTGCCGACGCGCATGCACGCGTAGCGGCCGTCCTCGGCATCAGACATGTCTGCCGCGTTGACTCGCAAGCCAAATATGTGCTGCTTGCGTGCGGCGCCGCCGACATATACATACGCCTTTCGGCCGACCGCGCATATAGAGAGAAAGCGTGGGACCATGCGGCCGGTGCACTCATTGTCGAGGAGGCCGGTGGAGTGGTGAGCGATGCCACGGGCAGGCCGCTGGTGTATGCGGCGGGGCGACTGGATGGGTACGGCGTGGTGGCTGCGGGCGCTACGGTGCATGCAGCGGTGGTGGAGGCGGTGCAGAGGGAGCTGGGTGTGGGAGAAGAGCTAACGACGTATCTCGACAAGAAGCTCGGAGAGATAAGTGGCGAGGACGGGATTGAGGGCGACGACGTGAAGGATGGCGGCCTCAATACGAAGGAAGAGGGATTGACGGTGTCTGGACCTTGCGAGGTTGCGGAGGATAAGGGTGGCGGTGAGTGCGACACCGATGGCGTCGCCACGTTCGTCGACGGCGGTGGTCCTTGTGTGGATGGAGAGGCGTGCGGGTGCGGGGGAGGAAGGGGGGTGGTCGGGGATATGTGTTCTGAGGTGGGAGAGGACGGTGAAGCGGTCCTTCTCACCGGGAGAGGAGAAGCGGGAGCAGGAGCCCCACCTACAAAGGAGGGGGGGGGCGGAGGGGGAGAGGAGGCGTGCCTCGGGGAGGTGGTGGTCGATTAAGTGGGAGAAGAGCTCGTGGGGGCTGGGGAAGAGGGAACCGCAGGCGCTGGAGGCGCTGGGGGGGCAGGGGGAGGAGGAGCGGAGGGGGTCGAGGGACCACATGCAGGCGACGTAGGGGTCGCCTCTGATGGAGATGGCGATCTGGCGTGGGCGGACGCCTCTGATAACGAAAGACTGTCCCTCGGGAGTGGGGAGGACGAGAGCCTTGGCGGTGGGGAAGGCGCGACTGGCGATTTTGATGAGGTCGGCGGCGGGGAGGAGGGGTCTACCGGCGGCGATGAAGGGAGAGAATCTTGCCTGGTAGGACTGCCAGAGATGCATCTGTGTGATGTCGTCGTTTGTGCTTTCCTCGTAGCAGACACGCATCCTGGGGGTGAGACGGGTGAGACGGGGAAGAGTGAGGGGGGGGGTGGTACCACTTAATGGCTCTGTCGGGCTCGCCGAAGCCCAGGAGCTCCTGAACGATCTCGGCGGGGAGGGAAGGAGGGCCGAGGGGGATAAGTTGCTTGATGTCTGTTGAGAGGGAAAGGTGGACTTCCTTTTCCTGTGCTTGGAACATCATCAGCCTGACCAGCTGGTCGACGAGGTCCTGCACGTCGTCGAGCTCGAGTATGCTTAGGGTGTTGGCCTTGTATGTTGTGTACTGGTAAATAAAGTCGAGAGCAGAGCCCAGGAGTTCTTCGTCGTCGAGGCTTAGGAGGAGCCGTATTCTCTCGAATACGGGGGGAGGGATGTTCTGCAACAAGCGGTTGTTGAGGTCGTGGAGAGCCAGGCGTGCAAGGGCTCTTAGGGCGCCGATTAGCATTGCTCTGTCGTCGCACTTTAAAAGTTCACAGAGGTTTAGATAAAGGTCGTCCTTTTCGTCGCTTATGACAGTATAGAAGCTGACGGCCTCGATGATGTCCATGCAGTAGTGTTTTAGTTCTACAGAGGAAAAGTCGTTCATTTTTTGGATGCCCAAAACGAGTGTAGGAAGGGTCATTTCTAGCCGAGCCAAATAGCTTGCATTGTCAGAAAGCAATGCAAGGTTGCGAAGAATAAGTGCCGCCTCCAGCATCTTGTCTAGTGTCTTCGTGAATTCATGGTCCATAGACCAGTCATCGTTGTCTTCATTAAATATGTTTTCATGAGTCATGGTGCCATCTTTCCCCGATACTTGTTTCAAAAACTCGTAGAGTTTTTTAATCAGCGTTTCAGCCAAGTCAGGGATTCTGTCGAATCGAAGATTATTGCCCTGTTCATACGATAGCCGAACGAGATGGTGCAAGGCCCAGTCCAATTCAGATATCAGTCCTGATTTAAGTGCAAGAGCAATTCTGACCATGAATGGAGCGCCCTGAATCCCCGCTAGCATGGTTAATACACATCCAATGACAATGACACTGCAAAGCAGTTCATAAAGTAGCTCGTAAAGCAGCTTGTAAAACAGCTGAGTGTTGCTGCTCCCAATTAATTTTCAAAGACGCACCTCCTATTTTTCCTCCATTTTGTGATCCGTAGCTACTATTTCTCAAGTACTCAAGCGCATGAGCATTGGCTGGTGTGATAACAGGCTGTGGCTGTAATTGATGGTTGGAGTCTTCCGGGAACGTTGAGGTTGCAAAGTGTGTAGAGAATGGCTGTGCCTGCGCCTGTGCCTGGAGCTGCGCCTGTGCCTGGAGCTGTAGTGCTGTCCGTGTCTGTACTAATCGATCTTCTGGCTGATAAAACGTTCGAGGTGTTGGTGCTGCCCGCAAATCTAAAAACCCGTTAGTTCAATTGTACTGCAGGGCCAGATCCAAGGTCGCAATAGCTGCTATATTGTGCAATCTTCCTTTTGCCTATTTCTGCTCTATTCAGGTTTGAATCTATCTTTGGCCTGTTGTTTCAACGGATTTTTTGCATTCTTTGGCATTTTTTGAAATCTTTTTACAATTTTATGACATTTTTATGACTTGTTCAAACAGTATTCAAAATCGACTCCTATACTGTCCTTTGTCCTTTGTTTGAAACTTGCTTCTTCACTTGCAGCTCTGCTTTCCCTATTCTCTGACCATTTTACATACTTCTAAGCACAGGTCTAGGAGACTCTGAATCTGCCCGTGTATCCTCTTTCGCCGGCGTATAGTTTTCCGCTGTCCGCGTCATAATATCTCCCCCCTTCGCCGTCTGGAACTCAAGATGCTCCGGTGCCGGCGGTGTTCGCTTCCAATGCATCTCCATCTCCCACGCACTGAAAACAATAAGAAAAAACCCTAAAAACGCTCTCCAGTGCCCAAATGGCCCTGTAGCGCAAACATGGACTCTACGCTAGATTCTTGTAGTAAATTGACTTGAGAAGATACCCTGCATTCGACATGGGTGGTAGTTTATAGTGGTTGGACAAGTTTTTCCACCACGATTTCTCCGCTGACACCTTGTCATAGCCACCCAGTGCAATCACTCGGTTATACAGCTTCAAAAGGTCGATCCGGTGTGGCCCAATTACCGGCTCTCGCACAAATGTTCCCGTCCTGCCTATTGTTAGTAATCCTTTTCATGTAATCTCTCTTGAGCAGTGCCAAGTGCTGCAAAACATGTATTATTCTATCTTTTGCTCTTTGTACAGTTTATATTTTGCCCCATATCCTATTATGTTCCTACTATACTTTTAGTACACTTTTAGTACGCTTCTAGTATGCGCTTAGTATGTTTTATTGGGCTTTGTTGTACTTTATTTATTGTATTTTATACTTTCCACTAGACCTTTGGTAGACTTTATTTTATTAGATATTTTTCCCATTTATATTACACTCTGTATTTTCAGTGTACTTTTGTGTTTTCAGCGTATTTGTATATTTTATTGTATTTCTATTATGTTTTTATGCTTTACCACATCTTCAGTGTATTCATATGCTCTGTTTTATCTCTCAAAGTCTCTATTGTGTATCCATTGTGCATTCATTCCGTTTTATCCCGTTTTTTTTGCAATTTTCCTGCAATTTTCCTGTATTTTTCTGTTTTTATCATTCCTCCATATATCTCACTAATCCATAGACTGTACCACACACTTATTCTACAGTTTTCATACTTTATTGTGCATTTTCCGTGCTTCTTTTTTGTTTTATCGGGCTTTTATTCTTTACTATATGAAGCAGACTTTTTTCTGCACTCTTGCTCATTCATACTGCCTTTCTTACCCCCGTTTAGCGTGATACTCCTCGAGATTCTTGACAAATGTATTGTATTCGTCGGTTCGCTCAATATCCTCATCATCTGTAACCTTTACAAGCCCTTTGCCGCGCATTCCCGCCGCCACCGCGTTTATAGAGACAAACCCTGTTTATCCGAGTATTAAATATTGTTTTTTCGCTTGATCAGTGCATGTATGCGCTGTATATGCGCTGTATATGCGCCCTGTATCCCTCGTATATCTCTCGTGTATGCGTGCTGTTGCACTTGTACGCGTATTGTATATGCTTTACCGGTGCATCACTGGATTCACGTATGAACACATGTGTGTCCCTAATAATTTCCTATAATATCAAGGACACATGTGTCTGTCCATTGGTGTGCTACAACGTACTATGCCTTAGCAGGTATAACTATATCAGAGTATATGGTGTATATACGGTGTATACACTATATACTATGTATATAGTGTATATAGTATATATGGTATATACTGTGACGAAAGGTTACAGATATATACAGCAATGGAGTGAATAAGTTGTACAATACATACTCTTAAGTACGCTGGAATACGTAATATAGCTATATTACAGGCAGCAGGGCTTAGGGTCCAACTAGGTTCGGTCTTGACGCTATTTGAACGATTATTTAGGGAAGGCCTGTTGAAGAATATTGGTAGCAGAGCAAGCTAACTTGGGAGGGAAGATAGGGCCAGACGGAGGTAGAAGAAGCGCATATATGTAGAAAAGAGGCGCATATAGCAGGAAAAGAAGCATATAGAGCAAGAAAAAGGTGCAGAGGCAGTACAAACAGCAAAGCAGAGTGTGAGAAAGATTCAATGAAACAGAACAAGGAGGGAAAGCGAGAGCGAACAGGAGAGAGAGGGGAAGGATATATCGACGGTATTGGTGCATAAAGTCGAGATATCCGTGCATATATCAAGTATATTGGCGCATATAGTAGGTCTATTGGTAGTATTAACACATATATTTAACAGATATAATAGACACTACAGATAAACTGCGCATATACCCGGTGTATATAGCCGGTGCATATTTATATATTATTGATATATATTATTGGTGCATATAATTGGTGCATATAGTTTATAGTTGTGCATATAGTCGGGTGTATAGGTGGTATAGGCAAGGCATATAGGAGAACGTGTTGATACAAGAGTGGTGAGGGCGAATGAAGGAAAAAAACGGATTTACAAGTCTAAGTTTTCCTCTTGAACGGTACTCATATGCAACACCTAAAGAAGATGTCTGTGGGTCTTCACAGAAACATTCAATTAACGATATCCAATGGTTGCATTACCCGCATCGCGATCTCGAAATTCAGTTTGAAAAATGCAGTGTTGCGGGGCACGAAGAGGTTATGCTAAGGGTTGTACGAGGTGCCATTCTTTTTGTAAGTATCAATTTATACAGAAACTCCACATGCAATGTATAAAGATGGATTCATTACATTCTATGTGTTTTGTTTCTGCTGTTACTTTTCCATTTAATCAACATAGGAGATGCTTAATATTACACGGCTTTCAAAGCTTATTATTCCTCCTATATATGCAGATAATAGTACACAGCAGTCGGGCATTGCTGTAATCACACGGGTGCCTTGTATTGGGATCAAATGGTACAATGATGTATCGAAGGTAAGCATAGAGCGGTACTTAAAAACAGAGTGGGAACAGAAATGTATGTATTGACAGTGAAATAGAAAATTGCACGGTTTCAAATGAAATTTTCGACGGAAGAAATCTTCTTTTCTGTAAAAAGTATTCTTGAACAGTATGTGGGTAAAGTGCGTCATGCAGTCGAGACGTGTCCGGTCAAATCGGAGACACGTGTATTAATAGACGCGTTGAACGGAGAGGCGTCTCCAAATGCGTCAGCGGACGCGTCGTACGAAATAGGAAATGGTTGTGTCCCTGTAGAGAGTGTTCGGAGATGCACTCTGCAGGAAAGTGAAGGGCCGTCAATGAAGAAGGTGTTGACAGAGGCAAGTTATATGGAACAATTAAGGTCAGAAACAATAAATTCGGCAACAGCAAGTTTACTGGATATGCCTTTACCGACTCCGTCAAGCACAAACAAGTTTTTGTATTTAAATCAGCATGCACAGACTGAGGCAATAAAACATGAGTCAGAGATTAATAGAGGGCAGGAAGTAGAAGGAAAAAAAAAATACAAGAAGCCAAGCAAATCACGCAAAAACTCGAGTGATTTGAAAGAAAAGGTGTCTGATCTGCAGCTAAAAAGCAAACAGGATCATGAAAAAACTATATCAATGGCAAAACCGCTGACACCACCACGAACAGCTTCATATGAATCGAGTGTTTCTTGTTCTCAAGAAAATATAGAAACACTCGAGGATATAATTGTAACATATATTAATGATAATCATTTTCTGCAATTAGTAAGTTTTTACAAGTCAGCTCCAAGACTTACGTAGGTAGGTAAAAAAGGTGGATAAAGTATGGAAAAAAATGGGTTTCCAACTTTAAAGAGTTCTAGATGAACAGTTTATATAAAACATGTACATAATTTGAATGAGAGCCGTATCGGCACAACTCTAAACATTATACACTATACAAACACTGCAAAGACCCATAACACTGCCTATCAGGCCCTTACCATCTGTTCTTCACTGCTGAGCCGTCAAAACTCACAGCTCCACTATGAAAAACAAATAGAAAGTCCCGAAGGACGAATTCAAAAATGATGCATCCGAGACAAGACGAATCCTGTTCGCAGCAGAGAGCTTAACGCCGTGCAATGTTAGGCCCTTCCACAAGATACCAGCACTTCTTGAGCTGCCGATATCGATGCCAGGTAAGTATGAGGAATTCTTTCAGAGGGGCTCCTTATATAAACTTTCAATTCAAACTCCGACTCCCTTTCCGCCGATGGCTTACATTAGTGCATCCGTTGTTTTGTGTTTTAAATATTATACAGCAAAACTTGTTCCTTTTCACAAATAGAATATTTTAATAAATACATCCCTCTAAAATCCTCTTTGTTGTTTACTAATACTTAGTTTCTCCAAGCACTAATTCATACTATTCTCGAGAGTAATTTTAAGGGTTGAGACCTAACCCTTATAAACTTTGTTTAACCCTAACCCTACCCTGTATAACAGGTGGTGATATTTCAACGGTCTAATGCTGAGAATCATCGAAACGCCGCCGACAATGACAGAACAAAGCATACAAAGCGAGTATGCAGCGCCTTTAAGACGCTCATTGCTGAGCATTCGCCGAGTCTTAGGTGCACTTTTATGCAGTGCATTGCTTGCAGTTAATGGGGAAAAAGAAGAATCATATGGGACAGGTAAGATAGCTTTTGATCAAGCAAGCGAGGCATAGAGTACAGCAAAAACAGCAGGAAAAAAGAAGCAGAGGGATATTTGGTGTATCTGTTAATTGGAAAGAAGGAATTATAGGGGTTTATTGTTAAACAGAGGATTCAATGCGTTTTAAATGACCAAGGATCTTAGGTACTGGTTTTTTTCTAGAATATTCTATACGGTGGAGTTTCTAGAAGATTCTATGATTCTTCTATGTAACCATAGAAACCGCTGCCATGGTTACTTGTCACGTGAAACAGATCTACTTAAGCCAATGTTTAAAGAATGTTAAAATACAGGGTTAAGTGGACTTAAGGATAGTAGAGCCGGGATTAAAGGTAAAAGTAGTTTGGTGTTTTAAAAATCTGGTTAAAAATGGATCAAAAATGACAAACATTCTATTTTTTGAAGATCGGCGAGAGGACGATATGTAAATGGTATAAAAATGGTTTGGGAAAGATAGGATATTGAATTGAAGATGTGTTTTGTGTTTATGCTTTAGCTTGTGTTTTTACTCTGAGTTTTAAATAATTATCGATGTATTTCTATTTGGCATGTTGTTTTAGCTGAAAGCCTCAGTAAAATGCTTTGGGTTGATAGCATCTTCGGATATAGGGCTAATTTATTCATTGTAGTAATTGGTATTGATTTGGGGACGACTTATTCATGTGTTGGTGTTATGTTGTCAGGACGAGTTGAAATTTTGGCAAACGATCAGGGCAATCGTATAACGCCGTCATATGTTGCCTTTACTGATGAAGAGCGGTTGGTTGGGGATGCTGCGAAAAACCAAGCTCCGACAAATCCACAAAACACTGTTTTTGATGTCAAGCGGCTGATTGGCAGGAGATTTGATGAGGAAGACGTTCAGGCGGATATGAAGCATTGGCCATTCAAGGTTTCGCATCGTGATGGGAAGCCGCATGTTGAAGTTAATATTGCTGGAGAAAAGAGGATGTTTACACCGGAAGAAATTTCTGCTATGGTGCTTCGTAAAATGAAAGAAATAGCTGAAGCATATCTTGGTCGGACGGTTACCCATGCGGTAGTTACAGTACCCGCTTATTTCAATGATGCGCAACGTCAAGCAACCAAAGTAAGTTTGATGACTTTTCATTGCTGATACTTTATATAAATGAATATCTGAGTTTTTTGGTTGAAAATAAACTTTTTTCCCGAATAATTATGTAAAAGTATTTTGGTTGAATACAGGGCTGACTATTCTTTTGTAGGATGCAGGGACAATTGCAGGATTGAATGTATTGCGAATCGTAAATGAGCCAACTGCTGCCGCAATTGCCTATGGTTTGGATAAGAAAGATGGTGAACGAATGATTATCGTCTACGACTTAGGTGGTGGGACATTTGATGTATCGTTACTGTCGATTGAGGATGGCGTCTTTGAGGTTATTGCAACAGCGGGTGATACTCATTTAGGTGGTGAAGATTTTGATCACCAAGTGATGCAATATTTTAAGAATATATTTCGTCAGAAATACGGCGGAAACTTAGATGATGATCCTAGGGCCTTGGGTAAGCTAAGACGTGAAGTTGAAAAGGCAAAGCGTACATTGTCATCGCAGTTGTCTGTACGTCTTGATATTGAATCGCTTTACAACGGCATAGATTTCTCTGAAACATTGACTCGTGCTAAGTTTGAGGAACTCAACATGCACCTTTTTAAAAAAACAATGAAGCCGGTAGAGCAAGTTCTTAAGGATGGAAATGTTAAGAAATCTGACATTGATGACATTGTTTTAGTCGGCGGATCAACACGAATCCCTAAAGTACAACAACTATTGGAGGCATATTTTGATGGAAAGAAAGTCTCTAAAGGTATTAATCCAGATGAAGCAGTAGCGTATGGTGCTACTGTGCAGGGTGGTATTTTATCTCATCAAGATGGTGTTGAGGATATTGTCTTAGTCGATGTAAATCCATTGACTTTAGGAATTGAGACAACTGGTGGCGTAATGACTAAACTAATTTCACGCAATACAGTAATTCCGACACGTAAATCACAGATCTTTTCCACTGCATCTGATAATCAAGATACCGTTTTGATTCAAGTGTTTGAGGGCGAGCGCTCTCTTACAAAAGATAATAACATGTTGGGCAAATTTGAGTTAACAGGAATACCTCCAGCTCCACGTGGTGTGCCTCAGATTGAAGTGACGTTTGAGCTTGATGCCAATGGGGTATTAACAGTGTCTGCAACAGATAAAGGTGGTGGTAAATCAGAATCAATTACTATCAAGAATGATAAGGGTCGGCTGTCGCAAGAGGAAATTGAGCGTATGATTCAGGATGCAGAGAAGTTTGCAGATGAAGATCGTGCACAAAAGGAGAAGATAGAGGCTAGAAACTCACTGGAATCCTTTTTGCATACAGTCAGAAATCAAATAAATGATAAGGAAGGACTCGGTGGGAAAGTGACTGAAGAAGATAAGCAAACGGTTTTGGATGCTCTAAAGGTAAAAATAAATATTAGTATTGATGCTGGAAATTAAGAAATAATAGGAAACACAAGAATGGTTAGAAAAGAATGCAATGACTGCAACAGCAGCAGATTTCGAAGAAAAGAGGAATGAGTTATCGAATAAAATTGGTCCTATTACAGCTAAATTATGTAAGTTAATTGGTGTTGATATTAAGTAAATTAACATTTTCAGATCAATCAGAAAAAGCGTCTGGTGATGAACCACCTCATGACCATGACGAGCTTTAAACTATTTTTAGGAATATTTCACATAAAATCATCATGGAATGCATTGGGTGTTATAAAATATGTATATAAAAACGAGCTAATTAGTCATTGTCATTTTTTATTAATTTTATTATAACATTATTATCCATCTTCTATAATACCAGCAGCAATAGTTTCGCCTTGTGATCGTGCAATAAACCGGCCTAGTTCCTTGCAATTTTTAAATGTCTCCATAGGTTCCGGTTGTTTGCAAAATTCAATTTCAACGATTGCAGCAGTAAAACTACCAATTAGTCTAATTTTATTAAATTTTAATTTAATTTTCTTTTTTTATAACCTAGGTTCTTTTTTTTTAATTTCACCAGTTGATTTATCAATAATTGCAATAAGTTTTTTAATATTTGCATCCACATTTAGTCGTCCTCTATGAATAACAAGCTTTTTGTTTGGTAAATTACTGTTTATTTATATAGTTTTACCTACGGGTGATCCTATTATCAATGGTCTAGATAGTTCAAATGTAACAATTCTAGCACGAAATTTTAAAACTATTTGAATAGGATTTTCAAAATCACATATGATATCACCAGACCTAACCAATATTACCAAAATAAATTATAAATTATATGATAAAACTTTAAATATGATGAATCAATATTCAATAAATTCACTAATACGCTATCTCCTGAAAATGCTATATTTTGAATATTATTGTGTACATAAATTGCTAATTAATTTAGAAGATCTTTAAATTATTAGAATAATACATTTAACTTCTCCTTTTTCCTTTGAAGGCATAATAATTACACTTTTTCCTACTTGTAATGTACCTGTTTCTATTTTTCCAAATATAGAGGTTAAGGTGTTAGAAGATTTATATATGTCCATAATAGAAAGTCGAAGGGGTGCATCAAATCGTTGATGCTCAATTGATATGCTTTCTAACAATGAATATGTAAAAGTTTAGATATAGAATATAAATGTAGTACCTAATGAATCTAGTAATGTACAACCAGAATACCATGATTGTAATTGAGTATTTAAAGGCGTAATTTTTATTAAATTTTCTCCATTAAGACCGCTACATGGTATAAATGAAATGTTAAATTTTTGAAACCCCTTGTAAATAAAAAATTGAAGTAATTGAGCTTTAATTTCTTCGTATCTTTCTTGAGACCAGTTAATCTGATTGCATTAGTATTTTGAAAAAGTTTTGAATCATATACAGTTTCGAGTTTATTAATGGCAACAACAATTTTCTGTATTCCTAAACTTCGTACTAAAATAATATGTTCTCTTGTTTGGCCATGCACCATAAATCCAGATTCAAATGAACCCGAAGAAGCATCTATAACTAATAAAGCTAAATCGGCCTACAACTTAAAATAATTTTATTAATAATTACAAACTTACTTCTGCTGCTCCTGCTATCATATTAGGAATAAAATCTTTATGTCCAGGAGCATCTAAGATAGTATATTTGCGTGATAATGTTTCAAAATAGTTAATACCTATATCCATAGTAACTCCACTTAAACGCTTAAATAAAAAACGTTTTATAATATCAAACATACCGATCTCTTTCTTCTAATGTTTGATCCAGCACCCATGCAAAATGAAAAGATGATTTTCCAGATTTATTTGCTTCAAGTTTTAGTTTTTCAATAGTTTTAATATCAACTACTTTAAGATCATATAAAAGTCTTCCTACTAATGTACTTTTTCCTGCATCTGCATGCCCTACATAATTATTAGAAATATATTATTTTAGAAATAGTACTAAGTTTACCAATAACAATAATATTAATATTATCCTTTTTTTTATCATCAATTATTTTTAAATCAGGTGTTTTAGTTAATGATATCTATAGAATATATTATTAAGCAGTAAACATAAAATTAAAAATGTTTTTAAAACCTCACATTCATTAAAATTGGACATATTTTTATGTTCAGATACTGATGATATATTCATAATGCTTAATTCATGACTTAAGTTATCATTATCAGATGGAAATTCTGAATGAATCGTTGATTTAGTGATTTTAGATGTTCTTAAATTTTTTCCTTATAAAGATCAGATGAAATAATATACATAAATGTATACAATACCTTTCTTACTTTGTGATTTTGATGAATTACTAGATGTTTCATGAAATGCTGATTTAAGATCATTATCCAAAACTCCTGTAAATAAAGAAAAACGCTGATTAGCAAACTTATAAAAATTATCAGAAAAAATTATTTTTTCTCCAAAAATAGATAAAGCAAATTTAGAAGGTTTTACTTCTATATTATATTCATAACTTTTAAAAAATTTATTTAAAGACTCATCATTAATTTCTTTTTTTTGAAACGTTTCGTCAAAAATAGTTTTTTTTAAAACATCTTGCTTTTCTGATTCAATACTATAATTTATAAAATGTGTTGACTGATTTAATACTGCTTTTGATTCATTTCTGTTATTTTTTGTATCATCAATTATATTAAATTTTGTTTTTGTTAAGTGAGAAAGAAGAGAAACAGATTTTAAAGATGATATTGTAGAGATATTAGAAGATAATTTGTGTTTAGAGTTAGCTAAAGCTGAAAGCTTTGATTGTTTTGGAATAGATACTTTGCTAGTTTCAAGAGGATATTCTTTTTTACATACTTTTGAATTTGATTGAACTTCTATCTTTAAATATTAATAAAGTATGTATAATTGCTTTACCTTCCGAAATATTTTCATTTAGTGATGTTTCATTTAAAGAAATTAAACCTTTAAAAATTTCAATAAGCAAGTTGTTATGAATTACAATAATGTATATTTAAAAACGCATACATATGTTTTTATAAGAAAATTAAATACCTTTTTCTGGAGTAAGTGTTTTAAATGATTTAGAAGTATTTTTTAGTTGTTTTTGTTCTAAATTCATATTAAAATATATAAAGAAAGCAAAACTAATACTCGTAATCCATAAACAAGCTTTTTCCACATCAAAAGAATTATTGATTAGTGCATTATGGATATCTTTTTGTTTAACATAAGAAATATCTTTTAAACGATCTTTAACTTTAGCTGATGCTCTTGAAAGTTTTTCTCAAAAATGAATTAATAATAAAAAATTTTTATGATAATTTTTACCAAGTTCATCATCTGAAAAATCTAATTATTCAATAAAATTTAAAATATATTATATTTTGATTTAAAAATACCTTGAAAACCGTCATCTTCTAAAAAGTCTAAATTTATGTTTAGAAATATTGAAATAAGTTTAAAACAATAAAGAAACCGTCTAATTCTTTATTAAATTGATGATGTCTAGACATAATATGTTTTTAAAAAGTTTAAAATTTTTTGAAAATTTAAGGTTTTGGACGTTTGAAAAAACAGCCTTAAGCAAAAAAAATGAAAATACAATTAAAAATATATATAGATATATATATATATATATATATTAAGGAGCTAAAATTAATTTTTGGATATATCTACATTAGAGATCAATAAGGGATATCTGTTTTAAATGATCATTTTTATCCTGAGGAGTTTGCTGATAAAAAGATTGATTAGAATTATTATGAAGTAAATCATGCTCATTTTGAATGGCTATATATGAATCTTTAGTCTGAGTTGAAAAAGTGGGTTTGTTAAATGTGTCTTTTAGAAAAATCTCCGATGAAAGATTAGGTACAGTATTTGAGGTGACTGAAATGTTTTTTTTTAAGATAGAATTTTCTTGATCTTTATATGAATAAGTTCCTTTGGAATGTATAGAAGTATCTAATGATATAGGATCACCTGAAGTATATGAATTGTAAAAGGACTTGTCTGTTTTTAGTTGGTGATTTTTATGGTATGAATAATATTCTGAGGATGAAGGTTGAAAAGTAGTTGGTATTAATAAAGATGGATGTTGTGTTTCCTTATTACTTTGCAAAAATTCGGTTTTACACGTAGGAGAAATAGTATAACTAGAATAAACAGTTGATAAACGGTCTTCTAATAATTTATCATAATATTTCATAACTGTTGAAAGTTTAGAATGAATATCTATCAGTTTTTCTAAAAGAATAATCAAAACTTAATGATATAAAAACTAAAGGTTAATTTACCATATTTACTAATAGTATTCCCCAAAGAACGAATAAGTTTTGGTTTCAATTTTACAATAGAATCGTATAGTTCTTGAACTTGGTAATCTCTTAAGATTGATCCTAATGGTGCTGTTTGAAGTTTTCTAATCAGTATAGAAAATGTATTTATGTTGTCAATCTCAGATGTTGTAAGTTCATATTCAAATTTTAACTAAAGTTACATCAATATTAATGAATAAACAAAATAATATTACTTCAGTATTTGGGATAATTATTTTTTCCTGCATATTAAGATTTTTGGATTTTAATATTTCCATATCTTTCAAGCTTAAGGTAATTGCTTTTCTTAAGTCTTTGTCATCATCTGAAGATTCATTTTTATAATTTTTTGAAAATTCTTCTTGATGTTCAAATTCTGGTTCTTGGAATTTATTTTCTTTAGGAGGTATTTTTACAATACGTTTTAAATCTTTTTCATTATCCACATCTGTGGATTTAGAGTATTCTGTTTTTGAAGTGTTACTAGATGCTGTAGAAGCAATAGATGCTTGTGTTTTTTTAAAATAACAATTATCGCAAACTCTGGTTGGTTCAATAATACCCATATATAAAAGGGAACATGATTTTGATGAACACGATTGGCAAAAAACGCCTCCACAGTTGCGACAATGATGTTTTCTATTTTTAAAAGTAAATTTAACTCTACAAAGCATGCATATATTAGAATCGCACCATTCAGGAGGCTGTAGATTTTAGTTTGCTATATAAAAATAATGGATCTTTACTTACAGAGAAAGAATCGATAAAAGTAGATGTTAATGCCTCCTTAGGTGGAAAGTTATATCCTTGAGACCGAAGGTCTTCGTATACTGTACAGACATAACCTAGACTTTCTTTTTTTTCAAATAATGACACCCACATCTGAATAAGTTCTAATATCTTTGTTTTTATATCCATTTTAGCTACCAAATTCTGATCTGATGTATCCTAATAATAAATATGAATAAAAGATAATAGCAGATAGAAAAATTTAACATTTGCCTTCAATAACGACACCAAATAGTCCATAAACTCTCTAGACGATACTTCCAAGAGAAAATGATCTCCGCCATTCTTAACACACAAGTCTATCAGCTATATTCATTAATTTAACTTTGTTATGAACAAATCCCTATATTTTTATACTTTTAATACCAAAATTTGAACATTTGGATTCCGGTGACATATACGACGTTTAATACTCTTTATTGCATCTTTTGGATGCACTGATTTACTCCGAATCATATCACATATTTCAAGACAACTTGCAAGATCTTCTGTCCCTGCTGGTATATTTTCTGAGGTTGCTTTTTCTACAAAAAAGGTTAGAAAATGAAAATATATTAAGATAATATTTTGTATTTAAAATACATGCCTATAAGATCATCAAATGCACTATGTGTCCACCAACTTAACATTTTGTTAATATTTAAGACGTTGGGATCTCCGATGTTTTATCTTAGCGAGTTGTCATAGTAACACGTTTAAGAACTTACATTGACGAAGGTCCTCTGAGGATGTAATTAACTTAAATAATGACGATTAGCAAAATATTCTATTTTTAAAAGTTATAAAAGTATGAATTTTTTAAAAATATAGCTTTTATAGGAAAATATATTTTTCTGTTATTGAAGAATATGTAAAGAAAATGGTGATTGAGAAAGAACAAAAGATAGGAGATACTTTAGAAGCATTGAAAAAAAAAGCAGAAATTTTTGAAAAAGATACGAATTATCCAATAAAACTGTGGATATCTACAGCAAAAAAACTCCAAGATCAGGTTTTTTTATTGAATTGTCTTTTTTTATTTTAAGATAAGGTCTAATCAGTGGAAAAAGGCATATAAGTTTGAGACAGAAGGAAATCTCGAAATGGCATATGTAAATTATTTGAAAGGGTCTTCAATTGTTGTTGAAGGTAGATTTGTATATTTTATTGATATTTCTAAAAATAACAGTCATTCCTAATCATAAAGATTACACAACGTTTAAGAATCAAAGCGGACCTATTCTAAAGAAATATCATGAGCTTAAGAAAGTGAGTTTGAAAAAATTCTGTTTAATATATAAAAATTCTAGGAAACATCTTTGTCACTTTTTAAATGCCAGGAAATTTATCAGACTTTGAAAATGAGAGATATTGAGAAAAAACAGATATTAGACGAGTCAAACAATATAGCATATACAAAAGATACTTTTTCAGTGCCATATGATGAAACGAATTCTGATAAATTGACATGGAAAGAGTCTAGTTCTACTTTAAATCGTAACTTTTTCTTAAATAAAGAAACTGATTCTATAAAAAGTGATTCTTTCGAAATATCTGGTATTGAACATGTACAAAATGTAGACACTCCTAAAACACCTTTTAAATCATTGGATTGTGTTTCTTCTCCTAATGTAATCATTTCTAGTATATATATATAATAATAACAATAGTAGCTTTGTTTTGGCACTGTGAATTTATCATCATCTTTTAATATTAATAAAGAGATTAAAAGGTTTACATCAAATCAAGCATTGAGAAGTTTAAATGAAAAATTAGTTTTACCAGATCAAACAAATTTATCGTCATGGTTTTCTTTTATTGAACCAGAAACATTATATAAAAGTATTATTTGCAAAGATAATAAATCAGAAATTTTATTCTTAGATATCAGACCAAGAAATGAATTTAAAAAACTTAGGATTGCTTCTGAAAATGTAGTTTGCATTGAACCTATTATTTTAACCTTAGAAGAAAAGTAAGACTTATATTAAATAGTTTTATAACTAATTTATTTAGTATATCAGGTGATCAATTAGAAGATTCTTTAATTATTTCTCCATTATCTGAGCAAAAAATGTTTTCTGATAGGCATAAATTTGATCATGTTGTTTATTATGATTGGGATAGTAGAAATGATAATCTAAATGGAAATATTTTTCAAAAAGAAAAAGCGCGTATATTATATAATTTAAACAATGCTATATTTAATTTTGGAAGATTTAAAAAGCCATTAAAACATGCACCTGTTTTACTTTCTGGAGGTCTTAAAGCATGGATTAGTTTTATAAAAAAGAACGATCTTTTCAGTGATTTTATAAAAGGTACTGACATTGATAACAAAGAATCTTTAGGAAAAAATCTATTATCTTTTGAGCAAAAATCGAACCAATTGTCTATAAAACCAAATATTGATTATTCTAAATTATATATATCATCTGTAGAACATTCTTTATACATTAGTCAACCAGAATCTGAAAAGAAATATATAGATACTCCGCAGAAAATGATGTAAAAATATTTTTTTCCAGTATATACTAATTTTCCTTGTAGAATGTCTATGAATGAATTTGAGTCATTATTTAAAAATAATACAAATCAAACAAATAAAACAAAAGATGTTCCAATTACATTAAATAGTAATCTACAATCAGAATTTCGTATGGAATGTGTAATTATTATGTTAATTACAATTTTTGTATTAACTTATATTTTAGTCTTCACAGAATAGCTTGTCTCAGCAATTAAAGTCTACACCTTGTTTTGAAACAAAAAATAATTATAATACTTTAGGATCATATAATGATTTAAATACATTTAAATCATTGTTTCAGGAAATAACACCAAGTAACTCTAACAATTTTCTTAAAAAAAATATTCCATCTAATAATCCTTTTTGTGAATTTACAAAAGTCAAAAATGATAACTGTAGATTTAAAGAACTTATATTATCTAATATGAATACTATTAACTTAAGAACTCAAAATATTATATCTCAAAACTATAATACAGAACAGTTTCGTGTTTGTGAGACCATAGGGACTACAGGATTAACAAATTTGGGAAATACATGTTATATGAATGCTATTATCCAATGTTTAAGCAATACTATTCCTTTCGCGAGATATTATAGAGGTATATTTTTTATAGCATTTTTGTTTCTAACACATTTATTAGATGGAAGTTATAAAAAACACATTAATTTTGATAATCCTTTAGGATATAAAGGGGAACTTGCTCAAACATTTGCACAATTAATTTCATATCTTTGGGATAATGAACATACATATGTATCGCCACTTTTTTTTAAGGTTAAAATGTTTCTTTTGTATTTTACTGTTTTTAATCTAAAAAGAATGTTATTGGACGTCTTAAAGAGCAATTTCGGAATAATGACCAGCAGGACTCTCAGGAATTTTTAGCTTTTCTTTTAGATGGTCTTCATGAAGAATTAAATACTGCAGCTGGACGATTAAAACCAAGAGAATTGACCGTAGAAGAAAAGTTGAAAATAGAAAGTATGCCGGATCAAATTGCTTCAAACATAGAGTGGCAAAGATATACTCATTTAAATAATAGCATTGTAGTTTCTCTTTTTCAAGGACAATTACAAAGCAGATTAAAATGTTTAACATGCAGTTTCCAGTCTACTACATATAATCCTTTTACATATCTTTCATTGCCAATACCTTTTACACAGGCTAAAACTTCAACGTTATATGAATGCCTTCAATTTTTTGTCCAAAAAGTAAATTAAAGTACTGATTCTTTATGCTAATTATAGTAGGAATATCTTAAAGATAAAGAACAATGGTAGTTGATTTTTTAAATAAAAATATTTTTAAAATGTTTTAGGTATTGTTCAAAATGCAAAAAACCAAGAGATGCTACTAAAACTTTAACTATATCTAAAATTCCAGAAATACTTTTGATTCATCTTAAAAGATTTCGAACATGTGGGCATTGGAAGGATAAAATTGATACTAAAGTTGATTTTTTAATTAATAATCTTGATCTTACCGATTTTTTACTTAAGAGTGAACTTTTTACAGATTCATCTAATCATGAAAAATATCTTTATCATTTATATGCTGTTACAAATCATTATGGGAATTTAGATGGGGGTCACTGTAAGAAGACTTTTTTAATACTTCTATCTTATTTATTTGCAGATACTGCTGTTATAAAAAATGGTTTTACGAATTCCTGGAATTTATTTGATGATCGTCGAGTTGTTTTTTGTAATGAAAGTGATGTTGTTGTAAGTATTTACAATTTTAAAGTAAACATATTCATTTTTTAGTCATCTGCTGCTTATATTTTATTTTACATTAGAAATAATATTATTTAATTTACAAGTTAACTTTCCATTAAGTCAACAATATATTGAGAATTACTGAAATTATAGCCTTAACGATTAAGTTATAATATATTTTTTCATCAGATTTTGAATTGTTCAGCATATTTGATGTGCCCGAATCTATCATGATCATCGAAAATCATTATCAACTGACATCAATTGATTTTACTAAGGTTTTTGTGTTCTTTAGATCAAAAAATGGCTGCAGAACAAAGAAAGCTTTTAGAAGTAGTTTTAATTTACTTTTTATATATTTCTAACTTTTTTTTAGCAATTAATGGGTTCAGATATTATGGGTTCCTCTCATCAACAATCTATGTCTTTTACAAGCCCAAAAGTTTGTAGAAGCTTTCTTTGTGGAGATTGTCCTCATGATATGTTTACGTATGTTTTTATATATTATTGAATTGTATTTAATTTTATTAGAAATACAGTATTTTTCTCTTTTCGAACTATATGATGAATGACTTCTTATAGAAAATGGATTTAGGACCTTGTGCTAAAATACATTCTGATAAGTTGAAGGCGGATTACCAGAAAGCACGTTTAAAGAAGGATTATGGTTTCGAATATGATTATTTAAGGGATCTTAATAAATACATTGATGAATGTAACCGTCGTATTGAATCTGCGCAGAAGAGATTAGAAAAAACACCTGAAGAGATGGCAAAAGCAAGTCAGCTTGTATTCTTTGAGTTCTAGACATGCTTTTATCTAAGTTTTTATAGACTAGAGATATGGCAGAGTTTGAAAAAATTATTGATACTGCTTTAGAAGAGGTCCAAGTTTTAGGTATTTAAATTTGTATCTTTACTGCAGAATTTTCTTATTTTTTATTTAGGTGAGCAAGGTGAAGTTATGCGTGCAGTAGAAGAATATTATAAAGTTGAAAAGTACAAAATTGATCGGCTCGAGCGTGAAGTATGTTTTTAATATAAAAAGTATTTATTAATTGTTTTAAAGAAAGAGCTAAAATCGATTTCTACCAACAGTGGATCATTAGGACATCAAAAACTTCAAGTTTGCGATGTTTGTGGAGCATATTTATCACGATTAGATAATGATAGACGATTAGCAGATCATTTTGGAGGAAAAGTGAGTAAACTAGCCTTTTTGAAGAGTTCTAATGAAGTAGCTTCATATGGGATATAGTAAAATGAGGAATCTTGTTGTTGAATTGAAGAAAGAACTGGATTCTAAAAGATATAATGAAAGTATTCATAACTCATCTGATCTGGAACAAAACGGACAAAGCTATAGTTCAAGGGCTAGCAAGGGAAGAAGCCGAAACCATAAAAAAAGTGGCTTTGATGATAAATATCGTAGTTAATGCATTTTCAAAATAGTTGACAATTTAAATTTAATGTTTAAAACAAATTTAGCAGCGTTATAGTTAAAATATGTAAATATTTAAAAAAGTATACCAAAGCATTAATTATTTTAAAATAAATTATATAAAAACAAGATAATTTTTTAGCATTGATCTTAATATAAAAATTGTATTTTATTCCCAAGCATCATAGTTGTCTTCATTGTTCTTTTATTTAGTCAGTATTTATAAAAAAAGATGTGTACAAACTTTATTATCTGTTTCTAATATTGTTTTATTATTAAAGTATTTTGTATCTTCTTGTTTAAAAGTATCAGTGTCATTTGTATTTAATTCTTTTTCCAATGTAAGTTTTGATAAAGGTTTTAAAATAGACAGCTTTTCTTCATTATTATAATCATCGTCTTCATCCCATTTCAAAATTTCATTATCTTTTATATCTGTGTTTTCTATTGCTTAATCAATGTTATTTTTTAAAATAATAGTACCTAAAAGTTTTTTTCTTTTATCTTCTTCTATTTCTAATTTTTGACGTAACCAAAAATATTTTTTCCAAAAATCTTCATATGATAGCTCATTTTGGATCATTTCTTCCATTGAGATTTTCAAATCTGGATAAGTTTCAAGTAATTTTTCAATATCTTGTATTTTTTGAGAAATAAAAAATTTTTGATCCCATTCTTTAAATTCTTCCGTAGAATCAGAAATGTTATTCATTATATCTTTTATTTCAGAATGCAATAAATGTAGTGCATAATCTTTTCTGTTTAAACTTGAAAAAAATTAAAGATATGGTAATCTTATATAAAACTTACTAAATCTCCCTTTTTTTATGAAAAGGCTTCTTTTCATATGGTTCAATATTTCTTTCTGAAATATCTGTATTCGGAGGTGTTATTTCAATGATTTCTTTAAGAAAATCCCCAATATGTATTCCTAATTTATTTAAATATGTCTCTGTTTGACGGATACTCTTTAAAGGATTATTTTGATTAAATAAAGTGCTATTTTTCAAACTATAGAAAATATTTTCATCTTTTTTTTCTTCATTTATGTCTATATTCTTTTTATTTTCTGAACTTTCTTTTGTTTTTTCATCAAAAATATTATTTGAAGAAATAACTTCTTTAAGATCATTAATTTCTTTAGATAAAAAATTGCTGAACATATAAATATCCTTTTTAGCATTTGAAATAACTGATTCACTCTAATATATTTAAAAATCTTTATTTAAATTTATTTTTTTGGTATAATTAAAATTTACCTGTTTCTTCACACTGTCTATTAAAGTAGTAAATTGATTCCATGAAAACGGCTGTGAAAGAATATCAATATCTTTAGACAACCCATATTCTTGTTTCTCGGTTGCAGAAATATCTGCATTATCTGCTCCTTCAGTATCTTTAAAGGACATAATTTATTAATAAAAATAAATATTAGAATAGATAATTTGTTAAAAAATGTATTTATAATATATTTATACATGAAAATGTATCTTTGCTTTTCATTTATAATTAAAATTATGTTTTAACGTACAAATAAAATTATCTTAGGCTTCAATTTAAAGAATTTTTAATTATAAATATTTTATTTCCATACGTCAGTAGTAGAAATGATAGAACTATCATAAAAAAGGCTATTCTTATCGTTTATATCTTGGTTATGAAGTGCTGTTATTTGGTAATCATTAAAATTATTATTTGTTTCCTTCGGTTTATCTGTTGACCATGGAGAAGTATGCAATGATAAAGTATCAGAAGTATTAAGTATGAGCGAGGGTGATTGAAAATCACTGAATGCTAATGAATCATTTTCCCATTGTTTAATAGAAAAATCTGGAACAGAATCTTGAAGGATTTTTGATGGTTCTGTTATATTTTCCTTGGATATATTTTCTGATTTTAAAGCACAATTACTTGACGATATACTTCCGCTAGACTCTGATACATGGTTATGAATTACTTCCGATGTTTTATTTTTGGATGCAGATGTGTTAAAAGATGTGAAGACAGGTGATAATTTTTGTGTATTGAGTAAATAGGATACAGAAGGGTTCGAAAAACTGTAAGATTCAGAAGTATTTAATACTTCTTTCTTTTCAGAAAACTCTAGGCCTTTAAGGTCTTCAGAAATATCTTTTAAAGAGTTAGAAAGCTTCAATTCATGTTTAGATGTTTTCCAAGTTTCGTGTAAAGATGGTTCTACTGTAGAATGATTTGTTGAACTATTTGACTGAAGTGAAGGTGCAGTTGAATAAAGAGACAAAATGGATGCTTTAAGATCAACTTCTGAAGTTTTTGCTTGAGTTCCTGGTATTGATAGATCTAATTTCGAAATATTAATACAGTTTTTTAAATTTGATTCAGAAAGAGTATCTTTCGACGTAAAAGAATTCTGTTAAAAAGATAAGTTTTAACCATAACACAATAAAATACTTTCTTTTTCTGGAAAACAAAATAAATTATTAGATGCAGAGTCTTTTGTAAGTGTTTGAGATGTTAAATTGTTAAATGTGGTAGATAAATTTTGTTTTTTTTCCAAAATTCTATTATTTAAAATATTATAGAACTATACATTGTTTTTAAAAATTTGCAATAATAATTTATAGCAAAAACTTACAATTTCACTATCAGCATTTTTATCCAAAGTAGAAGGATCTGGTATTGGTCCATCCATAACCCATCTTTTTGACTCATATTTAGTACGAATATAGTTCTCAATCTTACTAAAACTAATATCAGAGATAAAAATAGGAACAAAAGATTCAACTTTTCGGAAGGAATATGACCTGGAATTAGTTTTGCTTCCCAGTACCTAAAATAAAATAAATAACCCATTTCTTGAAAAACATATAACAATACTTGTTTGCCCGAGTATTTCCCCACCGAACCATATTTTCTAACTGCTCGTCTGTCCATGCATCTAGGTCAACCGATTTAACTATAAACATATATTTAATCATCAAATAATCGGAAAAAATTGGGATAAATGTTGATATTTAGGATGATCATACCTCGACTAATATGTGTTCCCATACTCCGATGCACACCTGAACATCTGATTACTATTAGTTGTTGTTCGTTGAGAACATATCAAATTGTTATTTTTTGTACCGAATACACAAAAATACCCCTAAAGACCAACTTGCCCATCTCGGATGATCATTACGTTTGCAATCTGAGCAGTATCTAATATGTTATTAGCTTTTTATTTGTTTTTTCTTCTCAAAATCTTACTTATTTCCCGGAAGTTTCAAAAGTGCTTTTAAGATTTCTCCATTAAATTCTGCCTTTTCTTTGCTTAAAGAAGAACGTGTCATCAATATAAGTTAAATATTTTTCAATTCTAAGCCTAAATACACTATTGATATTGTTTAATTTAGAGTTTTGTTTGAATCCAAGTTGCGATACGGTTGCTGGTTTTTCCGGGTAAGACGGACAATTCAGTTGAGTAAAATTCTAATATTTTACGAAAAAAAAACAAGCAAAATTTAAGAAATAATAACAACCAGATTAATTATTTGAGTTGACAATTTTTGTTTGTTTCTTGTTTTTTTTTCTGTATAAAATCAATAAATAAGCATAATTATAATTTGAATAAAATGGAAGTAAAAAATATTGATATTGATTCGTTGCAGAAAATAGATGTTTCAGAAGTTGCTAAACATGCTAGTCGGAATGATCTGTATATGGTTATTCATAAGATGGTATATGATATTAGTCGATTTATAAGTGAGCATCCAGGTGGAGAAGAAGTATTACTTGATCTTGCAGGTTTTATATTTTTTCTGATTTACCGTATTTCCTAACAAGCTTAGGTCAAGATGCCACTGATGCTTTTGAAGATGTTGGACATTCAGATGAGGCCAGGGATATTTTAAAAAATTTTCTTGTAGGAAAACTAGAAGGAGTGGTAAATGATTGCTTTTTCTAGGATAAAAATAAGAAATATTGATCTTTCTAGATTGAACAACCTGGATTTACAGTAAATTCGCATACATTCGAGAGTAAAAACAGTTTTAGCTCGTATAATATTGTTATAAATTGATTAGTGTTCTAATGATTTAAATAGGAAGATATATCTTGGAGCAGTTATTGTTGCACTTTTAGCACTTGCAATATATGTGTCTGTCTCTAAAGCATTTATATGATTCATATTTTCTGAAAATTCAAAACCTAAAAATCATGTAATTTATAGAAATATTGTTCATCACGTTAATCATAGATATATACATTTTCTTAAGGTATTAAATGTATAATTATGTAAGGTTTTTATTTTTTATTTTTATGCAACGTCTCGAAAAACAAGATGATTTTCGTAGAAATGAAGCATCTAAGTCTGTATTAAAAATGTATATATATATTTCTAACTATTTACCTTCAATGGGCATTTTTGGTATATTAGTAAACTATCATGAACAGATTTTTCGCCATGAATCCTAAATTATATTAGTTTTGTTATTAAAAGTTGTAAAACGCGTACCAATTCACATATACAAGCAGTTTTCCAGATGCATCTCTTTCAATGGTATCAACTGATTCAATTTGGTCCTCCCAAGATGATAGATGCATAGGTGGTTTCCATGTTTCTGTTGAAACACTTGTAGATAATTCTTTAGGTTTGATAGTTGATTTCCGATGTTTTATTTCATATTCTGTATCTGTATTTTTATGCAATTGAACTGATTTCCGTTTACGACCAACAGCTGATTTTTCTGAAAGAGATGGACGGCCACCAACACTTTCCCAATATTGCTCAATAAGATCTTTACACCCTCTTTTTTATTTTAGTATGTTTTCATTAAAATAAAGGTTTTAATCATACTCGCACGATGTCTCATCTTCCCATGTATTATCTTCTAACTCATCATAGTCCTTCCATTTAATAAGATACTCCCAGCCTGTTCGTTTCTACGGTCTTTTAGTAACTTATGGAATACCATTTAAGACACAAAAAAGCATATTTCAAAAATTTTTCCTCCTATTTTAAAAATAAACACATGTTTTTCTCTTATCTTATTCTTTTTTTAGTATTTTGCATAGATTGGTCTGTTTATTTTGTAATAATGCCAGAGAACATTTGTGCCTTAGAAACATAAAAAAACTCACTGAATTCATACGATGATCCAATATTTTTTCAACTGCGTATATTTCATCTTCATTTTCACTCTCTACACTTGTTTTTTCATCTGTATTATTTTCTTCTACTGTTTCTTCGATATCTAGCTCTTTATATTAGTTTTTTTTGTTAGATTTTTAAACATACCTTCTTTCTTATGGGTTTTTTGCCTCATTGCTGTTATTTTTTCTTTTTTTACGCTTTGAATGTTTTGCTTTTTTCCTTATAAAAATATCCACATTTCTTGGACGTCCGATAATCACCGTGCTATTCGAGAATTTTAATGTTTTAAACTACTTATATAAATCAACTTTATTTAAACTAGTGTAAGGCGAGAAAACTGCTTAAAAGCCTTTTAAACCCTTTAAAACAATGGGTAACATGATGATTGATATGAAAAATGCTGTTGTTGCTCGAGATGAGCAAGGAAATCCATTTATTATTGTTAAAGAGTAAGTTTTGGAAAAAATGAATAAAAGATATATACGTTAACCAAATATGCAAGTCAGGATAACAAAAAGCGGTAAAATGATTCTTTATTTCTTTTTTAGCTATTCTGATTAGAATTGTTGTGTTAGATTGACTGGGATTGAAGCTATTAAGGTAATTTTATAGTTTTTATTATTTGAATAATATTTGGATATTGATAAATGTTTTAGTCTCATATTTTGGCAGCAAAAGCTGTTTCAAATATTTTAAAATCATCTCTTGGACCACGTGGTACAGAAATAAATGACAGGATTTAGAGAGATGTTAGTTGACTTGATTTTAGGGTTGGATAAAATTATGGTATCTTCTGATGGAGATGTCACCATAACCAATGATGGTGCAACTATTCTGAGTCAAATGGAAGTAGAAAACCAGATTGCTAAACTTTTAGTTGAGCTGTATATTTTTCTATTTTAAAAATAAGATATTTAATTATTGAAATAGATCAAAATCACAAGACGAAGAGATTGGGGATGGTACCACGGGTGTTGTAGGTAAGAAGTATTTTTTGGTATACTAGGATTATTTTATACTAATTGTTAGTGCTTGCTGGTGCATTGTTAGAATATGCGGAGGAATTAATTGATAAAGGAATCCATCCGATCAAAATAGCAGATGGTTATGATCAAGCATGCAAGATTGCAGTTCAGCACCTTGATTCTATTTCAGAAGTTGTAGAATTTTCTAAAACAGATACGATTAATCTTTTTAAAGCTACCAAAACATCTCTTGGAAGTAAAATTGTCTCTAAAGCACATGACAAATTTTCTCAGATTGCCGTTGAAGCAATTATGTCAGTAGCGGATTTGGAAAGAAAAGATGTTAATTTTGAACTTATAAAAGTTGATGGAAAAGTAGGAGGTGCATTGGAAGATACAGTTTTGGTAAAAGGAGTGGTTGTCGATAAGGATATGTCTCATCCTCAAATGCCTCGTTCTGTAAGTAATGCAAAGATAGCTATCCTTACATGTCCATTTGAGCCACCTAAACCTAAAACGAAACATAAACTTGACATTACAAATGTAGATGAATTTAAAAAACTTCAGGCTTATGAGAAAGAAAAATTTGAGGAAATGGTTAAAAAAATTAAAGATGTTGGCGCAAATCTCGTTATATGTCAATGGGGTTTTGATGATGAAGCAAATCATCTTTTATTTCAAAATAAGCTTCCTGCTGTACGCTGGGTAGGTGGGCCAGAAATAGAGGTTTGTAGAATTCTATAAAGTTTAAAATGATATTCATAAAATTTAGTTAATTGCGGTCGCTACGAACGGACGTATCATTCCAAGGTTTGAAGATTTAGCACCAGAAAAGCTTGGTACAGCTGGTATTGTACGAGAATTATCTTTTGGAACAACTCGTGATAAAATGTTGGTTATTGAAGATTGTGCAAATACAAGAGCGGTTACAATTTTTGTTCGAGGGAGTAATAAAATGGTATGTTTATTATAGGAATTATATTTATTTAAACTATTAAAAACAGATTATTGAAGAAGCTAAACGTGCTATACATGATGCTCTTTGCGTTGTACGAAATCTAGTGAAAGATAATCGAATAGTTTATGGAGGAGGATCTGCTGAGATATCTTGTTCTATTGCTGTCGCTGAATCTGCTGATAAAGTATCTATTTTATTTTATTTTTTATATATTGAGTTTTATAATTAGGCGCCTGGAATCGAGCAATATGCTATGAGAGCATTTGCAAACGCTTTAGATGTAATTCCAATGGCTCTTGCTGAAAATTCTGGTCTTTCGTCAATTGAAACATTAACAAACGTTAAATCAAAGCAAATAAAACATTCCAAGTCTTCGTTTGGAATTGATTGCATGCAAAATAATAATGATGGTCGTATTTTTATTTTTAATAGTCCCTTTTTAATATATATAATAGATATGAAAGAGTTGTTTGTCATTGATCCATTACTTACTAAGCGTCAACAATTATTATTAGCTACACAAATGTGTAGGATGGTGCTCAAGGTATTTTTTTTTCATTTTATTAAATGTTTCTTATATTTTTGCAGGTGAATGATGGTAAATATTTCTGTTTTGTTTTATTAAGAATTAATTTATTAAACAGTAATCATTTCTGGTTCTGAAAATGATGAATATAATTAATTATTTTAAATAAATATTTAGGAAACATATTTATTATTTTATATGTTTACTGTAATTATTAATAAAATATATATTAACTATATATTTTTTACATCATATTAAAAAATGTAATTTTTTAGAATTTTGGAAAATTTTCATTTATTTTTAGTTTATTGTTATATTTATGGAGTTTATTCTTATTTTTATGTAAATTGAGTTCTTGAACAGTTATTATTACATATTTTTATATATAATTTTTTACATATGTATTTATTGATATTCTTTTTTATCTTTTCTAAAGTTATTTGGATGTGTAACTTTTTAACTCTTAAAAATTATTGAAGTTTTATTTAATTTTAAAAAAAAAACAAATTTGAAAAAATTAAAAACCATTTATTTCTATAAAAATAGTATATTTTAAGTATTTTGATGAAAAATTGCTAATAATATCTATAAACAGGTTTTATTTTACAAATATCAAGTGAAAATTCAGTGGTTTTATAAATAAAATGAAGTCTTCTAGGGGAAGCTTAGATATAGAAAAAGAGCTAATGTTAACAGCTCATATCGATTATAATAGAGTTTCTATTCAATATAACCCTTCTGTTGCATCTCTTTATGAAGATGCATTACTTTATGAGCATGGTTCTGCAATTACATCTACAGGAGCATTGGCAGCATTTTCAGGTGAAAAAACAGGAAGATCTCCCAAAGATAAACGCATTGTTAATAATCCTGAGTCTTGTGAAAAAGTTTGGGTATGTTTTTTATCTTCATATTGTATTTTTTATTGAATTTCTTTTAGTGGGGACCTGTAAACTCAAAGGCAAATATACCTCGGATTAAAGAGTACATAGTAGATGGAAATCTAATCAATTAATGTAGATGTCACATTCTGTATGGTTAATTAATCGTGAAAGAGCTATTGATTATTTGAATACACAAAAACGAATTTATGTTTTTGATGGATATGCTGGAGCAGATGAAAAATATCGTATTAAAGTTCGTGTGATATCTTCTCGTGCTTATCATTGTTTGTTTATGATGAATATGTTAATTCGTCCTTCAAACAATGATGTTTGTTCTCAAAAACCGGATTTTGTTATTTATAATGCAGGTTCATGTATAAAACAACTTATTTAAATGTGTTTTTTTAATAATAGAAAGTTCCTGCAAATCGTTATACAGTTGGAATGACGTCTCGTACATCAGTAGCTATTAATTTGGAGGATCGAGAGATGATTATTCTTGGAACGTAGTTAACACATTGATTTTTTTGTTAATCTCATATAATTTAGTGAATATGCTGGAGAAATGAAGAAAGGTATACTCACATTTATGTTTTATCTTCAGCCAGTTTTATATAATGTTTTAACACTTCATTCATCGGCTAATGAAGGAAAAAATGGTGATGTTTCTCTTTTTTTCGGTTTGTCTGGGACAGGAAAAACAACTTTATCAGCTGATCCCGAACGTTACCTTATTGGGGATGATGAGCATTGTGTAAAATCTTTTTGTTTAATTAATTTGTTTATAATATACATTAGTGGTCAGATACAGGTGTTTTTAATATTGAAGGAGGGTGTTATGCAAAATGTGTTGATTTATCTCAAGAAAAAGAACCTGAAATCTTTAATGCCATTCGTTTTGGCGCAATTCTTGAAAATGTGATTTTTGATCCAGTAACACGAGTGGTTAATTACAGTGATATTTCTATTACAGAAAATACACGTTGTGCATATCCTATTGAATACATTCCTAATGCGAAAATTCCAAGTTTAACGAATAAACATCCAAAAAACATTATTTTATTAACATGTGATGCTAATGCTATTTTGCCGCCTGTTTCTAAGCTTACAAGCGATCAAGTTATATATAATTTTATTAGCGGTTATACTAGTAAAATGACAGGAACTGAAGACGGTGTAACAGAGCCTCAGCCAGCATTTTCTGCATGCTATGGAGAGCCGTTTCTCGTTCTTCATCCTATTGAATATGCTGTAATGTTATCTGAAAAAATGAAAAAACATAATTCTGATGCTTGGCTTATTAATACTGGTTGGATTGGCCAAAGTTTTTTGAAAGGTGGCAAACGTTGCCCACTTAAATATACTAGAATCATTTTGGATACAATTCATTCTGGTCAATTGGCAAAAGCTGAGTATCAAACTTTTCCTGTTTTTAATTTTCAAATTCCAAAATATATTGAAGGTATTCCTTCAGAAATTCTTAACCCTTTGGAAAGTTGGAATGGCACTAAAGGTAAAATTTTTTGCTTTTAAATTTTTATTTATATTTTGTTTAGAAGAATTTTATAAAAATCTTCATAAATTAGCGTATCTTTTTATAGAAAATTTTGAAAAATATAAAGATATGGCTACACAGAATATTTTAGATGCTGGACCAATTATACAATAATTTTTTATATTTTTTATTTTATATTTTCTATATAAAATACAATTATATAAAATATAGTTTTTTAATATTTTAAATTTTTTCCGTTTATTTTTAAAATGTTCTAAAACAGTGTTTGTAAATGTAGTTGTATTTAGAATTCCACTATCCCCATATAAAGATTTATTGTATGCTTGCTAGTGCATCATGTTTCTATGTCTTCTTTTAATAAGTTGTTTTCCTTTAAAAGGGAATCAATCTCAGAAGGGCTCCATACATGATGGTAAATCTTTCCTTGTTTGTTTATTCCCATCGTAGCAAATTCAACTAGTAATATTCAGAACAATATAAAAAATTATAAATACTTGCCTTTTTCATTTGATAGTACAGTGCTATCTATTGTCTTTGACAATACTTTAATTGCTAATGAGCAGGCTTCTTTTAAATTCGTTTCTTTGTAATCCTGTTTGAGCAAGCTCTGTGCTGATGCATTGTTTGCACCAATACTTGTCGCTTTCCATCCCCCATAGTTTCCTGAGGGATTAGATTGGTATAACTGAAAACCATAAATTGGGTCGTATCCTGCCCATATAAATGATACACCAAAAGGACGTAAACCTAAATTTAAATTAACTTTTTTTTAGACCGTTTTTTATTAAACCCCCATATTGTGTATATCCTTGTTTAATATTACATAAACTTTTCACAAGCTGTTCACATGGAATATGTTTGTTATATGTAAGTAAATATTTCTGGGCTGTTCTACGTGTATAATCAATAAGAATATTCGCATCTGCTGTTATCCCTGCTACTGCACAAATCATATGGCTATACTTTTCAGATACTTTTGAAAAAAAAAGTATATTCACGTACTCATCTACAACATATAACTTTTCTGATGATGTATTTTGCTCAAGTAATTTGCTAATAACTTTTTTTTCTGCTGCCAAAACAATTCCGTCTTCTGCAAGCACTCCAAGCGCTGTTCCTGCACGAGAAATAGCTTCTAATGCATATTCTACTTGGAAAAGACGTCCTTAAATGTTTATTAGGCACTTTTCACTTGTTTTTTACAGACATAAACCTTCTGGACTAAAAATCGTTGTTCTAGAGTCATATCTGCCTATTTTTAACGCAAAAAAAAAAAACAGTTTTTTCGAAAATCTCTTACCTACGTGACATTGTCTATAATAATTGAGTTTTTTTCTCTTTTCTTTCTCTTTTTAAAAATATCTTTTCTATTTCAAATCTTTTATTTTTTTTGCTTGTTAATTACGAATATTAATTTTCCTCGTGTTGCCACAACAACCGCTTCGATATAAGTTGCTCTAGTCAGACCTGTGTGATTTCAGAGCACTGCTGATCAGACGACATAAAAATGAATAGCACTGTAAATAAGTCAAATGGAGATGATTTAAAGCATTTAAAAAAAAAATCTAATATTCTTCTATCAGAAGAACTTCCTCCTGGCTGGACGGCACATTTGGGTAAGTTTTTTGTGGCTTTAGAATGACTAATTGATGTAGCACCGACTGGTCATCTATATTATTTTCACAAAGCTACACGGAAGTCAACGTATATTAGGCCATCAGTAGATACTCCTGCAGCAGCAGCACAAGTTATTGTTCCTCCACCGCCGCCGTTGCCGTCACCTCCAATTCAATCGGATCAGTTGGTGACTGGATCTAGTTTTCCTAATGTTTCTGGAATCCCGGAACAATTGTCATTTTTAAGCCGGTTTTCTCGTGAAAAAGTGCAAGACAGACCAAAATATAGGTCAGTACATATGACATGTGCACATTGTTCATGTTTCCAAGGTTTCCAATTGCCAATGCAAAACCTTGGGTAAGAGTAGTGACCCGACGTCGACGTCAATTTGTACATAATCTGGAGACAGGAGTATCTCTGTGGGTTCCGCCAGAAGAAGTTCTTTTAGCAATGCATGAAGAAGAGAAGAATAATAATCCACTTAATAGTCTTTTTGGTTACTCTGAGCAGTCATCAAGTGAATATGATAGTTCTGATTTTACTCTTGATAGTGATGATGCATCTGATGCTTCTAATCCTAATGTCTCTGCTAATGCGTCCCATGATGCATTTTTTACTACACTTGATAATACTGAATATACTGAAGACGACATTGCTTGGCAGCTTGCAGCCATGGAAAATAATGATTTTGGTGCGGCGCCTGCACAAGAACTTTCAAAAGATGAGAAGATTAAACAGTTTAAAGTACTCATATAGGTCAATTTTATTCAATTTAATTGGATATAGGAGATGCTACATGAATTGGATATAAATCCATATCATCCTTGGGATCAAGAGGTTTCAAAAATCATGATGGATCCACGTTACTTATGTATAGCAATAAGAAGCTAGATTTTTCTTTTTTTGACTTTTGTAGTGATTGATACTATGAAAGAACGAAAAGAATTATTTGAAGCGTTTTGTAAAGAGTCTGTTGCACAACAAAAGAAAGAAGCTGAATCTAAACCAAAAAGAAACGTAAGTGAAGTAATGGATGGACATATGTGCATTACTTATAATACTTAAGCCTAAAATCTCGTTTATTGCATTACTTCAAGATCCTCAGACCCCTAATATGTATTGGCATGAATTCAGAAGGAAATTTAGAAAAGAACAAGAATATAAAGAGTTTGGATTAAATGATAAGGAAAGAGAAAAACTTTTTCGAGCATATCAAGAACGTAAGTATGTTTGTTTAAATGATTATTTATTTAGTTGTATCAGAAATGAAATATGATATTAAAAAAAAAGAACAGGATTTTCAAATATTGTTAAAAACTACACCGTCTGTGACTAAAGACACCACACTTCTTTCGCTTCCTGATGAAGTGTTAAGTGATTTACGGTATGCTGTAATTCCATCAGAAAAATTGGAAGAATATATAAATAAATATACACGAACTATTTAGAATTCCATTTAGGTGGGTATTTAGTTAGAAATAAATTATTAAAATTTATAGGAATCTAAAACATGTGAAAAATCATATAATGGATGCTTTAAGAAATAATATGTTTTTAAAATGTATAAAAAAATAACAAAAATAACATATTATTCATTCTATAGAAGCTATAACTTAATACCAGTGTGTATAGCAGCAATTCCGAAAGAAAGGTTATGATAACCATCACCTACTAGTTTGAATCCTGCATCTTTCATCATTTTGGAAAACGTTTTTTGATCAAGATGTTTTGCAATTGATTCTGCAAGATATTGATAGCTATCTCTATCACCTGTTACTATATGGCCCATTATTGGCACGATGTTGAATGTATAGTAATTATATATTGTTTCTAAAGGTGCTAAGGATATTTTCGAGAATTCTAAACAGCTGAAAATACCACTGGGTTTTAGTACACGATATGCCTCTTTCAGAACATTCATAATTTGAGTACAGTTTCGAATGCCAAATGCAATTGTATAAATGTCGATGGATGATGATGGAATATCTATTAGATTTTCTGCATTTTGTTTGAAAAAGTCTATTCTTTTGGCTAAAAAATTAATTAGATTTTTTTTCTTAAAAAAAGATACACACAATATTTGTACCGACTATTTTCAAGTCTTTTCTTTCCAATTTCTAGCATTTCTGTATTTAAATCTACACATTTTACTTTCGTTTTTATATCAAAATGGATGTCTGTAGCATGATCTAATAACCGAAATGCAATATCCCCCGTCCCTCCAGCTACATCTAAAAGGTTCATTGGCTCACCGTTTAATGCACCAGGATCTAATCTTTGAACAAATTCATTTTTCCAGAGCCTATGAATACCCAAAGACATAATATCATTCATTTTATCATATGAAGAAGCAACAGATGTAAAAACATTTTGAACTAGAAATGAAATTAGTTTATTTAGAAATAATTGATTCATAATGAACCAAGTTTTTCTTTTTCTGATTCTGGAATCTCTTTAAAACCAAAATGTGTAGTTTTTTCTGAATTTTGGTCTTTTAAAATATGACAATATGAAAAATAGCGTTGGTGATTAACAATAAATAATGTTTTTTGTATGAGAGCTTTTCTAAATGAATTTATTACCCTATATTTTGTGTTTTGTTGGTTTAATCTGTATATTAACATAATGAATTGATGAAACAAGTTTAAGAACTATTTATCGTTAGACCCTAACCCTATATAACTAATCTTTCTCAAAAATACTATGCATTTCCTACATCATACTTTTTAAGCCTATAGTAATCATTAGTAACTGCCTTTTTTGAAAAAATATAGATTGCCTTTCATAAATACAAAGTTTTTTGTAAAAACGTTTCCATCTTATTAATATGATTTCTTTCATTTTTTGTGAAATTTTTTCACTTTTTTCTTCTTCCATAATTTTGAATGTTAAGCAAACTGCTTCTTCAAATTCTTGAGCAATAACAATGCCTCTGATAATAGGAAGAGGGCGTTTTTTTTCAAATTTGAATCCAACCTAAAAAAAATTAGCTAATTGATAATATTTATAGAAAGAAAACATACTACTGTGTCTGCATAGTCTACTCCTAAAATTTTTGCAGCTTGAGATATACCGGGGACTATTCCTTTTAGATTTTTGAAATAAAATATATTCATTTTTACATGGTAAATGTATTGCGCCTTTAGGAATCATTGATGATACAAAAATATCAAGATTACCATATGAATTTTTTGGAACCTTCCCATTTACAACAGGCGGGGGAATATATAATTCAGTTTGTAGTTCTGAATAAAGGCCAATAGTATTATGTCTAATATTAGTCTCTGATTCGTTTTGAAATGCAAATTCTTTGTATTTGGGGACAATTTTCATTGGTTGTTCTCCAAACTTTTTCTATTAAAAATTATTCTAGAAACTAAAAAAACTACCTTTATTTTTCTTCCACGTTGATACCATTTACCAGCTGATAAAACAGTAACAATATCTTTTCGATAAAATATTGGTTCTTTTATCTGATTTTCATTTACTTTTATAGTTATATATGAGCAAGGCTTTTTAGAAGAAATAATTTGTTCACGTTTAAGATGTCTTTCTATGATAAATCTGAGTGGATTAGTAAATTTTTAATATAATTAAATTAAATACAGTGGATGATCTTTAAGATCTTTAATATTTTTGGGTATTTTTTCATAAGCCTGGCGTTCCAAAAACTCTTCATCTTCAATTATATCAAAAGGTTGCTTTTTAGTTAGTCTTAATGTATGAAAATAAATTAAAAAGAAACTTACTGAAATATAATTTAATCTATAAAAATTTAAAACATTTTTCCACCATTTTTCACCTTCATCAACTGAGTCTATACGTTGTTTTTTAATTTTGCTGTTGAAATGTTTTGTATAACGGCGAGTTACATCTTTTACATATCCATCTAAAAAAATATGTTAGAAAATATTATGAATAATAAAAGAAGCATGTGACTTTTATCAAATGACATAATATAACTTAATGAATTTTTAGATTTGGAAATAAGTGACTCCATCTTACTTGGTTTTCCTACTAAATATGAAACCATTGGATCAACAAATATCCATTTTTGTGTAGATGGATTAAGAGCCTCTGCCCAATAAATAGGATGTAATGATTCCTTTATATCGTTTCTGTTATCTATAAAAGCTTAATATTTATAATAAGATAAAAGAAAGTTACCATATAATAAATCTGAAAAACTATTATTTGTAGACAAAAGACCAAATTTTGGACACTCAGATGTTTTAATTTGTTCTATCTTAGCCTTTTTTTTAAAATTATTTGTGGTATCTAAATTTTTAAATGTATTTTCATTTATATAATTATCTCTAAATTCAGTAGTATCATTGTTTTTATTAGAAATATTTGATGTTGAGCTATACAAAGAACTCGATTTATCAAATTTATATGACAGTGGTTGTAAAAGTACTGTCAATCGTACATTAACATTATTACTATCCAAAAGTGCCACGAATAACTGAGCACCAAGATCTCGAGATCCTTGTAATTGTTCTGCTGCTTTTAAAAAATCTTTAAAACAGAATATATTATCATATTGTTTTTCAACACATTCCTGCTATAATTACTGAAAAATATATGAATAGAATTGGAGTATACATTATTTAGTTGTGAATTTGTCCAGAAAGGTTTTGACATTCCATACTTATTTTTTTTAAATTTTCTTTTCCATATACTCACTGTAGCTTTAAGAGCACTCATAAACATTTTAGATTTTCGATATTGTGAAATTCGCTTGTCAGGATTAAACAATTGTTGAATTTCATTTGGTAAGATTGATTTAAGCCTAACCTATGCCGATTAGAAGAGATATTATAATATTAAATGAAGAAACGTGTATTCTTTTATCCCTGCAAAAGCTATTTCTTAGTGAACTATGTGAAATTAAACAGAGTAAGTGTAATTTATGAATTTCAAGACGAAGTTTTCTATCGTTTTTTGTAATTCCATGTCTATAAAATATATAAATGATTATTTTTATAACAATACAAATACAAAATCACCTTTTCCGTTTATTATTAATCTCAATTTTTCGTTCAATTGTTGTTTCAAAATCATATTTTTTTTCTGAATTTTTTGTTTCTGTTAACATATCTACATACTGTAAATACTCTTTTCGTTAAAGTTAGGTATTAACTTTGAAAATAAAGGTCAAAGTCTTCCCATTCAGGTTCACTCTCTTCTGAATTTGAATTGTCTGTTAAGCTATTTTCTTCGTTTTCTGATTTTTCTGATAAAGAGTCTTTGATTTTTTTTTGTAAAAACTCATTTTGAATCAGATCTTCAGAAAAAAGGTATTCAAAAGGATCCAATGGTTCTCCAAATGATTTTTTTAATTCCATTGTTTTTTTTCTTTTCATTTTTATTTTAGTAATATTTATAATATTCTTAATCCTTTTAAAATCTTTAAAAAAGTTTTTTTCTTTTTCAGTTCAATTATAATATCTTTTTTTTATTAAAACCTTCTTAAATTTATTCTTTTTTTCCTTGTTTTTTGTGTATATTGACAATATACTTTTGAATTCATGTATTTAACGTAAATCTCGAGATATGCTTTTTCTCGAGTATAATAGCTAATTTAACGACGTCAAAAAAAAGAAAATGAGGAGAATTGCTCCTGAAATCCTCATTTTATTTGAAATTTTGCTTATTTGGATTGTTAATGTTAATTCTAAAATATATCCTTCTTTAGAGCTAAAAAACGAGGATGTTTTAGCCGATATTGCTGATGAAAACCATCCATTTATGCCTATGTTGGAAACATTGCATCTACTTTCTAGAAAACCATCTTGTTTTAGATTTTCTGTTTCTTCACTGATTTCTACATGTGAAAAATTGGATTCAGATCTTCATGAAGATGAAAAACTGGCATTTGCTGTTAGATTAACGCTTTGTGAGCTTGATACAGCTCATGTTGAAGTTCCGGAGACATGTCGACAAAAGAATTTTCAAAAATGTGTTAAAGAGCTAGAGACACGCCCCCAATGGTGGACAAGGTATTTGTGATTAATTTTTAAAGTATAAAACTTATATAAATAAGTTACTCAGGATATTTCAGAGATGTAACACGCATGTAAATTTTAATAAAAAGTCATCTAAATATTATACTGATTTGTATTTTAGGTGTTTTGCTGCGCGTACAGAAGTTGAGAAAGGTTTTGTTTTTTTTTTTTTTTTGAATTACTAAAGTTTCAAAGACCAATTGCTTGCATTGCATCGAAATTTGACTTATGCTCAAATGGGGCTACTTCGAAATTTAAAGCTTGAAATGGATGATATTGATCTTCGTATTTATGAGAAATATAAGATGGAGCAGTCATGGCAGCAGTTTCAAGATGACATGGAGCGTAGTATGCAATTAATGAAAAATGAAATTAAAGAAATGGAAAAAATGGCAAATATTTTATTATCAACATTTTTGACATCAATGAATGTATCTTTAAATGAAGTAAATAGAAGGATTGATTTAGTTACAACGAATTTGGATAAAGTTATGTTAAAAGTTGAACAGGTATTTATTTTTTTGTTTAATAAAATATTATTGATAATAGTAAGGCGGGTTCACATGCAAAGAAAGAAATAAATAATCTTACTATGTTTATAAATAAATTGTGGAGTGCAACTGGTGAAATTGCTTTAAATAATTTTGAATCTATAAAAAAGGTCGATTTTTCTTTAAAAAAAAGATAACTTATGTTTCTAGATAAATAATGAATTAGAAACTATTGAAAATGTTTTTTTAGGATCAATTGTTGATCGCTTGAAAAAAATACGCATATCTTTAGTAATTTATCTTTTTTTTAAGAATACATTAATTATTTAATGTAGGATTTCTCTTTTGGATCTATTCAAACTTTTTCACAACAAATATTATCTATGTCTACGGTAATTTTTTTTCATAATTTTTTATATTTTAAAGACAAAAGGTGGCTGAAGTTCTTTCAAAAACATTGAAGAATTTGACACATTCTCACAATGATTTGTTCTCATCCTTGTCTTCTATTGAGGTTTTTATATTTTGTATTTTGGGATAATATTTAATTTTATTTTAAGGCATTACAGTTAAAAATAGGTAATGGGTCTCTTTCGACTATTAAATCTATTTCCAGTTTGGTAAATGAAAGAATGGATAATCTGTTGGATCAAATACAGGAACTTAAAAATACTACAAAAAATGCAGAAAATCATATATATTCTTGGATATTTTCAAAAATACCCCTTGTATTTACATGGTTGGCTTTCTTTTTCTTTTTTCCAATGCATAAATTTGCTGGCATATTTCTATTTGTTTGTATGCTATATGGAACTAATAATTACTTTTTAACAAATAATAGTTTTATATTATTTTTGGAGAAAAATTATGGTATTCATTGAATATTTAAATATTCAGAATCTTTCATCTTTATTTTATGTCATATCAAACATTTATAAAAATATTATTTCGTTTTTATTTTTTTCTATATTTATTACTTTATTTGTACGTTTTTATAAAAAGAATTACAGGTATATATTTTTTTGATTTTTCTATATATTTTAATATTTTATTAGAATTTACAGAAATTATCAAATGCCTTCTTTTTTGAAATCTTATTTAAGACCATTTGAAGTTAATCATGATGTTAATTGGCAACGGCTTTCTATTGTTGATAAATCAAAAAGGGTTTCTCGTATTTTTTAATTAACTATTTTATCAATCATATTTTATATTTTAAAAAAATATTATAAAATGTTTATAATATTTCAGATTTAGGACACTTTAAAAAATGCATTTTTTATCTAAAAAAAAGCTAGGTACATTTCAAAATACATTATTTATAATAGAATATACATTAAGTGTAATATGTCGAAATGTTTATGTCTGTTCAATATGTCTAGATGTATATACATAAATAACTTAGTTGTTTGCAAAAACATGTTTATGTTATTCATTATAGTATCTCTTTCACTAATAGTATTTTTTTATCTTTTTATCTTTTACTTGGGTCTGTACCCTCGAGAGTAATAGAAAAACTATTAGATTTAGATTCAGATTTACTTTTTTTATAATAAATAAAAACATGAATTTATGTTTCTATAATACCTTTTGATACGTTTGATGAAGATGCAAGATCAATCATTAGAAACAGAACTATCTTCTACTTTTCCACTTCCACCACAACATTATAAATTATTTACTGATCATAATTTACTTGCATTTAAAGAAAATCAGTATGATGCTATTCGCGATGTAGATCATTCAGATATGCCTGATACTGTAAATACTAGCGGTCCAATATTAGCAAGGTTTTTTACTCCGCCTAAAGTGCCTACTGAAGGATTTTACCAATGTTTTCATGAACGGTGGAAAGTATATATAAAAATAGGTTTTTTTGTTTGTTAAAGTACCTGAAGATTCCTGATGAACTACCATCTCTTACTGAATTTGGTATTCAACAGCTTTTTGATGCAAAAAATGGACCACTTTGTGCTCAAGAACGTATTGCTGAATTGAAAAAAATGTTAAAAAGCCTTTTATTAAATTTTCTTGAGCTTTTAGGGATCATGGGAATTGCCCCTGAACAGGTATATTTGTATTTGAGCTTCTCCGTCTAAATATAATTCAGTTTGTCGAAAAAGTAGAACATATTCGAATTCTGTTGCTAAATATGCACCATTTGATTAATGAATATCGGCCCCATCAAGTATAGATGCAACGAATAAGGCTGATGTGTTTTAATATTCATATTTAGGCCCGACATACTTTATGTTGTTTAGTTGAAAAGCAAGTTCAAGAGGAAAAAGAAAAGTTGTTAGCTTATCAGAATGTATGTGATGATGTTAAACGTATTCTTTCCATGTATCAGCGTGTCCTTAACTCGGAATCACATGAACATACGTCGGTTAGTTCTAACGAAGTAAAAACTAACACACAGTTACATGATCTTCACATTTGGTCGATTATCGACCAAAAAATACATCCGTCTATACATTTAGCTCAACATTTTGATCCGTAAGCTTGTTCTTGAATGGTTCTAGAGCAGGTGTTACTTCAGTATTCAAAAAAGCTTCTGTTTGCTCAGGAGCACGACCGATAAATGTCTGTGGATTAAGCAAAGTATCAAGTTCAGCCCATATTGGTTCGAAATATATATCACTTTTAATACGTTTGATAAGGTCATTATCTTTTCCTTTTTCCTTTACAATACGAGATGCTTCCTTTGAAAGAATCCGGATTTTTTCATGACAAACCTGTCGATTTCCACCTTTGCGGACCATTGCCATGATAATGTTTTCTGTCGCCATGAATGGCAGTTCTTTTAAGATAATTTTTGCAATTACATTTGGATATACAACAAGACCTCCTGTAACATTAATAAGGAGCTCCAGTACTGCATCTGCAACAAGAAATGCCTCTGGAATGCAAATTCTTCTGTTTGCACTGCAATATTATTATTAATTTGTGTCACATAATATAAAAAAATATTACCTATCATCAAGTGTTCGCTCAAACCATTGAACTGAATGTGTCATTACTGCATCTGTAAATAGTACACTCAAATGCCGTGCTAGAGCGCATATTCGCTCAGAACGCATTGGATTTCGTTTGTATGCCATTGCACTTGACCCAATTTGATCCGGTTCAAATGGTTCTTCAATTTGCTGCTCACTGGCAAGTAACCGTAGGTCTGTTGCTGTTTTGTGTGCTGATGCACCAAATGATGCCAATGCTCCCAGTATGTCTACATCAACTTTACGTGAATAAGTTTGCCCTGTCACTTTGTATGTTCGTTCAAACCCAGAAAGTTCTGTTACACGTGCATCCAATTGCTCGACCTGCATTTTTGGTTAACTCAAATACTTATTTTTTCTTTTTAATCCTCTACTTTTTCATGATCATTGTCAAACAATGTTAAAAATGATGCTTGTGTTCCTGTAGTTCCTTTTACTCCACGAAAACACAGATCTTTTCGTACTCGTTGCAGATTCCGCAAATCCCATACAAAGTCCTAGTTTCTTTTTAGTCATAGACTAGCTACTAACACACTGAACACCACCTGCAGCCACAATGCTGCTCTTTTTCCGACTGTCGTCAATTGTGCTGGTTGGTAATGTGTATACCCAAGCATTGGCAAAGCTTTGTATGTTCTACAGAACTCAGAAAGCTGTGATATAACCCTTGCTATCTTTCCAAGCAATAAGTCAAGCCCTTCACGCATTATCAGTAGATCTGCGTTGTCCATTACAAAACATGATGTTGCACCCAAGTGCAGAACACCGTGAGCTTCTGGTGCAATCTTTCCAAAGACATGTACATGTGCCATTACTTCATGGCTAGTTTTTTGTCAGTTTTAGACCAAATTGTATATAGACAGACCGGCTTTTGCATTCTTCTGCTCGTGCCATCTTAAGTTCTGCATCTGTTGCTTGACAATGCTCTTGCATAGCCCTAAGTGCTTCTTCTGTGATTTGTGTCAGTCCCAATTCACGTTGTGCTGTTGCTAAATTAATCCATAGCTTTCGCCACAGATTGATGCGGTGGCGCTGTGAAAACAGAGAAAGCATAGCTGCTGATGCATAACGCTCCTGTAGAGGAGAGGAGTATCTGTCCCATACTGATTCAACTGTTTCTACTGTTGCTGATTTGCTATTAGCTTTGTTGTTTTCGGTGTTGCTTGTCATCTATATGAGATTTGATGTACTGATTAAGAATAAAGGTAGAAATGTAAAGCCTTGAAAAAACTGAATAGTCTATGGTGATATTTAGGCCGTATATGCGCAGGCAAATCTTATTATATGCGTTATTGCACCGGGTTGTATGCGTTAAAACACTGCTTTAAAGTGATGTGCTGATCTAAACCAGCGGTTCGATGGGTATTGTATATTAGCATATTCTATGAGAAATTACAAATACTGTTTCTCAATAATGCATATGTATCAGATAAGTACATTATATGCATTATATGTATTATATGTGTGTTATATTTGTGTTATATGTGTGTATTATTGTATGAGTTGTGTATGTGTTGTATATCTTTATATAGCAGAATAATCCGAGGTATAATATTTCTATACTGCAATTTAAAAGCAATGTTTACAATGTTTATATGTTTAGCCTAGATTAATTGATAGGTTTTTACTGTACATATATTATTTGTATTTTATGTATATATATGTATATGATATGTGTGCATTGTGTTGTATCTATATCCATGTATTGTGGGCGTATTGTGGGCATTTTGGATAAGACAGTATTGTTAATACGGCGTAATGTTGATTATGATGAGAGCAAAGAACATTAAATAAACATTTAAAACAAAAGTGTTTGAAAGTAAGAAATCTATATGGACAATAGGGTTATAATGGAATTTAATGGATGCAAATGTATTAATATAATTAAAACATACATTTGTTGTAACTTTTTGACGACAATAAGGCAATGATAAGGTGACGATAATAGCAAATAAAGAGAGGGATCCACGTATTTTCGCCTATTTTACCGGATATATATGTGTATGCATTATATATGCATTATGTATGTATTATATATTTGTATTGTATATATTTCTATTGTATATATATGTATCTGTGATATATAGAATATATGCGTAATATATATTATAATAAAAAATGTTGGTAATATTTAATCGAGTATATACTTTTGAACAGAAAAGCAGACTGTTTATTATAGAAGAGTTAAATACTGTATAGTATTGAAATATTCTTGTAAAGTTTAAATATTTTTGATAAGAATTTATTACTTTTGAAGCAATATTTTTATATTTGAAATTGCAATTATATATATATTGTACTTTTCGGAGAGGTTATATTTATTCTAAAGTTTGTATATATAGTGTTATATATTATGATATATTGTGTATAAAGCTTTTATGTTTGATTAATGTGGATGACAAGTGTAGTGTAATAAGAGTGTATATTTGTATAAGCACCAACGATGAAATGATTATTGCATAGTTTTTGATTGAATGTATCAGAGAATTTATTCTCTGAAAAGAATCAATGGGAATGGGTTTAATAAAATAATGAATGGGTTTTTGTACAACTTGTATTGAAAAATGTTTTCTGTCTGCTTTTTGAAGCTTATTTTTTTGTTTCTGCTGATAATGACTTATATGTAAGATTTCTCGTATGTATCATGGATTATTGTGTTTTACTGGGAAAATTATTTTTATTATTTTACATTTATTTAATGTTTTTGAAAATATTTCTCTTTAAAATATTGTCTAGTAATTGATAAATAGTCTTGAAATGTGATATTTTATTTTAATGAATGAGTATAAATAAACTTTATTTAATAAATGAGTATAAATAAACTTTATTGATTTTTGATACATTTTTAAAATAATTAAATCATTTATTTGCTCTAATAAAGGGTATTTTTTAGATTATAGAAGATATGGAGTTTTTAGCAAAAAACTACTATTAAAAAATGATTTTAAATTATTTTCATCAAGCTTAAATTAATATTAAGAAAAATGTTTTCCTTACAAAATAAGACAAAAGAATTTAAAAGAATTTAATGCAATGATTTCTAAAAGCTTTGAAGAACAGTCCCTATATGATTTTCTGCTGATCAAAAAGCATCTACTGATATGTCAAAAAATTGAATGTTTATCTGTATATACTATAAATAATACAACAAAAAGTGTTCTTTAGATGCTTTAATGTGTTACAGAAACAATTATATAAAAGATAGTTTCAGATGTTTTAAATTCTTGTTTAAAATACAAAGTTTATGGAAAATATATTATTTTATTTTCTAAATACTTTAAAAATGTAATAAGAATTAGCTAAAAAATAATAAAGATTAAGTAGGAAGCAACAAGTAGTGTGTTTTTTACAATAAATTCCCCTCTGAATTTCCAATTGTCCTCCAACGCTATTATCTGAATGTCTTAGCAACTAAGTTCATTCAACTACTTAAGCACAAAAATATAAAATAAAAACACATAATAACATTTACATAATGTTTTGTAAAAATCTCTATTTTTAAACACTATTTAACTACATAACAGATTTATTTTTTCCCTGATCTTAGAAGCTTCAAGACACACCAACATCTCTCATAAACGATTAAATTAGACTTAATTCTTATTTCACAACTTCCTTCTAAAAAAAACATATATCTCGTTAATATGTGTTATTTTTAATCTGTTTCATGTATTTTTCAATCTTTCTATCTTTCCCCATCTATTCTAAGACTTCTCGACAACCCGACTTCACAACGGTTCTCTCGACATGTCGGTAGTAGCAGGTGCCTCAGCTCTCCAGCAAGAAGGCCAAGCAGTGCCGCTGGATGATATTTTGACTGCAATTCGTTCATATACATATCAAATGCGGCGCTGTTTAGATGCAAATCGCTTAATGGATGCGCTTAAGGTACTTTTATTAACATATACAATTATCTGAGAATAATGTCTTAGCATGCAAGCACCATTCTGTCAGAGTTAAGAAGTGATCGTCTTGGTCCAAAGCAATATTATGAATTATGTAAGTGCAGTTTTAATTAAGTATATTGTATGCGCAGATATACCAGATTATATGCGCTTAAATACAAAATATATGCATTAAAATATGAGGCTGCGTTATTCAGCTATATATGTAATGAGATCAATGCACAGAATCAAAGAATCTCAATCTGTACGTGTTATATGCGTATTGTATGCGTATTGTATGCGTATTGTATGCGATGTATATGCGGTTCAAACAAATATCTGCTGAATTGATACTATTCTATGAGTATTGGGCTTACAAAGGTTTCAGATATGGGTGTATTTGATGCAATGAGATACTTGTCGACTTATCTTTTGGAAGCACATCAGACAGATCGTCATCATTTGACAGATGTATACGAGCTCGTTCAATATGCAGGAAATATTGTTCCCAGGTTGTATTTGATGATTACAGTGGGAACGTAGGATTTAATATATAAATGATTTTTTTTTTGTTAATTGAATATAAGTGTATATATGGGAGTGAAAGATGCACCGGTGAAGGAAATTATGAAAGATATGTTGGAAATGGTACGAGGGGTTCAGCATCCAATTAGGTATTAGTTTTTGTGTTTAGAAGTAGGTGGTTGAGGTGTTTTTAGAGGATTGTTTCTTCGTCATTATTTGTCGGGTCAAACGCGAGATTATTTACCAATTGGTGTTTCAACAGGGTAGTAGGCTTTTTTTTTATATTCAGAAAGCTTATATGTTTCTAAAAAGACCTGAAGGAAATTTGAATGATTCAATAGCGTTTATTTTAACGAACTTTGTTGAAATGAATAAGTTATGGGTTAGATTTCAGCATCAAGGACATTCAAGGGAACGAGAAAGACGGGAGGAAGAACGATCGGAATTGAAAATTCTCGTAGGAACGAATCTTGTTCGTCTAAGCCAGCTTGAAGGGATTGATTTACATATATATAAAACAGTATGTATATACATGATTTAAGAAATGAAGAAAAAAGAAAATACTAATTCATGCAATAGACTATTCTCCCTTCGATTATGGAGCAAATTATTCAATGTAGAGATGTTTTAGCGCAAGAATATTTAATGGAAGTTATTATTCAAGTATTTAGCGATGATTTTCATCTACAAACTTTAGATGAGTTTTTGAGTGTTACAACAAAATTGAGTCCTCACGTTAATATCAAAGAAATATGGACTAATCTTATTTACAAGCTTACTGCATATGTGTCAAGAGAAACTAATGTTGAAAATTTTGATGAACGTGTAAGAAAGGAAAAGTTAGCATTAGATGCTTTGGGAGAAAAGCTTTCATTTATCAATTTAAACGAAAATTCTGCTGATATTAGTACAGAAAATGAATATTCTGAAAGTTGTAGTACAAATAAAGAATCTGATATTGTAGATGATGTTAAAATTGATGTTGATAGAGAATCTGTAATTCCTGGAGATGTTAAACTGTTTGATCTGTTTTGGGAACAAATTACTAAATTAATTAAGGTTTTATAAAATTTCATAAAATTTTAGTGATAAAATAATGATTTAGGCTCGACCTGATTTATCTATTCAAGATATAAGTGCATTACTCGTTAGTCTTTGTAAACTTGCTCTTACATGTTATCCATATGAATTCTCATATGTAGATAAAGTTTTGTATTATTCCAGGTTAAAGATAGTCGAATATGTTGATAGGTAATTTCTTTTTTTTGTTTTAGACTTTTTTGTTTAAAATTGAATAGTGTAGATTTGCATTCTGTGGAATCTAGGGACAATTTTTTAAAATTACTTTTGGAACCCATAACATCTTATTCATATATTCTTACGGTTTTTTCTTTACCAAATTATATACCTTTATTACAAACACAGCCATATTCCACAAGAAGGGCCGTTGCAACTACTGTAATACAATCTCTTATAAAAAACAATATTTGTATTGAGGCTCCGCAAATCCTTGAAGGTGTAATATGCCTTATTAGAGTTTTAATTGCTGAGGGAATGAAAATACCTCTTGTGGGGAACATTCAACAAAATCGAAGAATTAAAGATAACGAAACAGATGAGACTTTAGAAGAACAAGGATGGCTTGCGAGACTAGTCCATCTTGTATGTAATGAAAATCCAGATATTCAATTTAAAGTTTGGATATATATTTTGTTATTCATTGACACTGATTTTTATAGCTTCTTCAAATATTAAGGAAAAATTTCTTTGAGGGAGGAGAGCGTATTAAATATACTAGTCCTTCGTTGATAACACAAGCTATCAAACTTGCTAGGGCATACAAATTACAGGAACATTTGGTATATTTAATATATACATCTGTTAATATGTAAAATTATTAAATTGTATAGGATAATGAATGGAATCAAAAAGCTTCTGCTGTTTATAAATTTATACATCAAATTATTAGTAGTTTGTACACTAAAGTAACAAACGCAGAAATGTGTATACGTTACTTTGTTATTGCAGGACAAGTAGCAGATCAAGGCGCTTTTGAAGAAATTGCATATGACTTTTTTGCACAAGCTTTTACAATATACGAAGAGTCACTATCTGAATCAAGGGCACAATATCAGGCTGTGATTATGATTGCTGGTGTTTTGCAAATGACGAGAAATTTTTCTTCTGAAAATTATGATACTTTGATTACAAAATGTGCATTGCATGGATCTAAATTACTTAAAAAGCCTGATCAAACACGCGCTGTATATTTTGCAAGTCATTTATGGTGGGTTACAAATATTCCAGCACGAGGTGAACAAAACGATAACGATGTAAATTGGTTATAATTGTTATATTCTATTTAATATTCCTATTAGCTTTATCACGATGGATCAAGATCATTAGAGTGTCTACAAAAAGCTCTTAAATTGGCAGATGCATGTATTGATACATTAACAAGTATTATAATAAAGTTTTATAATATTTATTTATTTTATTTAGGTACTGAACTTTTTATTGAGATCTTGAGTCGTTATATATATTATTATGATCATCAAAATGAATCTGTTTGTATTTAACTTTTAACTATTTAAAATTAATATTGTCTAGATTCATCCCAAATTCCTTAATGGATTGATTGATTTAATTCGGCAAAATATTGACAATTTTGATACACAAACTTTTGAACCAAATATTCGACAATTTTCAATGGTGGCTAGTACATCATCTATTTTAGAATTAGAAGGTAATATGCAGGAATATATTATTAGACATTTTGAGAGGACTCTTGATTATATTGCATTAAGGAAAAAACAGGAACCATCTCTTTGGAATGCAATTCATACATAGTTTTATATGTGTACGTAAAATATATATATCGTTAAAGATATATAATTTTTTATTTCAACTGCAATATTTGGATAAAGTAATCGATAATGCGAGAATTTAGTCTATAAGGTCTTATAACCCACGATTTTATCATCAATTGCTAGACAGTAACATTTAAATCATTTTATTAAATTTAGTAGCATGGTTTAAATAATCTTGATTTTTTGTAACGGTTTTATGAGTAACGGTTTACAATGTTTAAAAAAAATGAGAAATCAAGGTTGCAACAATTGACTGAATACGGCTTAATTAGCAAAGGAAATGATAATAGGTATGTTATACAGCCAGAAATGTGAATAAATGTGAATAACTTTGACCATTTTATAGGCTAAAGGATCCACGGATACAAGAAGAATTATATGAAAAGATCAAGGAAAAGGTAGAAAGAATGTTTTTGTAGTATTAATAACCGCTTAAAGTATACTTCATTGATCAAAAAAGTAAATCAAAATGAAGAAACACTAGAAGAGACGTTTTCTTCATTAACTGTGGTTGATTCTGAATTGCAACCTGCTAATCAAGAGCATTGTTTATATATGTTTCGTATGTATTTATATTGACTATATATTTTCCCTAATTATTAAGGTCAACTTCGTGAAGGTTTGAGAGCAAGCCAGCGCGTTGATGCTTTTGCACGTACTGTATATGAAATGTCCGCACGTGTAGGAATATATATGAATCATGTTGAAACATATTTTCCAGCATTACAATACTTGATGGATGTTATGTACCCAGAACAGTTGCAGTCATTTGCAAATAATCAACTGGTAACATGCTATTTGTTGTACTTAGTATGTGTATTGGGTAATTTGCATAAATTATATGAGGCGTTGCTACGATGGAAGTTGGATATACAGGATCTGCCATTTCAGGTTGCTCGCATCATTATTGAAAATAACTATGTTGCATGGTTAAAGCTACGTAACAGTCTACCATGGTTATACCAACGGCTTATTGATCAAAGCCGTAGAATGATGCAGGAGCGATGTACACGGGTTGTTGGTGCTGCATATTATATAGTGCCAAAACAATGGGCTGAAAAATATGTTGGACCTGTTTTAGCAATAACCAATTGGGCTGTTGATGATGATGTGGTCGTAGTACGTGTTCGTAGATGATTGATTCAAAGTTTGGTGTTAGTAATTTTAACCGGATATATCCAAGATGGTTATTTTTTCTTGGATAAAAGTAATTTGCGGGCAGCTTCTTCCTTCTTTGCATTTTCTTGTTGTTTTTTCTTAAAGGCGAGATCATCCTGCTACATATTAGTTGTTTAAAAATATTTTTTGGGAAACAACTTCATCCAATTCACGTTTTTCTTTCTTCGGCGCTTTCAGAGGTTTAAGTTTGCCTCCTTGTCTTCCTGACTATATTTATTAGTAAAAGATCTATATTTTCTTTATAAAATACCATTCTTTTTCAAAAAAACGGCTAACTTGTTTTTTGGTGACGTGCGATTGGCATCGACGTCTTGACAGACCGGTTTTAACGTAATTTTTTTGGCCGGTTTTTTAAGGTCCATTTGCAGTTAAAAAGCGCTTTAAAAAGCGTATAATACATCTTATTTCATGTTGAGATACTAAGAAAACGGTTTGTGCGTTGGAAGGGTGTTTTGAGCGGGTTTGAACGACTAGAAACTCAATATTTTGTGTAATGGTAGATGCATCCGATGATGATGGGTTATCCGAGGGAGAAATCAGAGAAACTACACCTGAACAAGAGAATTCTGTGTTTTTAGCTGATAGTGTTTCGAGCCGACAAGAAAGATTAGTTTTTTCCCATTCAGAGAACCATAAGTATCCGCGCAAATCTTCAATTGCATACAATAGAGATTCAACGTCTATAGCACATGGAAATAACAAAGGATCGAGACACCGTTATTCAGATGATGAAGACTATAAAAGGAGGCATGACGGGGAGGGTAAGCATGTCTCTAGGCGTCATGCAAAAAGGTCTCGGAGAAACAAAGTAGAAATAGAGAGGGATCATCAAAAACGGAGTAAAGACGGTGATTTGAGAGAAAGGAGGTCTAGGGACAGCCATGGAAGCAAGAAAAAAGACAAGATTGAGCCTGTACGAGAAATGGAGCAAACGGTATTGCTTATGTAAGTTTTGTTTTGTGTTATTTGATTTTTAGTTCAATTGTTGTTTAAGTTTTAGTTTTAATTGGTGTTGGGTTTTTGAAAAATTTGAGTTTCATGTCTTTTTTGTTTTTTTTTTTTTTTTTCTAAGCTTTAATTAACGTTTTGTTGAGTTTTTTACTATATGTTTTTTAATTTTATACTTACGTATTAGATCTGAACAGGAGCCAATTGAAGAGTTACATGTGTCTCCTGTTGATGAAGAAGCTTTGATTGAACAAAGAAGAAAAAATCGGGAAGCTATTCTTGCTAAATATAGAGGTCAACATACCCCCTCTCTAAGTTCTCAAACAAAAGTAGATATATCTATTGTAGTATCTCCTGAAACGAATGGACAGCTCTTTAGTGCATGTTTGTCTTTGTTTTTCAGTGTTTCTTTTTTCATTAATGTTATAATAGGTTCTCCTCAACAACTAGTCACAGATACTTCTGATTTTCAATTGATTAAAGAAACATCTATGATTAGTACCCTGCAAGATGGACAAACGGCTGCTGATTATGATCCAATGATTGATGGAAAATTGGATGAAGAACGTCAGCAATGTAAAAATAATGATGATGTTAATGCAGCAACATATAATGAAGTGAAACAAATAGAAAATAATACACTAACTCTCTATGAGGACAGATATGACAAGGTGAAAATTAATGAAGCAAATGTTAATGATGAATTAGATATGTTTGCTGATGATGACATGTTTGCTGATCCTAAACAAACGGATCAACAAATACAAAAATCAAAAAATGTAAATGAAACACAAGAATCTATAATTTTTACAGCACGTAAACTTGATGCTGAATTATTAGATAATTGGGATGATCCAGAAGGTTATTATCATGTTATAATAGGTGAACTTTTAGATGGTAGATATGCAGTAAGATCCAATCTTGGAAAAGGAATGTTTTCTGGTGTTGTAAAAGCTGAAGATTCAAAAACAAAAAAGATGGTTGCTATAAAGTTGATACGTAACAATGAGACAATGTAAGTATCATATATTGTATTTCATCCACTATCATTAATACTTAATTAAGGCGTAAAGCTGGAATGAGAGAGATAAATTTTTTAAAAAAATTAATGGAAGCGGACCCAGATGATCGAAAGCATATTATACGTTTAGAAAGGCATTTTGAACACAAAGGCCATTTATGTCTTGTCTTTGAAACCCTGAGGTATAAAGTTTATATAAGTAATATAATTTTAATAATAATAGTCTTAATTTGCGTGAAATTCTTAAGAAATTTGGAAATGATGTGGGGATAAATTTAAAAGCTGTTAGAGCTTATGCTCAACAAATATTTTTAGGACTTTCGTTATTAAAAAAATGCAATATTCTTCATACTGATCTTAAACCTGATAATATTCTTGTAAGTCTTGAATTTTGAGTCATTTGTTATTAATAATTGATTTAGGTAAACGAGACTAGAAATTATTTAAAAATATGTGATCTTGGGTCTGCAACTCTTAATTCCGATATTAATATTACTCCATACCTTGTGAGTCGGTTTTATCGTGCACCAGAAATTAGTATGTTTCTTTTTTTTTAATTTGATTGTTTTTCTAATTCATAAATTACAGTTTTAGGTCTATCGCTTGACTATGCGTTAGATATATGGTCAATAGGATGTACGTTGTATGAATTATATACAGGAAAAATACTTTTTCCTGGTAGAACAAATAATCATATGCTCAGATTAATGATGGAATGTCGAGGAAAATTTAATCATAAAATTATAAGAAGGGGGCAATTTAGTAGTATACATTTTGATGAGCATTTTAATTTTATTAGTATAGAAAAAGATAAGGTCACAGGAAATGTAAGTATTCTTGTTTAAATTTTGCCTTTTCTTTAAAAAGGATAGGATGTTGCAAAAGTCACCAATATAACAAAGCCTGTCCGTGATTTAAGGTCTCGTTTATCAAATCATTTATCAAATGAAGATCCTAAGTTGATGAAAAATTTTATTGATCTTTTAGAACGATGTTTGGATTTGGATCCTGAAAGAAGATTGTCTGCTCATGACGCATTAAAACATCCTTTCATTCGTGGATAGAATCCACATAGTTTTATTTTTCTGTCATTTATCTATATGTCTTATTTCATATGTCTTCATTTCTTATCTAATAAAACATATCTTTCTTGAAAAAATACTTTCTTTTGCATATCTTTTATATCCTTTATTTTCTATATATTTTGTATATTTCTCTCTTTTCTCTTATGCTTTTTTTCTAATATAAAGACTTATTTTGCGTAATCGACGTTGCATCTACAAAAATTTAATTTTCATTTTTATCAGAAAGAAAACTATCAAAAATGTCACGGCCGGTTTCAGAAACTCGAGTTTACTTAGGCAATCTTCCAAGGAATAGTAAGGACCTTTTTTTCGCTTTTTTTTTCAGCTGAAAATGATAGTTGAACGTCGAGATATTGAAAAATTTTTCTATGGCTACGGAGAGATTGCAGAAATCAAATTAATGTCAGGATTTGCATTTGTTGAAGTGATTACCATGGATATTTTTCATATATAATCTAATAAGTTTTTACTTTTAGTTCAAAGATGCGCGTGATGCGAAAGATGCTGTTCAAGGTATATTTTTGAACATATTGTGCAAAATAACAGGCTGATTCTTTGAAGACCTCGGTAGAATAATTGGGGATTGTATTCTAAGGGTCTGAGGTGTCCATAGATGGGAAAAAGATGCTAGGAGATCGTATTAATATTGAATTTGCGCGTGGAGGAAGAGATCGTCGAGATGACTTTCGTAATCGTGATCCGGATGTTCGGTATTTTCCTTTAGTGTGCTTTGGGATTGTGTATAATTTGGAAGAAGCTATCCCCGGCCAAGGAGAACAGGATATCGTGTAATTGTTGAGAATCTTTCTCAAAATGTCAGCTGGCAGGTTAGCCAATTTTGTCTTTTGTATTTTTGTCGGATACCGTTTGGTTCCAATGTGTTTCTGGTTCGATCCGCTTAGGATTAGGTGTCTTCTCCTGGTGCTAATATATATGGCTCCGAGGGGTTCTTGGACATTGATTCATTTTAAATGTGAAACTGGGATTTAAGAGCATCGAACTTTTATGGCTTTGCTTTTTGGGACTAAGTAAGCTATAAGCCTGAATTATCCGAGAATGGCTCTTTATTTTTCTTCCCATTTGTTTCTGGGTGTATTCAATTGACGCATATGCTTATACTCTTTTCAATAGGATTTAAAGGATTTTATGCGGACCGCAGGAGAGGTTACCTATGCCGATTGTAGTCGTGATGGCAGTGGTAAAGGGTGGGGTTTATTGATATTAAAGCTGTTAATACTGAAATCAGCAGAATTGTTGAATTTGAAACCGAAGAGGACGTTAAAGCAGCTGTTCGAAAGCTAGATGGCGTTGATTTCAAAGGTTCAGAAGTAATTCTTCATGAAGACTTGGTATTAATGACAAAAATGGCAAAAAAGGTTTTCACCGTATATTAATCTTTGATTTAGGATTCATCTCGTCCTCGGTCTCGCTCTCCTCGCCGCAATCGGTCCTTACCTCGTTACCAGAATTATGATAAAGGCTATAATAGGTATGACCGGCATTCTCCACGCTATCGGAGAGACGATAGGGATGTTTATTACCGTCGAGATGAGTATCCTAGTCGTCGAGGATTTAGAGACGGCAGATATTCTAGAGGTGTTTCACCATATAACCGCTCGCCACCTCGTGACCGTTCTCGAGATAGGTCTCCTGAACGTTCTCGAGAACGCTCTCAAACAAGGTCTCCTGTAAGGTCTCCGGTAAGGTCTCCTAGGGATTTTTCCCCTAGAGATGGTTCAGCCCGGAGTCCTATTGATCATCCAATAAGGGCATGCGTTTCTTTTACTCTTTCTGCTCTCTAGTGCTCTAATATTTTTCTAGGATCAAGAATATTAAATATTTAATGCAAAGACTATCTACTTCTGCTATTTATCTATTTTTTTGACTAATATATATTTTTTTCAGTTATAAACTGCTTTTTATAACTTTCTAGCTTATATTTGTTCATTTTATTTTTAAAAAATCTCCAAATATATATTTTTTCCTTTGCTCCAATCTATCACCTATTTACCACATATATATATAAATCTGCTATTATACAACGTTTGCTTCTCATTATTCTCTGTTTGATTCATAGTTTTTGTTTTCTGTTTCCTCTATCCTTCATTTCCTTTTTTTCTCTTTCTCCTCTCCCTCTTGTCTCTAAAAAAGGGCACAAATTTGTACGGACGAAGACGGCAACAAGCGTACTGAGTGTCAACCTGTGTAATTGCCATCAGCAGATAAAAGGCCATAAAAGAAGGCAAAACAGGTTGAGGTAAAGGGTATATGAGGGTTTATCAGAGTTCTAATGATAATTTTAGTCGATAGTGTTTTTGAAGCGTAAAAAACGGCTCATGGAACGGCTGGAACAGTTTTCAGGAAAACCAGGAGTTCAGGATGCTGTTTTGTGTGGAAAAGGAGTACAATCACTGAATACTATATCAGTAAATGGCTGTGAAAGGATTTCTGAGCCGATGATTGCGAAAGAAGCATGTGAAACGGGTCTTGGAGCGTCCCAGAATATGTCTTTGGTAGAGGGGGTAGGATCACGGACTAAAAAGAAGAAAAAGAAACGTACAAAGCATAAACTTCCTGAAAACAGTGGATCTGGAGTTGTTCATTTGGAGACGTGTTATGGAAGAAGTGATTTTTCTCTTTCAGAGTGTAAACAGGCATGTGAAAACCGGTTTTTGAATGAGCCGGAATATGACCCGGCCTCACCGAATCTCTCGTTTCCTATTCATAGAGAGCTGCCATTAACAGCGTCTTTTTCATCTTCTAATAATATTTTGGGCCCTATGGAAAAAAAAGCATCGAGTCGTAAAAAAAAGAAGAAAAAGAAGGCGGTTATTGGGGATTCATATCATTCTTCAGTAGCATCTGACGGAATAGTTCAACCTCCTCCACAATATCGTGTAACTTCTAGAAAGCAAAAGGATCAAATATGGAATATTAGTACACATGAAGAACGGGAAAGGATTAAGGAGTTTTGGCTGCAACTTGGAGAAGAAGAGCGTCGGGGGCTTGTAAAAATTGAAAAAGAAGCAGTATTGAAGAAAATGAAAGAGCAACAAAAGCATTCGTGCTCCTGTTCTGTTTGTGACAGGAAACGTATTGCAATCGAAGAAGAGCTTGAGGTACTTTACGATGCATATTATGAAGAATTGGAACAGTATGCAAACCAGCAGCAAAGGTTTAGTTCTTTATCTTTATTACGCAAAAATTCTTTGGCTGGGCGTCCAGAGGATTTAGAAGATAGCGAAGGCATGCTCGATAGTGATGGAGAGTATGATGAAAGTATTTTATCTGAGAGTGTTGATCCGAGATTTGATTTTTTTAATTTTGGGAATAATCTAACTGTTAAGGTAAAATGTGTATTATTAATTTTATTTACAATTTTTAATAAAGGAGCAGGGAGGAATTCTTACTGTTGCAGACGATTTACTTAAAAATGATGGAAAAAAATTTATAGAAATGATGGAACAACTTGCAGAAAGACGGATTCAGAAAGAAGAAGGGACCGTAATGGAAATCGAAACAACTGAATTTGACTCGGATGATGAAGAGTGAGATTATTTTAGTTTAATTTTTTGCCAGTTATTGATTCTTTTTAGTTATGATGAAGAAAGCGAAGATGATGAAATGGTATGTATTTTTTATTATTTTTATTTATGGTGTTAATGTTTTAGAATACTTTGGATGAAGAACAACGGATAGAAGAGGGACGTCGAATGTTTCAAATATTTGCTGCTAGAATGTTTGAACAGAGAGTATTGATTGCTTACCGAGAAAAAGTTGCAGAGGAAAGACAACAACGGTTGTTAGAAGAGTTAGAAGAAGAGAGCCGTCTTAAAGAAGAGCGCGAATTAAAGAAGGCTAAAGAAAAAGAACGTAAAAAAGATAAAAAGAAGTATATAATTTCGTTGTAAAATCAATTTTGGAAGATTAAATGTTTTTAGGTTACAAAAACAACTCAAAGATCAAGAAAAAGCCAGAAAAGAAGCTGAACGTCTTGCGGAGAAAAATGCTTTACGTATTGAAGAAGAAAAACGATTAGAAGAAGCTAAAAAGAAAAAAGAGGAATTAAGGTTGAAAAGAGAAGCGGAAAAAAAGGCATTAGAAGAAGAAAAGCGGCGTCAACTTCAAGATAAAGAAAAAGAACATGAGAGAGAAAAAAAGAGAAAAGAAATAGATAAAGAGCGGCAGAAAAAAGAATCAAATATAAAAAAAGAAAAAGAAGTTAAAGAGAATGAGAATAAAACACAAAATCCTAAAGAAAAGAACGAACATGAACAAATTACATTAGAAAATATATCGAATAATGCTATTTCTGTAAATCAATCTCCGAAAATTGAGAATCGGGACTCTTTTTATAGCATAACGGAGCCGATAAAAGAAACAAGGTCACCTGTTTCTAGTTCATTAAATTCATCGTCTATTCTTTCATTAAAAACAGAACATGAATCAGACAATTCATTATCATCATCATCTGTTATATTTTCTCAATCTCAATCTTCACTTGGTCTACAAAATACTTCTCAAAAATCACCACATATGTCATCTAATTCAAGTTCTACTTTACAGCATCCTCCTGGCTTTGATATTACTCTTGGTCAAAATCTTTCATCTACCCATTCTACATATCAATCATTAACATCTCATCCAATTATTAATAACGTTCCTGGCGGGATTTTTGCTTCAGCATCTGTGTCACCGAATCAACAATACGATTACTCTTTATCTCCATTAAAGTTATTTAAAGCAACTTCTAATAATTATAAAAACGAAACGTCATCTCTTTCAGCGAGTTTAAATAATTATCATTCACTACCTATTACATCGACTACAACATTTCCTCGTCCATTTCATCATATAGAAGATAAAGATCATAATAGTATAACAGGGGTCCTTGAAACACGGAATAAAGTTTTAGATGATAATACAACACGTGTTGTGTCTAATACTACTGCAAAGCCAATAAAAAGGCCATCTCCTATTCAACGCCCAAGTGGCACTGTATCTTGTAAAGATGAGTCACGGAAAACACCTACAATCAGCGAATTGAGTGAAGTTATGGGAAGCAAAGCACTTTTAGATGATAATGATAATGATTCGATTATATCAAATCATATAAATGATGTTTCTGGTGGATTACCAACCCGTTCTAAACCTATTTTCAGGAGGAATTCCCCATTTTTAGAATCAATAAATTGTAAGTTTTTTTATAAATAAAATATAATTTTTTAATTTTTTTTAGTAAATCGTCATATTTCAGGCTCTCAAGAATCACGGCATCGCAATATTTCAGATCAATTATGGCTATCTGGGTTATCGAATTCTCGATTTCCTGATGTGTGGCCTCCAAATACCAGTATGTTTTAATACAATATAATTTTTTATTTTTATTAAATATAATAGATTGGAATAATAAGTATTATATTAATCAAAATTTATTGCGGCAACGGTGTAAACTGATTTGTTTGCGTCTCGATGAACAATATGGTCCTAAAACTCGGCTGTTTTTAGTTGATCAGGTTTTAAATTTATATAATGATTTGTTTTCCGATACACCTGTACAAACAAAGCAAATATTGGATGCATGTGCAATATCTGGAAATTCTCAAAATGGGGGTGGTTTTTTCACGTGTAAAATAGAAGGACAGCATGTTATGATAAGATATGATGACATTCTAGATCAGACACCGTGCAAATCTGGATTTTCTAGCTTTTCTACAATGGTACTTCCTTCCTCTAATTCTCCTTCAGCTGGTCCTCAATCTCGATGGCCAATAAATTCATCTGTAACTGGTGCATTTTAAACGAGCATGTATTAAAGATAATTTAGCAATTTTTTATTGCTTTTTGAAATCATCGATGCTAGAAAACTGTAGTTAATAAAATCTGGGTATTTTATAGCATCTCTATACATTTGTTTTATTCTATAATCCTTTATCATTTTAAATCTTAAATATCTTTATTTTATTACTCTTTATAATTTTATAAAAACAAGATAAAATACAATATGTATATGATTTTTTTTAGAAAAAGGGATTAGATTCCTATTACTGTAGAGCCAGTTTGATAAAATATTACAATATTTTGATTTATTTTTCAATATCATTTTAACCACGATCATAACATTCTCTATATTTTCATTAATTTTATCGATGTTTCAAAAAAAACTTACGCGCAATAATTTACTTAATATTCATCAGAAATAAATAATTTACATATTTTAAATACATACCTGTCACTCTACATTTATCTTCTACTCTATTAATGTATTCTGACCCACAAGGAATACCTGGGTCTTCTCCACATTTTTTAACTATACCTCCTGCTCTATCTTTTATTTCCTTTCCAGTTATAGTTACATATGGCTAAATCTTTCTCAGAAACCTTTTTTTTCTGTATTTTTTATACTTTATCTTCACATGTAAAAATAATTGTACACCCCGAACCATACCCGAAACCTGACTCCGTTCGACTTGTATATCCTGAATATTGTTTGCTGTCCTCATATTTTTCAATTGCTTGCCAGCAATTGCCTAGCATAGATAGCCCACACATTATACTACCATAACAATTGCTTTTTGCCTCTTCATTCTGTTTAAAAAATCCAAGACATGTTGGCAGAATATATATTGCTATAAATATCCATTTCATTTTTAAATTCTTTTACAGTTTAGGGTACTTGTTTTTTGTAAATATACGATATATCTTTGTTTAAAGTATCTGTTTTCTTTCATTGTTAAAGCATAAACATGTTTGTTTATATATTCTCCTTGCATGAATTTGATACCGATGCATGGATGAAATGAAAAGGGAAGAAAAAAAGCAAGAATAAGCCAATGAAAGGTACGGAAAGTGGATAAAACATGCTTTAAACGGGATTCTTCTTAACTCCTGTGTTTTTTAATCTCTCACTTTAGCCGTTTCCAACCAACAATAAGATCTCTGCACCGATCAAAAAATTCTAAAAAAAAAGTATTTTTTCCTGCAAAAAACATCCATATCTATTCATTACAATGTATAGAACTGATACATCTTCTATTTATTATATAATTCTGCACTTGTTTCATTTTCTACACTTCTGCTCACGTGCACTCGCTAGCTCATTCTCTTTCGTCGCCATGACAACCTATCCCAACACCTATTGGTCCTTACGGATTGCCATGCCAATGTCTCAGAACGTCTAGTTGCCATGGTAATTCATATCGCACTTAGCAGCACGTCCAACTCTGCCATCATCACCTTTCACCAACTTTTAAATAATCAGAATATGAATAATGAAACGCAAGAAATAAGTATAATATATAAGAAAGAGTTTCTAATTCCTTTATAGATTAAGTTCATCAGAGGACGATGTATTTTATACACTGAATAATTCTCTTTGTAAAGAAATTGATCCAGAAAGTTCATTTTTATGTGAGACATCGTCAACAAAAACGAGTTCTTTGACATGCAAACACACAAATATATCATTTGGAAGTGCTGAGTGTTCTTTAACGGATTGTACGGACAATGAGAGTGTTTTATCACCGGTAAATAGCAGTATTTTACGCGATAAAACGTGTTTGTTAATTGAGACGGATATGCTTTCAAATGAGGCTTGTAAGCGCAGGGAGGTGGCATTGGAGATTCTGGATACAGAAAGGACATATTTGGATGGATTACGTCTTATTATGAATGTATTGTTCTATTTTTTTCTCATTTTCTAATTACTAAAGCATTTTTTTAACCCTATTCTTGATTCTCTGTCAACGTCAAGGCCTATTCTTTCGAAAACACGGATTTCTGATGTATGGTAAGTTTATATTTTGTTCCTATATAATTATTTTTAAGATTTTTTCCAATTTTATTGATATCTTTAATTTTAATACTGAATTGCTTAAAATGTTGGAAGAGCGGCTAGATCCTTTTAATACAGGCACACTTTGTAATTGGGATCCGAAAAAGGATTGTTTAGGTGATATTTTTCTTCAAATGGGACCATCTTTGAAAATATATTCTATTTATTGTTTAAATTTTTCTTCTGCACTTAGTACAATAGAACATGAATTTAAAGAGAATCCTATATTTAATATGTTTATAAAGGTAAACATTATTTCTATATATATAGTTCTCAAATTTATGATTAGAAACCGGAATTGAAAAAAGTATGTAATGGTTTAAATTTGCAAAGCTACCTCCTTTCTATTGTGCAAAGAGTACCTCGTTATAAGTTATTGCTTCATGTAATTTTTTAAAAGACAAAAATATTTTATTGACCTAACTTTAGGAGTTATTGCGTTATACAAATAAAGATCATCAAGATCACCAGGGATTATCCAAAGCATTTTGTATTATAGAAGAAGGTGGTTTTTATACTTCAATGTGTTTTTTATTATTAATGAATTATAGTTGCTGTATTAATGAATGAAACTATTAAACAGTATGAGAATTGGATGGTAATGTCGAAAATACAGAGATCTCTTTTCAATTTAGATGAACCTTTATTATCCATTCCAACTCGATATTTTATAAAACAAGGTTTTGTATATAAATTTTGTCGTAGAACTCATCAAAAAAGAATGCTTTTTCTATTTAATGATTGCTTAATTTATGCAACTCCAGTAACTTTTTTGAACATTTCTGAAAAAATATTTTATTATTTTAATTTTAGAGTGCCTTTGGACACATTACATATTGATGATGAATTTTACGCAAATAAAGGAATTAATAATGCTTGGAGAATTTTAAATTCCAAAAAAAGTCTGAATATTTGTTGTGATTCTCCAAAAGAAAAGGAAGATTGGATGAAAATTATTAAAAATGCTAAAAATGAATATCTCATTGCAAAAAACACTTTCCAAATTATTTCTTGTAAGAATGTTCGAGATCCAAGTAAATTGTCTCAAAAATATTTACTAATAAACAATTATTCTATTCCAACATGGGTACGGGATTCTTCTACACAGAAATGTATGTTGTGTTTTGGAGCATTCAATTGGATTAAAAGGAAGCATCATTGCCGCTTTTGTGGTAAAGTTGTTTGTCATGGGTGTAGCACAAATGTAAAAAAGCATGTTTTATTTTATTTTATTAAATTTGTTTAGAATTTTCTTATTTCGAAGGATACTTTACCATTAGAAAAGAAAAGTGTTTCATATTTTTATTCATTACTTTTGCGAATGCCTTTTATTTCTTTAGATAAAGCTAAGATGGATTCAAATTCTTCCAAATATAGGATTCTCCGTGCATGTGATTTATGTTATTTTTCTAAAGCTTCAGAAATAGATAGTCAAGAAATTCTTAATAAATCTCAATCTAATCTTAATGTGTCAGAATCTATTACATCTCAGAAAGAATCTCTTTTTGATAGAAACCTTCCGACAATAAATAAAACATCATTGCCAATAATTAGGAGTATTAGAATAAAAGCACATGGTGAAATAATAAAGTTCTTGGATTATTAATGGGTTATGTTGAAGTATACATCTAGATTATGAATTACTGAATTATTTTAACTGCATAAGTTATATATATTTTTATTAATATTGAATAGAACATGAAATGGATTTATTTTTAAATATTTGATTTAAATTTAATAGTTATTATTAAGCTACTTTATAGTTCTAGAATAAACTTTAATGTTAGGGTTATATTTTTGGATAGCATTTATTTTTTTTTATTTTTAAAATATTTTATGAACTTAATTACAAATGTTGTTTTTTATCATAATATATATTAATAGAATTGTATATTTAAATAGCAAATTTTATATGCAAAAATTACAAATAATGTTTAATATTTCCTTTTTTGTTTAATTTATGTTTTTTTATAATATGATAATTATATAATGATTTAAGGTGTCCTAAATTTCATTCTAATATTTACATGAATATTTAAAAAAACTGGAATTTAATAAACTATTAGGTTACACATTACTTAATTAATAAAATATGTATATTTATTTTAATTATAAAATATACTAATAACTAAGATGGTTTGAATTCTAGCAAGTATTATTATATTAGTGCACAAATATTAAAAAATATAAGAAATATTTATTACTTTTTAATTTATAATATTTAAAAATTTCTGAAATGCTTTTAGTATCAAAACTCAAAATGAAAGATCTTCAACTCTAAGAATTCCTGATGCAGAACCGCTTGCTAACCAACCACCATACTTTTCAGTTGGGTTCCATGATACCTTATCACAATTAATCTATGCAAATATAAATTATATACTTACAACTGTAATTCCAATCTCTGGAGGAAATATTACAGGACTAGATTTAACTTTTTGATATTTCTAAATATTATTAAAAAAAACAGTATATGAAATAATTACCTCTGGTTTAAAATTTTCAACTAAAAGATAACTCATATCTTCATAATTAATACTTAATTGATATATTTTACGAATAGAAAGAGGCTATTTTATAAATTAATAAATTTATCTTTGATTTAAACTCTCTTACCTGACGTAATTTTGAAAATGTTTTTTTAATGAAATTAACTATTGTAGTTGTTCCATCTGCTCCAACGACCGCTATAAATGGATGTACTGGACTTATTGCTGCTGCCCAAACTGTTCCATCAAGAGAAATTATATGATTAGAAGATTGTAAAGTATCAAAAAAAGTAAAACGTAAACCACATATATTGTCACTAAGAATAATGCATGAAAGTTTATCCCACCATTGAACAATAAAATTCATAGCTAATAAATTATTAAGAATATTTCTTGAAAAAAACAAAAACAAAACCTCTTTGTCTCTGTATAAATGCCATATCACCTAAAGGATCCCTAATATCAGTTATTTTTACAGTACAATCATATGCTGAACTAATTAATAAATCCGGATAGGAAGGTGAACATGATATAATATTTCTTATATATGCACTATGACAAAAGAATGATGTAATTGGAATATTTGCTACAAAATATTAAATAAAATTTTCTTAAAAATACAATACTCACGATTTTTTTTTTCAAGATCAAAAATACATATTTGACCTAAAAGTAATTATAAATACATTTAAAAGTCATTGTTTATTGAACTAACCATTAGAAGCGCCTACAGCAATCCTATTTGGAGATATCCAACATAGACATGTACATTTAGTATTGTAAATTTTTAGAGATAATTTAACTTTTTCAAGTTTCACTAAAAAAGTTAACAAAATAATAAATATATATTTATTTACTATATAGAGTTTTATCAATTTTATTTGGAAGAGGAATTGAAAATATTCTTGCACAGCCATCACTAAATATAGATGCCAAAAAACCGAGTTTTCCGTCTATTTTTGATATTAAAGGACACCATTTAAGATCCCAAACAGAACCAAAAAAATGAAAAATGAATATTTCTAGTAGAGGTTGATTGGTTAATTTATCATTAGGTCCAGGAATAAATGACCAGATTTGAATAACAGAATTTTTAGGTTTTGATGTAGACAAAAGTATTGAATGTGTCTCATAGTCAGGATGCCCTGAGATTGCTAAATATTGTTTTCCTAAATATTGGTATTAATAATTTGTTTTCTTAGAATCTTCTATTTCAAAATTTAATACCTTTTAAACATCCAGGACACCAATCTAATCCCCATATAGGAAAACCTGTATGAATAATATATCCCGTTTTCAATGGATATGTTTTGCTTAAAGAATAAAAGGAAAATGGCTCAAAATTATGCAATTTTGAGGGCTCATGTGCACCTATATATACTTTTAAAGACGGAATTGCTTTTAAAAAAATATCCAATTCTCTAAACCAATAATTCAGTCGACTATAAATGCTTTATCTCTAAAAAACATACGAGAGATCCACATCATATACTTCCTCTTCTAAATAACTTAATGGCCACTCACTTTTTTCATTCACTTCATCAATAGTTTCAAATAATGCTTTATTAACACCATTTATATCGGCCCATTTTTCAATAAAGAGAGAATTCTGCATGCTTTCATGCCTAGAATATCTAGTTGATGTCTTTTTTGTTTCTTCTTTATCTTGAGCCTCTGATTCATGTTTTTCATCATTTTTTTCTTTATTTTGAGAAGAGTGTCTTGTAATTCTTGCTTAAATTCGTTCAGTTTCAAAAAAATGAAATAATTTTCCTACTAGAGTTATTTTTATTTTGCTTTGTTGCACTTCTAACAGATCTTTTCTTTTGAGGAGAAATTTCATATTCTTCATCTGAAAAAACGTTATGTTCATCAAAATCACTTGAAATATCACTGCTTTTTTGAGATTTATTCATTTTTTTTTCGTTTTTCTACTTGTTTAGATCATTAAATCATACTTATTCTTTCTAAAGTATATTTAATTGAATTTTTTTTTAAATAGCTTATTTTTTAGAGGTTATCGACTAATATTTAACTTCATATTTTTTAAGAAAAATAATAAAAAAGTGTTTTAGAGAAAAAAAACTTTTATAAACGCTTGTAAAACATTTATGGAAGTGTCTTCTCAGTCAGTTATTGATAAAAATGAGTTTTTTTACGATAATGAAAGCTTAAATAATAAGCAAAATAAATCTATTCAAATTCCAAACACTGAAAAAGCATTATCAACACCTAGAAGATGCTGGATATGTTTTGACGATATTTTTGAAAATTCAAATAGTTCTGATCCATGGAGGAGTCCATGTAAATGTAGCTTAATCGCACATGAGAAGTGTTTATTGAACTGGATAGCTGAAAATCAGAAAGCAGAATTCTCAGATAAACTAGTACATTATTTTTTGTATTCTAAACACAGAAATGTTCTGATTTGGGAAGGTATTATGTCCTCAGTGTAAATATCCTTTCCGATTTCATGATTCTTCAACATTTATATTTTGGTTTATGTCAAGAGTTGATAAAGTTTTACAGAAATCAGTTCCAGTATTTATTCTTTGTGGTAATGTTGAAAAATATTGATTTTATTTTTTTAAATATATGTAGGGCTTGGAAGCTCTGCATTAATTTCTGCTGCATTTTATGGAGTCCATACTGTTTACACTATTTGTGGTGACATAGATGCACAAAAAATTATGGAATTCGAAAGTAATTCTGAACATTTTTGGAGTATGTTTGTGTAATAATATTTAATCGAATTCTAAACCTATTTAAGGACTTGCATTGGGACTTCCATCAATTCCTTTTATATTGATATTTAGCCAGTTTAATCAATTTGATACAATTATTCCAATTATTCCTCTTATTTTTTTCGGAGAGCAAGCATTAGATATTTCGCAGCCTTTGTCTCCTACTTTTACTCTATGTGTTTTACCGTGGGTTCGAATTGTTTATAATGCCATCCATAGACATTTTATACTTCCAATACATAGAAGACTTGGACAAGAACTGCTACATCGGGATGAGTTATCAGATAATGTTCCTTCAAATACTCAATCGATAAGACAAACGAATACGAGAACTCAAGAAAATCCGGGAACTCAAGATACAAGAGGAAGAATGATAATGGTTGAGGACTTTGATTTTGGAAGAGTGTTAGTAGGAGCACTTATGTTTCCAAAGATTAGTAGTATAATAGGAAGGTATTAAATACTATTTTATATAAAATATTTTTCATTATTTTTTAGTTGTATCATTAGAATTCCTAGAATAAAAAAATGGATCCCTAGTAAATTTCATTGTAGTATTATTGGTGGGTGTTTATTTATTGTTTTAAAAGTAATATCAATTGATTATATTTTAAATATTTCTAACTTATATTAGGATGCAATTAGTCTTTTTTATAAATATCAAAAAGTTAAACAAAGGCGCTCAAGAAGAATATTAAATTATGGCGAAAAGGATTCGGATATTTAAGACTATTTATTTTATGTTGTTAAATAAATTTAGACATCTATGAATAAATTATAGTTTAATATGACTAAAAAAGTAACTTTAATATTTAAAATTTATATCATTTGGTTTCAAAATATGTTTAATTATTATTTTGTAATAAGAAATCATTTAATATTATAATGTTTATACAATATAAATAAGTATGATCCATATCTTCTTAAAATAATTAAGTTATGAATTTAAAAAATATGAATACTAATTTAACAAAATTTAAATTTTAATATTGGTGTACAATAAATTCTATATCTCATTAAATATTATTTCTTTTTAATTAAAAGAATATAATTTATAAAATTATTTGTTTTTAATTAAAAGAATATAATTTATAAAATTATTTGTTTTAAATGATATTTAACATTAATATTATTTTATTAACTCTGTAATTTTGTTTAAAAAAATAATTTAAATATTTTAAGAATTTAAAATATTTTCTGTAAGTAAATTTTAAATCATTTTTTACAAACAATTTAATATTCATAATATATATTCACAATTTACAAAATCATATGTTTTTTTAAAGTTTTAAAATTTAAAAAGTTATATTTAAATAAAAAAATCCGTAATATATTACTAATTTTCAATCTTATTATTTTATGGTCACTTAAAATTTTAATATATTTTATTAATTAAATTAAATATTAAACAGAAAAACCAACATTTCATAGATCAATTTACATCGGAAAATGAATAGTATTTAATCATATCAAATGATTTAATAGATTAAAATACTTTTAATAAACATATATAATTCATAGGAAACCAACATGTTAATATTTTTAAAGTTTTACTAATTTATGTAAATATACATAATTTGCAAACAAATAAAAATTATATTTTTTTATCTAATTTTAATTTCAAGCATTTTACTCTTTATATTTAAATTTTATTTTAAAGTAATTGATCCATCAAATCAAAAAATATTTTATAAATATAAAAACATCTGTACATTCAATTCATAAGTAAAAAACCTTTATTTTTTTCAAAACAACCAGTTTTATTCATTTATTAAAACATTCAATTATTCATATTTATTGTTTTTAAGAATTCTTTTTTAAAATAACTAAAATACTAAATATACACACAAAATACAAAAATATTTTATATTTATCTTCAAAAAATAATACAATTCTTATATTTTATAAAAATTTACCTATTTTAAAACCTTAATTATTTTTAGGGTTTATCCTCGTAGATTTCAGTGACGCCGTGAAAAAGTTAACCACATCTTTTTATTAACTTGATATTATGAAGTTTTCATCCAGTAAGAGCGCTCTTTTTTAATAGAAACATATGGAAATCTTTTCTTAATGAAATTATTATCATTCTACAAAAAAAATGATTTTTTTCTAATTTAAAACTAAGATTTTATGATAATATTATTAATAGATTTTTTCATATGTTTGTCTTTGTTAAAGCAAAATACTAATGAATAATTCTTAGACGTTACATCATCTAGAAGAAAACAGAGGAAGGCATGCGTTTCTTTGTGCTTGAATGACTTAATTTGACAAAACTTAGGCATATTTTTGTGCACCTTCTTCTAAACGTAGAATTATTATGACGTCTCAGCTTTCAAAAGAACTAAGGCAAAAACATGGCGTAAGGAAGTTTATATGGTATTTTAAGCATTAATATTTGAAGGTCCGGTCACTACCTATTCGAATTAGTGACGAAGTTTTTGTCACTCGTGGAAGGTATATCCATTCTGAATATTTCTTTATTTTAGTCTTATATTTCTAGCTACAAAGGAAGAGAAGGGAAAGTAACACAAGTCTATAGGAAGAAATATGTTATACATATTGAACGGGTTACTAGAGATAAGGCTAATGGTGCAACTGTACCAGTTGGCATTGATGCAAGTAAAGTAGTTATTACAAAATTAAAAATGGATAAAGATCGGGAAAAAATAATTCTGAGGAAAGGAGGAAATAAATAACTAATTTTTGAAAATTAATTCACTTATATATTTTGTATTACAATATTGTGTGCATTTTTGTTTGCAGCCCATTTATGATTCTTGCGGAATTATCTCGATCTTGAATAATCTCTATGTTTTTGGTCGTAAACTTTTCGCAAATATAAATTTAGTATTGTTTTATTTACTATTGGGCTTCAGCAGAAGTTCTATTTTGAATGGCTTAAAATACCGCTTTTGAATAGAACCTTTGATTGAAACCTACATTTATAGAGTAAAATAAAAATTTATTATTAATACTAAAGTTTAAAAGTAAATTAAAGTTATACACGTTTTAGTTAAACTGTAAAATTCTGTGAAATCCTAGCAAATTCTAGAATAAACCAATTAACTTTTAAAAACAAATATCCATTTAAAATTATATGCAGATGATATTTAGATATGAACTGATATGAACTGCAGGTTTAACATTTAGAATGAATCAAATATAATATTAATATATAACAACATAAAATAAAAATTCATGCACTATAAAAATAAACATATTAAATAATTTAGCAGAATAAAGTTTTGATATATAATTATTATATTGATACATCACTTTCATCAGTAATGCTTTTTCTTTTTTCTAAATCCTTTTCTGTATGTTCTATATTCCAATGAGAAAATTCATTTTTATAAGATTGTTGAATAAAATATTTATTTGGTGCCTCTTCCCAAATTCTAAAAAATAATTAATTATATAAATAATAAAAATGATTTAATTTACTTTTGTAAATATGTTCGTAATGTTCGCAAACCTCTTATATAACCGTAATCACATGAATTTGGATGTTTTGGTGGATATTTTGTATCATCTGAAAAATTATTTTCTTGTATTATACAATTAGCAAAATCAATTATTTTAATATCGATGTCAAAACTAGACTCTTTTTTTACATTTGCAAAATATTCTTCATCACTTTCATAATATCCGCCATCATATAAAAGCAATAAACTACTAGCATAAAAACGATAACCTTTAAGTGTCCGAATTATTTTTTCTAATTGTACAAGTTTGTTCAATATAATTGGAATTTTATCATAAAAAACACCACCACCTTCTTCTTCTGTTCGCCCATCATGTAAAAATCTTGTTAAAGTTGCTTGAAAATCTACTTCTGCTTTAAGATTACGACCATGATATTTATCTTGAAACAAATATGCATTTGTTTTCCTATTCCAAACTTGCATTCCACAAATTCTTACACCTAACTCACGAGATGTAGTCATTGCACACTTTTTAGTTTGAGAAGCACGTTTTTTTTCACTTGCATCTACACCATATTGACGAGTACCCATTTTCAAATCCAAAACACATGGACGCTTCATACCTGATGCAAGATCTTCTATTAAAATAAATCTTTCAACTCTAGTAGAATCTTCTTGAAGATTGTCTACAGAATCCCCCGACATAGACGTAATTGAGATGGTTTGTTGACTTTGTAATTCTTTCAACCGTTTAGCACGCTCTAATTCGAAACAGCGTTGTGACCAATTAATTCCTGCTTCCATATATGAAGATATATTTTCACGACTTTCATGAGATGAATTTGCGCTTTTTAAAGGATCGTTCTTAGGTAAAGATTCATTGAGATCATCCATAGAAAAAATATCGTTACTAGGGGAATAGTGAGGAGACATTTTCTGGTCATTTTCCTTTTTGTCTTCATCGTTATTTAATGTTAAAATCTTTCCAGACCGAAGTCTATGATCAAATGTATAATCTTCGAAATCTTCAGACTTTTTATTATCATGTACGTTTTCAGCAGAGTGTCGTCGTTTTGATATATACGAATGTCTATGAGGAAATCCTAAAGATGGAATGTTTGTACGATCAAACGCATTTATAGCTAACGGATCTGATTGATTTCTTCCTTGAGGATATTCACTATTTCTACGCAAAAGCTGGGTCCTTTGACGAATAATACGATGTTTAGTCATACTCTTTGTTCGAGGCTCTCCCAAAATTTGTTCTTCAAGGTCTTGATGAATTGTCGTTGTTCCCCATGAAGGAAACTGCATTTGACATCCTTCTTTACCTTCAACATAGGCTACAATAGGGTATACAGGTGAAAATGCATGACGATTTTTTTCATAAGATGCCTTAGGTAATGACACTGCATCTCCTTTATCAGATTGCGGATGTTCTAAATCTTTTGTAGAATGTATTTGAAACGCATTTTTATCAAGAGAAACCATATGCATGTTGTCTTTATACGTTACATTCAATACGCCCATATATTTCGGCATAAACTCAAGCAGATCACGGTGCAAATGCTCAACCGCCTCGTAAAACTCGTTTTCACGCTTTGCCAACGGCTATATACTACTTAAAACAAATTTGCAAAAGAAAAAATAACAAAAACCTTGCACACAGTCCTTTTAGAGAATCTAAATAGCGTATGATGACCCCCAACTTGATGTTTATATGGCCTAATCCTCTTAGCAATAAAAAAATTACAGACAACATACTTAAGCTCAAAACATGGTGCACACGTAGTACGACAGGTATCATCCCAATCAGAGCCATCTGTATAATCTAAATCATCACTTGTACTCACTATATCATCTCCACATGATGTTGCTATAGTCAATAATGCATCATCCGGTATTCTGCTTGATCCCCCATCCAAAGCTGTATCCTCACGGATAAACATATCAGAAGAAATATTCACTTGTTTTTCATCATATTTATCCTCTTTTTTACTCAAAAATGCTACTATTTTATCATTATCTTCCTTTTTTTCTTGATCCATCTTGTATTTTACAGAAACACAACTAATGTCTCAAATTTAGCCTTTAAAACTGCTTCAAAATGGCCACTAGCAAACCTTCTTATGAATATTCATTCATTAACAGTTTGTATATATATTATCCCCTTTTTCCACCTGTTTTAACTGCTACAAACACCTTTTCTTCTCGTGAATATAGACATTTCGATCTTCTCCAGAGATCGTTGTTGTGGCAACTCTCCAGAGTCACGTGACCACATATAATGTGGACCCACAAACAGACAGAAAAACATATTTACCTATGTGAATATATAGTTCAAAGAAAACAGTTTATATGAAATACTATGTATTAAAGCACATTCTATTTCCAGCATCTCTACTGTTACCCTAGCAACACATTGCGAGCATGTTTCCATGGCATTACCATAGCAACCACTTCAGATTTTAGCTCTGAGTGCAGACAGCCACGTTGAATGGAACCAACAGCACAGACAAGCACGCACAAAGAGAAGCAAACAGGCGATTGTCTCGAGTATAAAGAGAATAAAGACGAAATAAAGATAAAAAATGAAGAAACAGATATAGATCCAAGTAAATATGAGGAGGAAATTGAGGAAGAAGGAGAGGAAAAGTATAAAAAACAAAAAGATCGTACATTGAAAGAATTTTTAAATATGATGGATGATTACGCACCAATAGTGGGTTTTTCTTAGAAAAAAAAGGATATCTAAGGCAAAAATAGATTCCAGATGCAGTGACAGACTATTATTTGAGCATGGCGGGGTTTGAGTGCGATGATATTAGGATGTGGGTGATGAAAAATTTGCAAGACAAAAACTGATGCAGGAGACTAGAAGGCGCCTTCTTGCACTTGCAGCACAGAAGTTCATTGCAGATATTGCACAGGATGCCTATCAGTACTCATGTATTCGTTCATCGTCGATGATGAGTGCAGTTCTCTCCAACCAGACGGGGTTTGTTGGAGCAACCCGGGGCCGCTATGGAAAGGTAAAAAAGAGTCTAAAAGAGTGCAAAGCATCAATGTATACACCCACAATGCAGCCAAAAATGCAGGCAGCGCCTGCAAGCACCACCAACGCTCTGCACTAAGGTTTTCTTCAACTGACAGCTCTAGGACAAGGGAAAAACAATCCTAACGATGGAAGACTTGAGTGCTGCACTCTATGAATACGGAATCAACATGAAACGGCCTGACTTTTACAGATAACTACTTTTGCCTAGCTCTATCATTTGTGTTCCCTGTACCAATTCATGCCAAGTAACAGCTTCGTATTACTTTAATTTGTTTCTCGTTTATGGATATCTGTATAAATACAAAAATCCATTCTTAACATCATATCTATTTTATCATCACTTATCGGCCCATCGGCCGCCTGTGCAGCACATCGTACACTCTCAATGACGTCAAAAAAACAGAGATTTTATAAAATATAAAAATAAGAAGAATATTTTGAATATTTTTGATTTAAAAACCTGAAATGACTGTATCTAAATGGATGGAAAAAGCCAAAGAATGTGGGTTTTTATCAGAAACAGAAATGAAGCAGTTATGTGAAATAGTTAAAGAATTATTAATGGAAGAATCAAATATCCAGCCAGTTTCATCACCGGTTACAATATGTGGTGATATACATGGTATATTGTGTGATTTATGTCATAAAATACTAATGAACAGGTCAATTTTATGATTTACTGGAACTTTTTCGAGTCGGTGGTCAGATTCCTGATACAAAATATGTTTTTATGGTAAACGGATTAATTCATATATTTCAGAAAGTATTTACACTGAATAAAGGGAGATTTTGTAGATCGTGGATATTTTAGTTTAGAAACGTTTACACTGCTGATGTGCTTTAAAGCAAGGTATTATATGATCCGGGATATTTAGAAGCTGATTTTTCTATTTCAGTTATCCGGATAAAATTACATTACTTAGAGGAAATCATGAGAGTCGACAGATTACACAGGTGTATGGTTTTTATGGTAAAAAATGTTATTTTCTTTATGTAAACAGTATTTTTATTGCGTTAGATGAATGTCAAACAAAGTACGGTAACGCTAATGTATGGAAATATTGTTGCAGAGTCTTTGATTTTTTGGCGATTGCTGCAATTATAGACGGGAAAATTCTTTGTGTTCATGGAGGGCTAAGTCCTGAAATAAGAACTTTGGATCAAATCAGGATCGTTGCAAGGGCCCAAGAAATTCCACATGAGGGAGCATTTTGTGACTTAATGTGGTCTGATCCAGAAGGTTTCTTTATTCTTTACAAAATTATACAAATACTAATAGTTAGAGGTGGAAACTTGGGCAGTGTCTCCTCGTGGTGCAGGATGGCTATTTGGAGATAAAGTAACAGCTGAGGTAAAATATCTTTTTAGCTTTTTCTTTACAAATGAACATATTAGTTTAATCATGTTAATGATTTGTATTTAATTGCAAGAGCACATCAGCTCGTTCAGGAAGGATTTAAAGTTAATAGACTTTATACAAAAACAAAAACTAACCACTATATAGTATCATTTTAAAGACCAGTCACTTGTAACTGTTTGGTCTGCTCCTAATTATTGTTACAGATGCGGAAATGTTGCTAGCATTATGATCATAGACGAATCGCTTATTCCCAGATTTAATATTTTCAGTGCAGATAAGTTAACATCGATTTTTTTCTAACTTTTATTGACTTTTATACTGCCTGATGACCAAAGACAAATACCATCTAAAAGACAAAGATCGGAATATTTTATATAAACAGATGAATTAATACGAATACTCATTTACAAACTTTTTTATATGACATAAAACTGACATTTTAAATAATGAAAAATTCTAACCATCATATTGTACTAATAATTTCACTTGAAATTTCTTGTCTCCACAGAAGTTCTTCACAAACATCATTATTCGCCAACATGCAACTTTTTTCACAAGTATAAATATTTAAAATACCCCAATCTAGTGAATATTTTTCCGAATGATCAATATTTAGAAAGGAAAGAAGTGTAGGCATTATTTGGAATTCAATTGTTCTTTTCTCTCCACATGGACACTCTGCAATTTCCGAACTATTTAATTGTCCATTTAGACTTATCCACAGAATATCATTATTTTTTGTGTTATTTGATTCTGTTCGTATGTATCTATAAATATTAACATCTTATATTTAAAAACTACGTATCTTCACCGCAACACCTGTGTTGGCGCTCTACTTAGTCGTTTTTGAAAACGCAAAAATGTTTTATCACCTTTAATACTTGAAAACTTTTCATATTTATCAGGAATTGCATTAGGCCCAAACTTATGTTGTATCAATTCATTTCCAATAGGTTTTGGTTCTTCAGGTTCTGCTTCATAAACAATCTCCATTTCATTCCACCAAGGCCTTTTAGAAAGAGGCCACTTTGAGATCTCTGTACCACAATATTTTTTATGCAATGTAAGCTCCCAATGCACCTTTTGATGCTGTTTAGAACAGTATTTTGAAATTTTACACCTGGAACATGTATATAATGCCATTATGTTACATACAACACATAATTGATTAATTTTTGTGTCTATATCTTTTATATTCTCTTTTTGAATACGGATTACCTTGAAGCTTTAAAATTATTAACAAAAGCACAAAAAATAATAGAAATCTAACGATTTAGAAAATCCAGGACGCTGGCATGTGCCGTCTTCACACACAAATATATATATTACACGATGATAACCCATATGATGGCCTTCTGTTTCTGGACAATATATCTTACAAAACGTTTAAAAAAACACAAAAACCCAAAGAAAATGGAAAAACCTGAAGAAGAAACCTCATGATCTTTTCACAAATCCCACATTTTAAATTCTCTGGCCGTGGAACTACCTTTGGATTAATCCATATCTAAACCCTATTAAACCCGTTTTAAACCCATTTAAAACTCAAGAAAAACACACTGGACGACCACCTATCCTACTAACCGTAGGATCTTCTAATAAAGTATCACTTTCTTTCTCAAATTCCTCCAAAAAACCCAGCCATATTGTCATTTGCTGTTCACTTATTTTTTTTGACGTTAACTTGTCGAATGTAATGACGTCCAAAAAATATATAGATTTTGAAAAACTCAATGAACCTACATTTAATGCTTATTTATTTGCAAATACACTTGTTAAAGAGACTCATCATTATTCAGATAGTAAAATTGATCTGGAAATACCACTTAAAAAGCTCCAATATGATATAGAAGAGATTAATGAAAAGATCCAAGAAGAAGTATCTTTTTAAATTTTAAAAAAAAAAATAACTTTTTTTAGATTAAGAAAAATTATGAAGAAATTATAGAATATGTAAAATCATCTAAAGAAGTAGCAAATGAAAATATAAGTTCTATAAAAAGATATACTGAATCATTAGTGGACTCATTTCAGCGGTATAATGAGTGTATAAAAGTGTAAAATACACTTATAGATAATAGAATGGATGAAAAGTGGACAAAAAAGTATGAAGAAGCAGTTTATTTATTGACATCTTTACAAAATATGCATACGACAAACCAATTGCTTTTAAAAGTTCAGGAAGCTGTTATATTAATACAACGCTTGGAACATTTATATCAAAAAATAGAAAAACATAACAATGATATAGAATCGTGGAGAAATTGTGTTAGAATAGCTATTGTGATTTATGAATGGAAAGTGCTTACGCAAAACAGTTTGGCATGTTCCTTAGTTATGAATATGGGTTTTAACACTAACGATATAGGATGATATTTTAATTGTTGAAAAATATAAACCATTTGTGACATCTTTTTCAGAAAAATTAGAATCTATGGCTTATGATATGCTTTTTGTACAAAAAAATCTATCTAAATCCTTACTTGTACCAGTGATATCAACTTACTTTTTGATTAATGAAAATTCGTTAGTTTCTAATTTAAAAAAGTACAACGAAAAATGCATAAGGAACGCAGTAGATTATTTTTATAAAAGTATCGAGGTTAAACCAATATTGAAACGTTTATCTACAACCGATCCAGTTAAGGCAAAAACCACTCTATTAACAAACATTGAAAAAAAATGGGCAGATATAGGAAATATTTCAGGACATATTTATGTTTTAAGTATAGCTCTAGAAGAACCAGTACCGTCTTTATTAAGAGAAACTTTTTTGACTCATCAAAATACCATTCTTTCTAATATTTTAGAAAAATTGAACAATCAAACACCTTTTGAATATTTTTGGAAAGGTTTTTTATCCCAAATCACTCCAAAAATAAAAAATGCAAAAAAGCAGTCCGTATGGCTTGACAAAACACTTTGTGATCAACTTGATTTCATTTTAAAACTTATTCAAGAAACATTTCTTAATGAATTTCATAATCATGAAATAAAAGAACTCGTTTTAAAACATATACAGTCTTGCATCCTTGAAAAGGGCTAGTTTTAATTATTAACATATATTTTTTTATCTTATTTATAATAAATATTCATTATCATCGAACCTTAGAAAAATCATTTAAAAATAAAACAATTTTTATCTATAAAAATAATATAAAAATAACTATTTTAAGATATTTTTTATATTCAAATTTAAGTTCTAATGCCTCAAAAGAAAACAATACCTCCTTTAAAAAAAAACCAGCAAAAAATATGTAAATTAACATATATTTTAAGAAATAATCTAATCCTTTTAGTTGAAGATAAAACATTTGGGCTTAAAAATGTATATTAATAGCCATATAACAACTTGTTTTAATAATATAATTATTTTAGAAAAACAAATCATCAAAAGTTCAAGCACAAATTCGTCAAATAGAATCTCAAGCAGCACAGATAGGAAAAAATAAAGCTACTAAAGAAAAAGAAGCACAGAAAAAAGAACAAGCAGAGAGAAAATTAGCAGAAGAATCTAAGAAGATAGAACTTGCAGAATTATTTAAGCAACCAGCACAAAAAGTACCATTTGGTGTTGATCCAAAAAGTATTCTTTGTCAATATTATAAACAAGGATTTTGTGATAAAGGTTTTAAAAAGCTGTAATATTTCATTAATAATAATATATTTTTTATTAGGGAAAAAGTGTAAATTTAGTCATAATCTTGACGTAGAGAAAAAATCAGAAAAAAAAGATATATATACAGATTCTCGGCAAATACCTTTAAATCTAGATAACTCGTATGCAGACAGAAAAGATGACACTATTGATATGTGGGATGATGAAAAGCTTCAGTCAGTTGTTTTAAGTAAACATGGGAATCCAAAGGTTAGTATAATATAATCTTTATTTTCTAATACAAAATACAGACAATGACAAATATTGTATGTAAATTTTTCTTAGAAGCAATAGAAAAAGGTATTTATGGCTGGTTCTGGGTTTGCCCAAAGTATTAGAAACATATAATATAAAAAATTAACATTAGTCTAGTGATGGCGATAATTGTAAATATAAACATAGGTATGTTATTCTGTATATTTCAGGGAAATCTTTTTAAAAAACATAGTCTTCCTCCAGGATTCGTTTTTAAAAGTAAACAAAAGGAAAAAGAAGAAGAAGAAATTACATTGGAACAGTTTCTTGAAATCGAAAGACATAAACTTGGACCAAACTTAACACCTGTAACGTTAGAAACATTTACTGAATGGAAGAGGAAAAGAGAAGAGAAAAAAGAGCAAGAAGAACAAGAAATTCGCAAAAAGAAAGAAGCTAGTATAGCAGCTGGACGAATTGTTGGTTTAAGCGGAAGAGAATTATTTGAATACAATCCTGCCATGTGTGAAGAAGAAGACGAAATACTAGATTTAAGTGAATTTAGGAAAGTTATAGATGATTCAGAAGAAGACAATATAAACAATTAGAAAATTAAGCCGTTGTAATTTCTTTTAATATTTCAAAAAGATGACATTATTAGCATTCTATAAATGTATCTCAAACAACTTTTTTATAAAATGCATTACAAACTGATAATAATAATTAAGTATTTATCCCTTAATATGCAATTTATTAAATATTTTAAAAATGTATCCTAACATATTCCAACATATATAAAAAATAGAAAAAATACCTATATATTAATTCATTTTTATAATAATTTGGCTCTTTTAAAATTAAATCTCGGGATAAATTCGTTATCTGAAACATTATCTATTTCCTTAAAATAAATTAGATAATAAATTAACAAGTATCAAATTATACATCTTTTATATATGTATTATTTTGACATTTCCATTTTCCATAATTTAAATTTTGAGAGATAGAATAGTTTTTATCCGTATTATATGTTTTGAATTGAACATTTTGCATATTTGTAACCCTATGTTATTTTAGATTTCAAATATATTTTTTATATCAGTACATTATATCATCAAACCCTGAAATAAACTGTTTATCATTTATAAAGTACTATAAATTTTTATTAATAATTTTATAAAACAAAATTGTGTAAAAACCTCTTCCTCTTTAACCGCTTTAGGAATATTTTTATAAGTATCATTAGATTTTAAATTTGAATTTAATGAAATATTTATATTTGTTTTGTAATTATTTATGTTTTCATTATAATTGTTTATATTTTCATTGTAATTATTTATACTTCCATTATAATTATTTACATTTCCATTGTGATTATTTATATTTTCATTATAATTTTTTGCTAAAAGTGACATTTTAGTTAAATTGTCAAAATCATTTTTCATATCATGTTCTTCCTTATCTTCTTCCTAGACAAAATTAAATAACAGTAATATAATTTTAGAAATTACATATTTCAATCTAGTTCTTTCTTCATAAAGCAATTTTTGTTTTTTTAACTATATATTTAATAAAATATTATTAAAAACAATTTACTCACTTCTTCATCTAAATTTTCTTCTGCAGTAAGATTTTTGATTAAAAGCTTAACTTGACTATCAATATGTGCTGTAACAAAACTAATAATCTTTAGTTTTTAAATAAAAAAACGCATATACAAACCATTTAAGAGCTTCTCGATCATCTTTTTCAATAAATCTTGTTACTGCTTCCCCAAGTTCATTTTCAGGAAGACATACCAAACTTTGAGTACTAAGAAATTCTTTTACTAAATCTTCAACTTTTATATTTTCCAATTTTATATTTAATGATTCTATATCAGTATGTAGTGACTTAATTGCTTTATTTCCTATTATTATCATTAAGAAAAAATCAAATAACTACTTAAAATATATTTTACGAGTATTCTTTTTCATATAAAATTTAACAATATCATTAGGATTTGCAACTTTTCCAACGAATCGATTTGAAAATCGTTGAGGATTTTCTACTTGATATTCTAGAGAATATTCTACCTATTTTTATTACAAATATAATATCTTTATATATATATAACCTTTAGACGAATTAAAGGTAACGGAGGCTCTTCTTTATAATATGGTTCTTGATAAGACTTCCATTCATTCAATGCCTCTTCTATAGCCTCCTGGACCTTTTCTATTAGAAATGCTGTTACCATACTCTTATTATTTGTATTAGGTTTAATTGCAGTATTTTCATATAAACTTATATCTTTCATAATAAATGGTCTAACACTTTTAAGTCGTATTTTTTGCATACTAAATGATTTTTTTGTAATAGAAAATATTGCAACATGTCTAAAATAATTTATTATTTTATTAAAAAAACAAAAAATTTACTTTGAAACAGCTTCTCCAGGAGAAAGACTTGTAGCAACCGATGACCCTGGCTGAACTACATAAAAGTTTTGCTGAGGATTGTATATAGGATCAATGATACACTCATGCTCATGTCCCCATAGCACTAAATCAAAGAAATCAGGAATAAAATTTTCAGGCAAATATCCTTTTTCTGTATGTGATGTGCTGGATTAATTATCAACATACCAGTAAGACAATAATTATCATACATACTGATTTTGATGGACAACAATTACATTAAACCAAGAATCTGGATCAACATCTGGTCTCATAAAGCGAACATTTCCTTGCTTAAATGAACGATAAAGCCTTTCATCTCTAATATTAGAAAGCCCATAAAGTGCAAACTTTGTATCCCCTTTTTTTATCAAAATAGGACGAATAATAATATTATCATTCTCTGGAACTTGCCCAAAATAATTCATCAATCCAGCCATTTGTAGAATATCTAATGCACAGAGTCTATCTTCCTTAAAACTGAGTCAATTCCATTCTAGAAAAAAAAAAGCAGTATATTATTACTCCTGAAGGATCATCATGATTCCCATGGATCGAAAAAACAGGAATTGCTACATTTATTTCCAGATCTTCAACATTAATATGTCCCAGAGCCCTAAGCTCATTTTAAAAGGAAAAAAAACACTTTTTTCAAAAATTATACATATCCCTAGAAACAATTGATTGATCACTAAGTATTTCAAGTTCACAGGGCCTTTCTCCAAGACAATTTAGCCGCAAACTTCGCATCACTTGATACATTGCCTTTCTTGATGGTTTATTCTCATGAAAAAGATCTCCACATAAAACCACCATATCTACCTATAAATTAATCAATAAAACATATGTATTGATTTTTATTTCCTCTTTTTTACGTCATTTATACGCGCATATCTCATCACTTCGTCAAATGTATTATGTGAGTCATTGCCACGAATTGGATCTTTTTCAAGATATCCGACGTGGTTATCAGTTGAAACAAGAATACGGATTGTTGACGATTCATCTATGGCAGTGTCTTCTATAATTCGCATTTTCTATAAGACAGGTTGAAGTGGAGGTTTGTCGAGTGATTGAACGTTCAGAAAAAAAGAAATATATAAAAGTAGGTAAAATAAGGAATTGGATGTTATATATAGCAGAAGTAAACATATAATAGTATTTATATAGGGTAATTGAGTATATACGTTTTTTTCTGAGCAAAAATGAATGATTTTTAGTGTCAAAAGAGAACTTTTTATGATGCAAAGGAAATGCAAAATTATAAAAAAAAAAAAGGATAAAATGCAAAGATTTTGATTTTTTTGTATTTAATTGCTTCTTTTATACGTATGAAATATTTTTTTAAGGAAAAAACGCTTTTTGAAAGGTGTTAGATAAGTTTGTTTTAAATCATTAAGTATAAAGAAAAAGGAATTCCTGGCCAAAAGATACAAGAAAAAACAAAATAATTGGTTTTTTTTTTTTTTTTTGAAAAATATTTTGTATTTGATTATTTGTTTTTGTCTTTAAAAAACATAAGCACAGTAGGGTCTTGAAAGACTGATATTATATTTTTATTTGCAGTATATAGCAATTAATTTTGCTAAAATAAGATATCTAGAGACTCAAAGAGATCGAAAAATGGATGATAATATGAATTTTCTACGTTGCATATGTCTTGATATAAGTATAAACAATATTAACAGGATCATTATGTGTTTATAAAGAAAAGCAAGTAAATCATTATATAAAGGACCCTAAGCCAATGTAACTATGATCTGAAGCGTGAAGACGCGCTCCATATATAAAAAAATGTTCTTAAATGTGTAAGGATACAAAGGTGAAGTCTTAACAGGAAAATTTATTTTACTATCTGAACTTTATAAAAAAGAACCATAAATATTGACTATGGGTTGTTCTATAATCTACAAAGTCACGTGCTTATGCCGTTCAAAGAACAAACAATGCTTTTAATAATGCAAATAGTAATTTAAATTATGATTTAAATAAGTTGAATAGGCAATATCATTATAATTATTTTTCAACAGTTTGCATTTTGCATACTATATTTTGCATATAGAAAACTCGAATATTCTTTTATAAAGATTTTTTGATCAAATATTACTTTCATTAAAAACAATGTATAGTTGGTATCGAAAACTAATGAAAAATTTGGATGTTTTTTTTAAAAAAAAAAAAAGTATTTTCAGACTTAATAGAGAAAACAACAATAAAACACCAGAGATCTTCTTTAATTTTCGAAAATTATTGAATAATATAAATGTTGATAAATACAGACTAAAAATAGAGAACTCGGATTTTGTTATTTTTTAAAAAATGTCTCAACATATAAATATAGCATGGGAAAAGTATTCTGCAGTTAAAATTGAAGAAGCAAAACGGTGTGCAGCATATGCTGCAGTAGATGATAATTTTTCTGAGGAAATCAAAGTGATTGGCATTGGTAGTGGAACTACAATTGCCTATGTAGTTGAAAGAATAGCTCAAAAACAGGGTTCTCAGAATATGATCTTTATTCCTACGGGGTTTCAAAGCAGACAATTAATATTGGATGCTAGCTTGTCTTTAGGAGACGTTGATGCGTATACAAGCCAACAAAATTTAGACGATTAATTATATTTTCTAGATATTCATCAATCGATCTTGTTTTTGATGGTGCAGATGAAATAGATGAAAATTTAAATTGTATTAAAGGTGGAGGCGCATGTCTTTTTCAAGAAAAGTTGATAGCAGTAAGTGCTAAAAAGAGAATTATCATTGCAGATTATCGTAAAAAATCTTCTGTTTTAGGAGATAAATGGCAACAAGGGATACCGGTTGAAGTAGTGCCTATTGCATATTCTAGGGTTATGAACAGTCTTATACAATTAGGTGCTTTGAATCCAAAATTGCGTCTTTGTAATATATACAAAGCAGGACCAGTGATAACTGATCATGGCAATTTCATTATTGACGCGCCTTTTGGGAAGATTAATAATCCATCAGTATTAGAAAAGAGCATAAAAATGCTTATTGGTGTAGTCGAAGTAGGTCTTTTTATAAATATAGCAGATATCATTTATTTTGGAAACGAAAATGGGGATGTTGTATGTCTTTTTATTTTACTTTTAGTATTTTCTTACTATTCTTTAGATTGTTTGCCATAAAAAGCATCAGACCTAATTACTTATTTATATAAGGATATAATTTTTAAATATCTTAGATATTTTATAACAAACTAAACCTTAATTTTAAAATTTACAAAATTATATCGAGAATGATAAACCAAAAACATCTGCTCATATAAGCTAATTTACTAAATAAAATAATATGTATGTTTATTAAACAAAAAAGCATACAAAATAGGTGTTTTCAGTATTTATATAAAACTAAAAACACATATAATTATCATCATAAATGTATTGTTACATAAATTTAAATTACCAAGTGATATTTATAAAACTCGAAATCAAAAATTAGATATTTTCCCTATATTAATATTAAACAATGAATTTCAGTTATTTATGATTTAATTTAAGGTTTGCATCAAATGGGATAGAGCTAACAGACTTAATCGCATTCTTTATATGAGTTTCTGAAATGTTCTTGCCGTTAAGCCATTTTAGAAAAGGACAAGATGAAAGAATTAGATCTTGGTATAATCTTCGTCTAAGCTGTAGTTTTTTAGGTAATATTTTGAAAAATGTCTTATCTTTTTCAACCCAAGTGTCGTCATGTAATTTTATTTGAAGACTAAAATGAATTGAAGAATTATTTGAATCTAATGAAAAGAACGGTGGATACAAATTTATAATACATGGATTTAATCTATATCAAATTAAATAAACTATTTTTAAATATTTAATTTATACCTCATATCAAAGCTATGTAAAGCTTTTAAAGTACTCAATACCTCTATGATATTAGTTATTTTAGAAATTTGATTCCCATTAATAAATAATCGCTTGAGCATAGGCATTCCTTTTAATGGACTAATATCCTTTAAATGGTTATAACTAAGATTAAGTGTACGAAGATTTAAATTTATTTCTGCAAATGATTTTGGGAGAGATTCCATCTGCACATTTACTAATTCTAAATATTGTAAAGTTAAAAGCGGAGAATAATAGTTCAATGAACAAATGGGATTTACTAAGAATATTAATAAAGTTTATATATATAAGTACTTACATGACATATAAATTTTTTTAATATTTATTAATGAATTTAGCTCAATATTTCTATAAAAATTAGAGATTCTATTTTTAAAAAAAAAATAAAATACATACAATCCGTTTAATTTCTGATTTCTTATTGACAATTTTTCTAGCTTTTTAAGATGATTAATTTCATTTATACATTGAAGACTATTGCTATCTAAAAATAATACTCGAAGATTTGAAAAGTTTGCAGAATTAAACTTTTTCAGAGAATTCGTAGAAAGTCTTAAAACACGAAGTTTTGGCATTTTTTTTTCTGAATAAAAAACAGAAAGATTATTCTTATCTATCTTCATTAAAATAATCAAAATATACAAAATCTAAATACCCAAATTTAAAGTCATCAAATTATGTAAATTGTGTATACCTATAAGTTGCTTTATTTTATTACAAGAAAGATCTAACTGTTCTAATTTAAAACTAAATATTTTCTGTTATACAATATCGTATTTAGTAATGAATATTCTTACAGATTATAACCAGATAAATCTATATCAGAAAGTAGATTTTGAGAAAGAGAAAGATCTAAAAGACCATCAAGTTTTTGTATTCCATCTAAATTAGAAATTTTATTATTTGAAACATTTAGTTGTCGAAGATGAATTAAAACATTTAAGCCTAGTATATTTTAACATTTTGTCCTTTTAAAAAGAATACAAACTTTTAAGGCTTTGGATTTCATTATTAGAAAGATTTAAATACTGGATATTCGTTAAACAGGAAAACGTTGTAAGAGATGACAAACTATTTGCATTAAAATAATATTTTATAAAAAAATCTATACTTATTATTTTGTAAGTTAATATTTCGTATAGTTTCAGGACATCCAGTTAAAAACGTGAGCGCATTATAACTAACATCTAAACTAGTTAATTTAGGGCAAAAATCGCATAGTCCTATTAATGATTCTATATTTTTATTAGAAAAATTTAGATGTTGAATTTTTTCCCAAAATGGTTCATAAGGTTCAACATCTGTTAAAACAGAGACTAAATTTTGTAATGCTACAGAAAAACTGCAATTGAATGTTGTATTAGAGATATCCTGAGTTTCTAGAAATTTACTATTTATTGAATTTTTGAATTCGTCAACAAAATTTTTATCTTGAATTGATTCATCATGTTTTGGTGTTTGTACGAATAAATCTGAGTCACCTATAGATGAGTGTTGAAAACTATCTTTAAACTCTAGTTTAGAATTAACATTAAAATTACTAAAATTATCATTAGTAATTATTTCACTTGAGAAAGTAGAAGACTCTTGATTAAAATTTACTTCTTTTGGATGAATATAATCTTTTGGAATACTCTTATCAACAATTTCCTTTTGTAATGAATTCTTTGCTTCATCCTTTAATTTCTCTGTATATGGTTTGAATGTTTTTTCTACAAAACAAATTTTAGAATCTTCATTGAGGTTTTTTATGCTATTTCTAGGAATATTATTCTCTTTAATTCCGATCTCATTTAAGGGCTCTGGAGATACAGGAAAATCTTGTATTCCTTCAAATACATCTTCGGTTTTATCATGTAAATCCTGTACCCATGTATTTTTTGTTTTGTCCAAAGTCATTGAACCAATTCTATCACTTAAGAACTGAGAAACATCCTGTGGAGTTATTATTTTCAAATTTTCTGAAGATACTAATTTATGATTCAATCGATTAGAATTAGGACCTTTATTTGTAAAAGATACTGAAGTCTTAAAAGCATGTGTTTGCTCAAAAGTTGACGATTTTTCCCAAGGTTGCTTTACTGAATCAAAATTTTCTTCTTTATTTACTTGAAGTTTTACATTTTTTGTTGCATCTAAATATTTATTTTCTTTATAACATTTTGCTGAAGAATCTGATTGGGAAATAAGAGTATTTCTAGAACTTGTATGTTCGGAAGACCAATCGCTAAACATGGAATGTGCAGGTGTTTCATTTATGGTAGCTAAACATGAGTTCATACTATTTTTAGATTTTAAAACATTATTTTTTTCTTGAACATTCGGAACCGTATTTTGTGATTCGCTTATTTCCTCTTCCTCACAAACACTTTCAAGAGTAAATTTCCCTGTAGTATTACGTCTATTTCTTATACGCTCCATAATTTCTTGTGCTTCATTTAAAAAATCTTGAGTTGTTATACTGCTCACTCGTTCGTGAGAAGTTCGAAGTCTTTTTCTTTCTGGACCATTTGCGGATGTATTTGTATCCTCATCGGTTTCTTGATTTGCTAACTCATAAACAGCAGCTGCAAGCTTGTTATTTGTAAATGTATCAAAGTTGTCATGAAACAATTTTAAAGGGGACTTTGTTGGAGATACTGTACTTTTGCTTTTGTTATTACTCATACATGTAGGCGGCTCGATGTTTGTATTTTTACTTGGAAGATTACAATTAAATGTAAATTGGTTACATATTTTTTGATCCTGAAACTCTTTTTGGAAATCTGAACTATCTTCAAAAACGTCTGATTTAGAAATAAAACTATTAGGCTTCACTGAAACGGATTCATTGTTTTTAGCAAAAGATGAATTCAATTTATCTGTTGAATCCGACATGTGTTTTGATGATGAAAAATTAACCATTTTAGATGCTTTTTTTTCTGAATTTTTTATATCCCAAAACTCAAAAACTGATCCTCTTTCATTCTCTTTCCTAGTAGATACCCTAAAACTTCAAAAAATTAAAAAACATTCCAATAAAATAAAATATTAATACTCACTTTTCATCAACCATATTTCCAGATGATTTCGTGCTCAAAAGATCATTAAACATATCCTTCATCATATTTGCATTCTCCTTCTTCCATTCAGGCACCATTTCATTCACAATAAATGATGGATCCCGTTCCGTCAAAATCCTTACTGTATCATCACAACTGAGACTTGGAATCCTCGGTAAAGTATCTGACGAAGACGGTGTCACCCATTCCACAGAATCTTCACCTGTAAATCTTTCTAATTCATTATTATTCAGATTTATAGAGACGATATCTGCCATTTTAAATACTTTATTTTTAATGTACAGCTTGTTGAAGCTTTGTCGATGTTCATGTTTATTGTAGTTATTACCATAGCAACCCTGCGGGGAAGAACAAGCAAAGCAAATAATTTAGATGTATTATCAGAGGTGAATAGACGGCAAAATGAATATTATTGGTCTATTGCATATTAAAAACAGAGTTATGTATACAGTCTTTAAGAACTAGTGTATATATTTGAAAAGCATTTATATTTTGTACAGTTTATATTTGAAAATATTTTTTTATTTTTAGTAGTTTACGTATATTCTATAAGTGAACAACGCAGACGAGCAGAGAAAAATACATACAACAATGATGGATCTGTATTGTTTTATGAATTATCCTATGTATATTTATGTCTATAATTTATGTCTCTACTGCTTACGTTATCTATATTTATACACACGTGTATATTAGTGAAAAGAGAATAAAAAATTCTAGTACACTTATTTTATTTATAAATATACAGGAACATCTATATTGTAAACTTGATATATTTATATTTAGATCTTTAAAGTAAAAAATGTCACTTGGATGCTGGAAATGTTATTACATAAATTATACAGTAAAAGTCCTATTTTTCAACAGTTAGACAACGTGGGACGTAAAATAAGAAAAAAATAAAAATAGAAATGTACAAATAAATAATTCTATATTCACAACAAGAAATTAACAAATTGGTTTCATAAAGTGTTTTTCAAATATGGATAATAGTATTTATTTGAGATATTTATTCAAGATATTCAAACAGTTAAATGGAATAGTTAAGATATAAATGTATATCGATAAATATTAAGTCAAATGTATACTTGTATATCTGTTTATAAATATAAAGATTGTTATTTATTTATAAATTTTTAATTTACTTATAAAATAATTATAAAATAGTATTTTGAGAAACTAAGGATTGAATAGTACTAGTAAGACCTCGTGAGAATCGGAAAGGTTTAAACGAGTTTTAGTAGACCAAAATTTAAAAATATGTATAAAACAAAGTATTTAAGGGTTATTAGTCGATTTAATCAATTTTTAATTTAATATATTAAATTTCTATTATATAAAATAGCGAGGGATTAGCAAAAAAATATTTTTGAAATAGAAAATTAGATTAATATGAAAAGATTGTAAAATATTAGGCTGAAAATGAAGTTTGGAAAGAAGTTTGTTATACTTTCTTTGATCCAGTTCAAACTGATATGTTTTAGCTTGATTAAAAATAAAGTACCAGAATTTAGGTTTTAATGTTTTATATATAAAAAAGCAATGTTTAATGTTTATTAGTTCAAAGTATATTGATTATAAGGTTTTGAAAAAAGAGATTTCAGCTATTTTTTTGAAATCAAAAAATCCTACGGATTTGACGTGTAAGTACTCTGTTTATTAAAAATTATGGCTAACATAGATCAAAGCATTCTTTTCTTTGTTTGATAGCAATCTTGAATCTGTAAATACTTTCTTTAATCTACGAAAAAAAGAAATTACTCGTCGAATTGATTTGATTTTAAAGAAATACAATTTAGATTTACTCATTAAAAACCATCAACAACTTGATATTGAAATTGATGAAAAAGAAGATCTTGTTAGTTCTCTTTTTTCTTTAAAATCTGAGCTTCAGAAATTATTATGGTACTTAGAAATAAATAATAAGGGATTTACAAAGATTTTAAAAAAGTAAATACTTTTAAATTTTGCATTTTTAACACGTGTAGATTAGATAAAAAACTTAATATATCATTGAAATCAAATTATATGGAATCTAAAGTAGATAGGAACAATATATTAAATTAATATTTAATATGACAATTAGGTAATGGTACTTTCATCAGCAACAACAGCAACAATTGAGTTATTTGAAAATATTGATCATTGGCTTTCTTATATTAATGATGCTAATTCTTCAAATTATATAAAGACTAATGATACTAAAAACTCGATTGTATCTATTCCATCTGTCTTTTCTTTTACTACGGATCCAGTTCTTATAGAAAAAATAGAAGAATCTATTCGTAAAAATGACACTGAAAATTTCCAAATACTAGTTGATAAATTAAGATATAAATGTCTTTCAAATTTCTTTATTAATTTACTAAGACGTTCTCTTCTGATTAAATCTTTTTCATGTGCTGAAGTAATTCTATCATGTTTAAATGTGTTCATAGAAGAGGAGGAGATAAATGATAGAAATCTTATTCATAAACTTATTATAAGTATAGGAAGAAATAAAGAAAAAACTTCTGAAAGTATATATGAAGATACAATATCACTTCCATCTATTGATCGGACGGTTTATTCAACGTTAAAAATTAATAATTTACGTGTCTTTGGTCGAAATTTTAGTTCTTCTAATAATAATTCTATATCTATAGATGATATAGAACCATTGGGATTTTTGCTGTCTAAGTTAGAACCACCTTATTATAAATATTTATTGGGTCGAGATGTATATAACCGACTTCCTTTACATTATGCTGTAGGATATGGCCTTATTAAAAATACACAATTGATATTAGATTACATGATAAAATGGAATCAACTGAATCCTGAAACTGATAACTTAAACGACTCCAAATGGAGAGACTCAGAAGGATATACACCATTGCATCAAGCTATTTTAATTCGTAACATAGAAATTTTAGATATATTGCAAAGTATGAATAAAAAAGTTGATCCGCTTTCTTATGGTATCTTTATTTTTATACAATATTATTTTAATTAAAAACAGGAACAAAAATTATATATGAAGAGGTAGAGAATTTAAATAGTTATTCTGCTTTAGCTCTTGCAGTTAAATTTAATTATGATGAAATTGTATATCAATTGTTAGAATCAGGTTTAGATATTAATCACCAAGACAAAGATGGGAAAAGCGCACTTCATATTGCTGTTCATTTGGGTAATGTAAATACTGTTAAAGTACTTTTGAATGGAACAAAATTTCAAAAACAAGATACAGAATTAGTAGAAAATGTTTATGGATGGACACCTTTGTTTATAGCAGCAATAGAGGGTTTTCCTGAAATAGTAAAATTACTTGTTTCTGTAAATGCAAGAATCGATAAAACAGATTTTTCTGGATGGACTGCTCTTGAACATGCTGTTTTTAGAGGTCATATGAATTGTATTGATTTTTTAATGACTCCAGAAATTCGTGAATATGTTCAAAAAGCTATTGTAGCAGATAAAATTAATGAAGAAAAAAATCATAAATTTTTTATAGATCATGAAAATGATATAAAGTTACAGAAAAATATGAAAACAGAGTTATCTAAATCAATAGAAAATCTTCCTATGACAGAAATAGCTACTTCTAAAGATTCTCATCATCAATGTATAGAAGACAAAACAGTAATTCTTGTAAGATTTTATTAATGTTTTTTTTTTCTTTTAATTTTTATAGATTACCTTGGGTTCTACTAATAGATTTAAAAATATAACTCCTGTAGAAATTAATAGGACTTTCCTTACAGAAGCGTCTATTACTCAACTAAACAGTGTTTTGTCTTTGATTGTTACTGCCAAAAATGCACAAGGCACTGCTGTTGTGGATTTTTCAATTCATGACCGTATAGAAACTGAACCTATTGTTTTTACTACTACAAATTATCCAGAAGTTCAAATTTTCTTTGATATTGGTATTTATTTTTTTTATAAAAATATAATATTAATTTATTATTAGTTCCATCATACGGTAAAACTAAAGATAAACTTATTGGACGCGCTGTTGCTCTTTTATCAAGTGTGAAAACGTATCTTGGGAAAGCAAGAGAATCTTTAAATAGTGAATTAAAAGTTCCTATTATAGAAGCGAATACTTTATCTATTATTGGAAGTATAAATTTTGAACTCAGAGTCGTTACACCGTTTAAACATCCTAATATTACGTCAGAGAAAAGTTCTACTTATTGGGAATCATTGATTAAAACAAGAGTATAAAATTTTATAAGTCAAGTAACTATATAACATATTTTAGGTAATTGGACATAGAGGTATATTGTTTTGAATACAAAGCATTTAGGTTAATTGTTTTCTTAAGGACTTGGGAAAAACCAAGCATCAAGAAAAAGTTTACAGCTTGGGGAAAACACATTAGAGGTATTTTCATAATGAATAAATTATAATAATAATAATAATATAAGTCATTTATCGCAGCGGCGAATTTAGGTAATATCTTAATAGATTTATAATAGACTTAATGTTTTTAGGTGCTTCTTATGTTGAAGTATTATTTTTTTAATTATAATTAAAATAACAATTGTATAGTTTGATGTACAATTAACTAAAGATCATGTTCCTGTCATTTATCATGACTTTTTAGTTTCAGAAACAGGTAATTTATTTAAAAAATATCATAATTTTTATACCAATAATTTTTGTAGGTGTTGATGCACCAGTTCATAGTTTAACTTTAGAACAGGTATACCAATCAAACCAATACTTATAATTAATCACATGTTTTAGTTTTTAGCATTATCTGATACTAAACAAGACAAACCACTTTTCTCTACACGTTTAGATCAATCGGTTTCCTTTGTATCCACAAAATTGGATGCTTTATCAATGAAACGTTCAAAAAGCCAGTATTTTGCTAATCTTCAAGAAGAAAATGAATTATATGAGCGAATAAAACATACCAGGGATTATAGGGTTAAAGGTTATAAAGGAAATGCTCGTGGTCAAAGTATACAATGTCATTTTATGACGTTAGAAGATGCATTTAAGGTACCTTATTTTTTAGATTTTACGAGCATAATTAAATATTTTGCAGAAAATACCCATTCATGTTGGGTTTAATATTGAATGTAGTATGTAGCATATTCTGTTTAATACTTAAAAATTTAACATTTTTAGAATATGCTATGTTGTATGAAGCAGAAAATGAGGAAATGGATAGTGTTGCGATTGAATTAAACCAATGGGTTGATACAGGTATTTATAATCTTATTTTATAACCGTTTATGATATTTAAAGTTTTAAAATTCGTGTTTGACTATAAAAAAGATAGAGACATAATTTTTAGTAGCTTTCATCCTGAAATATGTTTACTATTGTCTCTTAAACAGGTAAAATATTTTTGTTATAGTTTTAAAACTAATAAACAAAAGTCTTCAATACCTGTTTGTATTTAATTATTCCAATTCTATTTTAATATTTATTTTAGATTATGTTCCTTACAGATGCAGGTGCTACTAAAATGACTGATATAAGATCTTCTTCTTTACAGGAAGCTATTCGATTTGCAACTAGATGGAATTTGTTAGGTATCGTTAGTGAATGTTCACCTTTGATATTGTGTCCACGTTTAATTAATGTAATCAAAAATTCGGGTTTAGTTTGTGTAACTTATGGATCAGAAAATAATATTCCAGAAAAGGTTAATTTGCAAATGAAAGCCGGGTTGGATGCTGTAATAGTGGTAAATTATCTCTAAATATACATTTAATCTTATTAATAATAAAATAAGGATTCTGTTTTAGAAATCCGAAAAGGACTTACAATGCAAAGTTAGTTGTAATTCTTTATAAAAAATATTAGTTTTTATTTTTTTTATAAATTTAAAATAAATAATAGCAAGTATTCATGGTTTTAATATAAAAATAAAAGTAAATTGCAAAAAATTAATTTATCTTGTTTCCATAGATAAAGCACCCCTCGAAATGAAATCAAAAATAAGTTTTAGTTTGTCCTGAAGCTATTAATATATTTAATTTTTAGTTTACTTACTGTTGCATTTTCTAACTGAGATTGGAAAAAACTATGCTTATTAACAATTTGATCTTGTGATTTTTTGATTGCTTTAATCATGATGTTATTGTTAGAGCATTGTGGGCAATATTCTATTTCATCCAAATCATTAATACACCTAATGAAATGAAAATAATCCTATAAATATAAAATAATAATTTACTTTTGATGGTATGAATGTTTGCAAAGAAAGTGAACAATCGGAAGATTAAGAATAAGTCCACACATAGAGCATTTCATCTCTTGAAAAATTTGCGCACTTTTCATAATAAGAAAAAAAATAAAAAAAGTTCAGTACCTTTTCATTAAATCATAAAGTTTATTTTTCTTGTTTTCTGTCTCGTCACGATACATATTAATAAGTGTAGAATTCTATTATATATCAAATACATTATATAATAATAAAGTAAATTATACTTACGTTATCTATTTCTTTTTTTTCCTGTTCAATAATTTCTATTAAATATTCTTTTATTACACCAACAGTAGATATAGAATTTACGCTTAATATCTTAATAATTTCTAAAGACGTGATAAGTCGTTCTTCTCTTATTTTTTTAAGAAGAGTGTAAAAATAATCTCCTGTATCACTTAATATTTTAGGAGACGATGTAAAATAACCTAAAGCTAGAAGATATAATTCTGGTTCAGCATTACCGTGTTTTTCTAAATAATCTATTACTTTATACGTATCTTCAATAGAGCAATAATAGCGAAATGCATCAATTTTTGTATCTGATTTTTCTTTTAGTATCTGAAATCCTTCAGAAAAATCTGCCAAATGTGATAAAAGAAGTCCATTAAATGAATTGATGAGGCACTGAAAAATTAAGGCTTATAAATACAAAATAATACATACTGTTTCTTTATTTAGAAGAGATTTTGCTTTTTCTTCATAATCTTGACGCTCAATCAAAGAATTAGAATTTTTTATTTCTCTTAAGTAAATTTCATATAATGTAGTACATATTAAATCCCTTTCTGGATTTTCATTATTTTCTAAAAAATTTTCCATTAAAGTTTCCAAAAAATATATAAATTGTTTATTATTATCCATAAAAGTAGGAAATATTGAAGTAATACTAGGAATAGTATACTGCGGTTCAATTTTTGTTTTACCAGATGTGCAATTCGAATTAATTGTAGACGATTCTGCGCTCGAAGGAGTCATATTATTTGTATTTATATATGGTAAAAAGGGAACGTAATTTGCTATTGTAAATGGTATAGTTTGATTAGTTGATTCTTTTAAATCTATTTTTTTTGATGTAGGCACAAAATTTCCTGAAAAAAAATCAATATAAAGCAATGTTGTTTCTTCAGGAAGAATATTTAAAAGTTTTTTCCCAAATTTTTTTAAACAAGGAAAGATCTAAAAAATTAATATACAATATTAAAAAAAATTTAACATACATATTGAGGATCAAGATCAAGTATATATTCAAGAGATTTTTTATAATCACATTTGTCTTCAATTTGTATAGATAAATATGTATCGTGATCTTTAGACTCATTTGCCAAATATGCTGCCTGATCAAAATAACCTCCTTGGCGACAAATAATTATAGCTGCTTCTGAGTCGAATTCTATTTTTTTTTTTACAATAAAGTTAGTAATTTTTTCAGAATCTCGAAGCTTTGCATAACAATTTAAAAGAAGAATTATATGATCAGAATTTGCTAATCCTTTTGTATATAATGCTTCAAGAAAGTCAATTAAGTTATTTATATGTTTAAAATTAAGAAACTTAAATAAATAAATAAAAATATATTAACAGACAAGCACTTACTTTTTTAATTATATTTGAAGGTTTTATTTGCTCAATTGAGTTAATATACTGTTTCATAGAACCATCAAAATCATTATTATCATAAAGATAATCACCATATTTAATTACAATATCATTTATCTTTGTTTTATCATAACCACTGGCTACTGCTAAATCAATAGCTAATGAATAAGAATGTTTTTGAAAGAGTATTTCAAGTTTTTCTGTTATAGGTTTTTCTTGTATTCTAAATACCTGTTATTTATGTTAAAAAAGGCCTCAAATAATGCCATAGTACTTGTCCTTCTTGGGAAAAAACAAATACATCTCCCCATTCTATAAATATTGTTTTAAAAAAAAATTCAAAATTTGAAAGATGCGCAATAAATTTATTTTCAGAATCAATAATAGTAAGCTGAGATATATCCAATATATCATGAGAATTAATATTTGCTATGCTAGTAGTAATTGTAGAAGTAGAGCATGGAAGAGAAAATATAAAAATATAGTCATTGTTAACAAGAACTTTAGATTTTGAACAATTGTAAGTATAGCATGCGTTTTTGTTATCAATTCCATAAATATAAATAGCTTCATCACGAACAATAATTATATCATTATTTTTTTGATTCATTATAGAACAACCTAAAGAAGCGCCTGCTGTATCAATGATTTCAGGAGAATTTGTTTGATTTTTTACATTAATAAGTAATTTTAAGACTTTTTCTGTTGTAATAATAAAAAGTGAAATAACTTTTTTATTTTCTCTAAAATAAAGACCAGTAATAGGTTCTTCTGATTTATAAACAATTTTTTGTGTGGATCCTCGATCTCTGACCAAATCTCCTTTAATAAGCAATACACTTCCATCTGTAAAGCCTATAGCAATATAACTAAGATTGTACAAAACTGCAAAACATGAAATCTGACAATTTTTATTAATAAGTAAATATAAATCTAATACACACAGGATAAGGATTCGAATTATTAATATTAATTGTAGTTTTGCACTTTGGTTTTTTTATATCTTCTTCTAATAACTCAAATGACCATATCTTTAGTATTGGAGTTGAAATATTTTCTTCATCCTTAAAATAGTCAAAATAATTTGTTTAGTTTTCGATAAAACTTACGCCTATTGTCACCAAAAAATCACTTTCATGAATACACTGTAGCAAAGTAACACGCCCATTTTTGTACGCTGAAAACTCATGTACAATGGAAAATGCAGACGAGATAATTTGAATACACCCAGTATCATCTGCGGTATAAATAAATCCCATACCAGATGTAATGATAGACGAAGTGATGAACTATTTTTATAAAAAATACGAATAGGGATCCATAAAATATACTTTTAATGTATTTTTTAGATTTTTTTCATTAAATATACCAGAAATTTCATTAACTTTAAAAAAATTAAATTGACGCCACTAAAGTAATTAGTAGAATAAAATTATTTTAGATTAAAAATATACAGAAGATATGTTCATAAGCCCTTTATAAAAAGATAAATTATGCTTTATTTATACAATATATTTTTAATTTAATTAAATAAAAGTTTTAAATAATTTGGATTTAACGATAGATGATATTTATAGATTGCAGAAAAATAGATAAAATCATTTAATTATAGTTGAAAATGTTATATAAAATAGATATAAAATAACCATAGTTTATTATCTAGCATTGCGTCTTGCAAGTGCAACTGCTCTAAGACGTCTTTGTTGGACTCTTTGTAAAGAAGTTTTTATATCGCCAGTAGGGAATTCATCAATATTGTAATAAATTGGAGCAATTTCTAAAAGCCTGTAATGATTAGAATGAAGAAAATATGTTATATTTTGAATATACCATTCAGGTTTAATAGACGTTACAGTTCGAATATAATTTTTTGATGTTAAAACAAATCTTAAAGAAATTAGATTCTTTTATATCATAAAATGAAATATACTCATTATATACAACCCATTCAGGTGTATGATTTAGTACTAAATAAAATGAATATTTTATTAATCTCAAAAAAAAAAAAACCTGTTGAAGGATGTAATCCAACTGGTTGATTATCCTTAACTGTTAAATAATTTTTATCAGATTGCGACTTTTTTGCTACTTGCATAAAAAAACCACTTACGAGTGCTCGACGAATATTATCGTAATATTTTTTGTCATCAAATGGAGTGGAAACAAGATCAATATCATTTTTTTCCATGGTACGTTTCAACTGTGCTCTAATATTATCTGCACTTTGTAAAGATCGATGTGAAAGAAAATGTTCATAACACCAATTTGCATCTCCATTGACACCTTTATAGGCATGATAAACATTTAAAAGAGTCAAGTGATCACCATCTGGATGAGCAAAGACCTGACGCATTTCATCTGCACGCTTCTTCGCAGTGCTTGGTCTCATAAATACGTTTGGAACAGAGAGAAGTGCAGTTAAAGAAAGAATTTCATTTGAACAATAAAATTCTGGACTTCCAATAAGCATAACTGCTAATGAGGGATCTAATGGAAATTCTGAAGCCATTCTTCCCAAAGCCGTAAGATCACCATTATCATTTAAACATGCAAGATAATTAAGTTCTTCAAGAGCTCTCATCATTGTTTCTGGTGCAGGTGGATCCATAAAATCAAAATGAACTAAATCATCTATGCCTAACTTTTTAAGTTCTAAAACAGTATTGCCTAAATTACTGCGCAAAATTTCAGGGTATGTTTGTTCTTGTAATTCTTTTTTATAAGCCTGTTCTGTATAAAGTCTAAAGCACTTTCCTGGTCGTGTTCTTCCTGCTCTTCCTGCTCTTTGGTCCGCACTAGCTTTACTAATAGGACTAACAAGTAAAGATTCAACTCTGATTCTTGGATTATAAACTTTCTGTTTACTAAATCCTGGATCGACTACATAAACAATGCCGTCAATAGTTAAAGATGTTTCTGCAATATTTGTAGATACAATCACTTTTCTCCCTGGTTTACCACCTTCTTTTCGTGGAGGAGGAGCTGGTTCAAAAATCTTTTGCTGTTGTTGAGGAGGAAGTGTTCCATAAAGAGGATATACTTTCATAGGTGCCAATTCTGTTTCTCTGCTTATTTCATCTGCTTCTATAGCAAGTTTTCGACATGCATCTTCAATTTCATCTTCTCCTGTAAGGAAAAGTAATATATCACCTGGTTCTTCTTCTATATGAATTTGTAAAACTGTTCTCAAAGCTGCTTCAAGGTAATCTCTTTCTGGTTCTTGCGTATAGTAAACTTCTACAGGATGAGTTCTACCAGGAACAGCTAATAAAGGTGCATCAAAAAAATAGTGTTGAAATTTTTGTGCATCTAATGTAGCTGACATAATGATAATTTTTAAATCAGGTCTTTTTCGTGACATTTCTTTCATTAGCCCCATCAATATATCTGTTGCTAATGTTCTTTCATGTGCTTCGTCCAAAATGATACATGAGTATCGAGATAAAAGATGATCGTTCATAGCCTCACGAAGGAGCATTCCATCTGTCATATACTTTAAAATTGTTTTATGGCTTGTACAGTCCTCAAACCGAATGCTATACCCTACTTGTTCTCCTAAAACAACATCCATTTCATCTGAAACTCGCTTTGCTACCGACATTGCTGCCACCCTTCGTGGTTGAGTACATGCTACTTGTTTACCATCTAAAAAAAAAAACATAAAATTAAATATTCATAACTTTTTCAACCTAAAAAAAAACATACTCAGATGCGGCAAGTCGTCATAAAGTACAAACTGAGGGATTCTATAGAAATATTACTTATTTCTATTGAAAATGCTTAAATTTTACTGTGTTGTCTTTCCAGAGCCTGTTTCTCCTACAAAAACAAGAATTTGAGTAGAATGAAATATTTTAAGGAACTCATTTCTATATTTTTGTTAAAAATGCTTTTATTCATTAATTTCGAACCTTTGTGTATGAACAGGTAGCTGTCTTCGTCTTTTTAATATGCCAAAATACTTGTCACTAAACTCTATACCACTAAATGGATTAATAGGCCCTTCCTAAGCTTCCTTTAGCTTTTTTATTTAAAAAAAGTCTTCAACCTCTATTTTTAGTGCTTGTTCTGCTGTAGATTGATGTTTTTTAAAATTTTCCCATAAAAAATTGTAATTATTTGAATAAATATTAGATTTTGTTTGAAAATTGTTCATTTTTATATGTGAAAGATAAGGATTCTCTTCATCTTGTTTCTGCCTTTTGTTAATTCTTTTTTCCTCCATTTCTTGATTTTAAATTAAAAAATCTTAATCGATATTTAACATCTTTAATATATGAAATTTCAAAATAATTTGAATTTGGAGCAAAAGATAATAAAAAATTGTTTATAGATTTGTTTTTAAGTTTTTTACAATATATGATTCAAGTTTTTCAAAAAAAACGAGTTGAAATAGCATTGTTTTTAGACCAAACAGTAGAATGTAAGTGTATGACAAACAAGTATTTGATCTGAATAAATAGACACGAAATGTGGAAAAGAGTTTTTCTGTATGGAAAAATTGTTATTTTTTGCTGACCAGTCCTTAAAATTCCTTGCTAATATCAATGATTTTTTAAAGCAAATGAATCAAGAAGAGATTGAACATGTTTCATCTGGTATGAAAGATCGTAAAATAGTTTTACGTCTTTTTGAATGTGTTATGTCACTTTGTTTGAGCCTTTCTCAGCGATATACTTCAATTTTGGACCACGAGACACATGATATTATGTCTAAAACATTAGATCGTAATCCAATGAAGAATACGTTATGGAATAATGAGAAACTTATGATTAATAATAGTGGAATATTTGAACAAATGATTTGTGTTTTTGATAATATTTTGAAAAATGATGTATTTATGAATACTTTTAATATCAAAGAAAAAAGTGTTTTATGTATATTAAATATTTATGGAGAACTTGGATTTGGTCCTGCTAGTGAGAATAAAAATTGGCTTGAAAAGTTTTACAGTCTTTTAGAAAGGTAATAAGGATAATTTATTTTTCAAATATTTAGAAAAGTTAGTTTACCTTTAGATCTTTTATTAACTACTTTAATTAGACTAAATAACTCTAGATCTCCTGAAAAAATGAGACCTATCATTTGTAAAGAATTAGCAAAAATACCAACAAGAAAAAATGGTATTACAGCAATTGTTGAATTTATGAAAGCGTTGCCTGATGAAAATAAAATTACAGTTAATAATCTTGATAAAGTAGTATCCATAGTCACATTAATTCCTAAAGATACTAATAAAGAGGTTTCTACATATACATATTAGTTAAAGATAAAAGCTTACTGTGTTATAAGATATATATAAAAACAATTGCTTCTGAACTTTTATTAATGCTTGATCATTCATTTGAAAAATCATATTTATTTCAAACATCTGGAAGAATTATATCTATTTTATTATTGAATTATCCTGAGATGACTTATAGTTATATAATTTCCAAAATTGTTGATCCATTACATAGTCCTATACAAAACCAAAATGAAGAAACTATAGATATTGCTATTAAGCGAATTGAAAGGATTATTATTCAGCCAGATTCAAACATAATTATTAATATTATTTCACCTATATTTACTACTCTTTGGACTGCATCGTGTTTCTCGCATAAAACTCATAAATATATATGGAGAGATAGAATAAATTCTTTAATTTTAAGTTATATTGTTGTCTCTGATCAATTAGAATCTATATTTAAGATAATTGATAATTTTTTATATGTAGGTAATAATTTTTCTTTTGTAAATGGGGAGTATGGTGGAATTTCAATTGAAATTAATGATTTAGGTGTTGTTTTGTCGATAGAAGATATTGACTCTCGTATTGAAAATTTTAGTTTTTTGATTGAAAGACTTAGAAATGATTACAAATTAATTGAAAATATTTTTTTAAAATTGTTGAATCATTGGCTTAATAAAAATAAGAACTTAAAGCAAAATCAAGACCCATTAAATGAATTATCTTATCTTAAAATTTTAATGTTTATTCAAAATAACTATTTGCCAGAAATAAGAAAAAATACTGAAAAAGTCTTTCAAATTTTAATGGATGTTATATGCAATTTTAATGAAAATTATAAGTTATCTCAGAAAGATAATTTTATTGACTTTACCTCACCGTCTATTAACAATCTTCATAAACTGGTAGGAAATAATCTGGATTCAGAAATTACAGAAGAAGATGTTAATATTGTTATGATCTCATTAAATATTTTAAATGTAATTCTAGTTGATAATCCTAAGTTATCGGAAAAAGATATTTCTATATTAAACACAATTCATAATGAGTTGATGTATATGGCAGAAAACTCTATAGAATCTTTAAAAATATGTGCTAAAGATTTAAATATTCTGGTTAAATCATGTCTTATTTTTCCTGTTACATCAGACCAAAGTAAAAATTCTTTAACTGAAAATTTAAAAGAAAAATATAATAAGGCTATAAGATATATTTATGATCAGCTTGTTCCTATTCGTGCTCAAGGGATTTTGCTTTTAAAAGAAATAATAGAAACAAAAGATCCAATAATAGATGTTAATGAAGTGTTAAATATATTAATTGGATTATTAAAAGACGATGATAGTTTTGTTTATTTAAATGCAATAAGTTGTCTTTCTTGTTTAGCAAATAATCATGGAAATTATATAGTAAAACAATTATTAAATGAATATGCAAATGTTTCAAAATATAAATTAGATGAACGTATACGAATAGGCGATGTTCTTTTTAAAATAATACAGTATCTTGGAAAAATGATTAATAACAAAATTTCAGATTCTATTGCAACAACAATGCTTGATATATTAACATGTTCTACAAATGATATACGATTACGATCATCAGCACTTAATCTATTGGGAGCGGCATGTAACTATAGTTTTTATGGCATGGGACAATGGTGTTTCAGGGCACTCGAATCATCTATTGATATTTTAAATTTTGAGAAAACAGAAGAACATGTTATGATTAGAAGAGGTTCAGAATTTATCTGTTTTTAGTAATACACTAATGATAAAGCTGCCATTGTAACAATTGCAAACATTTTGCAAGCAACAGATGAAATTTCATTTATTCCAGGTCATTTATTGCGAACCATTTTAAAAACGATCCGTTATGTTCAAACAACAGATCAAGATATTTTAATACGGCGTCAAGCAACAGGACTTTTAGATGTTATGAAAGAAAAATTAGAACAAAAAATAGGTGTATATTCTTCGGACAGTATTTTAAATATTCTTGTTTAAATTTGACTATATTACACATACATTCGATATTGGTTTCAACTAAACGAAAAAGGCACTTGTTTAATTCTTGCTTGCCTTAATACAATCTGTATTTCCTGAGATCCAAAGAACATTATTGCATCTATACACAGAAGCCGTTAGGACTTGTCGAAATTTGCTTTTTTTACATTGTCATTACCGAATCAAAACTTCACCTAATTGACCTGTATTTTTTCCATCTACAAACTCTTCTGTATTGGCTAACTGGATATTCATATAGGAATCAGTGCTTTGCAAGAACCCTATGTATTCTTGCCCCCATTTAAGCTTGACAATCACTGTTTGTCCTGCTAACCCTTGCAAAAATGGTTTTGGATTAATAGGCATAAACTAAAGGGTTTTGGTTAAAAAAAAACATCTAAAACTTTTTAAAGATATACTCCTGTCATAGTTGTGCTTTATCTTTATGGATTTAATATGGATTGGCCTTTCTAAACTCTTTAACTCTATTTTCAAATTTTTGTCACCGCTTCACCGACAAGCGTTGGATAACGTTTATAAAAAGATTATGAGTAAAGATGTTTAATCTTGAAGAAATAGTGTATCAAATACTTCCAACACTCGAACAACCTTATCCTAGTGTGCTTTTGAATACTATAGATCAGTTGGTTCAATGGTCATATCAGAAAGAGATGATATTAAAGCCTAAAGAAGAGCCTGCACGGCTTCGACTGTGTGCACATGTTGCCTATGAGAGGTTAGGACATTAGGAGCATTTGACATATGTGTATGAATGGCTGAGGATACCAGATTATCGAAAAAATTGTCACTTCCAGCCTTATCTATGGAAAAACTTCCATTGCCAATAAAAAAATATGAGATTCTTTTAGATCGGTTTCGTCATGAATTACCAGAAAGATTAAAAAGAAAAGCATCTTGTGAGTTTGATGGAGATGATAAAGGTCTATCTTTATGTATAGAAATGATTTATGAGCTTTGCAATAAGATGAAGATTCAATTGCAAACAAAATATTTTGTAAATGCTTTAAAGGCATGTTACAGTAGGTATTCTGAAGTGCATCAAAAGAAAAAGCTTGCAGCTGTTGTATTTATACTAGTTTTACAGCGTTTACGAGGAGAACATATGATAAATCGGGAAGAAAAAGAACAAGTTTTATCACTGTTTGGTATACGTGATATGAAACAGGCAGAATTGAAGAGATGGAATGATTTAATCAAGCAAGATAGTATTGAATATGGATGGATGGATGCCATTTTTCAGGAAAAAAATGGTCAATTAATAGAAGTAGAACCAGCGACTGAGGCTGAGTCACAATCTCAGGCAATCAGTGGTGTAGGAATGATGGTATAATCTCTAATATATAACTAAGGTGCTAATACTTGAAAAAGATTTATCCTCAGGTTGATTTTTATGGAGATAAACATTATTCAGAATATTTGAAGTGGAAAGAAGATATTTTAGCAAAAGTATTGCTAAAAAAGTCAAAAAGTTAAACAGGTGAGCAGCAATGTAAATGTATTATCAAGTGGGTTTTTATTAAATTCATAAAAAGGATTCAAAAATTGCAAATCTTCTTACAATTCCAGGACCATATTCTTCATAATCTTTTTTTGTATAACAATATGATAAAAATTCAGGCTTCATAAGTACATTAAGATTATTAATTGCACAAAAGGAAACTTACCGCTTGTGATATTAAGCTTGCGCCGACAAAAACGGCGTTTCTTTGTTTTTTATGTGAAACGACATTTACTTCGAGTCCTCCACTTTTAGCATGCGAGTGTTCCTCACTTTTCTTAATACGGGCATCAACAATATGTTTAATATCTCTTTGCAATCGTCTGCCGAAATCTTTAAACATTGTTGATCCTCCAGAAAGAACAATATTCTAATAAACATTAAACAGTATTTTACATTTTTAACTAATATCAACCTTATACAAACCACGTCGAACATCAATAGGGGATCCTTGAATTACACTATCTACAACTTCAGGCAAAGGTGTTAGAAAGTCTGATGATGCTATTTCGGGATGAAAAAAAATTTCTGGCCCAAGAAATCTTTCGTATCCAACATCTATTACCACTTTTTTATCTAACGGTGATTCTACAATATATTTTCGGAACCTATCTGGTTCTTTATCATATCTATTAAATTCCTTAATCATATCGGAACATACATATGAATATTCTTCTTTGATTTTTTCTGCTATTTTTAAAGAGGTATCTGGTTCATTGCGATCGCGTAAAAGAGATTGAATAAAATATGTAATATCTCTTCCTGCAATAGGAATGTGTTTAAGTGCAGACCCAATAACATATCCATCCGCCTTTGAATTGTAAAAAAAAGCAATGAATAAGCTATTTAGCACATACAACAGGCGTTACATGTGTTACGCCATCTCCCGAATCAATTACCGTCCCTGTAAGAGATCGGCTATGGATTTTAGAAGAAGTCCATGAAGCAGCAAGTGCAAGAACAGCTTGAACTGCAATATAGAGACCAGAGCAATTAAATGACTCAAACATAATTTCTGCAGTGTGTTCTCTGTTTTCAGGAGGGTTAAGTGGGGGCTCTGTCTATAAAAATAAGGTAAAAAAAAAAAAAACTAATTATGTATACCAAAAGAAAATAATGATCTTCTGGTTCACATTTTAAATACTTGAAAATACTTTGCTGCCAAAATCGTTCCATATGGTCCCAGGCTTCAATTAACCCATGACGGATAGGATAACACAAACCATATTTCAATCCATTTGCATGTTCTAATGCTTCATTGCCAATGTAGAAATCAAGGTCTTCTGCTCCACGTCTACTTGAGAGACTTGTTAATGATGAATTTGTATTTAGGAAGGCAGATTTTGATGAAGAGACAGATCGTCCAGATCCCACTCCAGGTGTCTGTAAAGTTGTAATAACAGTAGGGAAAACATAAGAAGGTGATTCATTTCCAGAAAAACTGTGTTTTTATATTAAAAATAGTAGAAAATTAATTTATTATAGAACAAAAAAGATACCCTATTTTTGTCAATCCTGTTCCACTAAAAATGGTTATTTTAAATAGAAAAAAAAGGGAATTTTTAGAAAAAAGAAAAAAACATACTTGTCCATAATAACTACAGGAAATTCTGGTGCCATTTTTATAGAAAACACTCTTTTACGTTCTTTTTATGTAAAAATAAGAGAATAAAGCTGAATGTCTCGATATCGATTGTTAATTTTATAAATTTCTAAAAAAATATGTTTAAAAAATCTCTGAATTGACCTATTTTTTGGACTTTTTTACATAGGAAATGTATAAATATATATTCAAAATAATCATACTAATTATTTCTTTTTTTTCCAGGAAAAAAAATATAGGTTTTGTGGTTGTTCATATTGGAGCAGGAAGTCATACTAAAGTATATGAAAATCAATATAAAAAGCTTTGTAAGAGGTTTTTGATTATTTATTACGCTTTATTTCTTGTAATTTTATCTAAAGAGCTTGTAAAGAAGCTATGGAATGGGTTCAGTCAGGAGGAAAAGCGGTAGAAGCAGTAGAAAAGGCTATACGGTTATTAGAAACAAATGAATATACAAATGCAGGTTATGGTTCGAATTTGACATTGAATGGTGAAGTGGAATGTGATGCTTCAGTAATGGATGGTTTTTCTGGAAAATTGAGTGCAGTTGGTGCTCTTAAAAGTATAATTGATATGTAAGATTTGATGTTAATGATGTAGAAATAGAACATCCAATTTCAGTAGCAAAAGCCCTTCTTGATACACAAGATGATTTTTTATCTTTAAACAGGAATCAGCCTGTGTTAGTGTTTTAAATTTTTATTTATTTGTGATTTTGAAGGAAAATATAGAATTCTTGTTGGTGAAGGGGCTACATCATGGGCAATTCAATATGGAATATCAGAAGTGGATCCAGAAACACTTATTTCTCCGAAATCTCGTGCATTGTGGGAAAAATGGAAGAAAGAATTAGATGTTGCAAAGGTATTAAATATTGAGTCTATTTCGGACACGGTGGGTGCCATTGTTGTTGATAATAATGGTATTTTGGCAGCTGGATCGAGTTCTGGAGGGATTGCTATGAAGTATCCTGGAAGACTTGGACTGGCTGCTGTTCCAATAGCTGGAACATGGGTTGAAATGAATGAAGATGGAACAGGTGTAGCGGTTATATGTTCAGGTATTAAAATTATGATACTATATAGTTTCTAAAGACTAAAATAAGGTTCTGGGGAGCAAATTATTGCTACAGGTCTTGCGAGAAAATGTTGTGAAAGAATTCTTGTAGGTAAAGATTTATTAAAATCAACAAAAAATTGTATTGAGAAAGACTTTCTTTGTAAGCAACTATTATACTATGATTTTGTTTCTAACAACACAAAGCATCACGAGTAGTTCGAGGATGTATTCCTTTTGCTGGATTGGTTGTTGTAAAAACAGAATTATTAGAAGATAATCATTATGCAATACATTTTCTTTTTGCACATTGTACTCCATCAATGGTATATCTTGTATATTATTTTAGATGAATGCTCATGATTAAAAGGGAATTGGCTATATCTTTTCTAATGATACAGAGTCAAAAGTTGAAATTTCTGAAAATAAAAAATCTCCTAATTCATTTGTTTATTCCGGAAATTCGAAGTTGTTTATGTAATATTTTAAATTAGGTTTTTAAAGCATTAGAAGAATTGTTTATATTTTTTTGTAATATATTTTTATCAAATATGGTATCACATGTTAAGCATTTTGGATATACTACACAAAAAACTATAAATGTTAATAAAAATTATAAATAGTGTTTAAAAACTAACTTGACAAACATACAGAGCACACAAATCCTATGTCCAAAATTTTTTTATGGCAAAAGCAAGCTGCTCTAAAGTCTACATTAAGTTGAAATGGTAAAACAAGATGCTGACGGACTTTTTGATCCGGAAGAAAAATCATCTAAATAACAAATTAGAATATTTTTAGAAAAATAAAATTGCTTCAAAACAAGTAAATACTGTAAAAGACTTTTGGGTTTATCAAGGTGTAAATAAATGCCTTTGGTGGCATCTGATGCCTGTTGTAAAAATACTGTATCTCCTCCAATTTTACATACATCAATTGGAATTTTCTGCACAAATTACATAAACATCTACAAAAACTAGTATATACTTTTTTTTGTGCACCAAAAATACAGTTCATAATAGGTATATATTGAAATGTAATATCACTAGAGACCGATATAATAAGAATTCTCGCATTCAGCCTATTTTTACTAGCACTTTGCATAGCACGGTTTACATATGCCAGAGCCATACATAGAGATCCTCCAATCATTGTTGACGGCGTATCTTCATCTTGTTCATTTGCTTTATCAATTAATTTCTTAAGATTATCTTGAATTTGTTTATTCATAAGATAAAAGGGCCGATATATATTAGATTTTTGGAAATCTTTATCTTCTTTATTTTCTTCTACTGCTTTTTCATTATCTTTTGATGATACTTGGACAGAAGGATATAAATATTGCACAAAATTTGTATGAGATGCAAGAACAGCAAGATCGTTGTTTTGATTTGAAGAAAGATGTGCATTTAAAAATACAAGAAATTCCCTTATTGCCACATCAAATGGTATGTATTCTGATAGTGCATCCCATCCAAATGGGTTTGTATCAAGAATTACAACTAAAAGATTTGAAACATCATCTAAATTCATAAATATTCTTGAAAATAGAGAAAAAAAAATCAAAAAAAAGAAATTAGGTATAATCTTACCTTCTCCAATTTCATCTTGTAGTTTTTTGGTGTTTAATGTTTTGAATTTATCCATATTTTTACATTCAAATTTTTTTAAAAAATCAAAGAGTCAAGCTACGTTTTGAAATGTTATAAAAAAATAAATAAATAATACAAAGAAAAACTTATAAAATAATGGATTTTTTGAAAAAAAAATCTTGCATTTGTTTTTTTCTTGTTTTTTTGTTTTCTTTTTGTTTTTCTGCATCTAAAAATGACAAAAATTGGATGGACCAACATATGAAAAATGAACATCATATAGAATCTTATAATTGTGGTAGGTATACTTAAAACATGCAAAAAATATTTTTAAGTATGAGTATAGAGGATTTTTTCTATATTCATGGCTTCAGTTTTAATGGTTATTGGGTTGCAAAGGATTTTAGACGAATTTATGGGCTAGATAATGAAGATTTATCAGAAGATGATAAACAGCAACTGGAAACAAAACTTTTATATTATCTTGACAAAAACAATGATGGAATTGTTACTTTAAATGAGTTTAAAGAGTTTATAAATGAAGGAAATGTGTTGCCTGGTATAAAAATATATAATTATTATGATTTAAATAATGTATGGTTAGATTTGGGTTTTCAAGGACATCATGAAGATTTTGAGACAGAAGTGAGTTTTGTATGTGTGTTAGAATTTTTTTAATATAGTAGTTTGATATTCATTATATTGAAGTGCATTATAAGGACTTTAAAGATGGTCAATCGGATTGGAGTTACTCTGAATGTATTGAACATTTCAAAAAGCATCGTGAAATGTTTTACAAGGAAAATCTATTATTAGATCAGGAGAGAAAGGCCTTTAATGTATGAGTGAATATTACCTATACTTTTTGATAATAATTATAGACAATGAATGATATAAATATTATTATAATACCGGAAAAATATTTAAGAAGATAATGATTTTTGGATAAAAGCATTTATAGTTTTGGATGACTTGCATTGTATGACTTTTAGAGTATATAAAATCAATTTTTTTTTGTTTTTGGAATGCATGATAAGTCGACTACAATATGTAATGATTTTGGAGAGAATCGTTTAACCTTCTCTATGTGTTCTATTTTAACTTCCCATTGGTGTTTAAATAATTCTGTAAATTTTTCTTTAGATTTGTTTGTCCAACTGTATATTTCTTTATCACAAACTGCAGCATGAACATGAATCCATCCTCCTATTTCAGAATCGAGCATTTTTGTAGCAATAGGCCAAGAATCTTCACTACTTGGGAGCAAACCGAGATTAATATGTCTTATATTTTTGGTTTTTTCTGCTAATTGTTTATTTGCCAATTTATTAGTATTTTCAAACACGATTAATTGATCATCATAATTGTTATTTAAGTCATTGCTTTTTTTGTATGTAAATTTATTAAGCTGTGCACCTCTACATAAACCTTCTATGCTCCATGGATTTATTTCCCAGCAAAATACTTTTTTTGCTTTTGCTTTAAGGTAAGAAAACGCAAAATATCCAATGCCTGCATATAAATCTGCAATTATTGCATTTTTTACATCTGGGAATCTAAATATTCTGGCTTTTTCTTTTACTTTTCATATATTAGCAAGTAGTCGACAAATATTTACAAATTCATACTGTTTCCGCGTGAAAACCTTAGATGGTTAATATTAATGAAAGAATGTGAGTAATATACATTGTATACATTGGAGACCAGACTTGATAGATGCCATTTTGTTTTGTTGTCACCCAGAATGCCTCTTCAAAATCTTTTTTTGTTGGATTTTTTGATATTCTGGGTCCAAAGTCTCCATATAAAGGTACAAATGATACAGGAATTCTCATTGGATCATTTGGAGGAATTGTGGCATTCATTGCAATATGTGTAACTCCAATATATTTTGCAATGCCTTCGTAAAATGCTAATCTATCTAATGAATGGAGAGTTGAGAGAAATGTCCATTGAGAAGATGAAAATGCATTTTTTGGCAACAAGGCCATGTTTCCGTAGATTGTCCATCGTGTGGGTGTTCTGATGATGCATTTGTCTTCGTCTAATTTATATCTTGTAGATATTTTTTTTATAAAATCGTGTATAAATGTTTCTAGTTCATAGTGTTTGTTTTTTCTTTCTAATTTGTCTTCAACAATTAAAATATCAAGATCAGCAACATCACACTTTAGTTCTGGGAATATTTTTTGTATTTCTATATTTGTTTTTTGAAATTTTACTGATTTTTTCCTTAAAGTATGGATTATTCGTTTTTCAACATTATTTTTTTGTAATTCATTCTCTTTGATTCTGCAAATTCCTCTGAATTGATCATACAAATCACTTTTAATTAAGATATTCTTTATTTCTTGTATTTTTTGCTTTGGAACAATAATTGCATAATGCATTCCGTTTATTGAGTCTTTAGAAAACAAAATGAATACAATTTTGAATTTGATTCAAAGAATAACAAATTTTGAAATATCAAGAAACGAGAAATCGTAAGTTCTAATTATTTTTGTTATTTTTTTCTCTAAAAACAAGTATTTTTATAGATTTTTTGAAGAAATGGCTATATGTGAAAAGTGAATTTCTGTTGATTATAAAAAAAATATTTAAAATATTTAGAAAATTGGAAAACTTTCCTCATACACAGGATCTTTTTAAGACGTATTGGAATTTATATATTAAATATGATTGATATAAGATTAGCATGTGTTTTTTTTTGCAAAAAGTACTAGAAGTTGAGAAAATAGATGTAAAATATTGAAAAATATGAATATCTCTTTATTTAAGAGAATAGGAAATACATGAGAAGCTAAATATAATGAGAAGATCGATATCTTCTTCGAATTGTATTATAAAAAAAGTTCTTAATGAAATGGATCAATTACATGAATTACAAAAAAACATAGATAATTCTTTTTCTCAAGCAGGCAGTGAAAACGAACTATTATTGTATCTTTTTAATGTTAATAGAAGTGTTGTGGAAGAGTTTAAAGAATCTGGATAGTGCTGTTTCACAATTATTAAAAAAAAAAAGTATAAATGAATATGAAAAATGGAAATCTAGTATTCAAAGCGATTTTGATGTATATAAAAAGATGAAACTGTGCTTCCTTTTAAATATTTATTATATTCTTATATTAGATAGTGATGAATTAGAGAAAAAGAAATTGGATTATGATATACAATTGAGAAAATTTGTCCAAGAAAGAATACAGTTCAAAAATATGGAATTAGGGTCTTTATGTTTAAGAAAAAAAGATAAAATTTCTAAAGATTTGGAAGAAGAGCTTGGAAATATAGAGCTTCCTATAATATCAAGCGATCTGGAATCCTTTTTTGAAGAAATTGAAGAATTAGATACAACAAATGTAAGTTGGAGGACTATGGTCCCTACTTATCATTAATATTAACGTTTATAAGTTGATAATATCGGAAAAAGATAGTCAGAAGAAATATAATGCAATAATTGATATTATAGAAGATGAAGATTTTAATCTGCCAGAGTGAACTTAAATGATATTTTAAATACATGTTGGGATTACATGTATTATATATTATATATATATTCTTCTTTTATTCACTAATATAATTTACCTTTTTCAATTTTTGAATGATTTGATAGGACAGATCAATGATTTCTTTATTTTTGGTTTTTTTAATAATTCTGGATAAACTTTCAGCAATATTTAATTCTTTAAATATAGGCATGTTTTTAGAATCCATTAAGTGTATTATATTCTCTATACATACTAGTCCGCGATGTATCAAATCATCTGTTTCTTCATTTACCATATCTAATATAATTTTAATTGCTTCTTTTTTTTCTAACATTGCTTCACAAATAGATATATTATTAGACAAAATTGCTAAAGCTCCTCCTGCAGCAATACGAGTTTTTTTATCAGGTGAATCTGCTAATGCTAATAAAATATGAATTCTTTGTTTTCTTTTCTTGCTAAATATTGTTATGCCAGATGGACATGCAACTAGATTACACAATAATTCAACAGCTGATCTTTGAATTAATTGATTATCTGAAAGCCATAGCCATTCAATCATAGGCCAGAGAATAGAAATAAACTTTTCTCTGACTTCTATATTTAAAGAAGTTAAATTAGTGAGCGCAAGAAGACATTCAAATTGAACCAATAGGTTATTATTTTCAGATACTTTTAAACATTCATATATATATATTACAATATCATCGACTTGAAATCTTGATCTATCAAATACCGAATTTGGATTGATAGTAATTAGCATTTTTGCAAGTGAAACTATTGCAGGATATTGGAAATTAGTTTCCGAATCTTCGACTGTTAATGCTTTTATTTGAGAATCTTTTATTATATTATAAAGAATTCGAATAACACCTTGCTCCGCAAGAAGAAAACGGTGTTTAGGTTTTGTTGCAAGTGACAGTATAATCTTTGAGCAGAATGTTTTTATGCTATCTAATTTACATGATAATGTCGAATTAAGAATTATTAATATTTGATGATTTATTATTTTTAAACAGCGTTCTGAGACTTTTTCATCTGATTCTAGATTATCTTCATGGACTGTTAAATGTTCTTGTAATATATTTTTGAGCTTGATTATCTGTTCTTGTTCTTCAGTTAATTTAGGTTTGTAACTTACGATATTTTTAATACATACAAGAGTTGAAAAAATAAAGCTAATATCATCTGATTCTTCTTTAATTCTTTTGGAAATAGCCATGAATAACCTTTCTTTTGAAACTATGTATTCTTTTACGTGAGAGAACATAGAAAGGTAGGTTAAACCTTCAATAAATGAAACACTTACATTAATATAATCTTGAGAAATTATAGAAACAATATTTTTAGTTAGATTTAATATATTTTCTTTAGATAAATTATTAGTATTTTCTTTTTTATTAATTTGATATGTTAATTTTATCATAATAATTTCAGATAAAGAATTGATTTTGATATTTTTCTCTTTTCTTAAATCATTTAAAGTCGGAATAAACATTTCTAGTAGCTTTTCCCGGCAATTAGAATTAATACAAGAGGATGAAATCATTTGTAAAAAAAATAGATTTACTTCGTCATCATTTTGAATATCTGCACATAATTCCTCTAAAAATCCATTTTTTAAAAAGAGAGATCCTGCAATTGATGAATCAAGTGCGAAAATATGAATATAAATTGAATATATTTCAATCAATTTTTTATTTGTATTCTCTTTTAAGCATTCAAGTATATAATCAAAGATACGATCTTGCAAAAACTGTTCTGTAATAATATCTTTTTTTTTGATTAGTTTCGAAATTATTAATGAAGACAATTTTCTGATTTCTTTACCATTTCTTAGATCAAATAAGCTAAGTACACTACATAAAGAATAAGAATTACAAAAAATTTGAAAAATAGTATCTTCTAAAGAAAAAATATTAGAAATGTTTTTTAATAACAACATTTGTCTTTCTTTTCCTGATTCTTTTATTTCATTACTGATATCATTAAAGAATTTCAATAAAAAAAATTCCCATGTTTTTGTAGATGACCATAAGTTTTTTTTACAAAAAATTAAAAATAATGTTTCAACAATAGTATCAGGAACTTTTGATAGAAATGTTGCATCGAATGTATTATTATTTACATAATCAATCATTGATTTAGATGCTAAATCTGATAAAGAACAGAGCATAAGAATAAGACGTCCAGTAAGAGAAAAATGTAAATCATATAGAGATTTTGAAAACCCTTCCATCAAATCATATATTCCATTCCCATTAATGAAATTTTTAATCTGCAAATCCTGATTAGGTCCTAAAAAACAACTAAATACTTCTTGTTCGTCACTTTTTTTTGAGTTATCTAGTAATATAGCCTTAATATAGTCATTAGAAAATATTCCTATTCCTTGAAACTGCATTTTTAGCGTATTCAATGAAGATCTAACATCTTCATTTTGAGGAGATATATGAAAAGCTTCAAGAAGTGTGTTTAGTGCTGTATCTATTTTTTTTAATTTAATACATAATCTGGATTTTTTAACAAGAAGATTTACTTTTTCTTCAGGGTTTATGCTATTTTTTATATCTAAATAAAAATCAATTAGTTATTATACTGATAACTGCTGGTTTTTACCTTGGTTAATTTCTTCTAATAATAGTTGTTCAGACATTTAATCCAAATAAAAATTAAGAGCTTTAGAATAATAATTTTAGAATTTTTCTTTCTAATTGGTTTATAAACAATATATTATATAAAAATATATTGATCAAATATTTCAAAAAATATAAAACTTGAGATTTTTGCCAAAATGAGTTCAAATAAATTCAGATAAATTAAATTAATCCTTTATAATATTCTAAAATTCAAATAAGTCGAAAGGTTTGTTATTAAATCATTTAATTTTGTAAAATCAAAATGATATCAATATACTGTATTTATAAATAAAAAACAAGAAAAATATTAGTAGTTAATAAAAGGATTTTTCCAACTATTTGAAGGTTATTTTTTCTTTTTATTTTTCTTACAAACACTATGATTTCATGTTTTTTATATTTCTTGATATTTTAGTGTTTTTGAAATTTAACTACGATATTAAGATTTTTGAAGACTAATTTCTTATTTTTAAGGGCAATTTTTCAAAATATTTTCTGAAATAACTGTATAGTTTTCTATTTTATATGTGTTTTTCTTATTAATCATCTTTTATTTTCTAAGAATTTATGACAATTTATTAAAAACCTATTAAGAAATGTTTTCTGTTAACATTGGTATTCCTAGGTTATTTATCTTAAAACAGGTTTCAAGAAGAGCTTTTATATTTAAATTTCGTTTTTTTTCTTCATTTTTTGCTTTGAATAAAGAAAAAGATAAATATTTGAAAGAACCACTTTCTGATATAGATAAAAAGGTGTTTTCAGAGATTGAAGCTCTTGAATTTTCAGACTTGAAAGGACAAAAACCTCGGAAAACACAGCTGAATATTTCATATCCAACGGATTTTCTTTATAAACATCCAGTTTTTGATGAAAAACCCGAATTACAGAGAACAAAAAATGATACATTGGATTCATCTGAACTATTAAAAGAATCTTATAGTACTGACGTCTCTCTTTATATCCCAGAGATTTCTAAAACGGATGCTTTAAGATCGAATGAAAATGATATTGAATATTTATCTATGATTACAGGGATTCCTTCCATGGAAATTAAGAACTTTAAGCAAAGAACTCTTGTAGTACGAAGAGTTGTAAATCAGACAAGAAAAGGGAAAATTCCTTCTATGTACGCACTAGTAATAGTAGGCAATGAAAATGGAATGATAGGTATGGGGGAAGGAAAAGGTCGTACGTTACGTCTAGCAGCAAAAAAAGCATATTCAAGAGCTGTTAAGAATATGCAATATATACCTCGTTATGAAGATCGAACAATCTATGGAAATGTGGCGTATAAGTTTCATGCAGTACATTTGGAATTGAGGTCTCGTCCATATGGTAAATTTTATTATTATGGAAAGGGCTGTTCTGAAACACATAGGTTTTGGTTTGCGTGCGAATCATTATGTTCATGAAATATGTCGTTATGTGGGTATAAAAGACATCTCTGCAAAAGTGAGGGGTTCACGTACAGGAATGAACGTAGTTAAAGCTACTTTTGAAGCATTGAAAACTCAAGTTCTACCGCAGGATATTGCAAGAGCTCGAGGGAAAAAAGTGGTTGATGTTATACATACATATTACTCTTAGTTTTTTTTTACGCAGCACATGTTAGTGTATTATATAGCATTAGTCTTTTTCTTTAGCAAGTGGGTTTGCATGAATCGTAACACTTTTTATCCGTGTTTCTTTTAAAGGTCTGTATTTCGAATCAACCTCTAATTTCTCTAACATATCAAGTGTAGTATTCGCACCGTCAATTACTCTTTTTGTTTGAGGACATATGTATGAAATACAAGGCCTTTGTTACCTGCCGAATACTGTATATTTTCCATCCAGATGTTGATGTTTAAAATATGTTATGAAAAATTGGCTTCCATTTGTATTTGGACCAGAATTTGCCATTGATACTATGCCTCTACTATTATGCTGAAACTGTTAGTTGTTAGTTTGGATACTTTAATATTCTACTTTTAAGGATGAATCAAATTCATCCGGAAAATGTTTTCCATAGATAGACATCCCATTTTTTCCTGTTCCTGTAGGGTCTCCCATCTAATTTTCCCAGAAATATTGATATTTATGTATTTTTTTTGTCTAATTTACCTGAACAATAAACCCTTTAATATTTCTATGAATTAAACAATTATTATAGTATCCACTTGCACAAAGTGCCAAAAAGTTCTATTTCCCATCAATATACTGATGAAAACTCACTGTATTTCTTGGCTACATATGCAGTTTGAGGCACCAATTCACAGAATACTTCGATTTTGATATCACCTACATCTGTATGTAGTGTAATACTCTAAAATATGTCAATCAAAAAAGACATACTGGGTAATTATGTTCCATTTTTTCATTTAAAGCAAAAAAATATAATGAAATATCATGTTATTTATGTTTTTTGCTTGTTTATCTTTTTTTTGTAGTTGGATATAGGGTTCGTCAGTAAAGTTTCGACAAAGATTAATAACTGAGTGTTTTTATGAAGTATAAAAATACACAATTTTACAATGAGTGGACGTCTTATATTTGAAAAACAGCGGGAAGCTTTAATTGCCCAAGTGGCACAGGTAATTTTTTTTTTTGGTGAAAAAAACTAATAAATACAGAGTATGGAGCAGATAATAACGAATTTGAATATTTTAAACAGAAATATGGAGAGTTTTATTTCAGTATCCGTTTTTTTCGGGTCATTTTTTCTCGAAAATTAATGAAGATAGGTTGGAAAAGAGTTTGAGAGTGTATCTACATTATGGAAGATGTTTCATGATGTATTATCAAAAGAAGAACCATATTCTTTGTCTGAAGAGACTCAAGAAGCAGGACAGAATGAAGAAGCACAGACATGATGGAATAAATTGATCTTTGATTTATTTTTATAGTAATTCTATTTAATAAAAAATTATGTAAAAATTTCAATATAAATCATAATTTCCAATATAACCCATATATTTCATAATTTACAAGATTTGGCAAATGCTTTTGCGTAATTTTCGGAACCGCTTGCGGCCTATAGCTAAAGAAATTGCAAGATTAAAAACTTCTTTGACGCCAACGTTTTCTTTTGAAGAACATTCCATATACTGTGCTTTGATTTCATCCGCCACTGCAACAGCCTGTTGTGTGTTAATGGCATGCAAATATCGCTAAACAAAATGAAAGGAGACGACCTGCTGATATGTAACAGGGAAGAGGCCTTGTGCTCTCAAAAGTCTAATTGCATTTTGGTTTCTCCTTAAATCAGATTTTAAGCCAACAAGGACAATAGGTATATCCGGGCAGAAATGTGTGACTTCGGGATACCACTAACAATCCGTATCAATTTCACAATCCCTCACAAATAAACCAACTGATTACCTTATCTGTGACATTTTCCAGGCTTGGAGGATAATCAATTGCAAAACAAATCAAAATAACGTCGCTTTCTGGGTAGCTTAGCGGCCGAAGCCTATCATATTCTTCTTGTCCCGCTGTATCCCACAAAGCCAACTCTACAATCTTATTGCTTGATCCATAGTATACATTTGCAATATAGTTCTCAAAAACTTGCCATTGCGTCAATCTGATCTCTTCTTTTTAATAATAATCACTCCTCACCTGTCGGAACATATTTCTATTATTACTTGGTTATTTTTTTCCAATTAAACCAGAAAAAAAACCTCTGGAAATGATCCTTGGCTATATACAATCAGTAAACATGTTTTCCCGCATCCTCCGTCTCCAACGGCCACTAATTTCTTGATAAAATCTGGTCTTGGATGAAGCTTTGTTTCTTGAAATTCATCCATTTTTACTCGTTTTTTTTCCCGGAAAAAATGCTTTCTACAAATATCACTTGTCTACGTTTTTTTTCTTATTATTATCTCTAGAAATTCCCCCTAATTCCTCTTAAATGACTCTTTTCTTTTTTTCTTGTCGTTGAGACGTTTCCCGTTACACTCTTCGTTACGTCTGCGTCTGCTTTATATTGTGTGTATCACTCACCGTTATATAATGAATAACTGCTGATGAAGGTAAAGTTTAATTTTTTCATGAATGACGTGATTTTTTGATGATTTTCTAATGATTACTTAAGATTGCAATTGAAGGATGTTGTCACAGTGAGCTTGATGCGATTTATGCAGCAGTTCGTCGTGTAGAAGAAGAAACATCTGAACATATTGATTTGCTGCTTATTGCAGGCGATTTTCAGGTAATATTGCAGGAAAAAGTAGGTTTTCTGAGTGCAAAGAGGCTGTCCGTAATTCAGAGGACCTGAAATGTCTGTCTGTTCCTGAAAAATATCGAAAATTGGGTGATTTTTCATCATATTATTCTGGTGCAAAGAAAGCACCTGTTTTGACGGTTTTTGTCGGTGGAAACCATGAAGCAAGCAATTATATGTGGGAATTGTAAGCTGTCTCTTGACGACATGTCTTTTGTTTTCCTTTTAACCGTAAAAACAAAGATATTATGGTGGATGGGTTTGTCCGAACATATACTATATGGGCGCAGCAAATGTCATTAATATAGGTGGATTGAGGATTGCAGGACTATCAGGGATTTACAAGGAAAAAGATTATGCAAAGGGTTGGGGAGCAGTATATTTAGGAAAAAATCAAGTGATAGTATTATATAGGACATTTCGAAAGAGTGCCGTACAATGCAATGACATTGAGGAGTGTCTATCATGTCCGGGAATTTGAAGTTTCGAAGTTACTGAATATACCACGAACAAAACCTATTGATATTTTTTTATCACATGATTGGCCTCGAGGAATTGAGAAATATGGAGATTGTCAGAGATTGTTATCGAAGAAGCCGTTTTTTTTTAGTGATATACAGAAGAATTGTTTAGGATCTGAGCCTAATGAGCGTTTGATGAACCAGTTGCAGCCGAGGTATTGGTTTGCTGCGCATCTGCATGTAAAGTTTGAGGCGGTGAAAATACACAATATAAAAGATGAAGGTTGGAAGGAGAGTGGGGTGGAAGAGACTGCAAAAAATCCAGATGAAATAGATCTGAGTGATGATACTATGAGTGAAACTGGTTGTGATCCTATAGATGTATCAAATACTTTAAATGACGAGAAAGACACTGTGAAAGCTACACGGTTTTTAGCACTCGATAAATGTTTGCCCGGTCGTTGTTTTTTGGAGATTTTTGATATTCCAGCGCTACCTGATAACACCAATGAAAAATTAAAACTTTCGTACGATATAGATTGGTTGGCACTTTGCAGAGTATTTCACCCATATTTCTCAGTCGAGTATCACCAGACCCCTCTCCCTCAAGATGAAGTATCTTTGGCAAGGTGAGCTTGATTGCAAGCTGTCTAACATGCTTACTTTTTATTCATTTCCTCTTTAACTGTGACTAGGGAAATAGAAAAAGAAAAAGAATGGGTTCAAGAGCATATTGTTCGCCCATATGGATTGGAAATATCTCCGCATTTTGAGCACACTGCTCCCATTGAAGGATCTGACTTTTCAAAAGAATGTTTACGTATGAAAGCTTACTTTTTATTCGATATAAATTTACTTCAATATAGCACTTTTGTACAATAACCCCCAGACACAGGCTTTTTGCAATATGTTGGGTATCAATAATAAAATATATCCATATTAAAGCATAAAATCATCCAAAGATAACTCCTTTTCCTTTCTAGAGGCATCTTCTTGTATCATTCTATCTAGCATGCCTTGTAATCCGCCTAAACGTAATTTTTTTCTTCTCCGACTGGCCATGTTTTGTTCCGCTCGTGTTTTAGGACCTTTTGAAACATTTAAAAAAGATGGAGATGATTCGTTTGAACATTGTAGTTTAGATATGACATGCTTTTCGCGCTGAAATCGAAAGATTCGATGACATCTTTGACAGCAATATTGCACCCAATAATTTAGCTGGGGCGGGGGTTGTTTTGCTCGAATAGCTTTTTTTTGGCGCCAATATCGTTTTGCAGAACTACGCTGCAAACGTATTGAACATGTCCATCCTGGAACCCAAACTGTACCGCACGATGGACACGCCGATGTTGTTAGAACATCCGGTAACGTCACTTCGTAATGACGAGCCCGTTCATGAAAAACTGACATAAAATATGCGGATAATTCAAACGACGAAAGCAGTGCTGTATGAGATAAATACCAAAAATGTGAAAGTTCTGTTGAACAATTGGCATTTGTTTGATCTATCATTTGAAAATTTCAACAAAACATATAATATTTAACAAAACACGGAAATTTAAGAATATACACATATATCGATTGATACGGGTTCTATCGAGCCTAAAAAATATCTCCACTCAAGATTAGTATAGTATTCTGCCTAATAAAAAAGATACAACAAATGATAACTTAACTGGAGAAAATAAATAAAAAAGACACTTTTTTGTGTCTAAACATTGTTCCAAAAATATTTGCTTATCTTTCATTGCAAAAAATATATATCATATTGCAGCAGCGTGTATTCCGTTTAACCCATAGACAGACAAGCACGAAACTTTGATCACACCAAAAAGGTGGTCCCGCCTAGAGAAACGGGTGATACAACACTTACCCGCTAATATATTTTTTGCTCAAGAAAAGCTTTTTTACAATAAAACCACCCGTTATTCAGACCCATCCGTGTGTATCGGCAAATCTCAAGTGAACCTTTGTTTAAGATGATATTTCATCCTGCGGACAAACGGACTTCACAAAAAAACCGCTGCCAACTTATGGCTTCTTTGTGGCTTCTTTACTATTGTAAAGTTGAGCCTATCGTGGAATGTTTTGCATTCAATGCCAAACAAAACCTGTTGTATATGCATTGGATAACGCATTACAACGTCTGTTTTGTCTGTTTCCGAGTGTATACTTTGAAAGATGCATTAAGCAGATAAAGTTCACTGAAACAGCTTTAAAAACAGTTTTAAGAGAATACCGTGCCGTGTGCTGCTCCATTGACTCCATACAGTGTATACAACGTGCATATACCGCGCATATACTACGCATATACTGCATGCATATAGTGTACATGCATATAAAGCGCATATAGCACGCATATACACACAAATACACACAAATATACATATAAAATGCATATACAATATATATAATGCATATAATTTCCTTAATAGACACATAATCCGCGTAGCTTTGGCTTCTGCCATTGGCTTATCGGTTTGGTGTATACTATGAAGCGGTGCTTTAATGCTCCGGTTTTTCACTTTGTTAATGGCATTTTACACGACTAAACATTTAGGGTTAAGTTCCGGCAAATACTTAAAGCAATTGCCGAGAAACTGTAGGAAATTTGCTCTGTTTGCTGATGTGTCTGTTGCATGTTAGTGGTTGTCGATAAAAGGGTGAAACCCTCGTAATATATTGTTATCGGAGAGTCTGGAGAAGCAGGAAAATAGCATGAAATAGTAGTAGAAAGGCTTTATGGGATGAGATGCTGAAGAATGTGTGTTTAATTTGTATATATGTACGGATTTGTGTATATTTTGTATATTACATGCATCATATGTATTATATGTATTATATGTATTATATATTATACATTGTACGTATTATATATTATACGTATTATATGTATTATATATATTATACGTATTATATGTATTATATGTATTATATGTATTATATGTGCATTGTATGCGTGCTGTATGCGTGTGGCAATGCAGTGGGTTGCCATAGTGTTGCTATGAGGTTGCCATGGTATTGCTATGGAGCTGATGTGTACATTGCATTCTATATGCACTTTCATTTGTGATAAATGAGACGTATAAATAGTATAAAAGCTGGTTTTCCCCCGCGTGGCATGTAGAAAATACATATTAAGTGCATGAAAGAGCACTGTTTGTAATGAAAGGTGTTTTGGAGGTTTTAGGGGGGTTTTGAGGCTTTTAGAATGGAATAATAGAGTGTTTTTTTGTTACAAATGATTATAGATTTCGTAGAGTTTTCTTGTTTTTTACCGGGTCTTTAGCGGTTTCAAGCGGTGAAATAACTGATTTAGTGCGATAAATGAGCGGATATCACTTTATTCGGCCTGTATTTTATTGATTGATTGATATTTTTTGAAGATAGTGAAAAAATAGGCATTATTTGTTTTTGTATGTTTTATATTGTGCAATTGAGAGGGAAATAGTGGCTTTTGTTTTTTTGTGTTGGGATTTTGGGGTTTTTCTGTAAAAAAACGTAGGAATACTTGAAAGCAGTTGTTTGAACGTTGTTTTGTTGCTAAGATGTCGGAAAAACGATTGGCAATAGGGTTAGAATGTGATTCGATTTCTGAGAGACTTCAAGCATTCCAGGATGGATATGATTTTATTGCACTTGACATCTTAAATGAGAAGTTGCAAGAACGATGTTTTGAAGAATATTCTGGTCTTACCGATGAAGACGTACGTATTCGGCTAGAGGGTATGTCTGGTTTTTTTTTTTTCTTTTTTGGTAAAAAGAAGTATTGGCTTATAATTGGAAAGATGTTTTATGTGTGTTTGCGTTTGCCTCACCTTGGATTGAGATAGACTCACTGAATCAGCAAGTAGCAGATAGGTCTATTCAGGTATGAATGAAAAGGATGAAAATTTGTTGATAATATTTACGTTTTATTAGATTTTATGTGATGAAGTTCAATATGTCTCTTATATTGGAATTTCAGATTTCATTTTACCTCCGTTAACGCAGAAAACAAAGATTCCTCAATATGCTCGAATCATTAATCATTTGCTTTCGCTTTCTGCTTATCTACGTTTTTATGTTTTTTTCCCTATAGAAGATGATTTAACTGATTCATCGGTATTATGGGATATTTGGAATGTTATTCGTATATCCTGTGATTATAATAATAGATTGTTTTTAGGTATGCTAAAAATTTTGGATTCTAATTTGTATATATTTAATATTTATCTATAGCTTTTAAAATTCAACATAAACTTCCCAAACCGATTGCTACTTCACGTTGGTTTTCTGAGCCTGTTGGTCTTTTGATTATTAGTTCTGATATTTTTGTTTTTAATTCTAAGGGTTATCCTGTTCTTTCTAAAGAACATCAGGCTTTTTATACTATGTTTTCTAAAGTACACAATTTGCTAATGTTAATTTTATGTTAATTCTATTTAGTTAAAACCTAGCATTCTTCTACGTATATCTAATGAGATACATGCAAATAATAATCCTTTGGTTTATCTTGAATATTTAAAACATTTAGAACAAAATATGAAACCGATTACTGCAATTGAAAAGTTTGCTGATGGCTATCAAGATTATTTACAGATTCCTCTTCAGGTGAATAATTTATTTGTTTTTATTTTTTATTGAAAGCTATTGTTTTAGCCTTTGGCTGATAATCTTGAAAGCTTAACTTATGGAGTTTTCGAAAAAGACTCTGTAAAATATAATTTGTATGAATCTGCTATTTACCGTGCTCTTATGGATCGTCCTAAATTGAATAGACCAACGTTTGTTGTGTGAATAAATTTTATATAAACTAATGTTTGTAATAGATATCTTGCTGTTGTTGGTGCTGGAAGAGGTCCACTTATATCACTATCTCTAAAAGCATCTGATCGTGCTAATCATAAAATTGTTCTTTATGCAATTGAAAAGAATCCAAATGCATTTGTAACGTATATTTTTATGTATTTATTTTTTAAGATTTTAACTTTTAAAAGACTACAATATCGAAATCGGCATGAATGGGATAATGCTATACATTTAGTTAATATAGATATGCGATTATGGAACCCACCTGTTTTAATTGATATTATTATTAGCGAATTACTGGGGAGTTTGGGAGATAATGAACTTTGCCCAGAATGTCTTGACGGCGTTCAAAGACTTTTAAACCGTATATTTTATTTTTATTATAGGTATATTATTGATATTAAAAAAGCAAATGGTGGAATTTTTATTCCATCTTCTTATACTTCATATATTACTCCTCTTATGACTCCAAAGTTATATGGGAATATATTACGGATGAAAGAACGTTCTGCATTTGAATCGTTTTATGTCATATGGCTACATTCTATGCATTATTTAGCTCAAGATGATGAAAATAGGTTCCAAGTATTATGGAAATTTAGTCATCCTAATTCAAATTATTCTGATCGTGGAAAAAGCTCTAATTTGCATAATAAAAGACAATCCAAAAATACATTTAATATATCCTCTAAGGGTATGTTACATGGATTTGCTGGATACTTTGAAGCAGTTCTTTATGATGATATTGAATTATCTACTCGACCGGATATGATTGATATTAAGTCAAAAGATATGATTTCATGGTTTGCTTCTGTATTTTGTTTGTTTCTTAAATAACGTTATCAAGGTTTCCTGCTTTTTTCCCTTTAAAGGTATATTTTGAAAGAACTTTGAAGCATAATTAAATTCATAGACTCCATTTTATATTCCTCCAAATTCACAAATAGATCTTTATTTTTGGCGCCAAACAGATTCAAAAAAGGTTTGGTATGAATGGTTAACTGAAATATATTTGGATCTTTCAAAAATAAAAAATAATGAAGTTATACATAACTCTGACCGTGTTAAAATTGCGATAAGTGAACTTCACAATTACAATGCCTCTTTTTTTAGTATTAGTTTATCTTAATGATAAGGTATTAATATTTAATGTCTTCTATCTCTAAATATCGAGACCGATTCTGTTAATCTCAATAATTAACTTTAACACGTTTTAACAGAATATTTATTAATTCAATAGAAGAAAGGATTGGTTTAATATAAGTTTCAGATAATAACATGAATATTTTTATTATTGTTGTAATTTTTGAGTTTCGCGTATATTTTTTTAGTATTGATAATTTTTATAGTGACGTTAATTGATTGATTATGAGTACTTTTTTATGTAAAAAAGGAACATGTGTTGCAGATTCAGAAGGGGAAGATGATTTTTTTTCTTCAGAAGCAGTTTTATTTAAAAATGGTCTTATTTTTGGTTTTTTTGCAAATAATTTCAGATTTAATATGACTTAGTTGATACGCATATATCCCAAGAAAAAATGCATTGTGAGAAGACTGATACTATGAGCAGTATTGTTGCTTTAGAATCTTCAGATAATCCTATTATTAGTTATGAAACGTCTATTTTAATTCTGGAAGAATCTAAAAAAGATATGGAAAATAAAGGTCATAGTTTTTTGAAGGAAAAAAATCTAGAAAATGATAATTCTAAAGATAGTTCTTTTTTATCTAACAGCAATTGTAATTCAAACGTGAATATTCAGCGTGATTTGCCTCCCATAATGAATGCAGATGGTAGTGATGATGAAATACAGTTATTACCATTGCTTAAACAAAGCAATATTGGTGTATTTGAGACGACAGGGGATGGGTCTGCGATTGATTGCAGAGAAGAAGCAACTCCATGCAAAAATATGCAAGTGTTTCAATTATCTCAACAAGAAAAGTCGGAAATTAAGTTGCTTTCTCTCGCTGCGTGTATTGATACGAATCCTTTACAAATGAACGAATGCAAGTCTGAAAGCAATGGGAATGGTTCTGTTTTTCCTAATGATATTGAATTCACTGCTGGTTTAAAAGATGATGTATTTCGAAAGAAGGGGAAGAAAATGAAAAGAAGTAAAACCACAAAAGATGATTTGAAAAAAGGAGGAAAAGTAAAAAGATATTCTTCTCTCGGATCTTATCATGATTATATGAATATTGTGGGCAATACTTCACCTATACAACAAGAATTTGGGAATGGTTTTTCTGAGACAGCTTTTTCCAAAGATGCTTTAAAGTTAAATAGATGTTTATCGTCTAAAGATAGTGATCAACATCCTCTATATTCTTACGGAAATGATTATTGTTCTGTTAACCATAATGCTTTGCTAGATGGCAGTTTTTCAAGAATTGTTCCGAATGATTCCGAGACGCATGAATTTAACGCGTTACAGTTAACAAATTATCAAGAAAATAGTCAACTAAATGTTGATGGGAGTCTAAAGACACCTGAATCCTGTAAGCAGGACTCCGAAGTTTTAAAGATGAAAGCATGTTTTTCAGTATCTAGAACAGCAGAAATAGTGGAGAAAGTTCTAGATAATGTAGACGTCAATACATTGCAACTAGAAAATGGCGAAAACATTGTTTTAGAATCTAAAAGTCAGCAATTAACTCCACCCATGGAAACACTTAATACGATAGATATTCCGCTTACTCCAGCTGCAACACCTTCCGCATTAAAAGAATCTGTACGGAAATCTACTATGACAAAGCCATATTATCGTGTTGGGCTTTCAAAAAAAGCAAAAATAGAATCTTTGCACTCTTATCTTAAAAAATAAATATTATACTTGTAAATTTAACGAGAATATGTATTTTAAATTGAGGATACACATATGTATTTATGCTCTTCTTATTTCCCATTTAATGTTCGTAATAGATACTTCAGTCTGGCTCTAAATATGTTAATTAATTTTAAAAGTTTTTTTTACTAACTTTTTCATCATAGTCATACCATTCGCCTTCATTTAAGTTTATTTCATGAAATGGGGTTCCTGATTCAAAACCTTTGCAGGACCATTCACCCTGATTAGTATGAAATAAAGAAAATTTAAAGTCTAATACTAACATCTGGATAAAATTCTATAAATTCACAGCCTCTGCATTCAAATGAAATAATATGGGATATAGAAGGTGACATTTCAAACATATACTCAGACATTTCTCCTTCAATGTCTAAATCTTTTACAATAATGTCTTTTTTTATGGATAAACTGACTGGCAGAATTTTCTCTCTGAACAAAAGAGTTAAAATGAAAGAAATGGATGATTTAAAGAAAATACTTGGCAATATCGACATTTCCAAACAAATGATGCTTTTCCACGACTGTGCGGGATTTCAACAGTTTCACTACGAGATAATTTTACCAGATTAGAATGCTATTAAAGATATTAATCTATGATAATGAAAAAGAACAAAACTAACTGTTTCTCTGCATGAAGTACATTGAACCTTAAATGTATAATAATAATTGAAAGGATCAGATGGGGCTAATGATGTAACGTTATCAAGTGTTGCTGAAATAAAAAGTCCTAAAATGACCATTCTATTACTAAACCAGTTTTAAAGATACACGATCGTTATAAAAAAATTGTTTTAAAGTATATGGTTTTGCAGGTTGCTTAAAACTATAGAATTGAAAATTTTACTATATTACTATATTTCCTGTTGAATGGTTTATTTAAATGTGTTTATTTTAATATATGAAATGGATAAAATAATGTATTTAAACAATAGTATTAATTTTTTCTTCTAGTATTACAGTATATCTTAATAAATTACTTTTATAATACATAAATACAATTCTAAATAATCTGTATATATTTAGAGTTAATTGAATTTATAATTTATGAATATCGAAGTTAATTTTTATAATTTGAGATTAAATGAAATGTTGTTTATACATTGTAATTAAGTATTGTAAAATTTTGAATGCATTCTATTTCTATAGTTTTTACTGGTTTTGATTATCTTTTTGGTTTTCTGGATTTAAAATCATATCATTGATTCCTAAATCTTCGTTTTGTTCATATGTTCGTTCGTATTCTTCTATTTTCATATTTGGGTCTGGATCGGGTGCGTATAAATTTTGAAGATAAGAACCAGATATAGGATCGTCCAAAATTATGGTAAATTTTATTTTTCCATTTCTTGCATCATCAAGACGTTGAAGAAAGATATTCCATCGTCTGTTTTTTTCAGGTTCCATTGAATCATTTGTTCTAGAATATACTCTATTATAAAGTTCATCATAAATTTGAGCAAGTAGTCCTTTTAAAATTGTTAGTCTTTTTTTTAATAATACAATGATTAACCTTCTAATGTAGTAAATTTGCCACCTAAAGTCCCTGGATTCAAATCTAAATTTAATTCAGGAATTTTTATAGAGCAAGTTTCGCTCTGGATAGCTTTAACGCAAAAAATATATTATTTGTTAAATTTACCTTCAAAAGATCACGAGATAAATCGTCTATATTTTCTACTTTTAAAATAATCTTTTTCCCTTTTTCTGGTATTTCACCTCCTGTTTTTACTTCGTTGCTTTTATATCCACAATAATCACAAACTGTACTCATGATAATTACTTCTTTAAAATATGGAATATCTACTAATTTCATATTTGTATCACATGGTTTTGTACAACTAGGACATGTTGCTGGGAATTTATGGACTTCATCTGGAGTTATATTATTTTCTTCATTTTCTTGTTCAGGACAATATAAGCCTAGTTTTGTATTTTGCTCCAATGTTCTTTCATACTCCGTTTTTTTCCACTTTTTTTGCTGGTCTCCTGGTATCATTTCAATCCAACTATTGCCTGCTGGATCATCCAATATTATTTTAAAAGGGAAACACTTTCCGTCTAATAGATCACGAATATGTGCCATGAATTGATCTATTTTTTTATATGTATCTGGATCTTGATATTTACGAAGCGGTTGGTTCAGTTCTAAATCTTCAAGAATACCCACCAAAATTCCCTCAATATTGCTTATTTTTCCTTTCCCAGGCGGTATTTCAAGATCAAGTTCTTTTATAAATATAGATGATGTTTCTGATTTGATAATTTGGCGGTTAAAGTCATCTTTTGACTCAACTGAAAATGTATATATTGTTCCTTTTTCTTGAATAGTCCCTGCTGATTGTATTTCTGAGTTTTTAAACCCACAGTTTGGACACTCAAAAGACCTTTTTGGATTTTAGATGTTTAAAAACCTTCCAAAAGCCTCTTACATCAGAATCACTTCCCGAAAAAACGGGATAACCGTAAGTAACAGTTTTGTTATACCCTTTTCACTGAATATCAGCAATTATCTTTGGAAATAATAAATACATCGTGCTATTCTACCTTATCTTCACATTGTATACATAAACTTTCTATTTCATCAACTACTGGCCCATTTTCATCGCTTTTTTCGGAATTTATATCATATATATCCTCTACTTTTTCTCCTATGTCTTTAAATATCTTAAAACCTTCTTCTTTTTCTTCTAATTTCATTTTTTTAAATTTTATAATTTGATAACGTTCTTCGTTCAGGTTTGCGTATGACGACATGAAATATGAAAATTGCTTTTGTTCATCCAGATCTTGGAATAGGTTTGTTAATATGATAAGAATAAGTTTAAGACATGATTTTATGAGTATTTAGGAGGAGCAGAGAGGTTTACTGTGGATGCAGCAGTTGGGCTTCAAACACTGGGTCATGATATTGTAATTTACACAAGTCATTGCAGTCAGGATCACTGTTTTGATGAGGTTAAAAAGGGTATATAAGAGGTTTTTTTGTTTTATAATGATGGGAAAAGGGATTGTTCAAGTAAAAGTGCGCGGCAGTGGAATTCCAACAAAGATTTTTGGGAAATTTTCTATTTTATGTGCAATTTTTCGCCAACTTTATCTTTCTGTCTGTATGCTTTTAGAAAAAGATATTTATGATGTTATTATTATGGACTTGTTACCATTTAGTGTGCCTTTATTGCAAAAAAAGTGCTTGAAGCTTTTGTTTTATTGTCATTTTCCTGATAAATTGCTGGCTAGACGTGATAGTTTTTTGAGAAAAGTTTATCGTCTTCCTTTTGATTGGATTGAGGAATGGACGCTGCTGATGGCTGACAGAGTGCTTGTAAATAGTTGTTTTACTGCATCAATTGTTCGAAAAGTTTTTCCGAATATCAAAGATCTTACTGTATTATACCCTAGTATTAATATATATCAAGAAATAGTTCTAGATGAGCCGCTTTTGATACGTCGAAGGTAAAATTATTTGTCTCTGAATGAATTGTCTAAAACAATATAGTTATATTCACTTGATTTTGTCTATAAATAGGTTTGAACGAAAAAAAGACATTGCTTTGGCAATAAGGTCTTATTCTCGCTTTAAGGGGATTTCATGTTCTTCTAAATGTTGCTTGATTATTGCTGGTATATAAAATGTGTGTTTATTTTTTTTAAAAAAATTTGTTAAGGTGGATATGAATCGAGAATTGAAGAAAACGTCCAATACCATAATGAACTTGTTGATTTGTGTAATTGTTTTTCACTAAAGTCAAAAACTTTTCGACATCCATATGTATTTCCTTTAGACTTTTCAGGATATGACGTTGTTTTTTTGCTTTCTATATCTACAACATTGAAGAACTGTCTTCTTCGAGAAGCGTCCATACTTCTATATACGCCTCCATATGAGCATTTTGGAATCGTGCCTCTTGAAGCTATGCTTCATAGGACTATTGTTTTAGCTCAAAATAATGGGGGACCTTTAGAGACAATTGACGATAGTGTTACCGGTTGGTTAAGAAAACCTGATGATGATGAATGGGCATATACATTAGAAAATGTTCTCTTTAAATTAACAGATGATGAACGTGCTGCAATGGGTGAAAGGGGTAGACAGAAAGTCATAAATCTTTTTTCTAGAGAAAATATGGCGCAAACCTTGGAAGGCTATATTTTGGAAACAAATAGGGTACGTTCAGTTAACTTTCTGCCTTTCCTTATTGCTATTTTCTTTATAATTACTTTGTTTTATTTATTTTAAAAGAAAAAATTACTTCAGACTAGCATGCTTTTGAAAATACAAAATATGTCTTTATATTCTTTTGAAAGCAAATAAATATATTTTTTGTCTTTTTTGTTTTGTTTCATAAATTCTTATTTATTTTTTATTTTTATATATAATATACCTGATGCATGTTAGTTTAACCGACAAGGTCTGCGTGTAAACGGAGATGTTTGTGAAATGAAGACGACTAAACATGAAATATCATCTGTTCACCAAGATGAACATCCTTTATCACCTTCTCTTAATGAATCTTATGATTTTACGTATTAAAACTGCTTAAATTATTGAGTATTTTTGACTTTTTAGGACAAATTTAGAAAAACAAAATAAGGTGAATTGTATGGTTAAAATAGAAGAAAATAAGTCTATAAAACCTCTTTTTTCTAGGTTTAGAGCATCTACTTCTTTTTTTTCAGGAAGAAATGGGATTAAAACTGTAAATAAAGCTTATTCTTCAGATATTTCATCGAATCATGCGTTTCATCATGCTCCATTATTTGATGAACTTTATGATCAAATTCCTGGAAATATACATTTAGAAGACGATAGTTCTATTCAGAGATTGATTGATCGTTATGGTGCAATCAATTTTATACGTCAACTTGCTCGGGATTTAGCATTAAGAGATGTCCAAGTGATTGAAGATCAAAGACAATCAAAAGATCGTGAAATTATTTTGAAGAAAATGCTTCTAAGTGTGGGTGTAACTTATTTAGACATAGAGAGATGTCTTCATGAGTCTTGTGAAAGATCACAAGAATCTTTATTTATGGACAATGCGAATAATACTGTTTCTGATGTAAGTTGTGTTGAGTCTCTTGATGAGCGTTTAATGGAAGCAATGACGGATGATAATATGGGTCAATATTGCAAAACAGGTTTTCATACGGATGGAAAAATACCCTGTTGTGTTCCTAAAATAATGGAATGTGAAGATTTACAGAAAAATCTGAATACAGGGGATCAAAGAAGAACTTATTCTGCTTTTCAAAATAATTCTAGTGGTGAAACTTTGAAATCTGTGAACGGTGATAATCATATTAATCTTTCATCTGCAACTGAACATGAATTTTGTCTTAAGAAAGATTTTGTTTCAAACCCTAAAACGTCTAATATACACTCTAAGCTTCAGTCTTATTCTCGTTCATTTAACAAAATAATCCCTAGAATGACGTCACTTGATTCATTTCCTTCTTTTGATGCTTTTTCAAAAATGCCGGGATTTGGTTCTTATTTTAAAGAAAACGTTTCTGATTTACGATATTTTCATACAACTCATTTTAAAGCTATAAGTTTTGCTGCATGTCATATATTATTATCTGAAAATTCTTACAAGAATTTAATACATCAAAAAAGAAAGTCTCCAATGATAGTAGATTTCACTTGGCGTCTTATTTTGCCGATGGTTCTTGATTATCATCAAATTTTGATTCAAGATAACTTATCTAAATCAATATTAAAGATCCCTAATTTTAATTTGAATAAAATATTAACGAAATATCTTAAGGGATTATCTATTAATGATACCAGTTCTAAAACATTTGCTGTTAATTGTTTATACGAGAAAATAATTAAGTTGAAATTAAAAAATGGGAATCTTCGTATTAATCTTTTATTAAATAGTTCAATAATGCATGATACTTATCCACAAGATCAAAATACATCTCAGTCTACTCAAACAGATACCCGGTCTTCTCCAGTAATTAAGGAAACTGCTACTGCTGTACTAACCTCTGGATCTAAACCTTTTTCATCTCTTTATTCTACTCCTAGGTCTCTTGAAATGGATACCATTGTTCCTCCAGAACGTCAACCTCCTACATTATTGCCATCATGGAATGAATATTATAGAGTTGACGAAAAACCATTAGCTGATAGATTTGGTTTTATATATGGTTTTCGATCTAAAAATAATACATCTAGTTCTGAATTGGTTGAAGTATTTATTGTTTTTTGTTATTATATTTTTAACTATTATTTAGTCTGCAGAAACAAATAATAAAAGTAGTAGTAATTGTTCTGAAGATTCAAGTTATTCTAAAAACACAGATCATGTTAAAAATAAAATAGAAAAAAAGACTGAGTTAGATATTTCTTACTTAAAAAAAGAACCATCCATTTCGACGAATAGTTTACAAAAATTAATGGATATAGAAAACAAATTACTAAATCATAATGGGATGCCGTTGACAACTTTGACCTCTCTTAGTAGTGATAATTCTGTTGCACAGGGATTTATAACAGTAAATATGAATGAAAAATCTAAAGGTTTTGCTGCGAAAATTTTGTTACGCTCACAGTTAGATACATATAGTGATGATAAAACGAAGCAAGAATTATGGGATTCTTTTTTACGAAAAATCCAAAATGAAAAAAAGTTCAATGTAAATTCTAGTTTTTATGGTTATGAAGGTTCTGAGTTAATTGGAATATCGGGTTTAGGAATAGCTGGGAAAGTTGGAAAACAGCGTTGGAAGGAGTTTAGGAATTTAGTAATTGGCGGTATACCAATAGTTTATCGTCCTAAGGTTAGTTTTGAAAGGAAATGTAAAGGTGTTTAAATAGTCAGGTTTGGAGAGAATGTAGTGGAGCATATCAGCTTCAACAACCGGGATATTATAATGATTTATTAACAATGGGAAAAGATATTGATCCAATGGTTGTAGTACAAATCGATATGGATATTTATAGAACCATGCCAAATAATGTCTTTTTTGGAGGAAAAGGTCCAGGTGTATATAAACTTAGAAACGTTTTACTTGCATTTAGTAGACATAATACCCAGATAGGCTATTGTCAAGGAAGTAAGTAAATTTCTTTGAATTGTTTATACTAATACTGTTTAGTGAATGTTATAGCAGCTACATTACTTTTAACACATCCAACAGAAGAAGAGGCTTTTTATGTTTTGGTTAGTATTGTTGAAAATATTTTACCGTTGCATTATTTTACACCTGGTTTGCTTGCATCTCGTGCAGATCAGAGAGTTTTAATACGATATGTTGCAGAATTGTGTCCACGGATATATGATCATTTTAAAAAATTGTCTGTAGATTTGGAAGCTATCACGTTTAATTGGTTTTTGAGTGTATTTACTGATTGTCTTCCTGCAGAAGTCCTTTTTCGTGTTTTTGATCTTCTGTTTATTGAAGGCAATGTTTATTTATTTAGAGTTTCAATTGCAATTATTAAAAGTAAGGAAAAACAAATATTAGCATGCACATCTCCGGCTTCAGTTTATTCACTTCTTAAAAATTTATCTATAGAGTCATACAACATTGATCCTTTTATTCGAGCAACTTGTGAGAATAGGAAACGGATTCGGATTAAAGACATCATGCGTTACAGAGAAATTGAAATTCGTAGACTCAAAGCAGAAATGGAAGCTTCTATGTTACAAGAGACGACTAATGAGTCTTGATTTTGCATAAATATCTTTATTTTTTCTTGTTTTTATTATAAATAGTTCTTGTCATAATATTATCTTCATAACATACATTAGATTGCTTTATATATTAGGAATCATTTTTAGGGCATCCTTCTTTATTTTACATTCTACAGGGTCTATGAACACGGTTTTAATTGACAAATCATCTAACATATACGCAAATATATATTCCTTTAATAAGATACATAGCAGTGTTTTCTTTTGTATTTTTATGGTTCATTTGTTTCTTTGGCTGAGCTTTCTTCTTTTATCTGCCAGACATACTTCAGACATACTTAAATTTATCGGGAAATTATGTATTTTAAAAAAATGTATATAAAGGCTTCAGAATAAATGTATTTTGCTTGTGTTTCATACTTTCCTTTCTAATACTATGTTTCTCTGTATTATTTATTTCTTTTACTTCAACATGTTTATTATGAATCTTCTGAAACCGTTTAAGATCAATCAAAAGAGACATGAAAATCGGAGAAATAGAATTCATCTGAATAACATAAAATACTGCTTGAATAAAGCTGAAGAAGTATATTTAATAAAAGGGGAGATTAGATACAGTGGTTTTCCTTTCTTTTTGCTTAAAAAGCCTTTATTTATATTTTTTTAAGGATAAAAAAATATGGAAATACAAAAAACAACTACAGCTGAACATAAATGTAGGAGGAATGTCTTACGGTCTATATTTGTTCAAAAGAGGTTTCTTGATAGTAGAGATGCCTTGATAAATAATATAACACAACCTAAGTTTTCACAAAAGTTAAAATGCTTTTTTAAATTTAATCATAATACTCATAAGTCAAATTCATCTTTGCATGATAAGAATATAGGATGTAATATGGTGTTTATTGATGGTGATCATACTGGGGATTCGAGTTATGGTGGATATTCATATCTTTCTGAGCACAAAAACACTTATACAAATGATAATCAGATTTTACATTTTTCTTTAAAACATGAAAGTATACTGAAAAATGCATCTTTTCCTCATTGTTCTTTAAAAGATGAGAATGTTATGCAGTTCTTCAGGAGAATAAATCCTGTGTCATATGGAAGATCTAATTTTTGTAAATTAAAAATTCATAAACCTCAGACTTTACCATCGGAACTAGCTATGACATTGGAAAAGAACTGTTCAGATGTGTTTTCTAGTTCTAGGAAAATTTGTGCTTCTGAACATCTAAATAATGTAGATTCTGATAGTAAGAATACAAAAAATTCTTTGAACATTTCAAATTCTTTGGATAATAATCGTTCTGGAAAACTGAAAAAGTCGAATAATTTTTCAAGAACATATTCGAGTAATTCCACTAAAGTGTGTAATGTTGAAGTGGGTCCATCTAGTTTTGATAAAATTAAGTTACTTGGAAAAGGTGATGTTGGGAAAGTATATCTTGTTCGGGAAAAGAAGACGAGAAAGCTATATGCAATGAAGGGTGAGATTTTTTTTCATGATAAAAGGTTGTTTCTTACTATTTAAAGTTTTAAATAAAAAGGAGATGATTAAAAGGAATAAGATTAAACGCGTACTTGCTGAACAAGAAATTTTAGCAACAAGTAATCATCCTTTTATTGTTACTCTTTACCATTCTTTTCAATCTGATAAGAATTTGTATTTTTGTATGGAATATTGCATGGGCGGTGAATTTTTCAGAGGTTAAAATATTCAATTTTTTTTTGGAATCCGAGTTTTAATAATTTTTTAGCATTGCAAATGCGTCCTGGAAAATGCCTATCTGAAGATGCATCCCGGTTTTACGCTGCAGAGGTAACAGCAGCTTTAGAATATTTGCATTTAATGGGGTTTATTTATCGTGATTTAAAACCAGAAAGTATGTTGAGTTTTTTTTGTTGTCTACTTTTTTAATTTTTGAAATAGATATTCTTTTGCACCATTCTGGTCACATAATGTTGTCTGATTTTGATCTCTCTAAGCAATCTGCACCTGGTGGTGCACCTGCCATGGTTGTATCAAAAAGTGTATCTGGTTCATTCCCTGCAATAGATACTAGGTCCTGTATTGCAGATTTTCGGACCAATTCGTTTGTTGGAACAGAAGAATATATTGCACCTGAAGTCATTAAAGGATGTGGACATACAAGTGCAGTGGATTGGTGGACTTTGGGTATTCTGACTTTTGAAATGCTTGTATGTTTTCTTTTAGAATTTTTCATTTTAGTTTAATTGGAATAACTAGTTTGGGGTTACTCCGTTTAAAGGAAAAAATAGAAATAGTACCTTTACAAATATTTTAAAAAATGATGTTGTATTTCCTGAAGTTAGTTATCAGCAAATCACAAGGTATTTATAGAATAAATGTTTTTAGAGTCTAATTTGTAGTTCATCTAAGTCTTTTATTCGGAAACTCTTAATTAAAGATGAAAATCGTCGTCTTGGATCGAAAGCAGGTGCATCTGATGTAAAACTTCATCCTTTTTTTCGGAATACTCAATGGGCATTATTACGTCATACACGTCCTCCTATAATACCTGTACTTGCGGGGAATTTTGAAACTCATAATCTTCGTGATATAAAAGAAAGTTTAAGTACTGATATAGAATCTTCTCAAAATATCATGACAGCGGCACCAACTATTGAACGATCTTTAGGAGGCTGGTTACCTCCTAGTTCAAGAGTTTCTGTTGATCCGTTTGGTTCTTTCAGTTCAAGTATGTATTTTTATTAGATTTTTTATGAAGTCTAATTTCTAGTGACTATTATTCATGAAGGAGAATGTCATGATTCGATTTTTGATTACGAGAATGAAAGTGTAAATAAAAAAGAAACATAATTTTAAGATATTCCCAACAAATATTTATATTTCATATTCTGTTTTTAATGTTCTTTTGGATTTATTTTAATTATATTTCTAGTATACTTTAATATTTGTATTATGCACTAAATAAGGATATATTTATTTAAGCATAGGATTTTTTTAATATTTCGTTGGTGACATTTCTAGCTTTTTTTATATAGTTTTTATTTTTATGGTTTATTTTTTATTATAAAATACCTATGATAGTAGATTTTAAAAGTTTAATTTTTGTCATAAATGATAGCTGGGTTTTATAAACTTTTCAAATATATTTTAATTAAAAAAGTAAATTATGAATAAGTTGGAGTATGTTATAGATTCTTTTTGTAAAATATATATCATTATTTAGTAAATTTACTGAAAATATGGTTCTGAAATATTATGACCATCTTATATTTTAGTTATTTTTGCAATAATATATAATTAAATGATAATTCTTAGAAAATAAAAATAGAAACAAGTATTATTTAGTTATTTTATTTTTCTAGATTTTGATTAAACGTAATTATTATTAATGGTTAAAGATATATGTAAAATGTCATTAAATAAAAGGATATAGTTTTTTTATAACAAATTGTTTTTAAATTTATTTTTTTATGTTTTGTGATCTATAATGTTCTATTCTTACTCTTCACTATCATAATCAACGATTCCATTTTGTTTGATTTTTGTTTTAATTTCTGTTTTAATTTTTATCTCGTTCTTAATTTGCGTTATTTCTTTTGATATTGATGCATATTTATTTTTGTTTTCATTAACTATAATATGAATAGTAGGGAACTCAAGAATAGTCATTCCTTTAAGGCTTTCTAATAATGTTGTATTTTTGTTTAAAGTCTCATAAATGGAATTATTTGCCTATGAATGTTATCAACGTCAATAAATATGAAAAAATTACAGGAGAATTGACTTTTTTTATCATAAATTGAATAGTTTGATAATCAATATCCAATAGTTCATTGATTTTTCTTTTATGAATAAAATTTTTATACGCATCTACAATATTTATATCAGATGGAACTCTACTAATATGTTAACAATTATTATTAAATAAAACTTGAATAACTTGTGTTCGATATTTGATATTTTTGTTTCATTTTTTATATAAATCCATTCTATAGTCCAAAAAATTTTTTTTCTTCTAAAAAAATTATTTTTGCTTTAGAAATACTTTATATTTTACTTTTTGCTCCAAAATGTTTTATTTTGGCATGCTCTACTCATTCCTCGAGGGATAATAAGATATCTGATGCCACATTTTTCAATTATTTTTTTAAGTTTTAGTGCTGCATGATTTGATGAAAATGACATTCTATTTTTAACAAAAGAGTCTAGAGATGACTCAATAGCAGAAAGAAAGTTATAATCTCGATCCAAACTTTGAATGGTTAATAAGTCTTTTTTATTCAAAAATGAGGTTGGATTTGGCAATCCAGAGCATAAACTACGTTTCTTATGTTCAGTGGAGCATTGTGCAGAGCATGTTTCTATGTTGCATTGTGGACAACGGTATTTTGCAGTAGACGTTAAGCAAATAGTACATTCCTTCAATTTCATGAGTTTTAAAGCTGATTTAAACTGGAAAAAAAGACTTATACTGTTTATAGTCATTTAGATTTCATTATATTTAAAAAAAAAAAAACCTATTTTTGCATGTTTTGTGGTAAAAAATTATATTTTTGTTTAAATTAAAATATTGAAGGTTAATTATTGAAATTATCGATAAATCTAAAAATCTTCAAAAATAATGAAAAAAAGAAAAGGAAAACATGAAAAAGAAGCTTCAGAATCTTCTGAAAATGATGATTCTTCTTCAGAATCAGTAAATGAAGAGTTTTTGAATGTCGATTTTGAGTTTTTTAATGTGCGTCATACGGATGTTTCTACGTTAAGAAATTTGTTAAAACAATTGATCGGACCTGAATCTGAAAGTTTTGATATTTCTGGATTATTAGAATTGATTTTAAGTCAAAATCTTGTTGGATCTGTAGTAAAAGTTGATGGAATACAAAGTGATCCATTTGCCTTTTTAACGGTTTTGAATTTGAATTATCATCGAGAAAAACCATGTATAAAGCAGATTTTATCATATATTATGTCTATGATGAGTTCTAATAAGGATTTTTGTGAGGCTTTGAATGGTCTTTTGGAGAAATCGGATTTGCACACAGGTTTAATCTTATCAGAGCGTATCGTTAATATGCCAACACAAATTGTTCCTTCAATGTATGAATTACTTTTTGAAGAAATAGATTGGGCTTTGGAAGATGTTTGATTTCTTGTATTTAATTACTTGTATAGTTGATGTTATTATAGAAAGAACCGTATAATTTTGGCCATTATATTATTTTATCTAGAAGTTATCGAGAGCAAGTAAAGAGAGGTTTTTTAAAAAAGAAACAAAAGGTTTCTAAAATAAGCTTCTTTCGTGGAATAGAATGGTTAACCTTTAATAGAAAGATATGAAGACTGTATATTTTCACCCAGAAGACGAACTATTTAAAAAAAAATCATTATATTCAATGACATATAAATACACTAAATCTGATGAGGGTTCTAATTTTAGACAGGCTTTTCAGAACCCTGGAATACAGCTTCAAGGTGAAATAATTGTAATTTCAAAAAATAAATTGAAAGAAGCTATTGCTGATTTGAAGTCAATTCTTACTGAATGATTACATGATTTATAAATACGTGGATATACAAATTTTATAGTTATGTGTAATAATTTTTCTAACAATGTAATTGTGCTTTCTTACTGGGCGGAAGATTTTTTTACAAAAATATTTTTATATATTAGCAGGCATAAATATTAATAACTCCATTTTGTCGACCTGAAATTAAATAACCATCTTTGTGACGAATTTTTTTTACAATATTTCCATAATCATTAGGATCCTGGACTTTGCCACAATCCCAATGTTTTTCCTCAATCCGATCGTATATCCGAATGATAGGTTCATTTGCTGAAACTGCAATCTTTTTGGTATCAAAATGTAATGATGTTACTGCATTATTATATGCAAATGCGTCGTATAATGTACCAATTCTTAAATCCCATATCTATAATAGTTAATAATGTTATTTTATGAATTTTTATACCCTTATGCTTCGATCTATGCTACCTGTAATAAGATGATACTTATCAAACTGAAGACATGTAATAGGAGCTGTATGACCAAGAAGCGTTTTTATAATTAACCCGCTACGAAGGTCCCACAATCGAACCATTCCATCTGCGGTACCACTTGCTAAAGCGGTGTCAAAACATTGAATAGCGCCAACGAAATCATATTCATGTTTTTTAAAAAATGCTTTTGACTTAAAGCTGTTTAGAGATGACGACAAAGTGTTGCATTGAGCAGCAGCCCAGAGAACATCTAAGGTTTGTACACATTTTCCTGTTTCAAGGTCCCATTGCCTTAAAGTTTTGTCACTAGAACCAGAAACAAGAATGTTTCTAATAAAGTGTAGTGCAGTAACTTCGTCCATATGTGATTCTAAGGTAGCTATATAAAAATTGTTTGTATTTTTTTTTGTACTAAAATGTGATATATGTGTGTTCTTAGGTTCTTTTATAGAAAAAGCTGCTGTATTATTTGATTCTGTTTTTTTATTTATATAATTAGATGTTTTCAAAGGCTGATCCGTCTTGTAGGATTCAGTATGTTGTAAATCCCATAATTTTATTGATGCATCCATGGAACCGGTAGCGACTATATTATTTTTCAATTGTAAGCATTTTACAGAAGCTATAAAGTTATTAGAAATACTTTCTAGTTATTTACATACCATTATGTCCTTCTAGTAGACCAAGACATTCTCCATTTAAAAGATTCCAAATTTTTACTTTATCATCTAGAGAAGCTGTAACCATGGTTCCAAAAGGTATATCAAAGTCAATTGCTGTAATAGTTTCTGTATGCGACTTCCAACTCTAAAATATTTACTATATGAAATAATAAGAATAGTCAAACAAAATAACCTTAATATTTGACCCCGGTTTAAAATGTTCATTAAATATATATATAGAATCTTTTTCTAAAAAGAATTAAATATAGTAAAAGAAAAGCAATAATATACGGGCTGATCTAGAATTGAATTTTGAATTATTTAATTTTCCAGAGATATTTTTTGACATAAATTCGATCTTTTTAAAATTATTTGTATCATGCGATTGTATGTTAATTATGCTTCCTTTATTTGTTGGGTATTTTAATCCAATATCATCCATAATTTTAGTCTCTGAATCCCATACTATTGATAGTCAATTGGTTTAAAATATAAAAGAAAATTTACATATGTTTATTGTTTCTTTTTCTAGATTTTTTAGTTTTTGAAGCTTTTCAAGCGACTCTGATTTCATTTTACTCAATACAGTCATTTTTTCACTAATTTCCTTGATTCTATAAGATATAAGAGCCTTAAAAAATTAGTTTTTAAAAAAAAAAGAATGGTATACTTTTTGAATATTTAGGGTATTAATATCATTTAAAATATTATTTTTTTTTTTTTTAGGATCCAACAAAATAAAACCGTTCTTTTCTTGGTCTTCTAATTTGACTTAGGTTATTTATTACAAAAATATCATGTTTAATACTTGGGTTTTTTAATTCATTCTCGGTTATTTTTTTTTTATCAGTATAATCACATGTTTTAGGTTTTCTGATACTGCTTTTTTCATCAAAACTAACTAAAAACCCTTGGAAAAGAGTGTATAAATCTTGTTTTGACTCTGGAATGTCGTAAAGAAGTTCTTCAGGAAGAAAAGTAAAAATACAAAAATTTGATTCTTTTTGCCAAAATGTATTCCTTAAGTACTTTTTTATAGATAGATATGAAATAATATATTGGTATATCCTTTGTCTTTTTAAGAGTGGTATTGTATTTCTTATTACTTGTGTAGTATTCGTTGTTGTGTTTTTATTATATGACACAAAACTTTGTTTTGTTGATGGCATTTTTTAGTCTTTTCTTAGCCCAAATTTTTTTATTGAATCTTTGTGGATAGTGCAAGATTTTTTTTAAAGGAATTTCTATTCAGTTTTATATACTTATATTTGTATTAAATATCTGTTTTTTTCCAGAAAAAAATGCATTCCTAGGAAAAGTAATTTACCACATGTCTTAACTGTACAAATTCTTTAAAAACTTCTCTTATTTCTCTTCTCTTTTGAAAATATCTTTTTTTTGTAAAATTATAACGTTCATGCATTTGACGTCAAAAATTGAAAAAAAATAGATTAGTCGTTATGGTATATGATAAACATGAAAAAGAGTCATTACCATTAGGAAAAAGTACTTCTTTTTGTTTTGACACAATACTTGTTGTAGATTTTGGGTAATATTGATTAATTATTATAAGAATTGGATTTTTTAACATTCTTAGATCTCAATATAGTCATTTGATTATTAGAAGGTTTAGAGAATTTAATGTCCGTTCAGTATTAGTTTCATGTACGAGTAAGATTCAAGATTTGGGATGGAAGCCCAAAGGTATTGTTTTATCGGGATCGCCATATTCAGTTTATTCAGAAGAAGCACCACATGTTGAATCATATATTTTTGATTTGGGTATTCCTATTCTTGGTATTTGTTATGGACTTCAAGAAATAGCTTGGTATTATGGAAAATGTGTTTTTTTTTGTGAAAAACGTGAATATGGTCATGCAACTTTGAAGATATTGGAAACACCGCGATCTTCACTTTTTGATGGAATAGATGAGATTCAGCAAGTTTGGATGTCTCATGCAGATGCACTTTCTACGCTTCCAGATGGGTTTTGTGTTATAGCAGAGACAAGTAATGCTCCTTATGCTGCAATTGCGCATGAAAGTATGAATATTTTTGGATTGCAATTCCATCCCGAAGTTACACATACAGTGTGTGGTACTAAAATATTGAAGAATTTTGCACTTAATATATGTAAGTGTTCTCAAAATTGGACTATGGAATTTTTTGTAGATAATGAAATTGCCAAGATTAGACAGCTTGTAGGTAACGAAAATCATGTAATTGGAGCTGTGAGTGGTGGATTGGACTCTGCTGTTGCTGCTAAAATTATGAAAGAAGCTATTGGTGATCGATTTCATGCAATTTTTGTTGATAATGGGATGATGCGGCTAAATGAATGTTTTCAGATTGTGGAAATGTTGAGTACTTGTTTAGGAATTAATTTAACTATAGTAAACGCATCTGATGAATTTTTTGATAAACTTTTGCATATAAAAGATCCAGAAGATAAGAGAAAAATAATTGGAAATACATTTATCCATATATTTGAGCGTGAGACTAAAAAGATCGATGCCAAGATTGAAAATAAAATAAAGTTTTTGGTTCAAGGAACTTTGTATCCTGATGTTATTGAAAGTGTTAGTTTTAAAGGACCAAGTCAGGTTATTAAAAGTCATCATGTAGAGTGTTTAATTTTAGTATCCTTGGTTTCTGATAGATAATAGAATGTTGGTGGTTTGTTGAAAGATATGCATTTTAAGTTAATTGAGCCTTTACGAGAACTTTTTAAAGGTAAGTTTTCTAAATCTGTTGGATATTTTTTTTTAACTTGTTGCAAGATGAGGTTCGAATATTAGGTAAATTTTTTAGCATGCCTGACGATCTTATTTGGAGACATCCTTTTCCTGGTCCTGGACTTGCTATACGAGTCCTTGGAGAAATTACTCCTGAACAAATAAATATTGTACGTCAAGCGGATTTTATTTTTATTGATGAAATTAAAAAAGCGGGAATATATAAAAAGATTAGTCAGGCATTTGTAACTTTGCTACCTTTGAGAACAGTAGGAGTAATGGGAGATCAAAGGTTATAGAAATTTTGTGAGGAAATATTTTTTTGATATTTTTAGAACTTATGAGCAAGTTGTTGCTCTTAGAGCTATAACTACTATTGATTTTATGACGGCTGATATTTACAATTTTGATATAGAATTCCTTAAGAAAGTAAGTGCAAGAATAACTAATGAAGTTAGAGGTGTGAATCGTGTTGTTTATGATATATCTACAAAGGTATTATTTAATTCTTTTAGTTTATATATAATCTTATGGACAAATATAGCCACCTGCTACAATTGAATGGGAATAGAATAAATATAAAAAATTATTATTTTCAAAACATTTTTAATAAACCATAAAAATAGTTATTATTTTTGATGATATTTTATAAAGAATATACTTTTAAAAATGTCTTTATTCATCTTATCATAAATGTCTATGAGGGAAAAAGCGTATTTATGCATCATGTAAAGTAATCTTGGTTTTTTATTACATTTATTTGTTTATAATAGATTTTATAATAAATAATTATGTATCAAAAAAATGTTTAGGGCTTCGATAAGAATAATTTCAAAAGTTGCTTTTTGAAAATATTTATAAGATTTTGTGGTAAATTTGATATTAAAATGTTTAATATTTTTAATAAATATTAAGGATTTTTTTTATATTTTATGGAATAAAAGGTGTTTTTGATATATAAAAATTAAAAAAATCAGTAGGATGAAATGGGTGCGCATATTTCAACAATTCTGCCTTTTAGTATGCCATTGAGTATTGATTCATATATATCAGAGATTCCAGATGTTGAGTACAGAAAAAGGTCTTTAAAGTCTTTGAAAAGATAATCATTATCTTATTATAATAAGTTTATGTTCTTCTCGATTTATGAAAACTGTTCGTTGTCAATACTTTGAAGGGCCTATTGTAGTAAAGTTTTTTGTAAAACCATCTCATTCCTATACATTTAAGGATTATATTGAGCAGTTAGAATGTATGTATTCATGTATATCAGTTATTTTTGGGTTTTGATTAAGATTTAGTTGTTCGACAAAAATTATCTAATATCCCAAATGTTGTTCCATTTAGGCGTGTTTTTGAAACTGAAAAGGCAGGTTACCTTTTAAGAGAATTTTTTTTTATCAGTCTTTACGATAGAATTAGGTATTTATGTTTTTTATATATAAAACATAGCTGATATTGAGGGAAGTACCAGACCTTTCCTTCAAACAATAGAAAAGAAGTGGATTGTGTTTCAGCTTTTGTGTGGATTAAGGGATTGCCATTCTAAACAGGTATGATAATATAAATAAGTATATTGTTTAAATTCCTAGGTTTATCATGGAGATATTAAAATTGAAAATATTATGATGACTTCATGGAATTGGGTTTATTTAGTTGACTTTTCCTGTTTTAAACCTAAATTTTTACCTGAGGATAATCCTGCTGATTTTTCATATTTCTATGATAGTTCTTCAAGGCGTGTCTGTTATATTGCTCCAGAGAGATTTCTTCGTTCAGATGAGGAATATGTTGGTGAATTAACTGATAAAATGGATATTTTTAGTCTTGGTTGTGTAATTGCGGAGCTTTTTCTTGAAGGGACTCCTTTATTTACTCTTTCTCAATTGTTAAAATATCGACAAGGTGAATATGATCCAGTATCTGCACTCTTAAATAAGGTGGAGGATCCAGAAGTTAAATCTCTTATATGTCATATGATTAGTTTGGACCCTGAAAAACGATTATCTGCTGAAGAGTATCTTGAAAAATGGAAAAATAAAGTTTTCCCTGATTATTTTTATACATTTCTTTATCAATATATTAACTCGATCATGGAGCATTCTCAAAAAAGATACAGTGGAGTTAATGAGAAATTATTATATATAGATGATTATATTGATCGCATTTATCAAGATCTTGATAAAATTGCATATTCTCTTGGTTTTGATGATTATGAAAATATTTTTAGAAAAATATCTTTATCTAAGTTTTTGTATGGAAATTCTATTACACGTTTTGAAATTTATGAACAGTCTGTTCCTATAGTTAAATCTGTTTCATTTGATAACGGTGTTTTGATTTTTCTATCTTTGATTATATCATCAATAAGGAATGCTATTAAACCAAATTCACGCATAGTTGCTTGTGATATACTTTTGATTTTTAGTTATAGAACGACTGACGAAACTAAGCATGATCTTTGTTTACCATATCTTGTTTCTCTTCTTAATGATGATGTACCATCTGTTAGGATGGCTGCTTTATATACAATAACACACTTAGTAAGTTTTTTTTTTGAAATTTTTGGTTTTTAATATTATTTAGCTTGCATCTGTAACAATAATAACTCCTATTAATATACATTTATTTTCTGAATATATTTTGCCAATGTTAAATCGTTTGGTTGTTGATCCCAATCCTTGTGTTAGAACATTATATGCTTCATGTATATCCAGTATTGTAAATACAGCTCAGAGGTTTTTAAATATGGCTGAAGCATTTCGTTTAGGTGGCATTTTAGAATCTACTGATAATGAGACAGAGCTTGATGAGAATAGCTCTAGTATTATAATGACGTATGATAATAGTCTAGATTATTTGAAAAAAGCATTTAGAGAACATGTTATATCTTTGCTTACTGATACAAATTCTAATGTTAGACGTTCTTTAATGGGTTCTATTGAGTCTCTTTGTATGTTTTTTTGTAAACAAGAAGCTGATGATCTAATTTTGAGTCATTTAATAACTTATTTAAATGATAAGGATTGGATGTTGAGATATTCTTTTTTCGATCATATTGTTGGAATTGTAACATATGTTGGAAAACAAGGTTTAGAGGAATATATAATGCCATTAATGATACAGGCTTTAACAGGTGTCAAAAATTCAGATATATTTGATTTTTAACTTTAACTAGATATAGAAGAATTTGTGGTAGCAAAAGTTATATCTTCTCTTACTAGTATGACTGAATTGGGTTTGTTTCAAAAATCTATGGTATGGAATCTTCTTGCAATTTTGTTAAGGTTTACTCTTCATCCAAATGCTTTAATTCGAATAGGTGAATTTGTTAGTTTTTATAGTTTTTCTAAATTGAGTAGAAAGTATAAAATTTATTGTTGCGAATATAAAGTGGTTAAGAAAAGTTGACATACATTATATATTATATTCTTTAATAAGGCCATTTTTGCGTTGTGATATTATTGATATTACTGAAATAGCATTATTAGAAAATCTTCATACTCAGGTTGGATTATTATTATGAATTATTTATTTTTTAATTATGCAAGATATCTAGACCTATATTTGACCTTGCTACTTCATGGGCTATGCAAAGTGAGAAAAGTTTATTTTGGAAATCTTCAAAATCTAAAGAATCCTTTATGTCGCTAAGACATGTTAACGGAAGTAAATTTCAGTTTTTTTCAACTTCTATTTTTTCGTCTGAGGATGAAATTGAGAAAGCTACTTGTTTTAATGAAAATATATGTTTATCAGAAGAGTACATTTGTAATATATTTTAAATAACATTAATAGTATTAGTGATGAACAATGGATAATAAAGTTAAAAAATTTAGGGATGACTGCTTCCGATGAATGGAAATTGAATTTACTTAAAGATTATATATGGAAGATAGCTCAAATATCTTTAAAGTAAGAAAATATAATAATTATTGTTTTTGTATAATAATTATGTAAAGTGCTCGGCAACATTGTGATACTTTTTTAGTTAAAGATCAAATTGGTTTTATTTCTCTTAAAACTTTGAACATTAATCCTAAAACTGTTTTTTTTGATGATCAGTTTTTAAAATTAGAAACTATAGCTTCACAATTCAATGTTTCACCTGTTTTAAAAAATAAACTAAAAGATGTTAATAAATTGGTTGATAAACAAATTGAAAGGGCTGAATTATCTCCTTTTTTTGATAAATCTACATCTTTTGTTCTATTAAATCAATATGATTCAATATCGCATACTGTTTTAGATAAGAATTTAAATTCTAGTCCAGTAATGGCTACTCTGGACCATGATAGAAATATAACTTTTGATATTAATAAACAATTAGATGATAGTTTTCCTGAAATTATTCCAGATATTCAGGAAACTTCTACTGATTTAACTAATATAAAACATTTTGTAAATTTGGAATTTCTTGAATCAACACAAAATGATAGTTTTTCTTCAAATGATAAACAAAATAGTTTGAGTTTAATATATCGATCAGAGACTTTTTTTTTAAATAAGACTGTACCAGAAACTTCGACTAGTACTGAAAGTGTAATGGGGACTCTTAACGGTTCTTTAAATCCAAATTTGACGTTAAATATTATAAAGAATGTTTTAGATAATGACATTGATTTAAACTTATCTTTATTTTCTAAAGATATTAATATATTTGGTATGTTTTTATTTTATGAAATTAGTTATTAATAAATGTTTAGACGAAGGTAATAAGGATATTTTAAAAAAAATTAAACATTATATATGTTAACTTTTCTAGAAGAAATGAAAAAGTCTTATTCATCCATTTTTTCTTCACAAAGAATTAATAAGAAAAATCCTGAAAAAATATCTTTGGATAAACCATGGCATCCTGTAGGAACTTTGGTTGCTCGTTTTTCTGAACATTCTAAAGGGATTAATCGTGTAATTGTTTCTCCAGACAATGTATTTTTTGTTACAGCATCAGACGATGGTACCATAAAAATATGGGATATTAGTCGTCTTCAAAAAAACGTTAGTAATAGATCGCGATTAACATATCGGCATTCAACAATTGCAAGGATTATATCTATTTGTTTTATATCTAATACATACTGTATAGCTAGTGGAGCTAGTGATGGGAGTCTCCACATTATAAAAGTTGAGTGTATGATTGATGCTAATTCACTTCCTAAATATAAACATGTAAAAATTCTTCGGAAATATGAAATAGGAAAAGATGAATATGCTGTTTGGATGGAACATTTTGAAACTGGTAATATAATTTTTAATTATATACTTTTTTATGCTAATGTAAGATCATGAATCCATTTTAATGATAGCTACAAGTTTGTCAAGAATAATTGCATTAGATATCCGTACTATGAAAGAGCTTTATAATTTATTAAATTCACCTTGTCATGGGACTCCTACATGTTTTTGTATAGATCAACAAAAAACATGGTTATTGCTTGCTGGTACGCATGGTATTTTAGACTTGTGGGATTTAAGATTTCAAATTAAATTGAAATCATGGGGCTTACCTGGTGCTTCTAAAATTCATCGAGTTTCATTGCATCCTATAAAAGGCTGTGGGAGATGGGTATGTGTAGCTGGTGGATGTAGTCAAAATGAAGTTACTGTCTGGGACATAGAGAAAATGCAGTGTCGTGAGATATATAGAGTTGCAAAAGGCAAGGATAATGGAAAAGGTTATGAACCATGGGAAATTGATGATGAAAGCTCTGAAGGAATTTTTGGGAAATATATTGGAGATACTAACAGATTTAATTTTGACGACGAAGTGTCTGGATATAATAGAGGTATATGTGCAATGGCAGTTAGTACATGTGGTTTATTTGATGGAATTGTTTCTGATATTAAAAATCATGGTTTCATTCTATTTTCTGGGACAGATCAAAAAATAAGATTCTGGAGTTTGGATTCTAATAATGCAAATAAAGGCTTTGTTATAAGTGGATTAGAACCAGAAGAAGAAATGCCAATTTATACAACATCTCATCTTACTCCAACTTTGGTTCTTAATGTTGAGCAGCCTGCTTTATCACTTTCAACTGATGAAAATGTTTCATCGAAATCATCTTTAAAAATACCCCGTTCTACATTTATCTTTCAACAACAAAAATATGTCTTTAAAAATCATATAGATTTAATTCAAGATATTGCATTTATTCAAAATCCATATGAAATGGTTATTTCTGTTGATCGTTCTGGTATTATTAATGTTTATGTATAATGTTTTGGTTTTGTATAGTTAATTGCTATATAATATTTGTACACTAATCTCACTAAACCTTATATTTAGTTTTTTATTTAGGGTCAAAGCCCTTATTTAAGAATTCGAGAAATCATAAATTCATGAAAAAAAACGTATTTGATTAGATTGGCTTTTGTTTTATTGTTTTTCAGAGTATTTTGTATTAAGCGGCTTCTATAAAGTGCTCTTTAAGGGTTTTGTTTTTGTTTTTTAAGATGCGGTTAAACATTGATCTTTTAAATAATGCATCATCCTATATTAATCCTGCAAAAGAGAGAGAATTGGATTTACGAGGTATTCTGGAGTATATTTTTTTCTTTTTTATGTTTATTTGATTACTTCAGGTCATAAGATTCCAGTAATTGAGAACTTAGGTGTTACAAAGGTATTCATAGAGTTAAAGGTTATTATTTAGATTTATAAGGTGAATTAGGATCAAAATGATGCTATTGACTTCACTGATAATGATATACGGCACCTTGGTAATTTTCCTAAGCTTCTTAGAGTCCGGACGCTTCTTTTATCTCGCAATAGAATTTCTTCTATTTCTTCACAACTGGCGTTAACTCTTCCAAATCTTAGGACACTTATTTTGACTTCAAATGCTATATCTGAACTTTCAGATATTAATTGTCTTTCTGGTCTCAAGAAGCTTACAATTTTAAGTCTTATGGATAATCCTGTATCTCGAAAAGAACATTATCGGTTATGGGTGATATGGCAGTGTCCTTCTCTTCGTATTCTTGATTTTTGCAAAGTCCGTCAATCTGTAGGATACATTTCTTATTTAAATGTGAAAATTTGTGTTTTAATACTGTTTAGGAGCATGAAACAGCAAAATTGCTTTTTGGTGTATCTATAGATGAACCTACAACATTAGCTGCTTCTATTTTAGGTGTTAAATCTCATACGTTTGATGTTAATGAATCAATGAATGAAGATAAAGAGATTCATTTTAAGCTGACTGATGATGAAAAAAAGCGTATTCAGGATGCGATTCGGAATGCAACATCAATGAGCGAAGTTGCAAAACTAGAAGCTATGCTTAATGAAGGTTGGATACCATCTAAATAAAATATAAATGGCTATTTATGTACGGATATTTTGGGAAAATATAAAATCGTATGTTATATTTTTAGTCATTGATAAAATTTTTAATGGAATTGTATTGAGTAAATTATTTGATCTATTAATATCTTCTATATTTTAATGAGGCGTGAATATTAATAGATTATAATTTCAAAATTAAGAAAAATCAAAAGTTGATAAAGTCATTTTATTTGATGCATATAAATGGAATAGATTTTTATGTATTTTAGTTTATTCACAAGTTTATCATTTTTATTGAAACTGTATTATAAGGTTATCATAGTATTAGTAGATTTTAATTATTTAATGTTCTTTCTTGCTTTTAGTTGATTGCGTTTTTTAATAAAATGTTGTTTTTGTAAATGTTTTTTGTATTATTTGAAAATTGATTTTGTGATGCATTTTTGTTTTATTTATAATATTTTGTTTTTTTGTTGTGTGTATAGATGTAATTTTTGATATTCTAGGATCTGTGAAGTAATAGTAAGTTATGTTTATGTAACTTTAGTTGTTTTTTTTTCTTTTTTATTTAATTTAAATTTGATATTTTATATTTGAATTTAAATATTATCTTTATTATGAATAATTATGTATTTAAATTAATAGATTGATATGAATAAATTATTTAATTTTAGAGATAATTAATTTTGGGGTGAACTTAATTTTGTTTTATTGATTAGAATAGTTTTTTATAATTTCATAATCTATAAAAGATAATTGTTTTTTTAAATTTGTTATATAATATGTAAATTATTAAAAAAATTAAATAAAAATTAAATTATACTTATTTATGATAGAAAATACAATTTATTATAATAACAATAAATTTTTGTCATAGAAATGATACTTTGAATATTTTTATAATTTTAAATATTTTTGTATTTTTTTGATATTTATACAAACAAATCTTTTTTTAACTGACCTATTCAATGAAAAATATATTGGAAAGATTAAAATGGTCTTATTATACTTTTTTATTTTTATTCTAGTTAAAATATTACAAGACCTACTGGATACCTGGTATGTCTATTTATAAATCAATTTTCTAAATACTGAAAAATGGTCTTTATGAAATATAAACCATTTTTACATAATTAACCAATACATTTTTATCTTTTTTTATGTTTTTTATAATGTTTTAAAAAATTAATTTTATTTTGTTGCTGTAGTAACGTTCTACTGTTTATATTAAAGCATGAATATTTTCAAAAAAGTTATCTTTTTTTAAAAAAAATTATGAAATTTTCCTTAAAATTAGACGAAAATAATGCTAAAAAACCTGAATTTATTGCGTCTTCACCGGATATATTAAGAAATAACTTTGATAGTCTTTCTTTAATTGATGATTTTAAAAAAAAACCTATAATTTTGTTAAATCAAGGAAAGATTAGTAATGGATAATGTAATAATATTTTGATTCATGAAATAGATGAAGTAAAGTCACCCAATCAAGAGGAAATTGGCAATTTAACGTTATTGGAAAATCATAGGAATATTGACCGTATTTTTCGTGATTTAGATGAAAAATTACTTTGTATAGATACTTTATCTAATTTTCAAAATTCAGGAGAACATCGGGCTGAGAAAGAAGGTAATATTTATAACTATGTTTAGTTTTTTATTCTAAGTTTTGATTTGTTTAGTTCCTTGTAATTCTGAAGTTACTTCAACTAAAATATGTGAATACATTGTTAAGTCTTTGTTTTAAACAATAGTTTAAATGCTGACTGCTGTTAGTGTAATGATTATTTTGCACTTTCAAAAACGTCTCAATCGTCTAGTATAAAGAAGGATTTTAAAAGATCAAAATCAAGTTCTCCAAGAAAACCTCTTAAACTAAAAGAAAATATGAATCAGCATAATCTTTTTAATATTTCGAGGGGGGTTGAAAGCATGAAGAATACTATTTCTGATGGAATCTCTGATATTAAAGCATCCTCTCCAAAGAAAGTATATACTGAACGTGAAACTTCCCCAAAAAAACCATGGACACCACAAAGAATTATTTTGAAACAAGAAAACGAGTCTCTTAAAAAATATATTAGTGAATTGAAAGAAAAGCTTGAAGAAAGTGAAAAAAATGATGAAAATGATACCAATTATGATGTAAATGATAATACTGTTAAAAGACTAAGAGAACTTGTAGATTTTGTTCAAACGGAATTAACTATTTATCTAGAAGCTAAAAATTTAGAATTAGATAAATTGCAAAAGGAGTTTGAGAATATGAAATCTGAAAATGAGAAATTAAAAGAACGGAACTTGGATTTATTAAGAATGTGGGAATTAGAAAAGGAGCGTGTTAAAAGAAGAGAGAAGCAGTTGGGTATGGAACAAATGAAAAATAAACAGATCATTGCTCAAATGGGTATGTTAGAGGAAGCAATAATGACTAAGGAAACTTTAAGTGCCTGAGTAGATTTTCTAGAATAGAATTTATAAAGACTTTGTATGTTTTTGTTTAAATATGCTCATTTGGGATTCTGCGCGGCTTGATTTTAGTTCAATTTTGAAATTCATAAACCTACTTAACTGAAAAATAATGTTTTAGTATAACGTTTTTATTATATTAAAAGGATATGCATTTGAATTTTTTGAATATGTTATAAAATTACTTTGTTTTTACTATATCGATTTTTCCTTTTTGCACACTTAAAGCGGGTGTTACCCATTTTTTGCAACTACATGTCATACCCTGCCATGCATATTTTCCTATTCGTGAATTACATTTAGGACAAGTAAATTTTCCTTCTATATTCCCACTATCTAATTCTTTTTTCATCCATATAAGTGGTTCTAGGAAAAAATGTGTACATTGAGAAGAATAAATAGGCATTTTATTCGTCTCGTTAGACAACGGCTCATGATCAATAATATAGTTAGAATTGGCTAGTAAAAATCTGAACAAAATATTTTAAGTAGTGCTGCAAAAAAAATTGTAATATATACCTGCATTTTTTACATTTAAGGCTTATTTGGCCATCCGCTGATTCGTGTTCCATGTATAAAGAAATAGATGGTATTGTTTTATCATCTATTTGTCTTAGCTATTATTTTAAAGAATATATATTCAATACTCAAAGACACGTCAGCCTTATGTTTAAGTAGCCATTGTCTATATTTCTTTTTTTTTTGATTCGGCGTATAGTCACATTCTTCAAATAATTGTAATTGCTCTATAAAACCTGAATTAGGCTGAGCATTTGGATGTGTCTTTTTTATGAATGTAATAGCCTCTTCTTTTGATATTTTCAACGTTTGCATTAAATATGCCGCTGCAATTGTTGTAGACCGCGATATACCTGCTTGACTTTAAAGACATTGGAATAATATTATATATTAAAAACAAAAAATACCAAAAAATTAATATTTTATTTTGTAGGCCTGCATAAAAGCAATCTTGAATAAACTTTATACATTGTTCAAAGTAGTCCACTATAATTTCTTGCTCTTTGTCAAGAATATCCAAAGATAGAACCTTGTAATCTGATAAATCTGCAATCTATGAACCATTAATTGAATATTTCATCCAAAAGCCTTTTTTACATCAGAAAACTCCACTGTTTTTATAATATGTGTAATATTATGCCTTTTTTTTGCAATCTCTTCTTTAAACCCTTTCAAACTGCCAAATCAGCTGTATATCTCTGGTTTTTTATGTAAAGTAACCTTCCAATATATAAATTTTGGAAAACTTCATATAATACACAATCTGTATCACAAGAAACATCTTTTAAACATTCTTCATACTTTTTTTCTCCAAAACTCTTCTCTGCTGCTGCCATTTTGTATTTTTTTTTTGTATTTTTTAATTTCTTTATCACTGATATAATAGGCACATATAAAGACGTTTTTGCCTCTAAATATACAAAATCTCCTCTTCAAAAACTAAATATATGCTTCTAAGACTCTTCTAAAGCTACTTATATCTTTAAACCCTGATTATATGCGTCTTGTATGCGTCTTATATGCGTCTTATATGTGCTATACTCTATCTACTATATATTTACACTATATCTGCATTATATGCGTCCAAAATTCAAGATATATACTCTACTGATTCTTCTTTTTGCCTTCTTCTTCTCTGCTTTTTTCCATCTCTTTCTGCTCTCGACTTATTGGCGTTTACTCGTCCCCGTACATCTCGGTGCAAACGACAGGTACAATAATGACGTTGTATTATTCACTTGGTATATGATTTGTACTATAACAGTGCTAATAATGCTAGTTTTCAGCCTTCTTGTAATTCAGATGGCATTATTTTGTCTTCTTGTTATGCCATTGCCTAAGCGTCTGCGGCGGCGTATGTTTAGTTTTATCTCAACATCGACTATTATTGCAAAAATCCGCTATGGTTCAAAGGTGTGTTTGTGTTTTAGAAGCAATTGTGTATTTTGAAGTGTTTTTTTGCATTTTATTTGGCAGAAAATTGCTTAATATTAGAAATCTAAGATTGGCTGACGTTCTGATTAAGATTACATTTATTTTTATTCTTGTTTTGTTTTTTGATTCAGTAAATCGTGTGTTCCGGGCAGCAGATGATGCAAAACCAGGTGCAGGAGGGGCTCTACGGGATGTATATCGTAGTGATATACAGGCACGGAAGTTTTATTCTCAAAGAAATATGTATCTTTGTGGATTTACGCTTTTTCTTAGTTTGTAAGGGCGTGGAAGCGTTAAAATATGTATTTTTGGATGGTTTATAATATATTTTATACAGGATCATTGACCGTGTATATGGGTTAACGTTACAAGTGTTTAAATATGAAGATATGGTGAATGCAATGAAAGAAATGAGGAATGATGAAACAAGGTCAAAAGCGTTGATAGATGAAATTACGGAGCTGAAGCAGCGGATTATAGATAAAGATAGGGAGTATAGTGAGCTTTCAGAACGATATAGTAAGGAAACACGGACAGGTGAGGATAAAAAGAATATGTAATAAGGTGTTATACAAATGGATGTTTTTTCTTTTTTATCTTTTATGATTTTTTTTTTTTGTTTTTATCTGTTTATTAAGTACGTAGAGACCACTGTAGTTGAGTATAAAAGTAGACTTTAAACATGCAGGATACAATGAGTGTCCAAGCCTAATTCTTGGCATCCTCCAGGTGTATTTGCGTGCAAAACGCTATTTCCCATGAAGTCGAAATCTTTAATATGGAAATTGGTTTTTTGATCAAACTCGTCAATTATAGCTTGAAGCTCTTTTTGAAGATCCAGTATATTCTGCATCCATGTTGGTATTAAAGGGATATTTACAGTAAGTTCGAAGGAACTACAAGGTGTAGATTCTGTGCCAAAAAGTGTTCTTCCAATACTGTCATTAAATTCTTTATAAGAAAATGATTGAGTATAAATGTAATCTATGCTTCGAGATAGAGCTGTCTCTGATGATTTGTGAGACAAACTTAATAAAGATGGACTTGAATCATCAGGAATGGTTGAAGCTAAAAACGGTTGTTTCAAAATAACGGGTGAAACAATTAAATCTTTGTTAGAAAATTCTTCTTCGATTATGCATTTGTTTGAAAATTTGTTTTGATTTTGTTCTCGTATCAGTTTCCATACTTGAAGGTGCTCAATGCCTTTGTTAAAGTCTTTCTCACAACTTTCTGGGTCTACAATGTTAAAATTAGTTTCCAAATATTCTAAACTAATTTCATCTTCAGGTAAATTATTATCGCTCCAGAATTCAGATGAATCATCATTTTCTTCCTGACTAAAGGCTTTATGTGCATGATTTAAGTCTACAACAGTTACTGCTGTATTATTAGATATTTGAGTGTTAACTGTTTCTGTAGAGCAAAGAAAAGCATTTTGTAAGTCTTGCAATATATCTTTGTGTTTAAGGACATCACAACTATCTTTAAGCGGCTTCTGGTATTCCGAATTTTTGCTTTGTGTATTATATTCTTTTGGAATTGATACTAATTTTTCAAATGTTCCTGGAGAATTTAAAAATTCTTTTTTTTGACAAGCATATTCAGTACAATTCTTCATAAACATAGGATTCTCTGAAAGCTTTGTAGGCATCATAGAGAAATGATTTATTGTTATTACAGTGTCACTGAAGCCTTCTTCTGTTATAGTTAATTCTTGAGTGACAGGTCTGCCGAGCTTATCAAGATCAAATTTATCGTCAACATGTATTGATAGCATAACCTCTTTCATCCTGATTTTCTTGTAACTCTTTTGAACTTCATTTTCAAGATAGTTCCAAAGCATTTTATCATTTTTTTCCATTTTATCTATTTTTTTATTCATTTTACTGTTAATCTGTATAGATTGAATAATAAGCATATCTACTGAATCACATGTTCCATTATCTTTATAGAATTCATCTTTAGGATGCCTTTCAAATGAAATCTGACATTCTGAATCCGGATCAAGCATAGCAATTGATGGATGAGCAGTGTAATGATCAGATGTTGGGTTAATTTGAAGATTGAAAGCAACCCTGTGTTTGAGAGATGGATTTTTAACTAATATAGACGCTGTTGAGATCTTATCTTCATATTTTTCAAAACAAAGCATATCTTTAGAAAGTTTTAATGTCATGTTGATAGCAAAGATAAAAGTATAGAGCTTATTTTAATAAAGAATTATTGTTTGTTAATCAAAATCAATAAACAAAATACTTAAAAAAAATTGCCTTTTCAAGGCTTTTTATCATGTTATTTTCGTTGAAGTTTTAAGCTTTTATATGTTGGTTTTATATAAAATGTTCATTATAAAAAATCGCTATGCGTAAAACTCACTCAGGCGATCTTCTTGACATGTCAAAATTAAAAAATGAACGAAATAATATAGTAAGACCAGGAATAGCTATGATTAAACCAGAGTATTTCTTTTACATCTTTGATTCTGTTTTTTTTCTCTTTTTAACTTATATGTTTTTGTCAGATATTTGAAGTGTATAACTAGTTATGAAAAAAAGATAGATGAATTAATTGATAAAAACAAGGAATTTTCTGAAAATAATGTTTCTGATATGAATGATTTTAGTAATTCTTTAGAAGCACCTATTAAGAAACGTAAAAAACAAAGAGGTCAGAATAAAAATAGAAAAATTGTGTTGGAAAAAGAAATTGATCAGTTATGTCCGTATATTTCTGCAGATAAACAATGTCAATATGGTGAAGAGTATGTATAAGTGTTTTTTTGTATTTTATTTATTTATTGTAGCTGTAAATTTTCACATTCTATTGAAGATTATTTGAGTCGAAAACCTGATGATATTGGTAAAGTTTGTAGTGTTTTTGATGCAAAGGGATGGTGTGCTTCTGGTTGGAGATGTCGATGGTTGAATGGACATGTGTTGAAGCCTAGTTTGGACACTAAAACATGGCGTTTAATCGTAGATGATAATGTATATTATTGTGTAATGGTGTAATTCATTATTAATATGGGAATAGAAAGCAGAAATTCATAAAGGGGATGTTCTTAATAAAGTTTCTGCTGATTTTCGGAAGCAGCTTTCTCGTAAATTGTATTTAACACCTAAATCAAGCAGTTATTTGGCTCTTTTGGATGAAAAATTGCACTTAAATAGTTTTGACGATCATGAATCTGAAAATATTGATGCCAATACGCTTAAAGATGTTCCTGTGGATAATACGGAAAAAAAAAGGGTTTCTAGTTACTTTGTTTTACAACATATTTAATAATGATAGATTTGTTGGAAAGATCGAAAGATTCTTGCGCCTTTAACAACAGTCGGGAATATTCCTTTCAGACGTATTTGTTGCTCTTTTGGTGCGGATGTGACTTATTCTGAAATGATTGTTTCACTTCCATTATTACAAGGTTCAAAATCTGAATGGGCTTTACCACGAGCACATATTTCAGAGCGATCTGAGTTAAGAAATGGAAGAAGAGGACTTTTTGGTGCCCAAATATGTGGAAGCAAGCTCTGGCAGTCTATTAAAGCAACAGAGGTTTTGGCTAATGTTTGTAATGAGATTGATTTTATTGATTTGAACTGTGGATGTCCAATTGATTTGATTTATAAACAAGTAAAGTACAGCCTTTTATATTTATTGAAGCTAAGAAAAAAGGGTGCTGGGTCTGCTTTATTAGATTCTCAAACAAAAATGATTAAAATGCTTGGAGGTATGACTTATGTATCTAATTCTATACCAATTACTACAAAAATTCGTATGGGAACCAAAGATAGTAAACCAACTGCAATTAAGTTGATTTCCAAATTAAGAAGAGAACTTAATTTGAGCGCAGTTGTACTGCATGCACGGTCTAGACAACAAAGATATACTAAAAAAGCTGACTGGGAATATATTCGTCAATGTGCTTCTATGATAAGTGCAGTAAAGAAATATGATGCATATAACGAAGATTATAAGGAGAATTCTGAGATAGGAAATCCACCTTATATGGCATTTATAGGGTATTTTTGTTATTTTTTATATTACATTTAACTTTTCAAAGTAATGGTGACATATATAGCTGGGAAGATTGGGAAGCTGCTATGGCATCTGGTGTAGATACTGCCATGATTGCTCGAGGTGCATTAATAAAGCCGTATATTTGATTCAATTATTTATTTTGTTTAACATTTTTAAAGTTGGATATTTGAAGAAATCGAGTCCAAAAAATACATAGATAAAACATCAAGTCAGAGATTAGATATACTCAGACAGTTCTGCGAGTATGGTCTTGATTACTGGGTATTTTTCTTCATTTTTAACGATACATATTCTAATCACTATTTAGGGATCTGATGATTTTGGTGTTAATACCACTCGACGCTTTTTGTGTGAATTTCTTTCGTTCTTCCATCGGTGTGTTAACATGTACTGTTTTTTGTTTTGTTTATTAATACTGAAAGATATGTACCAGTAACCATGCTTGAAGTGCTTCCTCCAAATATTCAAGATCGGCCTCTTGCTTGGCAAGGTCGGAATGAATTAGAAACACTCTTAGCCAGTGAAAATTCTGAAGATTGGGTTAAAATAAGGTGATTATATATTACTGTTTTACTTATAAAAATAACATAGATAGTGAAATGTTTTTGGGCAAAGTAAAAGATAATACATTCAAATTTATTCCAAAACATAAAAGTAATTCATATGAAATAGAAGCAGAAGGCTAATATTTTGTATTATTATGTATTAACAACACTTTATTATGAAAAGAGATGAAATACTATAAACTATATATTTATTCAATCTATTTATATATAAAAAGTCAAATAGATCTTGATAAATTCAAAGAAATGTCTTTATGTTTTTTTGCTCTTTATTTTCTATGCAAACATAATTGACTGAATATCCGATTATTGTAGTATATGTAACGTGTAATGCACGCTATATATATTAAGTGCCTTGAGAACGATAAATATACAATATAGCATATACGTGGCATAAGCAGTACTTGGTTGGTACTTAGTACTGCAATATAACATGCTATATACGATAATACATATTATACTATATACTATAATACACAACGTACTACATTGTACTATATACTATAACACACAACATACTGCATAATATATTGTATATCGTATTACATAATAATATTACATAATAATATTATATAATATATTACATGTTACAATACATATTACAGTAGATAATATAGTACACAATACACTGCATAATACACCACATACATTGCATGCTATATTACATTCTACTACATACTAAATACCTGGAACTCCTTATCTTATTGTACATCTATTTTCTCCCAATCTATCTTTGATATTTTTATCCATCATTCATAAGTACTTCATACCACTGTTTCCCCTGTATAATTCCCACTCTTTTTCTACTTCACTATTTTATGCATGCCTAAGCTCCGTTTCCGTTTTACTATACGATCTTAATTTCAAATTCATTCTTTATTGCTATTATAATTTCCCCTTAATATCATTTCAATACCATTAATAGTATTGATATTGTTTTTCTCTATCTTTTTCTCCTGCATTAACATTAAGCTTTACCCTTCTCTATATATTTTATTTTTTCTGGTAATCCGCTAACTTTATCGATACCCATATGCCCCCATTATTCCGCGCTACATAATATCTTCCCTAATCTGTCCCGTTAAATCTCCTTATATAGATTTCTCCCTATTTGCCCTCAATCCGTTCTACGTGCTTAAACTGGGCAGCCTACTCTAATTGTACTTGTATCTCGCACGGATCAAGGAGATGTGCTAGGAACACCCGCTTCTCCCACTACTAAATTCCTCTTTAGTCACTTCTATTCCTCTTAGTTTTCTTCATCTAACCAGATTAATCCTGTTTTTATGTATATAATTGTTTTTTTTGCTTTTCTCCTATATACATCTATATACATCTATATACACTTTTGACACTCCAACTACACTTTTAAACACTGTAAACACTGCAAATACACTTTTCTTTTCTAATGCACTCTTTCTTTTTTAAATACACTCTTTGCTTATAAATACCATCTAAACTATGACGGCCAGCTCCCTCTGCTCCTTTCATTCCATATCCCCGACTCCTTCATAACACAACCACTCGTTATGTATGCATGTAACAACCGGACTATATGCATGTAACATTCAAACTTACGCATATACACAAACATCCCACTATCATCCCTATACATCTCACGTACCTACATATCCCTCCATTTCTGCCATCCTCTCCTTGTATATGCGTCCAAGAATATGCATGTAATATGTAATATTACTTTCCCTCCTTAACCTCTATTACATGCATACATATGCCTCCCAGTATTGTCTCGCGTGCTCAATTTCCCCTCGATAAGCCGCTCTCTCCGCTTTTGGCCTTGATTAAGCGTTCATCGGTACGCTCCTCCCCGTTTAGGGAAAATACTAACGGCCCTTCGGAATAACCCAACCATGACGGAAACTTAGGGGAAACCGTGACGGGCCAAGGCGTGGGATTAAAAGACGCGGTGAGGAGTCCGGGATACTTCTACGAGTCAAGCAGAGCAGCTCCGACAGGGCGGAGGACGTGAGGGTTTCTGGAGGGTATAGGCACAGTAGTGCATATACAGCGCATACACAACGCATATAGCACGCATATACACCGCATATAGCACGTAAAAGCCATCGCCACTGTATTGCCAGCACTAGCCGATGTCTTTAAGTACCAGTATGCAGAGTCCTATGGACGTTCGTCGAGAACGCTCTGCAAATGACAGTGTATATGCTTCTTGGAAATACGGTAGTTTATCCACCAGTCTCCAAGGACAAAGTTTTTTGAGATCAGGGGGGTAAGTCTGCGTATATTTGTATATTTTGAGGCTTATATAGGGACAGAAGCACATTAGAATCAGAAGATGGGTTTGGATGTGAAGAACTTTTATGCCCAAAGCTTGAGATATCATTTTGTAAAGATTTTAATTGCTGTGGAGTTTTGCTGCGTGATCTGCATGATTTATGCCGACACTATGAAGAAGCACATGTACGTGTCGAAGATGAAGGAATATTAGTATCGGGAGCACATTGTTTGCCGGGAGGAGCACTACCGTGCCGCCCGGGACGCCCGGGATGGGACGGGAAGGTCAGGGGAGAAGGCTATGAGACATATGGTTTAGATATGGAACTTGATCAGGAATTTGCATTTGATCATTTGTTTCAATCATTATCAGATACAGAGAAACAGGGGCAGAATGTAGTGCCGTTATCGGTATCGACACGGGACTTTTTATTATCATCATCAAATATGTCTACGCCGTCGTCGTCTATGCCGTCGACGCCGACGTTTGACTCATCACAAGAGTTTCTTGTGGTGGATATGGAGGATACGGAGGGGGCAGTGTTGAATGGGACGTCATTGCTGGCAGAGGAGTGGGTGAAACAGCAAATGATGAAAAAACAGCGTCAACAAGGGATTTCATTGTCGGATACAGAGTCTCAGGGGACGATTGACTCGCCAGGATCGAATTTTGTGGTGGTGGACAAGCCGTACAAGTGTCCAGTGCCGGGGTGTGACAAGGCGTACAAGAATCAGAATGGATTGAAGTACCACAAGCTTCATGGGCATTGTACGTCGACGATGATGCTGCAGGATACGATTGTTCCTGTTGCATTTTCAAATGAAGGGGTGGTGGTGGCGCCGAAGGGGAATCCCGTTGTTGAGAATAAGCCGTACAAGTGTGAATTGTGTAATAAACGGTACAAAAACCTGAATGGACTCAAGTATCACAAGGCACATTCACATCGACAAATAAGTATGGCTCAAGTGCAAAGGGAAGTATTGATGCAGGGCTGGTGACCGCGTTTTGCTGCACAGGTTTCTTTCCTTTTTTGGGATTCGTTTTGGATTTGATGCTTGGTGATTGTATTTTGGTTTTATTCAATCAAGAAATTTAGTGTGTAGCTATATGTGTGATAGATTACTGTTTCCGATAGGTTTCGATAGGTCTTAGGGGGGTGTGTGGGTCTAGACAAAAGGCTTTACAAAATATTTTATCCATGTTTTTAAATGTCATTTACGAAATATTTTTATTCACGTCTTTTAGGATGCCATTTACTACGGTAATCGGGTTTTATTTGTTAGGGTTATAAGAGTTATTGTTATCTTGGTATTTGTGCTTTACGAGTATAAATCGTTGTATTTTTTATTTTTATACTTGAGTCAGATTTTAAAATGGGTTGTGTATCATTTAGTTTTAATTTGGAGACGTGGTTCTGTTATATATAATGTTAGCTTTTATTTTGATTTATGTTTTTTCCATCATATATTGCTATGCTTTTTCTCCTTGGGTGCTGGGCGGTTGCTCCGGCAACCTTTGTGTTTACCTTGTTTTTGTAATTATGTACATAAGACTTCCTGCTTGTTTTTCTGAATTAATTGTGTTATCTTTTTATTATTTTGTAATCTTTTTGTATGTATTTTATTGTTTTAATTCCCTTTTACCTTATTCTGGAGTTTTGTTTTGTTTATCTCGACTTTCGTCTCCTTTTGCACGATGTTTGTAGCGATCTCATAATATACAAGCTGAGATAAGAGGTTTGTGGGGAAGAAAATAATTGATAAATACAAGCAAAACGTGCTTCATTTGTTTTTCATACTTCTTGGCACGTTTGTGTTTTTAGATTGATTAAAAACGACTTGTTTAGGCATAAAACTCTATATCTTTGACTGATTGTTTATATCTGTTTTTGTGGTAATCCTGGATTTGAGTATCTAAGTGTGTTTTTATATACGAATTATATCGTCTCTTTTAAAAGCGTGTGTTTTTTAACTTGTATACTTGAATTTCTTCAAGAATTGATATACACATCTTGTTTATAAATAAACAATCTGTTATTTCTATTGATTAAAGTGGAAAATAAGGATTTATACGAGTATTTTTGTCTGTTGTTCTTCGGTAACTTTTCAGCTTTTAAGAGTATTATTTTAATATATTAAAATATTGTCGTTGGAAACGCTTATCTGTTCATAAGTATGACGGCAGTATTACAGCAATTACCTTTACCGCCTCCTCGGACTTCTTCACTTCAGAACCAACAGTTTAAAAGTGATCACTTTCATTCATCTAATAATTTAGATTGTAAAATAAACACAGAGTTGCATGAAACACGTTTTGGAGATTACATTTTAGGGCAGACTCTTGGTGAAGGGGAATTTGGGAAAGTTAAGCTAGGATGGCCAAGACGGAGATTTCTGCAATCATCTGATGGTCTATCCCGGTCAGATGTTGAAGTATTTATTAATTTGTGTTTTTTATTTAGCTCTCTAAGATATCTTTTAGGTAGCGATTAAACTTATTCGAAAAGATTCAATTAATGGTTCACGCACACGCTTGAACAAAATTAAACGTGAAATATATATATTGCAACGTGTCTGTCATCCGAATATTGTTAGGCTTTTTGATGTAATAGAGACAAGTCGATACATAGGTATTATATTGGAGTATGCCAGTGGTATGTTCTGTAGTTTCATTAGGTTTTTCATTAACTGTCATTTTAATAAGGCGGTGAGCTTTTCGATTTTATTCTTCTTCATCGGTATCTTAAAGATAATGTTGCTTCTAAGCTTTTTGCACAACTTATTAGTGGTGTACTTTATCTTCATAGAAAAGGAATAGTACATCGTGATTTAAAATTGGTTGGTTTTTTATTTCAAATGTGTTTTATTAAGTATTGTGAAGGAAAATCTTCTGCTTGATAGGAACAAAAATATTATTGTTACTGATTTCGGATTTGCTAATGTTTTTGATGTTGGAGATAATTTAAACTCTTTTAGTAATATGGATTGTTTTGATGGAAGGTCTCTAAAAAGAGGAGATCTTATGCAAACTAGTTGTGGTAGTCCATGTTATGCTGCACCGGAATTGGTTATCGGTGAAGGCTGTTATGTTGGTAGAAAAGTGGATGTTTGGAGTTGTGGTGTTATTTTGGTAACTTTAATGTTTCGTTTTTGTTTGTTTATAATTTATATTTAGTATGCTATGCTTGCTGGATATCTTCCTTTTGATGATGATCCAAATAATCCCGATGGTGATAACATAAATTTGCTATATAAATATATTATTAATACACCTCTTACATTTCCTGAATATGTTTCTGCTCTTGCTCGAGATCTTTTAAAGAGACTTCTCGTTCCGGATCCTAAACGGCGTGCTTCATTGCAGGACATTACAATACATCCTTGGTTAATTCATCATGTGGAATTATTTGATATTGCTACAGATATTGCCGAGGCCTCTACATCTAATCCTTTATATGATAGAAGACATGTATCTTCGAGTATTATGTCGCAGCCAAAATCTAATTTGAGAGCTAATTGTGAAAAATATAGTTATGTTAATTCTGGTTCATCTTTGGGATATATGTCTAGAGGACAACAAATATCACCCGCATTGAGTAAAAATAAACGTCATACTGTGCATATAGATTATGTGCAGCAACAAACACAAAATCATAAAAATTCTGTTATTACTGATCAAAATTGCTATCTAAAACGTAATTCTGTTAATGATGACCTTAATGATATGATGTCTTCTTTAGATATTTCTTCATCTACGACTCAAAATGCAACATGTCATGATTTTATTTATAGTTCATTATCGGTTCTTAAACCTGTTTTTGAAAGCAATAAAGCATCATCTGCTAAAGGATTAACAAAAGTTTCGGCGACACCACAATTAAACAAGTTACCTGTACCCCTTAAAAAACCTCGACCTACAAGTTACCAATCTCCTATTGGTATTTTCGATGATTCAAGTATGAATTTAATGCATTCTTTGCATGCAAATGGGCATAATAATCAGGTCAAACGGAATAGTACTTTTATACCTGTGACAAATTTTGCACCTTCAAAAGCAGGTTCTTCATATGAGAAAAATGATTTATATGCATCACGGGCTACTCCTTCATTATTACCTATACCAATTGTTTCTAAAAATGTAGAGTCTTCAAGATCTCCTACAAAATATACTCCAATACAGACTATGGATACTCGATTAGGGACATTACCATCTGATGATAAACATGTTAAAGAAAAAGCAGTTAACACCCATAAGCGTGGATCAAATAGTATTTCTATTGGTGCAGAGAGATTCTTTGGGAAAATATGGAATGGTAATTCACATAATTCATCACGTAGTTTATCCATCGATAAAAATAACAAAAATGTATCACATGTTGCTCATGTAGATTTATTAATTCATGCGGAGTCAGAGACTATGTCTAAGTTGAATATAAAAAACAAATCATCTAAGGCTTCAAAACAAAAGAAAATGTCTATGAATATAAATGAAAAGAATAATGGCACTGCACGTGTAATGGAATGGTTTACAAGAAGACGAAAAAGTAAGGACGTGACATAATTAAATGATTGAAAATAGTCATTTTTATTACTAATAATCATTACAAAAAAAGCGTTAACACAGCATGGTATAAAAAACATGATAAAGTGCCTATTATACCTTTAATAGATATTCTTTGAGTATTATTTTTTGTTTGTAGCTTTACAACATATCATTTACAAGTTGTTTAGAATACCTTTATCATTTTAATGAATTTTATCAAGTAATATGAGTATAGATTTATTATTTACTTTTAAAAGTTTTTGATTATTTTAAAGCAGATAAGTAGCATATTTTGCTGTGTGTAAAAAATTATATAAGTTTCATAGAACTTTTTTTCAAAATAATTCATTTAAAAATACTATATAAAAGAAAATTATTGATTCTTATTCTAAAACTTCGTTATTTTCGTTAAGAATTAAAAACATTATTTTCATGAAATAATTATGAAGAAATTTAAATGGCTGATTTAAAAGCTGAAAAACTGTTAACATTTTTTGCAAGCAAATCTTTATATGTAAATTTAACTTGGATTGAGCAAATTCTGCAAAAACATGTTTTTTCTAATAATGAACAATTGGAGCAACAAATAATGCATTTATTGTTGAATTCAGACGTTAAAATAACGTTATCCTCTAAATCATGTTTGCCTGAGAATGTATTGGATTTACATAATCATGTATTGCCTGGTCCATACTGTTTACAAGTTATACAAGTTCAAGATATTGGAATGAGTATATTAAATCAGTTAGAATATTTAGAGCAATATGACGACTTTGGTCGTGTAAAACCATTTAATACTATAAAGGATAATGATTCAATAGAGGATAACGATTTAATAGATGATAATGAAAAAACTGTAACAATGAAAAAAATGATCAAATTAATGCTTGAAGATTCATCTGGTCGTTATATATGGGCAATTGAATACAAACCAATAGAAGATATTAATTTAAAAATGAATCTTGGATCTAAGGTAAATATATTGTTTCTATTCAATATAATATTAAAAAAAATGTATAAATAGATACTATTAACAAATGTTCTTGTTCTTAGAGGCGTTTTTATTTTGGATTCCCTAAATTCCTCCTTTTTAGGTGGAGAAATTTTAGAACTAAATCAAGGTTATTTTCCTCGTGGGCTTAGTCATCAATTAATGTATGAACTTAATAAAAATTCTAAAAATACAGAAAATATATAACCATTAACTATTTCTTTATTATGATTTTCTGACTTTTTTTTATTCTTATAGTTCTATGAAAATAACATTGACATTGTACTTAGAAATGTATACATTATATATCTACAAACCATATTAAGTTATATATATAATTTGTTGCCACACGTAATTTACATATTTAACATCATGTCAATTTGTCTCAACTTTAATTTATAAACACAAATATACATTTATAGTTTTGTTTTATACTTTTGTTACAAAATTTGCTAGAATTTTCTAACTTAAATACAAAATCATCAAGATTTAATACTAAAATTGTTTTTAGTTTTAATATATTTTTTTATAAAAGGAGCTTAGAGTTTTTACCATTGACACTAAAATTGCTTATAAAAGTCTGCAGATTATCGATGTCGTTTAAATTACCACTAATTTTACTAACTCCTATTTTATTACTACTTTAATAGTATTTTAGTAATGTTTTGGTTTTGTTTTAGCTTTATTTTAACTCTATTTTAGTTTTGTTTAGTTTTTTTAGGCGGTTTTTGGGAGTATTTTTTATTATTTTAGTATTATTTAAATATACAGTCTAACTATGATTATATTAGCACTTAATATGGTACTTCAGGTGCTTTTTGATGTCTTTTTAACGTTCTCTTAATGGAATTGTGTTCTGGTTGCTCAAGATTTATATAGGATTGCCCCTGAGGATGTTATAGAGCAGTGAATAAGGAGTTTAGGAGTAAAATGTTTTTGAGTTTTTCTGTCTATTTTTTATATGATGTTACTGTCTCCTGAATCTAAGATTGGTCTTATTCTTAATTACCGCTTTGAAATCACGAATATTCTAGGTATAGGTTCACATGGAACAGTGTATCTTGCAATAGATTTATATACAGGAGTGTATTATGCAATCAAATCACTTTTGAAAACAAAAGATGTTCGTGAGCGTGTAGAAAGGGAAGTAATGTTGCATATGCGGGCTCAGTTTCACCCGCATATTGTTTCTATTCGTGAAGTTCTGGATTCACCAGAGTGTTCTTATATTATAATGGAATATTGCTCAGAAGGAGATCTTTTTACCGCAATTACAGAGAGGAACTGGTATTATAGAAATGATGCTTTGATTAAGATGTCTTTTTTGCAGCTGATTGATGCAGTTGAATATTGTCATTCTCTGGGGATTTATCATTGTGATCTTAAACCGGAAAATATTCTTGTTTTTGATTCAGGGAGAATTATTAAGTTGGCAGACTTTGGACTGGCAACGACTGATGTTTATACTACAGAATTTGGGTGTGGCTCAACATTTTATATGTCTCCAGGTATGTTTTGTGCCATTTTCTCGTAATTTATGAATCAACTATTTTTAGAATGCCTTAAATCAAATGAAAATTCTTTATATTATGCACCTGCACCAAGTGATGTTTGGTCATTGGGTGTTATATTAGTGAATTTAGTTTGTGGATGCAATCCATGGAAGCAAGCATCTTTTATACATGATGAGACTTATCGAGCTTTTCTTAAAAAAACAATTTCTCTTCGTTCAATTTTACCACTTTCATTTGAATTGGATTTAATTCTTCAGCGTGTTTTTGATCCTAATCCAGTTACTAGGATTACTCTTACAGATCTGCGTATTTCTATTATGAGTTGTGAGAAATTTACTGCTTCATTTGAATGCAATAAAGACGTTGCAGATTTTATGGAAAACTGTTCTTTGTTTTATGAAAATAATGTTAATAAGGCATCTGCTAATCGACTTTTGACACCGGTTTCTTCTTTTTCTTGTCAAGAAAATTCAATGACACCATCTATATCAAGAAAAAATACTGCATTAGATCCCTTGAATATTCCTGTAACTCCGGATTCTCCTAAACAGTTTTTTTAAATGTATATCAATAATTTTCGTTGAAAGTAGAGAAATTATTTTATATTTAAAATTTAGGGATTTTTTGTTAATCTTTTGAGCATTATCTAAATATTCTTGGAATATATTTTTATTAGGTTTTCGTTTTTTCGGGTTTTTAAATATTTTTGCATGATATTTAGTCGTTATATACATTATTTATATATATTTAAGTATCATTGAATTATTTAGTTATTTAGGGTTAGGCTTTTTAAAATTATGTATTTAGTGGAACGATATTTTGAATATTTCAATGAGTTATTTATTGGCATATAACTAGTTTTAATGGTCATATTTATTTTTCGGGTATTCTAGTGTATAATAGTTCTTGCGCATTTTATTGGAGTAATTTCTCTTGGATATATCGTTGATTAAAATTGGACGTTATGAAATACTTTTTTAGAGTTTTCTAATATAATTTTTTGATTCATGTCTTATTTTTTTTAGAATTTTTATATTTTAATGCTATTGTTTCGGATTTTATAGAAATTTTATAAGAAGCATTGTTTTAATTTATTATAAAAATATCTTTATTGTAAAAATACTTGAAATTTTGACGTATATATGTACGAGAGTAGCAAAATGCACGTACTCGGGATCGAACCGAGGACCTCTCGCGCGTAAAGCGAATATGATAACCACTACATCATACGTGCTGAATACTGAATGCTCTGATTTTATGGTATTTAACTAAATTAATATAAATAGGAATTAAATATTTTTTAATAATAATTATAAAAATTGTCAATGAGACTAAATAATAGAAATGATTCTTGTATTTATAAATAATTTAAAAAAAAACTTATGTTTATTATACTAATGATATTTAAATTAAATCTATATGTTAATTTAATATATTATATGAGGATAATGGTTTGTTTCAACTAAAATTTGATTCTAACTACTTTCAACATGAAAGTTTTTAAAATAGTGTTTTAAAATAGTATTGATAAAAGATAATCTGAAAGCTATTAAACGAGTGTTATTTCTATAAAACTCGAATAAAATTATTTAAGAGCATCACAGAATCATTAATAAATGTTCATAAAACATCATTTCTTGATATCGAAGTTTCTTTAATTCATCTAGAATTAATATATTTTAAATTTATTAACTTACTTCTGAAATAAATGATAAGTCTGTATACTGCGATATCTTCTCTTATATGAATAGTTAATATATTTTGTAAAATGCTTTTATTCTTGCATGTTTTTATTCTTATAGTTTCTTCTAGAATAATAATCACTTTTTTCACGAAATGTACTTGGTTTATTAAATGATTCTGTATGGCTTTTTGACTCCTTGTTCGATGATTGTTTCGTATAATCATGTTTCTTAATAATTTTCTTGGGTTCATTTTCTGTTTTATTTATAGATGAGTCAGCTGTAGACTCGGTCTTTTTTGTTGGTTGTGAAGAATCATATTTTTTTTCTTTGTTAAATACATTTGAGTCATACAACCTTTCCCTATTAGATGGTTTAAGAATTTTAACTGATGAATTGGTTGTTAGTGAAGAATCTTTTTTCAATGGATTTTTGTGAATCCTTTTATAAGAGTTAGCTTGTCTTGGAAAAAGTTCTTCTGGATGCATAGAACTCTCTTTTCTTGCATCTGGACTTTCCAGTTCTTGAGATTTATTTTTATTTTTATTGAATTTTCTTGAAAAGCCAAACCCCCCTTGTGATTTAATTTGTGTTGTTATTGCATCTGCTTTTGTTTGCGCAGATGCTTTCTTTTCTGATGTGTATTTTTTTTTAGATTTTAAAGTAGCTGTCTCTTTTTGTACTCTTAAATACTCAATTAATGGAGTAATTGTGCCAATAGGTGCCATATCATCTAAAATATTATTTTAGCTTACTTCACATGTCAAAACTATACTAACCCTCCTCCTTTTTGTTTTGTGCTTCTTCTTCTGGATTCTTATTTGTATTTTTCAATGTTTCTTGAAAAGCTATAAATTCTGCATCTAAAAAATGTTTTGCAAAAAGGCTTTTAAAAAAAGGTACTACATACCATCATCAATTGTTCCTTGTCTAGCATCATGTTTTTGTCTTTCTAACCGAGGAACTTTTTGAAACGGTGCAAATTCAACAAGTACTCGTTGCCCCTTACCTAATTATCATTAATTTTGCTTATATTTAAAAATATATTTCTAACCCTTCTCATCTGTAAATAAATGTGCTCCAAAGCCTTTATGAAACGCAATTAATGCTTCTGGTGATTTAAATTTAATATATGCCCTTGCATATTTATCATTTTTATTTCGGCTAAAATTAAATTTAATATCTGTTGATAAAGTACTATAAATCTTACTTAGAAGATACTTTTCCTGGGTAAAATGATGACCATTCAACGCGTTCTTCATCTATCCATTCTTTGACTAGTTCTTTAAATGTTTGTTCTGAAAGATCAGGAGGTAAATATCGGATAACGACTTTCAGTCGAGTAGCTGGTTGAGGACGCTTTGTTATGGTATTTTCTTTAATATTAGGCGTTTTTTTCTCCATTAAAGTATTTATTGTTGATTCTTGAAAACATGCCGATTTATAAGTTATTACGTGATGATTATCAGATCGTAAGTACAAAAAATTGGATTTTATGATTTATGAAAAAATATATCTCTAAAGTCAGCATTATTAAGAGATGCATGTTTTGTATGTATTTGTTTTGTTTGCATTGAGTCGTTGTCGTTAGATATTTTAAGTCGTTTTCTAGACAATATTGTGTTTTTTTCATTTATAAAAAGTCTTTCTCGTCTTGCTCTTGGATCATTTATTTTTGGAACAATCAGACTTTGATCTAGCAATGGTTTTCTTTTGAAAAAATTAGAATGATTTAAAGAAAAAGAGTTATTACTTTTTGGGTTTATGTTGTAACAATGTTTCAACAGTAACGATACGTATTTTTTTATCTGAAAAAGCGTATCCATCTAATGCCATAGCTGCTTTTCCTGCATCCTAAGAAAATAAGTATGTTTTTTAGAATTCTAGTATAGTTTGAATTTTTACCGATGTGTTTTTATATTGAACAATGGCGCCTTGATGATCAGGTCTTAGTTCAATTTTGTCAATATCTCCATAAGCCTTAAATACGTCTTCGATTCTTGTCTGATTAACTGTATCTGGAAGATATAAAATACCGAGAGATCTATTTTTGATATCATGAAAACGTAAGCCATGACTATTTTTTTTTTCAGGGTTTAAATCTTCTGAGGAAAATATATTCGTGTTGTTTTCTTTTTTTTCAATTGTATTTTTGTTTTTTGCTTTTACAATTTTTACAGATATTGTGTTTGAGTGCAATTCTTGTTTGTCTGCATCTAATGCAGATAACGCCTGTTCTGCTGTAGAATAAATTATATAGCAAAAACCTTTATGATGTTTGGAATTTCTGTCATTAATAAGACGTACACTTTCTAAAGTTCCATATTTTGAAAATAAATCTATTAAGTCATTTTCAGTCGATTCATGAGAGATATTAGAAATAATAATTTCTCTCCCTTCTGAACTACTATTTTTAATATAGAAAAAAATGGGAAATTGTTTTTACGATGCTTCTTTTCTGTCTTCTTTTTTTGATGAATCTGATATATTAACTATAAGTTTATATTTTTTTTCAAACATTTGGCCATGTAAAGAAAGAGATGCTAGTGCTTGCTCCTATGAATTTTATTTTAAAATTTGAATATATATAAATGCATATTTATAAATACCGGATATTTCATTTGAACATAACAAAATCTTCTACGTGAATTATAACGCAAACTTGGGAAACGAACTTCAATTACATCACCATACTAGATATATAAATTAAATATAAAAAGATTTAGTTATAACGAACTTTTTCAAAAAGGTTATGAATAAATTTTTCGTCTGCTGATGGTGGAAAATTCGTTACCCACAAAGTTGTTTCCGTAGCTAATTCAACTAATATTTCATTTTGATCTAATTTTTTGTAATTTTTGGTTAATGCACTTTTTGTATCTTCCTTAAAAAAAGTAAATAATAAATAATTAAGTAAAAGAGAGATAGACCAAATTAGCAAATTCTACGAAAGCTGTTGAAGAGTTATCGGATATTTCCTCTATAATTTTTGTATTTATAATTTCACCACACTATATTAATTAACATAAATTATGTAATATTTTAAAGGATTTACTCCATAAAAAAAGTTATGTAATTGTTCTACAGATATTGACTTTGGTAGTCCAGTTACTCTAACAGTAGTATTTTCTCTATTTCTATTCAAAATAAACAATTTATAATGATAATAAATATGTGATTACCGTTTGATTTTGTCTTCATTTTTATTTTTACTTTTTTTATGATTTGAAATTTCTTCAAGATTCATTTCTAATTCTTGAAGTGGTTGATTCTTCTCAATTTGAATGTTTATTAATTCCTAGAAAAAGTTATTTATACTTCGTTAAAAATTAAGATTACTTTTTTCTTTATTCGTTGTATATTTTTTATTCCTTTATGTATGATGGTTTCTGCTTTTTCTAGTAATTCTAATGTCCCTTCTTCTATAACAAAATCTCTATATATTTCAAAAACTAATTCAGGAAAATCTAAATGTTTTAAACTGGCATTTTTTAATATATTTATTGCGTTATTTATTTCTCCATAATGTCTAATATATTAGATATTTTGTAGCAAAAGATTATAAAATACCTTTCCCATATAAAATACTGTAACCAATATTTCGTTTCTGTCGTATGGATCTTTAATATATTTTTCCAAATTTTACGTGCTTCATCTATATTTCCTATTTTTGTAAATATAGAAATTAGTATTTTTTCGAGTCTTTTTTGGTTGTCTGTTGTTTTAAATACTAGAAATGTAAGTTTGATATATGTTAAATTGGATTTATACTGTTTTTAAGTAATTTAATTGATGTTTGGAGTTCTGTTATAGCATATTGTACTTCTTCATTATTATTATTCCACTGTGTAATTCTACGTTTACAGTATCCACACCAAGCTTCCATAACTTTTACAAATTCATTTATATCATGAAAAAGTGTTCCTGAACTTATTGAACGATCTTTAATTGCACATAGTTCTTGTAAAGGATAATTATTATGTTCAAGGATATATATATAGTATTTCCAAGGAATTCCACTCCATGGATAGTTTTTAATGGACCTTTGAAAGAATTTCTCATTTATTTTAGTATAGGTTGATTTTTCAACCTATCTATTAGTATTGTAAAAAAAAAACAGCTGATTACCATAAATTGAATGTAATCTTCCCAAATGTTAGCAGATAATGGATAACATTTAAGTAATCGCTCAAATAATATACATATTAGTTCTATTTCTTGAGGTTTTTGATGTAATTCCCATTCTAGATATTTAATAAACTCTTCGTAAGCGTAATTGGATTGTGAAAGCTGGATTTCATGAAAATCTCTTGCTTGGTATTTTATTAATGCAGGATTATATATTTTGTTTGTAGCAATCATGATTTCTTCATAATTGGGATTATCATAATTAGTTATGAAACTAGAAAAATCCGAAAAACAATTTTCCATTCCTAAGGATTAATTATATGTCTTGTTTCACACGTTTTAGAGTACCTAAATGAGGGATGCTTAGTCTCTCTATATAAATTTGTTTCATATGTTGAATATTTTCAAAACTAATTAGAATATTTAAATTAATAAATAATTAAATAAATAATACCTTGGATTTTCCTCTAATAAAGCAGTTTTATAATCTTTATAAATAGACCATATTTCATGACTCTAAGATAATTAGGATCGTATATGGGTAATTTATATTACTTTTGAAATATGATATTTGGTAGCTGAGTATGCTTGAAGACATATGTTTTCGAAAAAATTGTAATTAAATATTTCCTTGAATTCGGAATCTCCATCTTTAGATGCGATTTCTATATTTTCTTTAATATAAATTATATATTTTTTCCATAAATTGATAGCTATTATAATATTATTTTTTTATAATAATTAATTATTAAATTTACAAAGATAATCTTCGACTGATTTAGCGTAAAGTTCTAATAGAGAAATTTTATCATCAAGAGTTGATACTGATTTTTCCTCGTCGTCTAACCATTCTATCCACATTTCTAATAATATGAAAAAGTTATTTGAAAAGAATGGGTTTCTATAATAATACCTTCAGTTAATGGAAAGTAAAGTTGCATTGCTTCACGTGCACTTTTTAATTCGTCTCTCATTTTATGTTTTTTAAATAAATTAATATATTCAATATGTGAATCATAATGAAATGGTTGTTTCATTAGTTTATCTAACAAAGTATTGATTTTTTCTAAATCTTCTGAGATATCAAGATCGTTATCATTTTCCATTTCTTCGTCTGAAACGAGTTTTTCTTCATCATTTGTACTCATGGCTGTATACGCTTTAGATCTCAAAAAGTCAAGGGCAATATTCAACGAAATCGTATTTTCACTCAAACAAATATTCAATTTTACAAAAATGAAAAAAAATGTACAAATTTACAAATACATGAAATTGTATTATCTTATGTACTATACCCCAAGTCCTTGACTATTTTTAATTTAAAGGAAAAATATACCATTAGTGATGTTGAAAGTGTTATGTCGAAGTTTTATACCAATATATACTTCAAAGGGAAAATTGTAACTCTTATTCTCGTTTTAAGTCTCCAGTAACGAATCTTAAGTATGGAGGAACTTCTAGTTGATTTTTAAGGAAAAAAAGCTTTAAATTCCTGAAACATGAGTTATAAATGAATCGTGTATATGTGCACGCGTGTGCACATCTATCGGTAGTGCTTACCTGGCTTTGTCTTTAAGTTGTACTTGATTTCTGTCTTTCAATGCTTCGCTGATTGTGCCCCCGGCACCGTAAAGAGTAAGAATTTGACTCCAATGGGGCCCTTTAACTTGATCAAGGCCTGCAAACAGGGCTTGTTCCTCTTCCTTGGACCAGGGACGCCTTTGTGTTGGTTTCCCCCGTCGAGAAGGTGATGGACGAGCTGCTTGGCGTGCTTGTTCATAGAGCTGTTGTGTGGAAATTGCATGTTCCGCTGTGGGTGAAAGATTAAGATGTAAATTAGATTCTAACAACGATGTAAGTTCATACGTTTCCAAGTAAAATATTCGTTTTCACTCCACGAGGAAACTTACCCGTAAATATGTTCGTATCGACTCCATTCAAAGCCATTGCTGTTGCTTCATCTGTACCATCATGCAAGTCTTGTATGTGTCCCATTTGCTGCATCTGTGCGATATGCTGCATATGGGATATGTGATCGGGCTGAGTCCCGTCTGGGTCTTGATTCTGACGGTATAATGCTGCAACTTGAAGAACCGGACTCGATCCATGTCCTTGACTTGGTGCTTGTATTTTAGATCCTATACGCCGTTGCCGACGAATCTAATCATGACGTATGGTTAACGGTTCGGTCCATTATGGATATATACCGTGCAACTCGACGGAAAAATACTTACCGGTTGAGAAACGATGGATTCATAATTCCGTGTAATGTACTCGGAAACGTCGCGGAGAAACACTTGCCATACATATTTCTCGCTCAAGTTCTCGTCTACGGGAAACTTGGCAAGCTGCTTCCTTGTTAGTCCTAACCCCAGTATATATTCTCCTCACGTGATTCCGCCTTGATTTGCACCGGGCTACAAAGTCACTCTCATTCGGTGTCAGGTTTTTCGCCCCATTTCTCCGCCGTAGTAGAATCTGGTCCATGTCTGGCGGGAAAAGATCGTTTAGAATCTCCTCCTTCGGTTTCTCCCCTTGATCCATTGCACTGATATACGCCTGCGTCTTCAGATTCAAAAAAAGAGCACTTTGTGACTTGAGCAGCCTCGCTCCGTCTGGTACAAATGTGTCTAGGAAGTGTTCGTTCAGGTGGAAAAACCCCACCTCAACCGATCCAAAAACCGATGATACAAATGTCGCCAGATTCACCTTCCGGATCGTTGCCCGGTGCTGTGGTGCCCGTAGCTCCAGCAGGTCCGGGTTCAGAAAGGCTTCTGTCGAGTATAGCTTTTTCACCTCTGTCTCTATCAGCCCTGCCCTGCCCTAACTCCCAAACCCACGGTTAAAAAGCGAGGTAAGTGTCCGATATGCCTGTCCCTTGGCCGTATCGGGCCGTGTGACGATATTAAGTGTTTCTTGGTGTGGTCCCTTCCCCAGAATCGACAGGATCTGCGACGACTTGTCCCATTAGCCTTTTATTCCTTTTATTTCTCTGCCAGCGCTTTCTGTTGCTTCTGCAGCCTCTTGCTGCTTCTTGTAGCGTCTTGTAGCGTCTTGCAGCCTCTTACAGCCCCACTCACCAGATTGTCCAGGATCGGCAGCGACTGGATACACAGGTGCTGGTTCGGGTCCAGTATTCCCCGATGTCCCTCGCCCTGCACTCCCTGCAGAAACCCGTGTGTCTCCTCCCGCACCCCTCTTACCCCCGGGACACCCGGAAGGTGCTCCAGCATCGACAGATCTGCGTGGAACCCTGAGGCAAGCTCCTGCTGGATCTCTTCCAGTCCTCCCCCCCCTTCTTCGTGGTGCCCAACCTCCAGGCCCTGTCCAAACGCCTCATGCTCCAGCACTTCAAGCTCTGCCTTCAGTTTTTTCTTATGGAATCCCCCGTATTCTTCTCTTCCCGAGACACTGTTTGTCTCGTCAACGTATCCCCTCCGTTTTTTTTCCATTTCTTCCTCCATAAATCCATTCAGTCCTCCTGCACACTGTGCACGTCCTGTGCTTCCTGATTTCTATCAGTTTTTCCGCTTTTTCGTGTTTTCCGCCTCTACGCCTCACATACCCATCTACTGCTGCCTAACCCGCGTCTGTACCCTAACGAGCTGATACGGAGACCTGCGTGGGCTCCACCGCCACAGCCCTAAGAGTTCTATGACCTTTTACCGACAGTATGGCCTCGTTCTTGCACGTGTAGCTGCAATCTTGCGTTTGCACTTGCTGTGCCGCTGTGTGGCGAGTTTGGCTCGGATATATCTGCCGGGTGGCCGGGTTAGGGTTGTGGTTAGGGCTGGGGTTAGGTGTGTTTTGAGTGTGCTGCCCGTATCACGTGCATGTCGGTGCGTGTCCGAGCGTCTGCGCGTGCATATGCGTGTATGTCAGTGTATATATGCGTAGCGTATACATGTCTATGTGTATATATGCGCATACACTGTGCATATGTACTGTACCAGCGGTCTATCGCACGTGTGTATGCGCAGTATATGTATAGTATGCACAGTAGCATAGCTGTAGTGCATACACCGCAGAGTGCATGTGCAGTGCATGTGCAGTGGACGTGTTATATGCACATACGCCCATATGCTGTGCTGCACGCCATGTGTGCTGTACACACTATATGCTATACACTATGCACGCTGCATGCTTTGTATGCGCGTTGTATGCGGTGTATATGCGTCACATTCGCCGCATACACTGCTATACACAGACTATGCTGTATGCACTGCGTGCACTGTATGCACATTGACGCATACACTCACTATATACACACAGATACACACATATAGACATATATAGATATATACATTCATATATATAGACATATACACTCATATATAAATATACACTGATATATATACATATATACACTGACATACACGTATACATGTATATACACAGATATACTCACTCATATATACTCATATATACGCGCATACACTGACTACGCGCATACACACGCACAGACGCCCACTGGCACGCAGCGCGTGCATCGTACAGTGTAGCAGTGTATGTACTGTATATGTTTAGTGCATACATTGCTACACAGCACAGTGCATATGCTGCTGCATTGCGGGTACACTGCGCATACACAACGCATACAACGCATACAAAGCATAATACATAGCATATATAACATATATAGTGTATATAAGTGTATATAATATAGCATACATAGCATACATGACGTGAGCATACACAACGTGTAGCATACATGACATGTAGTGTGCACAGTATATGGGGTATACACATGTATATATAATACACGCTACACAATACACGCTACGATGGTTGGATAGCACAGCTTTACAGCGTACAGCGATTCTGGTCTTCAGTGTATAATTTAATATGTGTGTAATATACACTGTGCAGGATAACTATGCTATGTGTATAGTATGTGCATGTATATGTATGTATATGTATGATATATATGATATATTTATGGTATACACTGTATGATATGTCTATGGTGTACAGTGTGCAGTATAATTATAGTGCATATATGTATATGTATGGTATACGCTGTGTGGTGTGCAGTGCACTCTGTACAGTGTGTGTACAATGTGTGTACAGTGTGTGTGCAGTGTGTGTGTAGTGTTATAAGATGTAGGTTGGATATATAGTATAAGTATATGATTAGGGTGTAGATTAGAGTGGAGAGTTAGAACGTGTAGTATATGGATGCAGCTATGAGTATGGGTATAAATTGGGTGTAATAAAGGTCAGTTGTAAATAGTGTAAATGTACGCATTATAGAATATATACTATGGTGTGCATATAGCATGCATAGTATAGTATATGCTGTATAGCAGTATATATAACAACGTACATTGTATGATATGTATAGCATAGTGTGCAAAATATGCTATACGCTACGTACAATATATATATACACTGTGTAGTACATTATGTATAGTACAGTGTATAGCGATGTAACGTATACGGTATGTATAATACAATGTCTATGGTATAATGTATAACACAACGTGTACACTATATGTAGTATGTATAGTCTATAGTATGAGGATTAGTGTATATACTATCTGTAATATATATGGCATGTATAGTGTGTAGCATGTATAATGTATGCAGTGTATAATCTGCACAGTGCACGTCGAACATATACAGTATAGAATCTGTATAATGCTTACAGTCTATACAGGCAGAGGTACTCTGTGGCACGCCTGCATGCATACGAAGAGTATACGTTGCGTGTGCAATATATAAAGTGTTTCAGTATATAATGCAGTATATAATGCAGTATATACACAGTATATACACAGTGTGTGGAGTGTATGGACGTACATTGTGCAGTGTAACAGAGGTTTTTACATTAATATAAAAAGAGATACAGTGCGTAAAATACACAGAAAAACTATACAGAAACTGTACAAGAGACAAACAGCCTGTAGTAGCGCCAACACCAAATACACCCAAAAACTCTATGTATAGATATGAATATATAGTGTCCATATATATCTGTATATATAATATATAATATTTAATATGTCTATGTATATGTATGTGTATTTGGCATATATGTATGTCTACGTGTATAGTATATATCTCTAATCTCAGTGCAAGGTGCAGAGAACACATCTCCATAGCAATTCTGCTCTCATGGGACACATATCTCTGGAATGTGTTCCTTCATATGCATTGGCAGAGAATATATACTGCACAAAAGGGCATATAGAGATGCATCGACTACAACTACTATCAAAATTGACAGTTTAAAAGTAATAAAAGTCGTAAAGTACGGAAATAGATCTATCTTAATATAAATTAACATCTCTGTTGTGACAGCAATATATGCATACACGTTGCATATAACTGTATATACGCTAAGGGACACACATGTACACGCTTGAACCAACTGGTATTTAAGTGAGCGTATGTCCTTAAATCACGTGATACAATGGAACCGTTAAAGTCACGTGCACTGAGAGGGTTAATGTGGTGGTAGTGAAATAAATGGAAAAAAGGATTGAAATAAGATATAGTAATTAAGAGTGATACGGAAAGGGAATGATAAGTTGGAAGCAATGAACCAAGATATGCATGAAACAATACATTTTAGACAACATATTTTGAATGTTTTGGTGCTTTCAAAGAGCTTCGGAATAAACCGTGAGTGCTGAAATGTATATTACACAGGTGACATAAACTCTAAGAAACAAAAGCCATGCCTAAATATAATAGTTTATTCTAGAACGATATTATGTCTCAGTGTCTATCGCGCAGACAAAAGAAAAGTGATCGTTCAACGTATCCCGATAGCCGAATCACGTGATTTTAAACAAGTTACGTGATATTGCCTCAGATACAGTAACTAGAGATACAGTAAAATACAAACAGACTTACACAAAACATTATTAGCAGTGTTAGAAAGAGAAACGAAGAAATAGATGCTGCCTGAAACCATTGAAGACAGCCCAAGACCAGAAAAGGTAGAATAAGAAGGAATAAATAAATATACTTTGAGACCAATTAAAGCTAATACCATCTACCAGACGGAATTTGAAATAATAATTCGTCTGCTGTCTTTTTAGCGGGCTGCTTATCCTGCTTTCTCTGTGCAGCCTCGTGCATCCGTAACCAATCGGGTACTTTAGAGATGCTACTTTTACTAATGGTTTGTTTGAGGTCATACATTATGTCAGTATCTTCTGGGGTTAAAAAGGTAATTGCAGTGCCAGACTTCCCGGCTCTCCCAGTGCGTCCAATCCTATGAGTATAATCTGTATACAGGTGAGGTAAAATCCGGGAATCAAAAAAGAAAGGGACCTTCAATGGTTTTAGCCATATTAAAGTTTACTACGAGAGACACATCGGCAACATCGATACCCCTTCCAGCAAGATCGGTAGCCACTAAACAATCAGCTTCGCCAGAACGAAGCTGTGCGAGAGCAGCTTCACGTTGTTCTTGGCTTTTCCCTCCATGCAATGTAACCGCATTCCACTACAATTGATTAATATACTTGCTACAAAAATGATGAAAAGTACACCAATACGAGCAAGTGACTTGGCCAAAGCATCGCAACTACGACGCTGATTGATAAAGATAATTACGGGTGGATTATAATCATTACTATTAAGAAGTTCTTCTAATCTTCGTCTGCAAACATATATTAGAAAGGATAGAGAAAAAGCTTTTTTTTAAAATACCTTTTCTTATCTTCTGTATTCATCATTTCAACAATCTGTACAACTGTATCAACTGCTTGTCCAGCATTCCCAATGGTCACAATTGCCGGTCGACGCAGATATTTTTTTGCAAGTTTTTCTACAGCAGGAGGCATCGTAGCACTAAACATAACTGTTTGTCGAAATCGCTCTTTACCTCCTATTATTTTAGACATCAACACAGGATTTTCTGCATCGTCATTATCAGGTTTCTGATTGTGTACAGGTAATGCATCTAAAAGCTTATTTACTGTCTCCTCAAAGCCCATATCAATCATGCGATCTGCTTCATCAAGAACAATATATGCACATTGACTCAGTACTAAAACATGCCTTTCGAGACAATCCAATAACCGCCCAGGAGTTGCAATTACAATATGCACACCGTCTCTTAAATTAAACGCTTGCTCCTCAATTTTATGACCTCCCACAATTGATACACACACAAAATCCATTGGTTCGGAAAACTTCTTTGTTTCACTTTCAATTTGTTGAGCCAATTCTCTCGTAGGAGCTAAAATGATAGCATAAGGACCATCATTCTTATTATATTCATCAAGTGGAGGAAGCGTAGAAATATATACAAGCATAGGAAGCACAAATGATGCAGTTTTTCCGGAGCCTGTCTCCGCAATACCAATAATATCACGATTCTGCAAACCAATAGGAATAGCTGCTCTTTGTATCGGAGAAGGCTCTTTATATCCCACTATTTCAACCATATCAAGAATAATTTTTGGTAATCCAGACTCTTTCCAATTACGTATAGGGTTTGGAATAGACCCACCTAAAAAATTAAATTTAATAAATTAAATGTATAAAATACCTTTCGAAGAAATATTAAAATCTTCTTTAAATATACGCCAATCTCTTTCTTTCATGAGCTCCAAAGGCTTTTCTGACCAATGTTTGTCATCCCAACTAATTCTAGTACTTTTCTTATATTCCATATCCATCAATTGTCTTGAAAAAGTTAGCGTAAAAACTATAATAAAAACAAAAATACTTAGCCCTGTTTTTATCTTCATCATTACCAGAACGTACGAGCATATCAATAAATGAATTCGTATAGTGATTATTACTTTTATCATCAAAACCACCTAATCTTCCTCGACCTAAAAATTGAGCACTATGTCTATTCAAATATATTGGATTAACATCGGATGAAGTATCTTCTGTATTATCCCAATCGAACACAAACTTTCTTTCACTTGTCTTACGCTTTTTTTTCTTGTTATCCCCTGTTCCCAAATATCTTTTCTAAAAAATATTAAAATCCTCTAAAATAATAATAATAATTACCCGAATATCCTCGACTTCTTTTTCCTCAGGTGTCATTTCAGCTTTAGCTTCTTGATTCTTTGATGATTTAAACAGTTCGGCAGCTTGCTTTGCCAAAGCATCTTGTTCTTTTCTCATAGCCTTTGGCTCAGTAGGAATCATTTTATTCCGATTTAAATAACGCCCATCTAAACACAAATCATTAGTATATTACTCATAAAAAAAAATCTACCTTTTTCCTTTCCACTAAGATTATCCTGAGAGTCTTTTAACGAATACTTTCTTATAATATCTGTTTTTCCAATTTGTTGGCGCTTTTCAACTTCCAAACGACGCTTTTCAAGAGCAATTGCTTCACGTTGTTCCCGAGTTAAAAACTTTGGCTATTTTGATTAAATAACAAAACTCACTAGATACATTTCTTACTCGATTCATAGCAGCTGCTTCTTTTTTCTTCTTAACTAACTCTTCAATAGATAAAGGCTCTCTTTTTTCTGCTTTTGGAATTGCACCATTCTTAGGGACAATCTCTGACGTAGATCTAGGAATTTCTGGAAAAAAAGCACCTGCAGAACAATTTACAGCTTTATTAAACCCATCATATTCGATTGCTCCAGAAGAAAATGCTTTACCACTAAAATTTTCAATAGAAGAAAACGGCTGTTTAAAACCATCTGAGCATAATGCCGTAACTTCTTTAGGTAATGGTGGAGGATAAGAAAGAGGTAATGGTGGTGGTTCAGGCGGTGGTTCAGGTGGCGGTTCAGATGGCGGTTCAAGTGGTAATTCATTTAGCACCATATTTTCAGAGTTACTGTCTAAAACAATCCCTGAAGAAAATGCACCATTTTGAGAGGAAATATTGTTCATGCTAGCATTTTCAGTACTATCTGAAAGCTTATTGAATCCATCCATTGAGATGCCTTTTACATAGATAAATAATGACCTAAAAAACTCGGTTTTTTTTCATTTTTTTTGATCCAAAAATAACATACGTTTTCTATATAATTAAAAGACCTTTAAAATGTATAAAAATGCATATTTAATATCCATTTCTACTATTTAACTAATTCTTTAGTTTTTTTTTTTATCGTCAACGTCTTACGAAATACGCACAGAACCTATAAATATTAATCATAAGTTTGAAAAAGATAGTTAAGTCTAAAAATAAAAAATACATAAGATAATAAGAACAAATACATTATTCCATATCTCTTAAATAAAACACCAAAATACTCAAGTGCCATAAATCTTCAAGTTTTTTTCTAGTCATTCATTTATACCATCTTTTGTTCCATTATTTTACGAGATAAAAATATCCTTTTCGCTTAGTTTTTTCTTCTTTTCCTAGAAAGATATCAATAGAGTTATATACATGGGCCAACGTACCGCTTTCCAAACAGCTATTTTCTGTGGTTGTTCCTCCAATGCCTTTTGTATCCGTGCAATCCTTTAAAAATTAATTTTTATTGTAAACCTCAAAAAAGCGAAATTTCAAATAGAACAATGCAATTTTTTATGCATAATTATACTTCTTTTTCTGTCTATCTGTCGAAACCTTGTATGCATTCAACTACATATGATGTAGCAAATAAAACCATATTAATGTATAATGTATTCAGAAGAGCACTTAACTCAGTATGTTAAGTTATATGTAAACATTGTCTTCTGTTTATACACGCTATGTCCTTTTTATATTCAAAATACATATATTTTATTATACGTGTCCCATATGTATATATTTTTTCATTCAATATACGCGCCAATTCTTCTATTTGCTCTTTTCATGCTTCTTTGAACACAGTTCTCATTCATTTCGCTCCATATTATTGATTTTTGTATCAACTTACCTCTGTGCACGTGTACGTTCGTCAAGAGTACCTTTCCATCGAGAAATACCATTCATTGGCGCTCGTTTAGAGTCCTTTCGAGTTGGCAACCATTCTGAAAAGCCATACCTTTCAGCCTCTTTACGTAATACCGCTTGACGGCGTAAGGAATAGATTGGATCTTTCCAACAACCAGTTTCTTTATTTTTAACACATTTAAATAGATTTGCAGCTGCTGCACCACCTTCTATACTTGCAGCTGAGTGTCTTCGTAAAAACCCTGCAAGCGTAGGCGGCAATTTCTTCAGAACTTTCGGATCCATTCTTATCAGCCAAAAAGTATGTGTATTTTCGTTTCTAAAAACTTTTAGTATATATTTGATGTTTATTCATTGTATATTCAATTACAAAATTATATTATATATGTATTAAGCAAAATCTATAATGTTTTTGAGTTTCTTAGAAATTCCTGTTTATATTAATAATCAAAAAATATATAAAATATTTAAATATGGAGTCGAAAATTTTAATAGAAAACCACGATTTATCGGTTCAAAAGCTTTATCGAACTTAAAATTAACATTAAATTAACGTGAAATTAATAGACATTTAAAACTTGGCAATGGTTATTATATAATTTAATTAATATATAATTAAAAGAGTTATTTAAATCAGGTATTAGAGAACTGATTTTTAAATTAAGCTTTAAGAATTTATTAGAGTTTAAGTGGATTTTGAAATTTTTAAATTTTATATTTTCATTCTTAATTTTTTATATTAAAACTATAAAGTTTTATTCTTTTAGTTTTTTTTAACAACACTTATTACTTAACTTTGATTAAAGTTATTCAACGTTAACACGAAATACTAGGATTAATTAAAAATATAAAAAATTACTGGAAGCTTTATTCTAACCCTAAAGTAACTATTCTGTTCTTTTTTTTTAAATTTAATTAAGATTTAACTAATTTTTATTAAGGATATAATTAAGCCTTCCTTAGGATTAAACTAAAATTTACAACTTAAAAAAGGGTTTAGAATTTAAAAGAAATATCATATTAAAAAAAAATTGTAGAAAAAAGACTTATTTTTTGTTTAATTTCTCTATATTTAATCAATTCTTATTTATTTTTATTACTTTAACTTTTATTTCTATTTTATCATTAAAGAAAAATGTTACTTGGGGTTCAAGCACAACTAGAAAGCTATTTGGTGATCTTATGTACATTAAGTGTTGCATGTATATTACGTCCACACAAAGTTCTTGAACAAGGTCTTATTTATGTTTTAGGAGATGCAATGAATCTGGTAAAACAAAGCTTTTGCAGCTGTAACAATATAACAGCATTTTAGAAGTTTAATTAAACCCTAATATCAACTTAATTAGAATATAATTGTGCAGTTATCATATAGCTCGTTACAGCTAGATTTCAAATAAACTGGAGCTAATTAAAAGATAGGCACGACCAAGCGAGGATCCAACATGTGTAGTAGTTGGTGGATTGCTGTTGTTTCAAGTATTTTTTATTTATCTTTTTGCATTGCTTAAAACGGATATGATGTTTTTTAAAGATTTAGGTAAATATATTTTCAAAAAAAAATCCACTTATATTATAGCACCATTTCGAACAATACAGGCTTTTGTATTAGTACTATGGATTTATTTTTCAAATAATCCAGCAATGTCAAATGGATTAACATTTACTTTTGCTTTTTTCGACTTAATATGGCAATTTTGGATGTTTGTTAGCTTTCGAGGATACAAACCACCGGTAAAAACATAATGGTAATGTTATATATTATACATTTGCATTGTAAACCATTATTTTTAACTATATCTTATCTATTTTACTACAACCTATAAAAATATTCAAAAAAATCTACACTTGTAGAAAGGATTCTAATACTTTTAATTATTGCTCGTAGAAACTTTCAGTTACACAACTGCTTTATTGACAATTGTTTCTATTTGTTTTCTTTTTTCCTTAAGATTCAAGTTCTTTGCATAAACACAACAAAAAGTATATAAGAATATCAGTATTATGAAAAATTAATTATTTAAAACAAAAAATATGTACACTACAATCAATCTTGTTTTAATGGATATTCTTGTATATGTATACCATTGGCTGTCACAATAAACGCCTGAAATTTATCACCAATCTAAAATTGTGATAAGTATTAGGTTATTTTAAATAAAATAAAAATTCATACCTGTATATGACGCTCAACAACACTTGTATATGTGTCAATGATCATTTTCATTGCATTCTCGAGAGACAAAGGAGTTGAAATACACGGCTGAAGACGTCCATCTACTATTTCATACTTGTTCTTACCGCCAACCTATAAAGTTGTGTCAATGATTGAAAAGAATACTCCTGAACCCCCCCCCCCCCCACCCATAACGTAAACAAATACCAAGAACTATATGTTCTTTACAAAATAGTTTTTCTAATAATCATCCATATACTAGAATTTTTCTTATCACCAACAATTTATATCCATACCTGACTATCTAAGAGTGGCAATGCCAAACTAGCCGAACTCCCTGTTGCCTGATAAGACACTCTTTCATAAGATCCGACTGGATCAAACGTATATATTGCCCCCTTACCTAATGATGGTTGTTTTTTTTAAAAAATAGTAACAAACATACCTTCTTCGTCCATACCCACAACCATTACATAGGTATAATAGGGGAAAAAACGTCTACTATAAAGAATTGTCTGTATAAGTCGTGCAGCAGATCTGACAGTGAGTTGTCGATTATGCTTATAATGATATTGCATTAATCGTTTTCTTAATACCCGTATCACTTCATTAGAATCTCCAGAGAAACCACATGTGCTAACAACTAATCCATCACCAATATTAAATACTCTGGGCTGATATCTTGAATGGATGCTATAATCTTTTACTTGACGCGTACTCCCTGAAAGAACCACATAATCTTTGCCTGAAATTGCGATAGAAAGCCCTCCATTATCTTGATATGGACTATTTAATAAATATTAGTATTTTTTTCTCTAATTAACATATAAACTTGCTTAAATCCTGAATGTTGAGAAGTTAACTTAGACCCGTCTGTTGAAAAATTCCAGTCATCTAAATCAGATGGAAGACCATAAATATTTTGAAAAGAAGTATTCATAATGTATTTGAGAAGTATTTCTTATATATTATGAGTGTATTCTGTAATTTCAAAGTTTATCTTGTTATTTTAAGAATTTAATCAATTAATATTAATCTACCTTCTCGGTTCGTTGCCTTGGCACCACTGAGACGTCATTGATAATGAACTTTAAAGATTTATTCAAATTTAACACTTTTAAAAATATATTTCATGAAAAAAATTATGTTTTTAGAAAAGACAATATCATTTTCAATAGGTAATACTTTTTTTACAAAAAAAAAATGTTTATATCTAATACAGACATATACAAAATTGTTTGCATCAAAATATTTTAAAAATAAACCCAAATATACAGAAGATCCAAGAATCTTATAAATCAATGCTTCAAATACAGAATCCAATCTTTAAAAGTGTTTTTTTTTCATTCCAAATTGGAAAGCTATTTCTAAGATTTTTTCCACCAATAGTATTATTAAATATTAAACGATTTAGAACTTATGGAAGAGGTAATTATATATGAAAATTATTTTCTGCACAAGTTTATGCATATATTTGCAGAATATCAGCCTTCAAACAGAGTAAGAAAACGAAGACATGGATTTCTTGCTCGAAAACGGTCTGTTGGTGGACGTAAAATTCTTGCTCGAAGAATAGCAAAAAAAAGAAAATATCTAACGCATTAGTTCTTTTTAGTTCAAAAAGCATGATTTATCTGTTTATTTCATTATATTTATATACATAAGACTAACTGTTTCTAATTTTTGAAATATTCTCTGCTCGACAAGGTGTTTCTGCAAACAACGTTTTAAGTAAACTTATAATTTCTTCTTTATCAAAATCGATCAAAGCACCTGAATTATATAAATACATAACGTCTTGCATTGAGGCTTCAAGAATCTCCGCGAGATATCGAAATTTCAACCAACTTGGAACATACGTTGGGGTTATAGGAAGCTAATAAAATCTACTGTTAACATAATTTAAAGAAATAACAATGAATAACCTCTTGTTCTTCAATAACAAAAATATCTTCTACTTGAGCAAACTGGTTACATAATTCTGAAAGTTGTTTGGATTCTGCTTCTGATATATCAGAAATATTTTTAATTGCAATAATAATATAGGCAACAGCAGTTTCTAAAAGTTGGCCAATGGATTCAAAGAATGTTTCTCTAGGAAGGATTTTCTAAATATATTAGTACATTTGCATAATATAATTTGAAAATGCTTACACTCCATAATTTTGACAACATTTGAAATTTTTCATATAAATCAGAGATAACACGTATACATCTTTCTAGCTGCTGTTTATCAGTACAATCCAAAAATCCGTTTGCCTGTTCAAGAATTGAAATGATATCATTATTTTGTATTTGCTATTAAGATTAATAGATATATATATGCATTAAATTTCCTTACAAGCTCAGAAGAATATATAAGGTTTCCTGCTTCACGAAGGGTATTGGTTTCATCAAGAATACATTGTAGAACTTCAGAACCATCATATAACTCCTGAAGATGTATTGAAAGATAAATAAAATCATTATATAATAACATGGCAGATGTTGATAGTTTATCATAGTACAAAGGAGCAAGAGCTCTATATGTGCTTAACGCCATTATTATTGAATCAGATAATTGAGGAAAAAAAGGAGCCATTATGTAATTTGCATATCTATAAAAAATTATTAATGTAACTTAAAATAATATCTATTATTTACTGAGTGCTCATTAATTCTTTTATAGTATAAATGCATTTTTCAACAATAAGAATAATTTCTTTAGGCAAAAAAGAAATTGTATAACTTTCATGTGTCGAAGATTCAGATAAAGAACTTTTTTTTTCACTATTTTTTACATCTTTTGCATCATTAGATTCTTTCGCATCCACATTCCAATCATCGTTATCATCCCAATTCCATAATTCTTCTTTTAAAGAGCTATTTTCAGATTTAATATTCATATCATCATTTAGTCCCCATGTATCATTTTCTACCATAACCATATTTTTTTCATCATTAATATATTTATCGTCATTATCCCAGTTTGCGTCCCATTCATTATCGTCAATAGAATCTACATTTTCATTTTGAAGAACTTTAGTTTCAATGTTTTGTATAGGTTGAATAATAATATTTCCAGAATTTTTTGAACCTAAAACATTTCTAACAGCATCTATAGCATTAGATTTTTGTTTTAAAACCCAAGAATCACATGCTAAATCTATCCATTTTTTTATTTCTAATTGGTTACCCCATACAGTTTGCTTAATCTTATCATTAAATCTAGAGCCTTCTAAAAGTACTTTATTAAAATAATCTAAATACTCAATTTCATCTGGTACAATAATATTGATATAGTCCTTAGTTAAAGCAGATTGTATCTTAGGAAAAAGGTATTTAGTTAAATCTAATAACACAATAGATGGGAATGCTTTATCTATAAAGTTAATTAATACTAATAAAGATGAAAAAATAGAATCTAAAATGTTAAATAAACGCTCTAGTGTATTCTAAAGAGATACCGTTTTTATTTGAAACATCGGATTTAATAATTAATTGATATTCATCATTGTTTTCATTAAATTCTAGTGTATAAAAAATTTCTTTATTCAAAAAAAGAAACAAAAACTTTGACATAAAATTATTAGAAATTAACTGCATACGAGAATCAAATATTTTAAGTTCTATAGACAATTCTATAAAAGATGTTAAAGATATACTTTTTTCAAATGAATCTTTAAAATTTATTAGTAAAAAAAAAAAATAGAAAATTTATACCTTTTAATTGCTTTTTAACAATACACCCATTTTCAAACATTATAAAAGAATCCCAAATATTATTAAATTTTTTGATTAAAGATAACTTAAGATTAGTTAGCTTTTCTCTAAAAGAAACTAAAATTTCAATCTTTTCCAATTCGTTAATATTATCATATTCATTTTCTGCTTCTTTTATTATATGAAAGGCTTCAAATAAATTTCCTTGAGTAATGAGATTTTCTGCTTTATTAGTTAAACTAATGATAGATTTTAGTTTTAAAATAGTGTCTTTCAAATCTCTTTTCAACTTTATAGAATCCTTCAATTCTTCTAATTTTTCACTATTTTCTTGAAGTATTCTTGAATTTTTCTATAAAATAAAAATTGGTTTTATAAAAATAAAAATAAGAAATTACTTGATTATTAACACTAACTTCAGACAAAATAACTGAATTGGAAACAAGACGCTCTATTTTTTGAAAAAAATCCACTTTTTGGTTTAATATTCTTAAAAATAGTTTCTGATTTTTCAAAATCAAGTCAAGAAGTATTTCCTATATATTTACATTAGCAATTGCTACAAATCTAAGTCAATAAAAACCCGAGTTTTATTTATTTCAGATTCAACTTTCTGAAGAACAGCTTCCAAAGGCATTTCCTGTTTAGATAGCTTTTCCAAAGACTTCGAATCGTCCAGAACAGAGTGCAGTATCATTGTATCTATTATTTCTGGCTTTTCATTGGAAATTGCATGCATGTTTTTTGATATACATATTCCATCCATTTATTTGAAATTTTTTGGAATACAAATAAAGTCTTTTCTTTAAATTAAGGATTTTTTTTGTTTTATAAAATCACTTTAAATTACTTTTATAAAAACTATTTATAAACTCTAAAAACATTATAAAAAGATTTTAAAAAAAGTAATACTATATAATTAATTCTAAAATTATATAATGTTTACTTTATAAAATACACCATATTTCCTAGTTATAATAACATTTTTAATTTATTTATAAACCATATATATTTTAAGAAAATTATACAAAAACAACAATAATGTCTATTTTTAAAACAATAGTTTTTCCATATAAAATTTTATTTCTTACTTTTTATCAAGATTTCATAAATAAATATAAACTTAAATCTATTGTTTGAGACCACGTTACTCGATATCTCAATTGAATAGTCGACATACAACAGGATAAAATGACATATTTTACCAAGAAATACGATTTTGAAGCATACGGAAGACATGTACAGTCATGGAAAAGCTGCAAAACAGGTCTCCAGGTTGTATATGTAGATATCGATGTACCTTTGACTAAAGGAAAACTTGTACTTGCCACAGAAAGCAAGTATATGTATTTTATATACGTAAAACCAACAATTTATAGTTCTTAATGATTCTGGATGTCCACATACACTCGAACATTTAGTGTTTCTTGGCAGTAAAACGTATCCATATAAAGGAATTTTAGATTCTTTAGCAAACCGTTCTTTTGCACAGGGTACAAATGCATGGACAGGTATTACTTTATACAATATATACATAAATTATTAAAATTTTTAGACACAGATCATACAGCATATACAATTAGTACGGCAGGAGCAGAAGGGTTTTTACAAATTCTTCCTATATTTGTTGATCATATTCTTTTTCCTACACTTACATACGATGGGTTTTATACAGAGGTTTATCATATTGATGGAAAAGGGAATGATGCAGGAGTTGTATATTGTGAAATGCAGGTGATTGTTTTAATAAACAATATATTTTTGTATAATACAGAGAAGGGACACGAAAATACAATAGGGGATTTACAATCAATATAGTAATAAACCTTGAATATACAAAATAAACTTTTTTTAATAATTCAGTTTTAATCGTGCTCTTTTTCCTGAAGGAATTGGGTATAGAAGTCATACAGGAGGAAAATTAGAATCATTAAGAACATTAAATATCGAAACAATTCGGAAATATCATTCAGAATACTATCTTCCTCAAAATTTATGTCTTATTATCACGGGAAAGGTTGATACATGCAAGCTTTTTCGTGTACTTGATGAAATTATCGAACCTAATATTCTTAAAAATCTTACACCAGATCTAGTTCATTGGAAAAGGTATATTTTTAAAAACAGTTTATGGAATCTTTCTTATAATTAGACCATGGGTTGATTCAATGAAAACCCCACCCTTAGTAGAATCATATAAAGAAATTGTTCCTTTTCCTGATGAAGATGAAAGTGCAGGAGAAGTTCTTTTAGGATGGCTTGGTCCTTCGGCTAATGTATTTCTTTTTTAAAAAATAATTATATTAAATAATTATAGGATTTTACTGTATTAACAGCATTAAATATTTTAGGGAAATATCTAACTGACTCTGCAATTTCTATATTACAAAGAGAGCTTGTAGAGATTCAAGATCAATTTTGTTCAGGTATAATTAAATTATTTATTTTGTTTAATTAATAGAAAAAAAATCTAGACATTTCTTTTTCAACAGTTAGTCGTTTGCCGAGTGTTATATATTTAAATTTATATGGTGTACCAACAGAAAAATTAGAGAAAATAGAAGAACAAATTTTTAAAATTTTAAACAAAATCAAAAATTGTCCTGAAAATTTTGACATCAATCGAATAAATATGATTATATTCAGAGAAAAACTTGCGGTAAATATAAACAATTAAAGTATTTAATTAAAAAAAATAGATTATAGATGAAAATGGTTAATTATACTGTTAACTAGTAGTTTTCTAATAAAACGTAGAGACAGATCCTCATAATATTTTTTCTAATGCAATTATTACCGACTTTTTGTACGGCGATTATTCTAAAGATACTTTAAAAAGATCATTACGGAATTGTGAAGAATATGAAAGTCTAAAATCATGGACAATAGCACAGTGGCTATCTCTTTTGGATACGTATATATTATGTTTATTAACTAATATTGCAACTTATTTAATTTTAGATGGCTTATTCAAAATTTCCACGTATGTATAATATCTAAAGCTTCAGCTGAATTATCATCAAAATTACAAGAAAAAGAAAAATTAAGGATAAAAAATAGAAAGGAAAAACTTGGAGAGGAAAAACTTAAAAAACTAGAAGAACAATTAAAAATATCGCAAGAAAAAAATAATACACCGTTTCCTTTGACTATATTATCAGATTATAAAAATCCAAATGTTAAAAATATAAATTTTATTACAAGTGTCTCTGCAAAAGCAGGTATAGCAAGCAAAAGAGTAAAAAATACAGAAGGAAAACAGTAAGTATATTCTTTTTATAATAATTGTATTCTTATATTATCTATTGACATATCGATATTCAAGAATATATTGATAAGGATTCGCAAGAAAAAATACCTCTTTATTTACATTTTAATCGTAACATTGAATATTTTTTTTATCATCTAATTTTATCTAGATATTGATTCAGAATTTGTAAGCATTCAAGCATATATTTCTTCAGAATGCATAGATTCAGAACTTAAACCATATCTTGGGATTTATCTTGATAATTTTTTTCTAAACGGAATCATTCGTACTGACGGAACAGAATTAACTTACGAAGAGGTAGTAAGATTATTAGAAAATGAAACAGTCGATTATAGTGCAACATGGGGAGTATCTGGAACATTTTTGGAAATGATAACTATTCAAATTAAAGTTGAAGTTCGATGCCTATTTATTATATTTCTTATTTTAATATTCTATAGATACAAAATTACAAAAAAGGGATTTTATTATTAAAAGATTTGCTTTGCCAAAGTGTTTTTGATCCTGAAAGGTAATAATAAATTATATATGTATTTCTAAAGTATATAGGCTTATGATTTTTGTAATTAAATCATTAAATGATATTCCACAAGAAAAAAGAAATGGAAACAAGGTAATATGTTTTTGATTTTAAAATTTTATTATTAATACTTTAAGATATGCTGGGCTTCAATGAGAATGTAATGTTTTTTACTTTTTAAAATTACTCTAAAAATTTAAAGGTATCAATTAGATAAGAATCGATCTACATCTAGAGCAGTAAATATACTTACACAAATGAATTTCCTTGTAGAGTTAAAAAAACAATTGGAGAAAGAACCAAATGTAATAGTTAAAAAATTTCAAGTTATACAAGAACAAAGTAAGTTTTTATGAAAACGAATTTATAATATGTAACGTTAAAAGTTTCTAAACCTGAAAATATTTATTTCCAAATAATTTCGAATATTCCACATTTAGAACATCCAGTATCGTCTTGGAAATCTTTTTGCAATCAAAAAGTATGCATTTTTTTCTTTTTTATTTTCAATAACATTTTTAAGAAAGATGATATTGAAATGTTACGAATTCCATTTAAGAAATTTATGTTAACAGAAGAAGGGCAATCTCCATCCGGAATAGTATTAATTATTTCATTCATTAATATTTGTTTACCAAAATAAGGCTCATATAATATCTTTACCTACCGTTGAAAGCTCATATTCAGTTCATGCTTCAAAATTGTTCTCAGATTTCAATCATAAAGACTTTCCTGCTTTCATTCTTCTCTTATCTTATCTTAATATTATGGAGGGTATACTTTGGAAACACATAAGAGGAAATGGATTAGCATATGGGATAAGCTTTAAAACTGATATAGAATCAGGTAATTTTAATAATGCATGTTTATAGTGTATAATTTTTTTAAAATTAGGACTTTTTTATTGCTCTATTTATTCATCTCCGAATGCATTTAATGCATGGAAAAAAATACGAGGTATGAATTAAATTATTCTAAATATTTGTTATATATATATAGATATCATAAATGACATAGCAAATAAAAAGGTTAATACAAAAACGTTACCATTTTTGCAATTAATAATTTTTTAGATACATTTTGATGAAAATATGGTAATTAATGCAAAAAGTTCTCTTGTTTATGATATTGTTTCTGCAAATGCTACTCCTTTTTATACGGTAAATAATTAATATTATATAGTCTTTTTAAAAAATATAGGCACAAGAATCTTTTGTTTCTCAAGTTATAAAAAATCAACCAGAAAATAAAAGTTTTCAATTAATTAAAGATGTATCGGTAAATATTCATGTTTTTTTATATTAAAACAATAACTATTTAGAATGTTACAATTATTGAATTATATGATGTTCTTAATCGATATCTAGTAAATTTATTTGATCCTAAAACATCAGATTCATTTATAGTTAGCGCTCCTTCAAAATCAATTGAAATAATAGAAGGATTTTCTAATGTAGGGTACCATACAGTAAAAAAAACTTTAAACGATTATTAAAATAAATTTTTATTTTTTATTTATATATTAAATATAAATATGTTTAGTCTGTTTTAGTATTTAATGAATTAGTTTTTTTTTACAAAAAATAGCTAGTTTCACAATCTGTAATTAATAATATAAGTCACCTTATTTTCAATGAAGAGATTGGATAGTAACAATAGTTACATAAATCATCGCAAATGCACCTATTAAACAAACTGATATATCACATATTTTTGACCATGTTTGTTTTGCACAAACTTTAAGATGTAATAACGATGGGTACATATACACTAATGGAATGCTTAATAGAATAAATTAGATAAAATACGTATTAAAAAATATTATACCATGCAATAGAACCGACAAGAGAAATCTAAATAATTAGTTAAAAATAATATAGAACATATATATATTACAAATCTCTCTAAATTCTTAGAACCACTATAATATATCAATCAAACTCTTTTATAATGATTTCTTACCTCCATGCAATTAATGCCATAATTAATACTACTATAACTCTAAGGAAATTTTTCTTCCAACGTACATATGGATTAAGCCTTCCCTATATATAATTAATGATTTTTTTTGAATAAAATAAATCTGTACACTTCCAGTAAGTAATTTACTTTCAATTATTTTTATTGCAGGAAATAATTGCAAAGGAGTTGATAACATTACGGCAATGCAATATAAAATTTGAATAATCATTGAAACTTTACTTTGAAGCATGTTTAAAAAAATCAATGTATGTACTTTAGATCCATATGCTGCATAACCCAAAATACCTACAGATGTGAAAACAACAGTAACTATAGCCATTACAAGATATAGAATAAAATAAACATTTTTTGGCTATTTTTATTAATTATATTTATAAAAAATATCATCCAAAACAAACCTGAGTAATTGATTCTGCTATTGGAAGAATCAAACCAATGCTTTCAAAAGAAAGTACAGCTATAATAAATTCAATAGTATACTTTATACTATAATTGTTTTACCTGTCCCAATGAAAAATGAAAAACTAGAAGTATTAAGAATAGTTATATCATTTAACCCTTGTGTGGTTAAAGTAAAAATAAGGACATAGTATAAATAGGCTATTCCTAATAGAATTAAAACATCTGCTATCAAAGCTAGCGTTGAAAGTTTTGAAATGTTTCTTATTAATACAAACGGAACAAAAATAATGAACTGAGAGAATATTAACCATTTAGGACTAACATAATACTGCTTTGATGTAATTGACTTTATAAGTGCACTTATATTTTCTGAAACCTACTTTTTTATGAGAATTACTACATTATAAAGTTGTTCCTACAAAAATGGTATACGCTGATCCAAATAAAATCTTTTTTTTATTAATCTAATAAACAAAATAAAATATTAAATACCTGAGATAATGCAATAGATAATAAAATAATAAATTTCATTATTGGACCATAAATAGCATATCCCATGTCTACACTTAGTTAAAAAATTAACAATATAAAAAGCAATATTAAACCTCCATAACTACCAGGAATAATAGCTCGAATTTTTATCAAAACTATAAAACAGTACAAAGAAAGAAGAGCAACTCCGACAAGGATAATTGGGGAAAACAACATTCCTCCATAAGAAAAACTAATATATAAATTAAAACAATAAAAAAATAAAAAGCATACGCTTTTGGTAAAAATAATACACCAGTGCCAACAAATGATTTCAAAAGTAAAAGAATTGCTTTAAAAATATCCATTTTTCTATCTTTATGTAAATCAGCTGTACAAGGATTTTCAGAAATAGATAATAACGGCAAAGACTCTCGAGACTTTTGTGCATTATCCGCATTATTAGCTAATATAAGATTTAAACTATTATTACTATAATTATTAAAGTAATACTTAAATGCTTATTTTCATAATATTTTAAATTTTCACCAAAAAACTTCCAGTATAAATCTAGAAATTCCAAAAAACTTAAATATTTAGGACTAGTCTGTGTATCATCTATTTTATTTCCTTCCATTTGAATATAGCCCCGTCTAAATCCCCCTGGAGATTGAAGTTGAGACATATTAATGGGAGAAAACATGTTGTCATTTAAATTAGATAGATTAAAAGACTGCGAGCGAGATTTTACATAATGTTGAGAATTGACATTTTCTTTCCACCGATAAATATTTCGGTGAATATCTCCTCCTTGCATCTTAAGTGATGAAAACCCCTTATCATATGAATCTTTTGTTTTATGAGATTCATTAACATTCAAGCATTTGTTAACCAAATATGATGTATAAGACGGAGGTTTAGATTTCTCATCCTTTTCATCAAATGAATCTGGTTTATTCGACAAAGAATCAATAGCAAAATTTGTAGACATCTATTTGAATAATTAATGTTTAATAATTTCCTATTTTAATAAGAATTTTTAATTACTTTTAAAAAAAAAAAAATCTTTTTAAAATGAATTAATTTTGATCAAAAATTTATTAAAAATTAACATTTTTTAAACCTTTTAGTTTTACTTAATCGGTCTTACACCAATTTTTTTATTACATAATAAGTTAGAGTTTAATAAAAGTGATAAAAACTTTATATATTTAATATTTGCATATTTTAAATAAAAATAACTTATTTATTAAATTATCATATTTTTTTATATAAATCGCAAAAAATTAAATATTAAAAAATAAACGTTTTTTTTTTTTCATTTTAAGGTTATTGTTTAAACAAATAAAAATTACTTTTTAAACAAAAAATATAATATTTTTTTATATTTTATATAAATATATTCTGAAAACAAATTTTTTATTTTTATAGATTTTTTTAATAAAATATTTATAAATCTTTTTATAGAAAATATTCTTTAAACCTAAAAAATATAGAAAAAATCTTTTAACAAAAATGTATAAATATTAAAAAAATTGAAAAAACAAATAAGTCTTTCTATTTTTAATTCTTCTAGGTACTTTCATGTAATGAACAATTGTATGTTTTTTTACTAAGATAAACATGAAAAACAAAATAAGTATAAAAAACAAGACATACAACTATGTTTGAAATGGAAAAATAAACATATTTCAATTGATATTTATATTAAAATAAATTTTATTTATATATTTTAAAAGCTTTAAACTTACTAATAAAATCAAACACTACGACCGATAATATTATGAACGATCATACTAAGGTTTTTAAAGATTTTTTTACACTTTTACTGATAAATATTATGTAGATTCGTGTCTGTTTTATAACACAACAAAAAGATATTGAAGTAGATCGTACGCCTGTTTTTGTTCCACTTTCATTAGCGCCTTCTGGACTGAATCATGTTGTCAATCATCTTTTGGAAAGAAGTAAGAATTAGTACATAAGAATTAAAGTTTATGTTGATTTATGGATATAGATGTGCCTATAACTTTTGCATTTTTGATTGATGGGCAATTTTTGCATACCTCAATTGGAGAATATTTAGCAAAAAAGAATCTTTCATATGTATGTTTTTTTTTTCTTATAGCAAAATATTGATAACTTAGGAAACAATTCTTTATGTAGAATATATTCGTTCTACACAGCCACCAGTGTACCTTGCATCATATATGCATGATGACTGGGTATCTTCTATTCATGCGTCTGATTCACAATATATACTTTCAGGATGTTATGATAGTTTATCACGAGTTTGGAATGGAAGCGGTGTTGTTATAGCACAAGCATATGGGCATTCTGGGCCTGTCAAGTCTGTTCGTTGGATTAAAGATAACCAATTTGCAACATCAAGTATGGATCAGACAATTAAAGTGTGGAAATGGAAATCAAAACATGATTTGGATTTTACGGTATCATGTCGCTGTATTTATGAGATGAAAGGACATACTATGTCAGTTGAATCTATTGCAATTGATTCAAAAACAAATAGACTTTTGAGTGCTGGTGCAGATGGAAACATTGGAATTTGGAGTATTAATGATAATGATGATGATCTAGTACATAATAATAAAAATGATACGCACTTAAACAAAAAAAGAAAGAAAAACGAATCAAAAAATAAAATTATAATAAAAGTATCTTTACGTATTTTTATATGAAACTAACATATGAAGAATCCTATTTCAATAATACAAGGGCATTCATCGTCTTCTTCTGATATTATCTTTGATACTAAGGATTCAACTGTTGGATATTCTGTTGGAACAGATCATCATATTAAAACATGGGATTTAGTTACATTTTCTAATGTAGATACCAGGGTAAACAAATATTTAAACTACATAAAATATAGATGAAATATTAATCATGTTAGACTTCAAAAGATGCCCTCTTTGCAATACGACCTATGCCTGCTTTATCATTATTAGCGTGTGGTTCATCATCTCGACATATTCTTCTTCATGACCCAAGAGTTTCTTCAAAATTAACTACTGTACAGACATTAAAAGGACATACGAATTTTGTAGTATCATTATCTTCATGTATTAAAAATGATTATATGCTTATAAGTGGAAGCCATGATGGTTTAGTTAAAATATGGGATATACGAGCACCAAATGGAAGTTTATATTCGATTAAACGTGAAAGTGGAAAAGATGATACAAAAGTATTCAGTGTTGATTGGAGTAGCAATTTTGGTATTATAAGTGGTGGGGAGGATCATTGTTTACAAATAAACCAAATAAATAATTTATAGTATTTTTGAAGATATTTATGATAAATTATGATATTTTATAAAAATGGGGCATTGTGGGTCAAAATGATAACATTTATATATAACCAACTTAAATTTTTCTAAAAATTCCTTGAATCCAGACCCTAAACATTTTTTGCATAGTACTACGATTTACTAAAAGCCGTTTATCTAATTCATTATTTTCTATTTTAAATAACTTTCCGAAAATTTCTTGTATTTGTTCTATAGCTAATATTAATTTCAATATAAATAATAACAGAAAATACCAGGAACAAAAAAATATACTCTAGTACCATCTCCTCTAATATAGAAGTTTTCTTCAAGAAGCCTTTCTCCTTTAAAACGTAACTGCGTCATATCCCAGCGTCCATAATCTCGAAACAAAATAATACCATTTGATTTTAAAATCTAAAAACATTAAAAAAAGAAAAAAAATCAAGTATTTTTCTTTATGTATATTTTGAACAGCTATATCCCATTGGTCCGGAGATAATGAGCTAAATGCAAATACGAGAATAACAATATCTACATTAATTGCGCCTTCAGGAAGTTCTCCATTTGGATTGGCCATGTCCCAAATAGATGCTCGAACATTATCACCAGAAAATAAATTAGACTTTTTTATTATTGCAATTGCATTTTTTGAATAATCAACACCATGGATTATAAGTAATGGATTCTTATTTTGCAATAAAATAGGAAACATAGTATTTCCTACACCACACCCAACTTCTAGAATATATTTTTCACCAGACTACTGCCATTTATAAATTTATAAAATAAAATATAATTAGAAATTTACATTAGGCATAATGCAATCATATATCTGAGGAAATTCATGTAATAACCATTTTCTGTCTTTAAAAAAATTTGTTTTATGATTTTTATAAAATTTATTCCAAAAAAAAGAAGGATTAACTGTATATCTTTTCTTATCAATAACAGGATTTAACATTTGTTCTTTAATTTTTTCAACCGCAATTTTTTTCTGTTCTTCATCCCATTCTACATTATCCCTACACTTTATAAGTAAAATTTCAGAAAAATGTCTCTTATTAACCATGCATTATAATGAAATACTTTATTTGGGTCAACAAGATAACGTGATCTAAATGAATTTCTTGTTTTATTCGAAATATTTATGTGATCAAAAAAAAATGAATTATTTTGCACATTTTCTTCATTTGATCCATGAAAACGCATAGAATTAGAATTTTCTTTATAGTTTTCTTCCATACTCTTTTATTTAAATTTTAATTTTCAGATCAACATATATCCATAATACTTTGGATAAGATAAAATATATCTATAAAGATTATAAGAAAAATGAAGAAATATAAAAAATATTTAAATACATAAAAACATACAATAATTAATATATTTCTAAATTGAAATATTGTTTGGTGTTTATTTTGTTAATATTAGTTTAAATTCCTTATCAAAAAAATGAAACAGACGTTATTTTAAAAATTTCAAAAATAAAATAAAATATTAAAAATAATACAAATATCATTTTTTTTTAGAAAAAATGCAATTGTATATATAATTTTACATATAAAATAGTCCCCTTATCTTTTTCCTTTAATATTTCCAGATATTAAAATAAAAAAAAGGCTGGTTAAAAACTCGTTCTCGAGGCTGATAAGCAAACAAAATTAACAAGTACACAAATATTCAGCCTCTTTCAACACAAAGTTAAAAGAAATAAACAAAACATCGATTACTTCAAAAATACAAATAACTTAAAAATAATGCTAAGTACAAGCAAAAACACCAAAAATTGAGACTTGATTGGAAATATTTAAAATAACATTTAATTAAAAATAGAAATTGAAGCAAAAGATTAAGGAAGAAAGTTGTATATACAATTATATAAATATCAGAGTGCTATATACACGATTAATTGAATTATTTACGTGAAATAATAATGGGAAACATCAATGGAAAACAAACATTTTATGATAAAAAGCCACTTGCTCGTCGATTAACAAAAAGAAAGAAGAATTCAGGTTCTCACGATATTCCAGCTCTTCAAAATAGATATACAGGTGTACCAGTGCATCATTTTACAGATATATTTGATCCAGGGACGAATCTTGTAAGCAAGTCAGATGAGTTTTGTTCTCTTCCTAAATGCACTAAAACGAAAAATCCTGTTTCATCTATGTATATAGATATATCGGATATTCAATTACCTGTTTATGGAAAGAAAGATGTTCTTAAACCTCGAACTCAGCATCCTTCTAGGAGATACCGAATTGATCCCATTAATAACCGAATGTTTTACCAGTATTTTCCATCAAGACCTTTTCATAGACAGAGCATTTCGTATACACTGCCACCTGCTACATCAGCTCGATATGGCCCATCTGTTTCCAATATTTCTCGATACAATACTTGCACAACATCTGCTCTTGTTTCATCTGATGAAACAATGCCCGCTCCACCATCTTTTTCTACACATTTACCTAATAAAAGGCTAGCTTCTCCGTCAAATATTGATTTTGGTCAGATTTCACCTGGCGTACTAAGAGTAGTAAATGGTCTTCCTTCACCTTGCTCTTCTGATGATGAGTCTTCACCACAACCATTTTCTCAAAATAAATCACGTCCTGTTTCAATAGAAAAAGAAACTTTAAGGCATTTAGTTGGATCTGAATCTGAAAATACAATGCCTCAAGACATACTTGAACAAACAACCTCATGTTCTAGTACAACTGAACAGTTATTAATGGAATATTATAGTAATAAAGATAGAGGTGAAGAGTATTTTGATATAGAAGATGCTTCAGAAACTGAATTACAATTAAATTGCTTTTCTGATGAAAAAATAAATTATGATTCTATTTTTAATTCAAAAAATATAAAATCAAATTATCCAATACACCAAATCGAAAAAACAATTGAACATGAGTCATCTGTACAAGATACTTATGAAAGTACAACGGACTATTCATTTAAACATTTACAAAAACAAGATATATCATCTAACATACAGGAACATTTACCCGACATTTACCCAAAAGTAGATTCAGATGAATATACATTTGATTTTTTACTAAAAAGACCCAAGTCTCAAGTAAAAAGCGATTTTTATGACCAACATACACCCAAAAATACTAAACCTTATTCAGCCTTCAATACTCTCGAAATACCACCAATTCCTAGCATTCCTAGTCTTTTTGTTTCGGATCAAAGGATTACTATTTCAGGATAATCTTTATTTTTTCATCAAAAAACTTTTACTTTGGTATTTAAGCATCTTATACACATCAATTATAATACAGAATTATACATAGAGTTTATTCACGTTTTGATAATCAATGTTTAAAGCTTTTATTACACTTTATTACACTTTATTACACTTTAATATCTTTTTTGTTTTATATATTTTTATTATCACGTATTAAATAAAAATAACTTTATATTTTTCATATTATATGTTTTAAATTACATAATTCATCACGTGTCATCTATCTTAATACGTCTTAATATTATTTTAACACGTCGCGTACTCTAATTACGTACAATTTACCAGAACGGGAAACTCTAAACGGAGTTTCAATCGGAGTTTTAATAAAGAAACCCTAACCCTCCAATCTATATAAACGCGCTCTTCGTACTTTTTTCTTCACCTCTCTTTGGTAAGATGACATAATTTTCTTTCAACAACTAATGTGTGCAGCCTTTTGGCTTAGATCAAGTGTAGTATCTGTTCTTTTCAGTTTAATCTCTGAAATGTTCCCACTGGGAACACATTGATTATACTACTTTTTGAACCGAGCCTGGTCATCTCTAGCTTGCTATGTGGCCGGCACAGGTGTCGCTTGTATTGCACTATCTCAGGCAGACGCCGAATCTCTTTCAGAGATTCTTTTTTAATTGCTGCTATGATTGGTCATGGCTGGGATCAAAAAAGTGTTTCTGAAAGTTGCTTAGTATGCCCGTTGGTGTCCATTAAGATGCTTGAGTTTAGTTTTTAGATTTATTTTAATTGTGATCAAGTGTTTATTTTTCATTATTGTGGTTGAAGGGTTTTATTTAGGAAATCATGGTACTTCTAATATTTTGATATTCTAAAAACATAATCTTTAAACAGTCGAAAAAAAATCTTTCATTAGCAGAAAAGCGATCACGTTTAGAAGAATTGTTCCATGAATCAGTATATAGACAATTCATTTATTTCTACTGACGTTTGCAATTAGAAAGAATTTTTTCAACTTAAAGAGGTGGTTATGAATAATTGACATATGTTTGTGGCTTATATGTTTTAAAGATTGAGAAGAAGGGTTATCAGGAAAAGAAAATTGTACTTCAATCGATTAAGGATATTTTGCAATCACTTGTTGATGATGGTATTGTTAAAATGGATAAAATTGGGACAACAAATTACTTTTGGAGTTTTCCAAGTGAAGCAAGGCAGTCAAGACAACTTCGTATTACTACAATGGAAAAACAACTTGAAACACTTCAAACAGAAGCACGGACATTGCAAAACCAAATTAACCAAGAGATGAACCAACGTGAAGATTCTGTATAAAAAATCAACATGAATATTGTATATGGACTAATCTAATAAAGCAATTGCGTACGTCTTTATTAAAAAATGTTACTGAAAAAGAAAAAAAACATATGGAAATTGTTAAGAATCTAGAACGTTATCGTGATTTAGATCCAACAGTCATTGAGGCTAAAAGTATGTTAAATATACTTAATTATTTATTTTAATACTTCATACAGAAAAAGCAACGCAAATAGCAAAAGATGCAGCAAATCGATGGACAGGGGCGTTAAGAGTATTTTTACCAATACATGTCAACTAATATCCTGTAGATAACATTTTAATTCTACAGAGCTATTGTGTAAATGAATTAATGGTGCAAAAAGAACTTCTTATTTCGCAATTTAATATTCCAGAAGATTTAGACAATATTCCGTAATCTACACTTCTATAGTAAGGTTTTTATACCATTATTTCTCTTGTTGCTTAATTCTTTGCATTTTTTCAATTGTTTTTATTTCATTTTTATACTTGCATTTTCTTTGCTTTTCCTATTTTCTGGGCTAATTCAAATAAAAAAATACAAGAACATCTTTGCTAATAGAGCTAAAAATAACTGTTGTAGAAATATTCTGAAAATAATCTTGGCTTTTGCTTAGCTGTTATTTAATTATATTCAACTAGTTCTTGATCACATTTTAAACCTTATTTCAAACTCTAATGTAATCAATATAGTATAACTCATTTATTTAAATATTTGGTCTTTTCATCTTTTTTAAAAACTCTTTTCCACATTATCCCACTCGATACCTTAAAGATTGTATAATTGTATACAACGTACCTGCTGATACTGCAGAAATGAATAAGCAATCTACAAAATCTGATATTGTCTCTATAGATTCTATTTCTACACACAACTCTGTTTCAGACCGTGTACTCCTCCGTCAATGTACTGCTCCGCTTATATCAAGCTGGACAGCAGTTCCTATCAACGAACCAGTACCAGAAGCACTGGTACAGAAATTTGAGCATTTTAGAGCACTGAAGAAACAAGGAATACATCTTAATACAAGCTTAGATAATTCAATATCATTCAAAAACCCAAGATTACTTGATAAACTAGCGGATTTTGTTGGTATTACTGATCAATACGGATCAAATTTACCATTAGAACTACAAAGTTGGCAGCAATTATCACTTGAAATGAAAGAAAGCTACCTTGGTAAATATACATGTGACTAGAAAGAAGTATTAATGACAATACAGCAGAGAAACAGACGAAGAAATCAAAATCATCAGCACAAAACTTAGCACAAAGAACAGAAGTTCAATTTGTACCCGAAAAACAGTCTAAAAGTACAAGATAAGGTATATTTATGATACAATTTTTATTCTTTAACTCATATGATAGCATTATTTAAAAACCTAAATGAAAAAAATGATTAAATCTTTAAATGTAGATATGTATATTTGTGTGAATATATATGATCAAGAAAAAATACAAAAAATAAGTCGAATATGGATCTAGAAGGATGAAATAATGCCTTTCAAGCTTGAGAGAATGGCGTGAACAGCCATTTCAAGGGACCATGCAGATACAGTTCGTATACAATGCCGTTTAATATCTTGATCAACTACCATTTTCGCAAATGCTTCGTAAATCTAGAACGTAAGAAAAAATTGAATAAACTATCACTGTATATCTACCTCTTTTGAAAGATCATTCATTAACCCACTATCATAAATAGTCCAACTACCATTAAAATCATCCAAATTTTTAATAACTTTACAAGTAATAGGTATACAAGCATGATGTGAATTAATATACGCCACGATTGGGCGAATAAATGCATTACTAACATATGACAATTCTTTTGCGAATAATGGAACATTTGCTTTAACTCCATGCAATATCATTTTAATATCAATAGTCATTTCTTCAGTACTTGTTATTTGTAAATCATGATAATTTTTATACTGAGTGAGTTTTCTTAATAGTTCAGGAATTATACCATTTACTAAATTCAATGATATAAATGATCTTTTTTTCTCTTGGTTTTCTTGCTGTATAAGTGTGGCTTCAATACTACCAACAATATTGTGCATAACTTTTTTGAAATCATCATTCTTAGTTCCATTAGGGAATACAAAATCTAAAATAAAATCAACGTATCCACGAGTAATCCAGCCAAAAGGACCATCAACACCTTCATTTAAATGATCTATGTTAACATTGTCTACTCGAAGACGTGTTCTTTTGAACATTTCACCATTTTTAGTCAATTCATGAGAAACCGTTTGACATGGATGCAATGTAAAAAGAGAATTATCATATGAACCCGAAATTGTATTTGCATTTAGAATATCATATAACAACCATTGTTTCCTAAGTTTTGGAAGTTCACAATTATAAATGCTAACATTAAATGGACGAAATTTTCTAGACTGATGTATAGTTACTAAAACATTTTTAAGTCGAAAATTTTCGATTTCAAAATCACCTAATTGATGATTTCCTCGAAACAATTTTGGATCATAAGGAAAATTTTCTTCATCTGTATAAACTTTAGAAGCATCTATAACCCCTCTAACGCCTTTTATATCTATATCCTTAATAATACCAGTTCCATTAAACCATTTAACAAAAGAAAAGACTACACTAATGTCTTCAACTGTTAAATCAAAAAGTACATAATTTGAATTTTCTTCAGAACACGAATTCTCAATGTTTATGTCCTCCTTTGCAATTACTCTGGGTGCTTTCGAAATCGTCCCTTTTCTAACATTATTTTTTATATTTTGATTATATGAAGATCTAGAAATATAAACATTTTTAAATGAAATGGTCCCATCTCTCCATTTTGGAACAATAGCGGATTCAAAGGTTACAGTAATACCAGTCTCCTTTGTAAGATATTTTCCTATTTTAGTAGCTAAATATTCTTGTGCAGAAACGCTATTAATTGCTGCTAAAACTAAAGAAAAAAAAGTAGTTGTTCCAACAATAATCCAAAGAATGTTACATGCAATGAGCCATGTAAACATTGCACTTATATCATCAATATTAAACGGCCGTATTTGTTTCATTAAACAATATTTCATATGAATTTTTAAACGTCCAAAAAACCCAGATGTATTTAATAATAACGCCTCTTCTTTAGAATAATACCCTCTATTATTAGGAATCGATTTTAATGAAAAACTATATATAGACTGGTCTGAATGACGAGTTAATATATTTCGACTTTTAATATGAAAAAACGCTCTAGAACCATGTGGAGAGTGTACTGTTTTAAAAAAGCTATTTCTTATTCCTACTTTTCCCCTGAAAAAGTGATTTGATGAAAAATATGTAGTCAAACAAGAATCTTTGTCTCTATTCTTTAAAGAACAATTTTTTAACCATTTTTTGTCATTTTCATAACATGAGTTGAAGCATTTTTCATGATTTAAAGATAAAAAGAAATCTCCTCTATCTATCCACGTTTTTTGAACTATAAATGACGAAAAAAAAGACATCTTAAGCGTATTCCACGAGTTTTTTGTCTTTTCTATCTCAAAAATACACTTTTTGCAGAAATACACATATCTAGCACTCCAATGCATTGGCCCCTTCATTCAATACAAAAAATAGTATTTTATCTTGTATTCTCATTATTTCTTTACTTTATTCCTTAATTTATAAAACAGATATATTGGCTACTTAGATCTTTACATAGCCGTTCTCGTCGACGTTAAGAATTTTCAAAATTCTAAAATGAAAGATATTCAGTCTCAAAAGACTTCAAAAGGTGAAAAATAAATATAAATAAACCTGTTTTTAATATTTTCTTATAGATGAGCTTCTAATTGATACATCAACAGTGCCTGTGGCATTTCAGGATGATAGCAATGACATTCATCTAGATGAAGCAAATCAACCACAATTTGCACCTCTAAATAAGAAAAAATCAACATATAAGAGATTAGATATGACTTCTGTAAGAATTCCATATCATAGAATGTCACCATTAAAGGCAAATTGGTCAAAAATCTATCCTCCATTAGTAGAACATTTAAAATTACAAGTGAGGATGAATTTGAAAAATAAAACAGTTGATTTGCGAACAAGCATTTATACAGAAATGCCAGAATCACTGCAAAAAGGAGCAGATTTCATAAAAGCATTTGCAATAGGGTTTGATGTAAATGATGCAATTGCTATGATACGATTAGACGATATTTATCTTGATACATTTGAGATTAAAGATGTAAAAACACTTGAGGGCCAGCATTTGTCCAGAGCGATTGGAAGAATCGTTGGGAAGGATGGAAAAACAAAGTTTGCAATTGAAAATGCAACGCAAACAAGAATCGTAGTTGCAGACACCAAAATTCATATTCTTGGAAAATTTTTGAACATTAATATAGCACGAAATTCGGTAGTCAGTCTTATTCTAGGAAGCCCAGCAGGAAAAGTATGTCTCTCTTTTAATTTCCTTTCTTATATTTCAGATATATTCAAATCTCAGAAATGTTTCTGCAAGACTAAAAAATGCATTTTAAACATAAGTGTTATGAATATGATTTCTAGAATAAGAAAAATATCAAAGTATACACTATTTACAACATATTTGGTCCTTTCGGTATTTGAATTTATGTACATGGTACAAATATATAAAGTTTTTTTCTTTTATTTACAAAAAAGGCTTCTATAGATGAATTTTCCTCCTTATAAAATTCAGAAATAGGTATTTTTAATTTAGCATAAACATCTTTTACACAAAGCATTAATGAAAATACTCCATTCTTATTGATCAATTCTAAACATGTATGAGTAGCATTTTCCTACACCAATTAATATCACAAGTTAACAAAATGCACACATACTATTAATGGAAGGTCTACTACTACTTTAAATCTTTTTGTACTGCCATCTAGCGGGAAAAACTCTTCAATAGTATATATTGGTTTCATTAGTTCATTTTTTTCAATATTTGTTTCTGAAAGAGATAAATGTACATTTTTGTTTATAATAGCACCAGTTTTCTTAATTTCTTGAGATGCATTTTTCTTAATATATTTTGAAGATATATTTTTACTATCAATTTCTTGTATTTTTTTATCAAAAATATTGTCTAGTTCCAAAATACTTGATAGTAATTCACCTTTAGATTTCATTTTAGGAATAGTATATTCTAGACCACATAAATCCTCATTAATAGTTAAAAAAATAATAACCTCTAGAAAGAATCATTCCTGTTTTATCTTCAACAACCTCAAAACATGTTTCAATGAAAAAAAAACGAATATTTATATCTTCTTTAGATAACTTCATAACAGAAGTATTACAACAACAATCTATTACTAAACATTTCCTTCCAGCTGATTTTCCAATTAATATAATACTTTATTATCAACAATTATACCTTTGTCTACATCCCATCGTTCTACACTTACAACAATAGGTATTTCCCAATGCCATCCTCTCATTATTTTTAGCCCAATATCACGATCAACACCATCTTTTGGCGGTGTAACTTTTTCTGAATGACATAAATTAAGAAATACTTTTGTACCTTGAGGAAACCGCTTTTTTTGATCGCCTGTTTGTATCGTTTTAATAACAAAGCCTGGAAGAGGAGATATATAAATTTCTTTAGATTTTTTTTGACATTCTCCTTCATTTATAGAGAGTCCTGAAATATTAAGTCCTTCTTTTTTATTATTTCCTTGCATTATTTTTTCTACAATTAAATGATCGTTCTTTTCTTTAGCATCATATTCATTATATTTTCCATAATTGTTTGAAATAATATTAAGACTTTTCAATCTATTAGATTTCTCTGGAATATCAAGAAAAGGCATTTTCTATTAAAAATATATATTTTTATAATAATAAATATTAAAAAATAAGATTTTTTATTATTTTGTTTTTTTGCAGAAAGCATCAGAACCTCGATGACGGTTTAATCCAATACTTTAAATTATAAAATATTATGTCTGTAGGTTTAGAACATAACTCAAATATATATTCCTTAAAATATTTTAGCAAGATTTTAAAAGTTTGATTGATATTACAAGCAAAGGTATTTTATTTATATTTTTAAGTCAAATTAAATATCTATAGGAGCCGAAAATTTTATTAATGTCTTCTTTAAATGTATGGATAGCAACAGAGATGTTTTGTATCAATTTTATAGACCTTTTTCAACTATCGTTTGGAATGGAAATGCCTTTACTGGTTTATGTTATGCAGAATTTGTTAAAAAACTTCCTAACAGTTGCCATGAGGTTGTTGTATTTTTTCCGCTAAAAATACTATATAACACTTATTTAGGTTCAGAACTTTGATTGTCACCCTATGACATCAAGTATGAATGAGCATGGTGCATGTAATATTGTACTAGTTGTTTCTGGATCTGTACGATATGGAAATGAGTCACAGCCACGTGGATTTTCGGTATAGTTGCACTATAATACTCAAAAGGGGTCAATTATCTTATATATGTAGGATACTTTTGTTTTAAAATATGATTTGGAAAAGCATGGAATGTATTATATAGCAAGTCAATGTTTTCGACAAGTTGTTTAGCACGTTTTTTATACATTGTTATCTTTATAAAGATGTACTATTGAAAATATTTACTAAGAAATATTAATTGGTTCATTTTTGCATACATATTTTTACCATATTTTTTTATTTACCAATATTTAACATTAAAGATTAATTATGTAAAATACAGAATTGCACTTTTATATTTCATATAGCTTCTTTATATTGCTTATTACTCTACTCTATTTTGTACATTTTTTTTTAATCATTATTTTTATATTCAGTGACGTTTTTCTGTTAACTTGAAAAAACCAGAGATGGATTTTTTAGAGGTTTATTAGAACAAAAGTTTCTATATATAAATATTGATAAGTCTTCAGGATCTCAAAAATAGGTTAGATATTCCTGGTTTTCCATGGAAAAAGCTTGTCGTTTCATTTATTATAGGTAATTTATATTTTTTGTTTTAATAAGAATTAAAATTTAAGCACAATATACTTTTGAACAATTTTTAATGCTAAGACAATATAAGAAATTAAAAGAAAAAAAACCTCCAATTACATTAGAAAATATTATTGATCAAGAGACATTTGATAAAAGTCAAACATATAGTCGTGTAAAAACTAAATTTGGGTTTATTGTTGAACTTTATGGACTTATTCAGAAAATGTTAATTATAAAGTATGATGTCCTTCCTAAGCTCTATGCCTATGTTCAGTCATTGATAAATCGTTTTTTTTCGGAAAAAAATTCAGGAGAGGTAAAATACAAATAGTACATTATATTTTATTGACATTAAAAGATCATGTATTCTTTATTTTTTTTCTTTATTTTAAATATAAGTGTCTTAATTCTGAATCTCCCTACTTCTATTTATTCAACATTTGTTTTAGAAGAAAGATTTGGATTTAATAAGCAGACACCCTCTCTCTTTATCACTGATTTGCTTAAAAGTCAAATACTACTCATTGTTATTGGGGGGCCTGTTCTTTTTGTATTTTTGAAAATTGTCGCATACTTTGGTCAAATTTTTTTTTATTATCTTTGGCTTTTTGTACTCGTATTTCAAATTGTGATGATTTTAATTTATCCAGCTTTCATTCAACCTTTATTCAATAAACTTACGCCTCTTCCTGAAGGAGAATTAAAAACAAAGGTTGAAAATTTAGCATCAGAATTGAAATTTCCTCTTAAAAAAATTTATGTAATCGATGGATCAAAAAGAAGTGCACATAGTAATGCATATTTTTTCGGTTTACCATGGAATAAACATATCGTTATTTATGATACGTTAATTGGAAAACTAGAAACTGTAGAAATTGTAGCAATTTTAGGTATTTTAATATTATTTTTATTTTTATATGCTTATTATTTTATAGCACATGAATTAGGACACTGGGCATTGTATCATGTATCAAAAATGTTAATAATTGCTCAAGTTCACATATTTTTTGTATTCATGTTGTTTTCTGTCTTCATACAAAATACATCTCTTTACTACTCATTTGGATTTTATTCAGACATGCCAATTTTAATAGGATTTGTTTTATATAATGACATTTTAACGCCTATAAATAGTATTTTAACATTTTTTATCAATATTCTTAGCAGAAAAAATGAATTTCAAGCAGGCATGGCATTTTATATTCATACTAAATATTTTCACTAATATATTTAGATGCATTTGCAGCCAAACTTAATTATACAAATGAACTTTCACGTGCACTTATAAAACTTCATATTCAAAATTTAACTAATATGGATGCAGATTGGTTATATAGCAGCTATCATTACTCACATCCAATATTAAGCGAACGTCTACGTTCTCTGGGGTATACACATGAATCCAAATGAGAGTAATTCTTAGTATTTTTTATTCTTCCATAAAAAATTATGTATTAATATTTTTTTCAACATATATAGAAAAATATGTGTAGTTATTTAAATAAAAACAGATACTTTATTATTTACATTTTTCTATTTAAACCTATATTTCGATTAACATTTTTCTAATATTATCTATCGTCATGCTTAAAAATTAAACAGGAATATGGATTGGTAAAAATAGATTACTTTTTAAGATTAAATAAAAAAAAGTTAAAAAAATTTAGGATTTTTAGTAATGTTCGAAGAACTGCACTTAAAAAAGCATTGACTCTTAGTTTTAATACAAATGATAACGAAATATTGGCAAAATCGAAGGAAACATGGAGAAAATCAATAAAACGTAAACTAAAATCACAAAAAGGACGAATCTTTAATGCTATTGGATATAAATTATCATCAAAAGAAGATTTCATACAATTAGTGATTACGTATTTATGTAATTACAAATATAACTTATAAATTTAGAGTCCTCGAGAATTTCATGGTATTATTACTACCTGTGAAGCCATTATTGAGTCAAAGCATTTAAAGTGTTCAAAGGAATTGATAAATGAGGCAGGAGCGATTCTGAAATCTTCTTGTGGTTCATTTACGTTATCATCCATTTTGGACGTTGACAGTTAAGCCTATCTTTTAATACGACTTAAAGTTTAAAATATATGTTTAGAAGTTTTTTATCTAAAAGACTTGGCAAACAAAAGCACACTCTCTCTTTTACGTTTTATAGATTTATTTCCCGAATATCAGCCAGAAATTTTGAATATATTTATTGAATATATTGAAGAGGTTTTAACAAGTTTGAAGAATTGCATAGATTGTAATTTATTTTTTCTTTTATATTATAGCTTAAAATTTTAGCTTTTTTAATATTTGAGATGCAAGCACCATTCACATCATTGTTTGGTTTTCTTAAAGGATTCAAAATGTCAAAATTTCCCCAATTAGATTTAGAATTTACTACTATGTTTGAAGCTTTAAAATATTTACTTTCAGAAGATTTTTTGGCTAAAATGTTAAATCTAATAACGAAAGTTGAAAATGAACAACAAAATCAAAATTTACCATTTTTAGCCAAACAACAATCTAATGATATAGTGTTAGGAAAGTGTCTCATATTGACCAAAAATGTTATTTTTATAATTCAAAAATATATTTTTAGACAAATAGTAGGAAATGATTCATTAAATTGGGAAGAAATTCTTACGGATAATATTTTGAATTTTGAAAATGTTCTTCAATCTTCTGTAATCGTTTCTATAATCCAGTGTTTGAAAGGGGTTATTAAATATCTTAATTCATTTCCTAGATCTAATGTCGTTGAATCAAATACATTTCAAAAATTATTTTCATATTCATTAGTTTATTTATCTTATAAATCTAAAAATTATTACTAATTAAGATTAGAGAACAACATGTCTTTGTTGTATTGTTCTTAAAGATTTTTCATTAATGTCAAAATGGTTTGATGAGCTTTTAAAATTATCATATGAGGGTTTTGGAATTATTTACACTATTGCGATTCAAGATGTTTTCGCGGCAATTGCTGTCCAGTAATATTCCTTATGTTTATTTATTTTTTCTAAAATATTTCAATAAAGTTTTCCAGATAATGCTAGTGTTATTATTCAATATTTTCGAATACATATTCTCTATTTTTCAGAATCTAATTCTAATTTCCAGTACAATGAAGATCTTACTGCATTGACATCAAGAAGACTTACATATGTTCTTAAAGTATATTATTTCTTTCCTATTATAATATCTTATTTAATTAGCACTCATCGCAAGATGCAATTATTACTACAATATACTCTTTAACTAATTCTATTTCATCAAGTATTCCAACAGCACCATCTGCAGATTTACTTGTTCATTTGGATGAACGGACAATTAGAAGCAATATGTCTTTAATATTTAAATCAGATATTCAAAAGCGTATTGTTCATTATAAAATCATTGATGTCATTACTCAAATAGCAATTATGATGCCTGATGAAAAGGTTAAGCTATTTTATTTTAAAAAAAATATTAAATCTATTAGATAGCTGCGTTATCTATATCAATTCTTGTACAAAAGTATGGTAAAATAGATAACGAAGTTGATAAAATTATTTTAGAAAAGCTTGCGAATGTGACTAAAACAAAATCAGAAAAAAATGTTATGAGTATAATCAAATTTTATTCTCGGGTTGCAGAAGGACTCAATGGTCATGAACTAAACATTGTTTTAGATGTGGTAAAATTTAATTATTAATTTACTTCTTTACTTATTATTAAAGTTTCGATCATCTCTTACAAATATATCTTCAAATATAGAAAAAAAATCAGAATTATTAACATTTTACCTTAATAATTTGTTAAATATTATAATAGGATTTGATAAAGTTTCAGAGAAACAAAATGAAACAGGAAAAAAGCATCAAAATAAAGATTTAAAGGTATAGTTTTTCTAAACGAGTTTTACTATAGTTAATATTTTAAAAGAGCATTCAAAATAACATTCTTAGTATTTTATGTCCCCTAGCAACACTTCTTCAGAAATTTGATGATGAGCCTTCTTTTGATTCAGAAACAATTCTTCTTTTTTGTAATATGTGGTTTACTCTTGTTTTATGTGGATTTATTGCAGGATCAGCACTGATTAATGAAAATATTGAGTTATTAAAAATAATTGCAAGATACTCTCCTCCATTAGTATTAGATAATGTTACTACTCATTTTGAGAATGATTTAGAGTTGAATACTATTTTAAGAAGAGGGTGTTCTCAAAAAGTAAAATAAAAATAATTTAGCTTTTTTCTAATTGAGTAATAGGAATTAAATTCTTTAAGAGAGTCTCTTTCAAAAGCATTACCTTCATGTGCAAGCGAGATTAAATCTGCATCTTACTCGAAAACTGTATATTTATCATCAGTGTTTCTTTTAGAGATTTTACGAAGTAATGCTGGGATTTGTTCATATACATTTGCTTATTTAAAAAATACAAATATTAAAGAAAGTGACATTGCAACATGTATATCAGCAATAGCTCATTCTGTATGCTTTTCTATTTATCTATTTATGTGCATTTCTTATTATTTTAGGCAACTAATGTTTTTATTTTATCGTTTGTTTTAAGTTCTAAAGGACCAGAAAGTTCTGTATTGCTTTCAAAAGAAATGAAAAGATTGATTCTTAGTTGCTCTTACAAAATAAAACAACCACGTGAATTGGCCTTAAAATGTTGTGATAAGGTTGTCTCTTCAATGCCATCAGTTTTATGTTCTCAATCGGTTCTTTATACATTACTTGAATCATTATCGTTATTGTGGTATAGCTGTGCAAATCAATATTTATCTGAAGTATAGTGTATTTTTTTTATTATATTTTATATAATTGTTACTTAGTATACACCTCAATATACTTTTTCATCTTCACGTGGAAATCTCTCTTTAGAGTTTTCGGATTCTTACACTGAAAGAAAATTGATTCTTCGTGATTTGTTAACATATACAAAAAAGTGGCTTTTACTTACTTTACAAATTAGCCCTTTGGATCTTAAATCACTTTTACATGTATAATTTTGTATTAATACCATAATGTATTAATATTCATAGACATATCTTTCTGATTTTGATGATTCAAATTTAACTGGTAATATTTCTTTAGGAAGAACAGTAGCATTAGATATTGGCGGTTCATTGTCTTATATAGATAAAAAAATGTGTAAGTTAAAGTTTTATCGGTTTGAATTTATCTAAATATATACAGTTGGAGATCTTTTGACAAATATTTCGTCAGAATTTATCTCAGAATATACTGTTCGACAATTAAATAAATTTCCTACTTCAATATTACATCCAATACGAAATAATGGTAGTAAATTTCATTTTCTGATTTAATATTTTAACTTAATTAGATTTTACTCATCAAAATGATTTTAATGACTGTAGTTTTATTTTCAGCGTATTACAAAACATGTCTCAGATAGAAAATAATTTAAAAAAAAAAAAAAAACTCAAAATAAATGAACTGAGGGATTCTTTACAAAAAGTTGCTACTTGTATAATTACTGGTACAGGATACGAAAAAATTCTAGCTCGCTTTATTGTTAGAATTCCGTTTATGATTTTGACTATTCCTTCTATAAAACTTGGGATATCTTTATGGACATGGATAATGACAGAACGGCCTTCTCTCCAAATTCAACTTCTTACAGAAATATCAAGAAATTTTGAATGGACTATTAGAAGAAGACAGGGCTTATTTTCTAATTCTATTGATCCATTGAATGCATTTGCTAAACCTATGGAATATCTTCCAACTGACAAATCAATATATGATAAAGAACATCAAAATGCATTTAATTTATTTACTCCTCATCTATTACTTACGAATTTTCTTTCAAGTCATTTACAAGCTTTTTATAAAAACTTTAACGTATTTGGTATTATTTCATCTTTTTTTCGTTTTATAAGTACTGCTATAATAAATAAAAAATCTAGTAAGCATATCTTATCAAGAGAATTACATCTTCATTTATTTAATCTTGGTTTTAAAATATTAAAATTTAAAGATGTCGATGCTATAACATATATGAAAACAAAAAAAATTTTATATTCAGCTATTTTTACATGGTTTTCACGAGCACCAAAATGGACATTTGGAGGAAATAGAATTCAGTTAGAAACAGAGTTAAATCTTTTAGTTACTATTCAAAATGCTATAGAAAAGGATAATATCATTGCAAAGTCATCTTTTTATGATGAATTTTTTGATAATGTTCATGAAAAACAGCAAAAACTTTTATATCTTTTAATTAGTCATGAGAAATATCGTATATCAACTTGGCTTAATGTTAGAATGGTAGGTTTATGTACATATAACTTAACTACTCTTTGGGCGAATATCTCAGATGAACAATGGAAAATTTTTGTGGATACAGCATGGGACCATGATCCTGTTCTTGCGGTTAATTTATTATATAGATTCAAATCAAGAGGACTATACAAAGTTTTAAGAGATTTAGTTATGGAAAATCCTTTTAACGTGATTGACTGTCCAAGTGCATTGAATATTCTTTTTGATAATAAATTTTTCAATGATATTACTTTTCAGCTGAAATATCTTGAGTTTTGGGCACCAATTGTTCCTCTTACAGCTATTACATATTTTCTTCCTATTTATAGTAATAATGGGTTTATTTTGCAATACGCATCGAGAGTTTTAGAACATTATTCATTAGACGTTATATTTTTTTATGTACCAGAACTTGTTCAAGCACTTCGATATGATACACTGGGTTATATCGAACAATTTATTGTAGAAACTAGTATGCTTTCACAATTGTTTGCTCACCAAATGATATGGAATATAAAGGCTAATACTTACAAAGATGAGGAAGCATCAGAGCCTGATTCTATAAAATCTGTATTAGATAATGTTATGGAGCGTATAATATCAGGTTTTACTGAAGAAAATAAAGCATTTTATGAGCGAGAATTTAACTTTTTTGATGAAGTTACATCTATTTCTGGAAAATTAAAACCATATATTAAAAAGTCTAAACTCGAAAAAAAAGAAAAAATAGATCTAGAAGTCTCAAAAATCAAAGTAGAATCAAATGTTTATCTTCCGAGTAATCCTGAAGATATCGTTATTGGTATTGATAGGAAATCAGGAAAACCTTTACAGAGTCACGCTAAAGCACCTTTTATTCTAACTTTTAGAATAAAAGTAAAAAAAGAAAGACATATAAATTTTCAAGAAAGTATTCCAAATGAAGATTCTGATAGCAGTTTAAATAAAGAAATTACACAAGAATTCTGGAAGTCATCTATATTTAAAGTCGGTGATGATTGTCGTCAAGATGTTCTTGCTCTTCAATTGATTTCAATGTTTAGAAATATATTTAATGATATTGGTTTAAGTTTATATGTTTTTCCATATAGAGTCACAGCTACTGCGCCCGGGGTATTTATTTTCAATATATATATTTAAAAAGTGTAATAGTTTATAGTGTGGAATTATAGATGTATTACCAGATAGTATTTCTCGTGATATGCTTGGCCGCGAAGCAGTTAACGGGTTATATGAGTAAGACAAATCCAAAATTATTATAAAACTATTATTTATTATATTAAGATATTTTATAACAAAATATGGCGACGAAAACTCTATTGAGTTTCAAAAAGTAGAATGATTATAAAATAATTTGTCTAACCAATTTAGGCTAGAAACAATTTTGTTCAAAGTATGGCAGCATATTCAGTTATAACATATATTTTACAAATAAAAGATCGTCATAATGGTAATATTATGATTGATAATGAAGGACATATAGTGCATATTGGTAGTTTGATTTATTAATTAAAAATCATTATTAATATATATAGATTTTGGTTTTCTTCTTGATATAGGTATTTTGATGATTAGTATGAATTCAGTATATAATTTATATAAATAGCACCTGGAGGAATTACTTTTGAATCTGCTCCATTTAAATTAACTAGGGAAATGATTGCTGTAATGGGTGGGAATCAAAAAACCCAGTCGTTTATTTGGTTTCAAGAATTATGTATTAAAGCTTTTTTTGCGTGTAGACCATATGCAGAAAATATAATTGAATGTGTAACTCTCATGTTAGATTCTGGGCTTCCGTGTTTTAAAGGAGCTACAACTATTAATAATCTTCGAAGCCGTTTTCATTTAGATTTGGAAGATCATGAAGTAGCACGAACAGTAATAAAACTTATTAATAGTAGTTATGAAAATAGACGAACAGTTATATACGATCAATTTCAATCAATTACCAATGGTAATTTAACTTTGTTTTTAAAATAGACTAAACTCATACAGGTATTCCATATTAATTACACAAAAGCATTTTTTATTTATATTTACATGTACATATTCATTAACTATTAATTGTTAAAATTGAATTTATTTCCAAAAAATAATATAAATTACATATTTTTGCACTGCAAAACAATTAAAATAGCATCTATAATTACATCATGCTCGACTTTATGCATACGCTCTTTAAACTGATCAAATGTTTCGTCATTTAACATTGGAACTTCTTTAACAACAATGGGCTCTCCTTGATCAATTTCTTCAATAACCCAGTGAACCATAACTCCTGTTTTTGTAATTTTACCTTCATGAAAAGCTTTGTATGCCCTCTCTATAGCGTGCATTCCATTAAATGTTGATGGAAGAGCTGGGTGAAGATTAATAAGTTTAATTCCAATTTTTTGTAACGGATCAAGACATGCAGACGATAAAATATGAATCCAACCTACACAAACAACAAGTACCGGTTTTTCTTTAATAATCATATCAGAAAGATCTTTGTCATATTTATGCCGTGCTTTTTGAATTCCTTCAGGATTTGACTCTTCTTTTTTTTTATATGGGAGAAGAGGGTGTATTGTGGTTGGAATTCCTGCATTTTTTGCACGAGTAACCCCATATGCAGATCCTATATTTGAAATAACTCTACATATATAACCATTGATACGTTTGGATGCACATGCATTTATAATTGCTTGAAGATTGGTACCTGATCCACTAATCAGAATAACAAGCCGGTTTTTTGAGCTTTCTTCAAATTGCATTGAATATTTATAAATGTTTTTAAAAATAAAATATAGAAGCTATTCAATATGTTTTTTTTCTTAGAATTATTGCCATAATTTATGTGCAAATTTTTTTTAATCTATAAGTTTTAAATATTAACGATAGAATTCTTAAGAAAAAATCTACTCTTATAAAAAGTTTTATCATTTTAAGTTTTTTTCTTCATAAAAAATGAATTATAATGAATATTCAGGACATATTTTAGAAGAAGAAACAGAATATGAAAGATATTCTCGATTAGTGGTAAGTTTAATAAGCAAAAACATGATATTTCTAAAGAATTTATACAGAAACAAAATTCAGATGATTTTGAATCATGGGAGGCTTTGATAAGAATAGTAGAGACTGCAGATGGGGGGTTAAATAGAAATTCTTCTCCACAAGCTATTGGTACTATGAGAAATGCATATGATCGATTTCTTACAAAATTTCCGTTATTATTTGGATATTGGAGAAAATATGCGGAATTAGAATTCTCTATAGCTGGAACAGAGGCAGCAGAGATTGTTTTTATGATTTCTTAAATCAATAGATTAGTTAATGATTTTAGGTTTATGAAAGAGGAGTTGCAGGTATATCTAATTCTGTTGATCTTTGGACAAATTATTGTGGATTTAAAATGGAGACAAGTCATGATGCAGAAGAAACAAGAGAGTGAGTATCTTTTTTATTTCTTTATTATTGTCACTTGAGTATTTCCATTTATGAAAAAATTCAAAATCTGTTAACGAATATTAAGTCTTATTCTATTATATAATTCATAGAATTTGGAGTTAAAGAGTATCCTAAGTTTTTGCATTATTTAAGTCGTATTTTGTTGTATCTAACTAATATTGCTCTTTAGATTATTTGAACGTGGAGCTACTCATGTTGGTTTAGATTTTTTGTCACATCCTTTTTGGGATAAATATATTGAATTTGAAGAACGTATGGAAGCACCTGATCGTATTTTTATGATTTTAGATCGTGTTATTCATATCCCAATGCATCAATATGCTCGATATTTTGAGAGGTTTCTAAATTATATATATATATATATATATAATTAATAATTCTATTATAGATATACTCAGGTTGGAGCAACAAGGCCTATATCAGAACTTCTTCCACCTGACATATTAAACTCTTTCAGACGAGATGTTCTTGCTGAACCAGCTTCTTCTATCCAGGCTGGACAACAACAAATAAAAATGGAACGTGGTGAACTCGAAATTGAAAGGGAAACTAGAATGAGGATACATAATTTGCATTTGGAAATATTTAATCGTACCCAAGTAGAGACCACAAGAAGATGGGTGTACGAAGCAGAAGTATGAATTAAACATTATATTCTGGTGTTTAATTGAACTTGAATAGATACGTCGTCCATATTTTCATATAACTGAATTAGATGAAGCGCAATTAGTTAACTGGAGAAAATATTTAGATTTTGAAGAAACAGAAGGGAATTTCAAAAGGATTCAATTTCTTTATGAGCGTTGCTTGGTTGCATGTGTATTATACTTTTTAATTGTTTATGGTTATTGTTAATTTTAAAAGGCACTATATGATGAATTTTGGTTCCGATATGTTCGGTGGATGTCTGCACAGGAAAACAAAGAAGAAGAAGTCCGATTGATATACCAACGCGCATGTTCTACTTTTGTTCCTGTTTGGTAAGTGTTTTTATCATTATAAATAAGTTTTGATGAATCAGTCGACCCGCTATTCGTCATCAATATGCTTATTTTGAAGAACAACTTGGTCATGAAGATATTTCTAGAGCTATGTTTGAATCTATACTTGTTAAGCGTAATATTCATATCGATATGCTAAATTTTGTTAACATAAAAAGTCCCTGGTCATATAGAAACTATTATTTCATGGGTTAATATGGAACGACGTCTTTCTTCTAGTATTGATAATTCTATTGCTATATTAAAACGATTTATTGATAGTAATACGTGTGATATTTATGCAAAAGCAGCATTAACTACTGAATGGATAAGATTGATATGGAAGGTATAGATATATTCTTTAAACAATTAGTTAAATATTATAAGTGCAAAGGTTCTGTTGATGAAGCTCGTGAAATGTTTCAAAAAAATGCCCCTAAATATCTTGATAGCCGTTATTTTTGGATCAATTATCTTATGTTTGAAATGGAACAACCTGTTTGTAAGTAAACATTATATTATATTATATATCACTAATAATCAAAGCTCCTGATACTGCAGAAAAAGCGCATTGTCGTATTCTTAATGTCATTACTCAGATTAGAAAAACGGCTCGTCTTCCTCCACTTGTAACTAAAGATTTAACACATATTTATATGGTTTATCTCCTAGAACGCGCACCTATTTCAGATGCCATTTTAGAATATAACAGGTTAGATCGAGAAGTGAATGGGCCTTTTAGTGTTCAGATTGAGAATAAACAAAGATTGTCAGAAGATGGTGATGCTAAAACATATGAACGCAAACTTCGACTCACAAATGGACATCCTGGTGTAGAGATCAATGAAGCAGATATCCGTGCTGGAAAAAATCCTTATGATCAGTATTATATCGAGCAAGGAGAAATACCACCTATTACGGTGGGACACAATGCTCAACAAGAAACTTATTCGTAACTTTGTAGATCTAATTTTATAAATTGCTATATACTTTACTTTATTTAAAAAAATAATTTTTTTTAAAAGAATTATTTGTTTCTTAAATCTATCATAATATTGTATTATTTACACTTGTTTCTATACTTGTTTTTATACTTAATCATTAAATTTATAATTATTAATCTCGATTGTTTTAAAATACTTGAAAAATGTCAGAAAATGAAACATTTACTAAAAGATCAAATGTTTCGTTTTCTAAAGCAGATATTTTTGAACAGAAAGAAGCTACTTTACATGAAAATTTATTGTCTCAAGTAGAACAAAATGAATTACGTGTTAAATCTGAAAACGATGTAAAAAGTTTATTGGATAAGCACTCAAGTCAGCTATTTGCTGGAGAAAATATTACTACACCAAAACGAACATTACATGGACCATCTTCTTCAAGATCAAACCGAAGTCTTTTATTATCTTTTAATACACCACAAACATCTTTTTTTACATCAGATATGATATTACCACCTCTTCCTCCATCTACGCCTACGGAAGCTCAAAAACTTTTATTAGATATGAGTCCAGAACCTGTTTTCATGACACCAAGAAGTATTCCAAAGTATACATTACATGATCTTGAGAAAGAAAGGTCAAAATTGCGTACAGAAATTATTAATCTTGAATCTCAATTGCGAGGTCGGGATGCAGAGATTAATGAGCTTCGTAATCATGTTGCAAATATTGAAAATACAATTTCTATATTAGAACATGAAAAAAATGATCTTATTACTTCATGGGAAGAAGAGAGACTTCAATTGGAGTCTAGAAGTTCGATGTCGTTATCTACTGACTCGAAAACTACTGCACCTGCTATTGATCAAGCAATATTAGCAGAACTAGAAACTAAACATCAAGAACAATTGACTGTTTTAGCAAACGATTTGCATTATCAATATTCACAAAAGCATCATCAAAAAGTTCAAGCACTTAAAGCAAATTATGAAAAAAAATATGAAGCTAAGATTATTGCACTTGAAGGAAAGATAGAAGAAATGAGGAAAATGCTACAAAATGAGCAGAAAGAAAAAAGAGAAATTATTGCGATGAGTGAAGAATTAATGAGAGTAATGGAAGAGCAACGAGAAAAAGAGCAAAAGAATTAGTTATGTATTATATTAGGATGAAATTATTATTTTTATATTTGTTAGAAATATTAATACATATACAATTGTGTATTAATAACTTGTCAATTTTTATGCCATAGAATATCATTAAAATGCAACATTGATTTGATAGACTTATTATAATTTAAAATATTAATTTTAATTCTATGTTCTAATAAAATTTATCCAGTTGGAAATTTCAGAAAGAAGAATTTCAAGATTATTTTTTTCACTCCAAAAATGACCTGCATTTTCGACTTTAACAGTAATTAACTCATTTGGACTATTCAGATTAGCCCAAAATTTGCAATAATTTCTCCAGGAAAATAAAGATGTAAGTAAGTCTTTGCCACCATATATAACTAAACCTTTTTTATGTAAATTATTTGATGTAAATTGGAGAAATAATCCAAGAAAATATGTAAGTGGAGGTAAAGGAGGAGAAATAAGCAGAAAAAATGTATTTTTAATAGGCGGATTCATTTTAATAGCAATAAGAGCACCATAAGAATAGCCGCCTAAAATAATTTTATTAATTTTAGGGAAATTAGTAAGAGTATAATTGATAACGGTTTGAAAATTTTGTTGTTCCGGATAGCTTGTCCAACTGGTTTGACCTTTAGATCCTAATGCACCTCTAAAATTAAATGTAACTACTAAATATTCTAATGAAAATAATTTTTCTAATATTTATTTGTTTGAATTAAATATAAAAAAAAATACCTGCAATTGCAATAACAACATGATTATTAAAATTTCCTCCTAATGGTGCATATGGATGAGCAATAATAGCAGCATTTACTGTAGATCCAGGGTCGTATATTCGAATTTCTAATGAGTTTTTCTCTGTTGAATAGATAAAACGTTCTTCTTTCATATCATTAACTCAAAAGAGAATATAAAAAATTAAATATTATAGGACATTAAGTTTTTATTATAAATTTGTTTTTTTGAAATATAATTTTCTTTAAAGATAAGGAATTTTGAATTTTTTATAACATTTTTTTAAATATATAAAATAATATAAAAACAAAAAACATGAAATAAAGTTTTTATTCCTTATATATATTCAATATACGTTTATATTTAAAATAGTTGATATAATATTATTAAGATTTAAATAGATAAATATAAGTTTAAAAATATACTGATTTATATGAAAACTATATGTTACATGATTCAAAAAATCTTACAAAATACTTTTCAATTACAACACTAACACATTTATAAATATATAAATTATGTGATTAAAAAACAAGTTTACGTGCAATAGGTTTTGTATCAAATTCTATATCGTTCATATTTTCATATTCTTGTTTAAAATTATTAAAATCTGTTTCATTTCCTTCAATAATTTTTCTTTTTGGCAATTGTGATGGATGAGTTGGTCGTGGATAACTAGAAAAATACTTACTTTTGAGAGCTTGTTTTGCAGATGGACGTTTTAATGGATCAAATAATAGTAACCATTCTAATAAATGAAGCTCTTCTTCACCTGCTGCGGTAAAAAGATCTCTATGATGTGCAGGTTTTGGATATTGCTTGAATTCTACAAAATCTGGAAGTTGGCGCATTCCTGGCCAATCTTCATCTGTTGGTGTTCCTAATGCTCGAAAAATAGTATCAAGTTGATCAACATCTGTATTTCCTGGAAGATATGGTGTACGAAGCATAAGTTCTGCAAATATGCAGCCTATAGACCATATATCAACACCAGTGCCATATGATTTTGCACCAAAAAGCAATTCTGGAGAACGATACCAACGTGTTACAACCTAAATAAACAAATTAGATAGCTGAAAATAGGTTTAATGATATCATCTACTTGACTAGTCATATTCACGTATGGATTTCCAAAATCCCTTGCAAGTCCAAAATCAGCAATTTTAAGAACACCATTTACGTCAATAAGAAGATTGTTTGGTTTAAGATCACGATGAAGAATAAAGTACGAATGAAGATAATGTAGACCACGTAATGTCATAAGCAACCATGATTTTATATCAGAAGATGAGAAAACAAGTGACTTATCTTTAATAATTATTTCAAGATCAGATGTAAGGAATTCAAGAATTAAGTTCAAATTTTTTTTTGATGAAAATACATCAATAAGCTGTTAAATTCTAAGTAAACTTGATTTATAAATAATATTAGGAAACCTCTATAATATTTTCATGTTTAATTTCTCGGAGAAATTTAACTTCACGGATTGCAGATATATCAAGACCCTCTTTTAATTGACCAATTTTTATTTTTTTAATAGCTACTTTCCTATTTGTAGATAATTGCCGACCTGTTTCTTGGTAAATTTAAAAATAACTTAATAAAACTCGATACCTAAATAAACAATAGCATAGGTTCCTTCTCCAACTTTTTTATCTTTAATATATAACTTAGCTTTATTGTCAACATCCATAATATTTAAATTTATTTAAAATCCTGAATTCTGATTTATTTAAAAATTTGAATAATTGATTTTAAATTTATTACTAGAAAGTTAAATGATTATTTTTTTAATATTATATTTTATCTAATAATATATTATTATTATCAAACATTTTTGTTTAATATTGAAAAAATAGTTTAAATCTTTAATTTATAATTAATATTTTTTATCTTTTATTTTAAATGATACGTTTTAAATAATATGTTTCATACTATAATTAAATTTATAATTTTAAAAAATTGTTAAATTAGTAACGAATTATTTAAATTTTTTATTATAAAAATCTACATATAAATTATAAAATAGTATAAATAATTAGATTTTGTATAATTTTAATTTTTTTATATTTCCATTAAAAAGATATATCTTAAATGTTTTAAAAATTTATTAATATTTATTTAATAAAAGGAGCATTGATTAGTATCTAAAGCTCGTATGGTGTAACGGTAACACTTCACATTGTGGCTGTGATGCTCTAGGTTCGATTCCTAGTACGGGCAATTTTGATTTGAGTTTAATGTTTTAGAATTCTTTTTAAAATATAAAAACTTAAGAATTAAGTTAAAGATATATAAGAAACTTTGTTAAATTTATATAATTTTATATAATTTCAAATATATTTTCGACATCACATAATAAAATAAGAATTGTTATTATATATTCAACTATATTTTATAAATATGCTTTATTAACATTTCTAATATTTTTTTTGTATATTTAAATTTAGTAGTATAGTTATTTTACATTTTATAAGTTAATTTTTTTCAAAGATTAACTATTTTTCTACTTATTGGATGTTTAATATTGTTTTCTACATTTATTGATTATAAAATAAATTTTTATTAAATATAAGGAATATAATAATTTTAAAAAATAAATTTTATATTATAATTTAAGAAATTATAAATTACTAGAATAGTAAATTTTATTGATATTCAAAGATTAAAATATATATAATTAAAATTTAATTTACTTTCCATTTAACTATATATATTCTATAAATCTAATTTTTTTTATGTTTATAACTCTATCATTTCTCTTAAATTAATATATAAATCAAATCTATAATAATTTTTAACAACATTTTTATAAAAATATATTACTTTTTTTAATATTAACCTAATAACTCTCAAATATGATTTTAAATTTCTACATTTTTCGAAATTATGATTATTTTTTAACTTTTAAAATTTTTTATAAAATTTATTAATTTGATGTATTTTATAATTTAGAATAAGAAAAAACTAATTAATCGTAAAATAAAAAAATTAAAGAAAAATAATAATATAGAAGTAAAATTTTCTATGAAATAATATTGATATGATTTATAATCAATACTTTATCAGTAATCGAACACATACGTTTCTGTAAATAAATTTAATATAATAATCTTTATCTTTTTCTTACTTTGAAAGCAGAGTAATGGTTAATTATTTATTATTGCATAATTAATCTTTTATCTATTTAAAGTATTAAATGTTTTATTAGAATTTATTAAATAATATTTAATAAAATATAAATCACTTTAAAAAACTAGAAATACTATAAACAGACTTCTAAAATTAATATTACTGAAAAGAATATAAAAATAAAATTCTAAGTTAATATACACTTTTAAATTAAAAAATATAAAAATACGTATCTGACATGTGGAAATTTAATAAATTATTCCTTTTAAAACATACTCTATTTTTCATATTTATTTTTATATTTTTTATATTTAATTTTTTTTAAAAAAATTATATTTACAATTATTATAGTTAATAATCTAATTTTTTCGATAATGCTACCTAAATAGAACCTATATTACATTAATTTTTTTATGTGTTTATAAGAAATAATCTTATAAATAAAAAACTTAAACTATTGCATCATAAAAATATTTTAATTTTATTATGTTTTGTTTTTAAAATAAAAATCAATGTAATTCCGAAATATATAACTCAATTTAATTCAACAATATAACTACTAGCCATTTCTAATGACTTATTTGCCTGTATTGGTAATGGTCGAAGATATGGCTGACAATGCCACCATTGAATTTTTTCTTCATTGTTATTTTCCAAAATTGCTTTCTTTTAAGATTATTAAAAATTTTATCTAGAAAATAAAAGTACCTTAACTAATATGTCAAGCTCTTCAACTATTTTAAAATACTTTTCTAATTCCCCTGGTTTTGTTTTTCCTAATTCATTTCGCAAATGCTCATATTTACATAATCCAGGCCGAAGAATTTTAAATAAATGGGGTTTCATAGCGTTAATACAACTTCTATCGTTCTCAAGTTTATAGTTTACAATAATATTCAAATACTCTTTAGCAATTTCCGTAATAATTGGATGTATATTAGAACGAGTAAAAATGCATGGATTATAAAGATTTCCTTCTGCAGACATAACACCATCTACCTTTGTTTCTTTCAAACATCTATCAACATCATGAGGCCAAAGAATATTTCCATTAGAAAAAATAACAATATCAGAAGGTAGATTTTCTCTTAAATATAAAATTTGACTCCAATCAGATAATCCTGTCATAGTACTCTTCTGCTCTCTTGTTCTTCCATGCACAGCCAAGATAGATACTCCTGATTCCACAATCATCCGAGCATATGCCAAAGTTTTTTCTTTATCAGGAAAAATACGAATTTTAGCAGTTATAGGTATATCAAGAGAATTATTAACATATTTAACTAAAAACCTCAATATTTAAAAAATATGATTTATTGTTGTACTAATTTTAGAAATCAAATCCCAATTTTCTTGTAAATAAGCACCATAATATCCTCGTTTTGCAATATTTTGAGGACAACCAAGATTTAGATCAACTGCATCACATTTTCCTACGACAATTTTTGACGCTTTTAAAAAATCTTCTGGATCATTTGCACAAAACTAAAAATATAAATAACACATAATATTTATAAACATATACTTGAACAATTAAAGGCCGATCTTTTCCATTATCTAAACTACTCCAAACTTCCTTACGATATTTAGGAGATAACCAAAAATTTTTTGCATGAAACATGGGTGTATAGCACAAATCTGCACCATATCTTCGAGACAAAATTCTCCAAGCAAGTTCTGATTGGTCAACCATAGGTGCAACAATTCGTGAAGGACTTCCAATAGAACGCCAAAACTCACGACCACGAAGACTCATTATTAATATTAAGTACTTTTTTAAATTTTATTTAATTTTTATTCATTAAAATCTAAATATTTAGGTTTTTAATTTTTTTATAGATATACAATCGAAATTATAAAAATCAAAAATGGCATATATTTATAATGAAGAGAAAATTAATAATATTAAAGTAAACTCTATTTCAAGAGATGGTTATGTTGAAATTGAAAAATATAAACTTTTCATAACTAATATATTACAACCAAAACTTCAATTACTTATAAAAGAACGAGAACAATTAGATAAAACTTTATTAGAATAGTATTATTTAGATTTTAATTTTGATTCTGGTTTTTATACTTATTTTGAATAGCTTTAAATTAAAATCACATATTTTACAAATCCAAAATGAACAACTTGATCAAATAAAAGTAATGATTGACATAGGATCGAGTTTTTATGTTCAGTCAAAAATGTATACTTTTATTTATTTATTTATTTAAGATTCATTAATATAGTATAGAACAGATACATCTAAAGTTATTGTATCTTTAGATTGTGGTGAAATTTATACCGAAATGACACATAATGAAGCTTTGCAATTTATTGATAAAAAAGAAGATATTCTTAAAAAAAGGGCAGAAATGAAATCAAACTCTATAAACAAGATAAGAGCACATATTGTTGTAATGATGGAGATTATAAAAAGAATTCTTGAAAAGCAAAAAATATCGTAAATACTTTTTTAAAGTTTCTCATCCATATAAACTTTAAAAGTAAAAGCATATTTTTGATAACTATTTTTTAGCATTAAGGAAAAGTTTAACGTAGGTTTTTAAAATCTAAAATAAAAATGAATTCTTTAATGAAAAGATATATAGCATTGTTTTTAAAATTTAGAAATAATGTTATTTAAAAAATTTATAAAATATTTACTATTTTCTAGAATAACTTAAAATATTTTTTATTTTTAACATATTCCTTTAAAAAAAATCTTATCAATAAAGAAAAACATTTTGAATATATAATTTATAAGTGATATAATAAAAAAGTAAACTACAGGGATAGAAATTAAATAAATTCTGGATCTATTTTTTACAATTGAACTATAAAATATTAATGGTTTTTTACTAAAAATATCATATGAGTGATAAAAATATAAAAAAAAGAAATCTAAGAAAAATATTTACTTAAAAATATTTGTAAAAAAATATCAAGCTTTTTAGATTAAAAATATTCTTTGTTTTATTTATCTATTAAAACAGAATAATTATAAAGATATTATTAATAAAAATATTTGAAAGTATAGATAAAGGAAGTTTATAAATTTGCAAACAATCAAAAAAATAAAATAATATGAGCTTGTAAAACAATTGACCATATTATAAAATTTATAAATATATAAAAATTTATAAAAATATCAATGAATAGAATTATTAAAAGGAAAACAAATAATTTACAAATAAAGCATATTATAGTTTAGGATTTTTTGATAAAGTACATAAAAACTAGTATTGAATATAAATTAATATTATTTCTTAAAATTTTTATACTATTCTATTTAATATGAAATTTGAAATAAATTTACAAAAAATGATTTAAACTTATTATAAAGTATTTAAAAATCTTTCTAATAAAAATACTTTATTATCTAATTAATATTTGTTATCTATTCTTGATAACATTTTCCGTAATCGGGATACGATTAAACATATTTCGATGTCAAAGAGCTCTCTCCACGAAATACTTTAATTAATTAATACTACTTCATGAATGAAGGCCTCAATAATTGCTATACTTGTTGGAGTTACTCTCGTTTTTTCTAAAAATAATGGTATTTAAGATTCTTTTTTCCAAATTTTGACCTTTTAGAACGCGATTATGCTAGTTCTATTTTGAAAAGAGATAATTTGAATTATTATCGCGTTACTAGAGATTTTTTTCCAAGAGAATCAAGAGATTCACTAAATAAGCTTACAGGAAATCTTAAGAAAATACTGGAAGAAGTCGATAGTCTTTTAAATGGTAAAATACAGTGGAAAGAACATGATTCCTTAGACGATTCTTCAAATGCAGAAAAATATAATATTTTAGAAGAACAGAATTCTAGAATTATGAGTATTCTGCAAGGCTATTTTATGAATTGCTATAGTACAGATGAATGTGCAAGAACAATACAAGATTATCGCTCTGCTCTTAAGACTTTTGAAAATAAAGGAGAAGCATTTGCTAGGCTAAATTCATTATTTTCAGATAAAGATATATGTGACAAAATATTGAAGCATCTGGATAAATTATGTACTATTATTAGAGAAGAACAAAATGCAATTAATGATTTTACAAAGGATGTTTGTCTTATTCAGCTTTCAAAATGTCATGAGCTAGAGGAAAATTGTAAAAATATTTTAAAAGATTCATGCAAAAATGTAAAAGAAAAATGCAAAGAGAAAACTATTCTTTCAGGGGATATATTTACTATGACTCATACTGTGCTTGTTATATCAACAACAGTAACCACAGAAATAGCGCCTGAAACATCAACTTGTGTAGAGACAATGGTAGTGACAGAAACATGTTGTATAGATAGGCCTCCTGCTACCATGGAACCTGAACCTGAGCCAGAGAAACCAGAAGAACCAACCTCATGCCCAGAACCTGAACCAAATCCTGAACCTGAACCTGAACCTGAACCCGAACCCGAACCTGAACCTGAACCTGAACCTGAACCTGAACCTGAACCTGAACCTGAACCTGAACCTGAACCTGAACCCGAACCCGAACCCGAACCTGAACCCGAACCTGAACCCGAACCTGAGCCTGAGCCTGAGCCTGAGCCTGAGCCTGAGCCTGAACCTAAACCAACAACAATGCCATCCGAAGATGAACCAACTACAGATGATTCTAGTTGTTCATATACGGAGATAGTAACAGTAACATCTAGTCCTATTAAAACAAGTGAGTCTGGAATAGAAAGTAAAAGTTATGGACTTCGTGTTGAAAAGTTTCATGAAATGAGGGTAATTTGTTTAATTATAGGAATAACAGCAGGAATTTGGATAATTGTTTAAGATATAGAGAGCATTTATTTGTTTATACTTTGCTATAGTAGATTTTAATATAAATACTTGTAAAAATAATTGTAGCTTTTGGCCCATAGTTTATAAAAACGTGTTTTTGTAATGCTTGAAAACAAAAATCGTCAAAGTATGTAACTAAAATAAATAGATTTGTATTTTTTATATATTAAATTGATATTTATTTATTTATTTATTTATTTATTGTTTAAACGTTTAAATTTATTTTTATTATTTTATTTGAAATTATAAAAATTATTAGTTTAGTTTTATAAAAAATATTTAATTATTTTAAAAAATTTTATATTTTTAATTACTATTTTTACGAAAAATTATTATTTAAAATATATAATTTTATTTATTTATATAGTATTAAAAAAATATTAAAAACTTTAATACAAAAATCAATCATAATTACTTTTTAACATCATATTAAGATATTTTTAAAGAGTTCTTTTAACATCTTTATCAAATTAATACATTATATTTTTTTTAAAAAATATAAGTATTTTTAAATATGTTTAACAAATAAGAATAAAAAAATAATCAAAATCTAAGTATAAAAATTAAAAAAAATATGAATGTTTTTATTATTAAAGTATATGAAATATTTATTTTTTCATATATATAATTCAATAAATAATAAGAAATGACCTTATTTTGCTATATTATTTTTTTTAAAATAATAAAAATAACATTATTTCATTTTTAATATTTTACCTTAATTTAAAAATTCAAATCTTGAAAAATTAAAACAGTGATAACAAATAACATTTATTATTTTATGATTTTCTTTTTTAACTTTAAAATCAATATGTATTGAGTATTAATTTTTAAATCAAAGGTCATCCTTAAAGAATCTTATATATCTTTATATAATTATAATAAATAAAAACTTTTACTTTTATTTCACTAATTGCATAAAATATGGTATATTAAAAGAAATTCATATTTTATATATTTTTGTTTTTTTATATTTTTATTTTTCAAAAAACTTATTTTTATATTCAAAAAATCAAGGTTTTAAAATAATATTATCAAATATATTATTAAAAGATTTTTTAAACAAAATTCTTTTAATTTTACTCTTAAAAAGTATAGAAAAATCAAAATCTATAAATAATATAAAAATATAATGGATTAATAACTAAATTGTTGATTATAGATAAAGTAAATAAAGAATTAAAAAATTTATGTAAAAATATAACCTCTAAAAAATTTAAGAAATTAGAAAATAAAATTTAAAACAAATAATATATTTAAAAAAATTGAAATAATAATTTATTTTTTTTAATTCAACAAATATATTTACACTAAAAATAAGCGAGAATTTTTATTTTTAGAAGGTATATAGCCAAAATATCACAAAAAGCTGTAACAAATTAAATGAGTGTTACTAGGAGAAATATAATAAAATAATAAAGAATTTCATTATAAAAACATTTAAAAAATATATATCAAAATGAAGTAATTTTAAAAATGAGTTAAAAAAATTTAATCATAATCAAATAAATATAGAAATTAAATGTTTTTGAATTCGAAAATATAAAAAAACATCTGGAATGAAATACTAAAAAAAATAAAAAAAGCTAAAAACAAATCAAAATATTACATTTCAAAATATTACATTTCAAAATAATATTAATGAAATATCTTATTTGTTATTCGAAAAATGTTATTTTTATAAAACAACTTTTATTAATACATTAAATAGAAATTTAGATAAATTAAGAATCTAGAATGAAGAAATTCATATATATATTTGTTAAATTTAAATATTACTTTAAGTTACATTCAGAATTATTAAATATATTAGATAAAAAGAATTTTTAAAAACAACCATAAAAAATCTTCAAATCAAAAAACCAAAGACATTATTATTCACTTAGTTTTTTTAGATTGAAATTCTTAAAAATAATATTAGGAAAAATGTGAAAGTCTGTCTAGTGAAAATAATAAAAAACTGAAATCAAATTATTTATTTTAACCAATTTTTTTGGAAAACATACAAAAATGCTAATACGAAATATTATAAAAAAAATACACGAGTTATTCCATTCAAAAAAGAAATAACTTAAAATGTTTAAATAAAGATTGATAGATGCGTTTAAAAAATTGAAAAAAAACACCAAATTATTTATTTCATAAATCTAGTCGATAAGAGTTTCCATTGTTCTTTCACTAAATTCACAAATGAAGGTAACTCTTCTCTAAAAGTATTTGAGTAATCTGTTTTCCAATAATAAAAATCATACGCAATCAAAAAGAGATTATTTAATACTAATCAAAAATTTAAGAGACTGAATAATCTTTTTTTACATTAAATCAACATTATGAATGATTGAAGAGTTCAGAGGAATTAAAAAAATAATTGTTTAAAAAGATAATATGTTTAGAAAAACAAGCAAATTATATAAATGAGCTTAAAAAATGGTCTAAAATTTTATTTAAAAAAAATAATCAATTTTCTTTTATATTTATAATGCTTGATATTACATATCAAATAATAATTAGACTAAATTCAAAGTACTAAATATTAGCAAAAAATGTAAATATTATAAATACAAAAATAAAAAATTTTAAGCACTAAATATTAAAGGCATATATAAAGTAAAAGTAAAGTATAAAAGTCTATTACTAGAATTTAAATTTAAAAATTATTCTAATTATAAAATCCACATAAAATCAAAAAAGTGTGAAATAAATTAAGCTATTAGAGTTAAAGTAACAAGAAATATGACAAAGAAAAAATAATACAGATTAGTTCTTGTAACGAATAGATGAGACATCTGTCCACTAATACATATAAAAACCACCATGTTAATACACAAAGTAATTTTCATACTAATATTGACATTTAGAAAGGAATATAAACACATAAAATGTGCGAAAAAGTATAACTATGCAAGTAATACAAAACCAATCAAAGAAAAAGATGAATGAATAGAACTTTATGAAAGAATTAACAATAATAACCATTATTTTACTCATCATCTAAAAAGATACATAAAGAATATAAAGGAACATAGATATTTAAAAGGGAAATAAACAAAAAATTGAATAAATACAATAAAATAAAAGTAGGAAATAAAGATAACTCTTATTTTTTATTAATTTATTGTATATTTTTATAATATAAATTTGTATTTTTCATTTAATTATTACATATTTTTGATTTGATAATTTTGTCCTCAATAAGTGTTTTTTTCTAGCTTTTTTTCCATCTATTTATTTAAAATTTACTTAGATTATCTTGCAAGGTATTCAAATATTAAACAATAATAAAATACCTCATAAAATCTAATCAATGCAAAAATCATATCCATTATTATATTATTTAGCTCATATTTTTCTAGAGATTTTAATTATATTAAAATATATTCATTAATGTAAATATACTTACAATTTAAAAAATATTTTTAAAATAAAATAGTTCACTTAAAGAAATAATTATAATTTTAACTCTATAAAAAGTTATAAAATCCAAAATATACAATAATTTATAAAAAATATAAAAAAATCAAAGTAAAAATACTAATCATTAAAAAGATGTTATCATAAATATTTATAAATTTACAAGGTTATGAACAATATTTTTGAATAAAATCTTAAAAATACTAAAATAAAACTTTAAATTTTAAATAAATACTTCTCTATATAATTAAAAGCTCATCTTTTATTTAAATATCTAACATATGAATCAACTTGAAATCTAAAATAAAATTTCATTTTTAATTTTAAAATATACATTTAATAATTTTTATAATTTCAATAAAACATTCTAAAAATGCATAAAAAATGGTAAAAGTTATTATATCTAAAATTTGAGTTAATATTAAAAAATATAAATTAAAAATTAAACTTAAATAGCTTATTATATATTCTCTTTACCAAGTTATATAAAGAACATTAACCCTTCTTACTGATATTATATAATAGATATTTTAATGAGAAAATTAACCGTTAATCTTTTTTTTATATTTTTAAAATATAGAAATATTAATAATTTTAAATATTAAAAAAATAAAAATTAACAAAAACTAATAAAAATTAATATATTCTTTAAAATTAAAAAATAGTTTAGAATTTAAAAACAAAAAATCTAATAAAAATATACATAAATTCAAAAAAGTAAAGAATATATAAATTTGAAAAAATAAATATATTCTTAGATTATTTAAACCATGTTTAAAAACACCAAAATATACAAAAATTTCCAGAAATAAAAAATCACAAATCTTATTAATATAAACTATATAAATTTATCATAAGTGAAAATCTCTTAATAGTCCCTAAAAAAATCAAGGTATTGACTTAATGTATAAAAATAATGAAATAAAAATTCAAAAAAAAATATTTTTATTAATTATATTATTTTTAATAAAATAAAAAGAATTAAAATGTTCTAATTTTAACTTTAAACTAATTTAGAAATCAATATTTTAAATAAATCCATAAAAATAAGTATCTTACTAAAATAAATAATAATACTATAAAAATACTATCATTTGTTATTTATATGTTATCTAATGATAAATCATTTTTTTAATACGCTATATTTTTATTCACACTTTTAAATTAATATTATAATTGAATTTTTTTTTCATTTTTCATTTAATAAATCTTTTCTTTTTATATTTTATTTTTTACTTATTCATTTTTACATTTATCCTGCATTTATTTCTAATTTAGTCATATTTAGCCTAGAGAACACTTAGACAAACATAAAGTTAATCAAATAATCATAATTATGTGTTTTATATGTGACATTACTTAAAGTATAAATATATATATTTTAATTGTGGAAAATATTTTGAAAAATATTTATCAATATATAATAATGATGATTTAAGAAAAACCTTAATAAAAATATCAAAAACGAAAATTTATAAAACGAAATAGTTTATTTTGTAATATTTTAGATTTTAACTTTAAAAAAGGCAAAAATATAAAATATAAAATATTTTATAATAAAAATATTTATAAATCTAAAA